TACTGATGACAAATTCTAAATGTATTGTTTCGGAGACTGTATTTATTAACTGCGCCGACGCAGCGTGAAATTATTTATTGCTTGCTAATCATTCGCTTGTAAACGTTTTTGTTCACCTTCATAATAATAAACTAACTCATAATTTCAAATTATTTTATAGACAGGACATGTTCTAGATTTATCTTCCATTGGATACTTTTCATTTTTATTTTATTACTAATTTAGAATGGGTTTTAAGTAGACTGAACAAAACGTTTTCTTTATTTATCTCTGCATTAACATAAAATTACATTATTTAAAGAAACATAGTTGAATGTAATTTCAAATTCCAAACGACCTTAGGATTAAAATTTCATTTTTAGGTGCACTGAGAATTAAAATAAAGCCATTAGGAAACCGAACTATCTCTAGTAAGGTGGGTAAATTGATATATATGTTTCACTCATTAGTCGCAAATATGTTTCCATTACGTAAAATCTATTTTAGATTTCGTGTTTCATATAGTACCAACCTAATATTATAACGCCATTATGTGGGGATTTTAATACAACGGGAAATATCATATATTGTTCTCTTTGGTCCTTTTATATCAACTGTATGAATAACCATTATTTTTTTTATTTCCAAAATTAAATATATTAATCCCTGAATAATTTCCTTTATTGTGTAAATTGAAGTTATATATCCCCTACTCCACTCACCTTTTTTTAATTTTTTTTTTAAATACACCAAAAAAATAAAATTAAAAAAAAAAACCTTTAACGGGATTTAACTGACGCTGGAAACTCCAGGCAGTCGTACAAAAATTAAATATATTCGTTAACCGTAAAAAGTATTTTATTTAAATTACCTATTTTTCCTAAAGTAATAGGAAGGAAAAAATTAAACATATAATTGTGTAGTGTAATGAAATCAGTTAGTTCATTTTATTTAACAGTGTATTGTATTGTAACAATGTACCTAGTTATTATCATAATAGTCTCCTACATAATAATTGATTTTTATTAGGTATACTTATAAATCAAAGAATTTTTTTCTACATTTTTTTTAAATACTGTCTATAGTTTCCGCGAGGTACACATTTAAATAAAACATTTTAACGGTTTAAAACGCGATATATTAGTTAAACTTATTCGAAAATGATTTTTAAACGGCCCGACGTTTCGGATGCTTTGCAGCAGCCGTGGTCACGGGGAGACTGTCTGACAGTCATCATGCTTACTACACTTACTAACAGAATATTAAAATTATTAAGTAGTCTTAATATATTAACTGTGTCAAACGTCTATTGCGTTGGACACGGATAATATATACACAGATCTTTTCATGATTTTTCAGAATTTGGAAAATAGAGAACATCGTTCTTTATTAAATGAAGGACGTCAAAGTCATTTATTTATCCACCGAAATTAATGAAATAAAACCAAGCTTAAATAAACATATTGTATGTTTATATAATTTAGAAAAAAAAGTAATTGTTGTTTATAAGATTTAAAAACTCGTTTCTTCGCTACGCAGATAAGTCGCGGGCGCGAGCTAGTTTATGATTTGTAACTAATATTATTCTACCGCGGCCTACCGCAAATTATGCGATAGTTACCTATATATGTACCTATTAACATATATAGTGCCAACGCCTAATTAACACATATCGATAATGGTTAGGTGGATCCATGGCAAGGTAGAGAATAATTGACAATCTTGTACAGTGAAATGTTTATAAATTTGTTACAACGGTCATTTTATTAACTACTAGTTGATCTTTTTAAATAAAACACTTTTGAGCGGTTCAAAACGAGGAATGTATTAGTCAACACAATATCATTTATCCGACGTTTCGCGGATGCTTTGCAGCAAGTGATCACGGGAGGGATCCCAAGCCGTAGATAAATTAAAAAAATATTCATTTTTTTTTTTTTTTTTTTTTTTTTTTTTTTTTAATCCGTTGTTAAGTCCTATATAAATGTAAGAACAGTATAAAATAAGTCCTAGACTATAAAAACATTATAAAGGTCCGTCCCAGCTTTAATGGGTGGGTTAAAGATTTTTAACGTAGTATTGATATTTGTGGTGCTTTATTGTAGTGGTTAACATATTATGTACATGTATACTTGAAATCGGGATGGTCTTTTTGTCGTTCGTTTTTGTACCAACGCTTCTTAAAAAAGTCAAAATAACAATAAAAGTCGATTGCGACAAAACGCTAATACGTATATGAGCAGTTAGTATCGCGAAGTTTTTTGTAGTTTTTAATAATATATTATTTTATATCGTTGCTTTTATTCACTTTGTGTTACGTTTCTAATGTTTTAGTATGGACCACTAATCTTATTAGCAAATAATAATAATATCCTAGTACTCAATAAACTTAGCTTAACACACTCGACAACAAATTACAAATCAACTGCTTCATATCATTAGTAATGATAATATTGAGATTAGTAGTCATTCAAAGATTATAGGTAAATATTTTTAACATGTACTATATTTTATATAATCTTACACCTTGTTCAGGCGCGTCTTCTTCGAAGATCCACTAATGTTTTCAGGAAATAGACGGACGGTACATTTTTCAAGCCACCCTAATATTATATCGTTTATTGTTCGTATGAAGTTTTTATCGTTCAACGGTGTATGTTATATAGTTTGGTACTGTAAATAAAAATTGCTTAATCTATGTATAGATGGTCATTGTTAAATCGGGACAACGAAGGACATACTAAAAAAGAAATTCTTAGTTTACATACTTATTTGGAAATGATTTTTAACTTCGGCCCGACGTTTCGGGTGCTTTGCAGCAGCCGTGGTCACGCCAAATAAGTTTAACTAATATATCGCGTTTTAAACCGTTAAAGTGTTTTATTTAAATATGTACTACTCGCGTAAACTATAGACGGTATTCAATTCTTTAGTTTTAAATACCATAGATCTTAAGTGTTCGAGTTTTAATAAATCTAGCCTGTATATATCCAGAACTATGTTTACCAATTATTTTAAAGTATTTTATAATAATTGTCTCTCAATAAATGGATCTATTAATTTTTGAAAGAAAATACAAATGGGGTTCGCTTGATAACAGTTAAAAATCCCCAGCCCTGTAATATCTAATTTGTAAAAGCAATTCACAGCTTAAAACTGAAACGGATTCCATCCACAGACCGTGGTTCTTGACCCGCACGGAATTTATTTATATCACCTATTTAATGTCCAGTATGTCCAGACGATGGCTTACTTATGTTTAGAAAAATTAGTAAATTAGTCACAAACATACTGTATCGCCTGAGAATCGAACCGACGTAAGACATTCGAGGAACCCATTAGGGAGATGTGAGTTGAGTTATCGTTTAATATTTCTTTGTATTATTAAATTGCTTGCTGTATAATAATATGAAAACATCAAATACCACGTGAACTCTCAAAAGTCAAATTACTTAACCACACAAGCTTACCTTATAGTTACTGCAGATTCTCCGAAGACCTCGCACACGTTGTCCAATTTCATAACATAGTTTGAAAAGTAACCAAGTTCTATTAAATGTATAAATTTTCACTTTAGTTCGTTTTCACAACCTCAAAGAAAATTATTCGAACTATAGACAGTTTGTATAACACAACCGTTAAGCCGAAATTAAAATAGTATATTATTGTAGCCCGGTAAAGTGACTATGAACAGCGCTTTTGTATAAATATATTATTCACAACATACGAGATAAGTACAACCCAAGTTTCATTGATAAGTCCGTAAACGATAAACAGAGAAAGGAACGTGTTCGCCGATGTTTTCTTTTAATTATCACAACCTTAGCTTCTTCTACTTCAGTCTAAACACGTTTACTTTTCACTCACATGGATCTACTTGCTATTGACTAATGTTACTCACAACACTTAAGAGGTAAATTGATAACACTCAAAGATTACATCGTTCAACCTTCCACTTAACGTACTAAATCAAAACACTTCCGATCACGAATCCATGTCCCAAAATGACCACAACGAGTCCATTAATTTTGGCACAATATCTTCTAATGGTACAAGACCCATGAAATATTAATTACATCGTATCCAACTCACGGTATATTTACGTATGAACACGCGATAAGGCGCCGAAAGACGGAGGATGGCGCCGAATGTCAGGTGAAGTCGGAACTGTCAGTGAAACTGTGTTTTCAGTTTTCGGATACGACGTGTGTGTCCAACTGTTTGTGCTGTGTTACTACAGGCACGCGCTCCCGACTGCGACCGCTGAAAAGCGAACCTGTTGAAATAGGAGAGCGGGCTACGAGAAAACGGGACGCCCGAACGTTTCATGGGACCGTCTAGTTTCAGGCGCTTATTTTAAGTAGGTGTGTGCGTGAAAGCTGCGTAGCGACGCTCGCGAATCGGTGTTAGTGAGTTGTGGAAAACTCTCTAAGGGCGTATTCACAGAGCGTGTTTTGAAGCTTTGTCCTCCGTGAAATTTTATTGTTTAGTTCCAATTGATTATAGTCAGACTTTTTAATATCTCTGAATAACGACTCTTGCTCTTTTTATTATGCATTACTCTTTGATTGCACTCTCATTTACTTATCGTTCATAGAAAATTTTGTTCCACACATAAGTATATGATGTTTTAAAACTAAGGATATTTTGGTATGTACCTAGAATGAGGTTATTGGAGTGAATTATTCAACAGAGACATCGCATAAAATTATTGTGGCTGCATAAATTTATCAATTAAAAGTGTTATCAAGGCCAATGTAAACATCAGGTCACAGAGCGCGTGGAGTAATCAAATAGCACGCACCTTGGTACGAAGCTGTGGGCACAGAATACTTAACAAACTGGAAGCTGTCGAAGCGTTCAAAAAAGCCGCTTTGATAACTCTAAATTGGAGTAGTTCTATAACGAAGTATTTCTAAGAAGAATATTTACTGTTAGATTTAATTATGAATTGTTACATTTTTCTACTTTTAGTAATAAATTTAACACCAATAAGCGAAGCAATGGCGGGACATTACGGTTTAGTAGAAGAGGGAAAGTGGTTGCGATGCTCCTTCTGATTCGTTCAGTGTCCTGTGACAGTAAGTCGAGATACGAAGAGCCGCTCGTAGTAGAGCGGGCGAGATGACAATACGAGAGTGCGCACGCAGCATTCGATACACCCCACGAAGCCACCTCACCCACCCCGCTTTCAAATCTATACAGTGGAAGACCGCCTCTGACAGCTCGCTCCAATGTAACGATGTACCCTTCATTATATTGGGAATCAATCGACAAATGGGCTCGGACGCTGATCAGCACGCACGCTGCTCGACGGACACTTTCGTTCGAACGGATCGTGAGTTCGATTCCTAAGTGTTCCAACGTATTTCTTAAGCAATCTTAACTGTTTTAAGCACGATAGATCGTTTCAAAGTTGGATAAACTATAGGATTATCAAAACCACCACCCGAATCATGGTTCAAACAAATGCTTTTGCTTTGGCATAAAAACTCTTTTATTTTAAGAACTAACGCAGTAATTATACATTTAAAGTTTTTAGTTTTTACCTTTTATTTCATTGCCATTTATACGTGTAGGTATACAGTTACACAAACAAAATATGTTTTTTAATTTGGCCTTGAATACGTTGTCCTCTGCGACAAAAAGTAACTGAACAAGTCACCAAACGACGTAAAAGCGACATTTTTTATAAGAATTTTTACAACATATTCAAATTTTCTTAAAATTGTGATGTATGCATATATGTAAGTTTGTTGTGTTGAAATAAAACACTTTAACGGTTTAAAACGCGATGTATAATACGAGGGGTCTCCCCGTGACCACGACTGCTGCAAAACATCCGAAACGTAAAGCCGTACTCAAAATAATTACTATATAAGTTTAAATAATATACATCGCGTTTTAATACTTTAAATTACAGACAGTATTTAAGTGGGTTATGAATTTGTTTTTTCTTATAAGGATAAGAAGGTATATAAATAAATAAAAGTACAAGTTCCTTTGAAAGATTCATCATTAACCTTGCAAGTGAATTATCGTAAAGTTGTGACATTTTCTTTTTTAATAATAATTCCACCTTGACATTATAGCGCTTAAAAAAAATAAACGCTTGTCTCAAGTCTATAGGTGATGAGAAAACTGAGTAGAACATTTACGACAGAAGAGGACAAACTATGGGGGTAATAACGAAATGCCCTATAACATTTAACTAAGGGCATCTTAACCTTCGACCGTTTTTCTTTGGAGATTTCAATATCCACAGATTATAACTAGGACGTTATTTACGCCTCTTCGTCTATCTGTGGTTTGTGACGCGGATGGAAATAGTATTTTTTATATTCTTGGATATATTGAGTATTGTCTAAATGTAGCCAACACGAAACAGGAAACAATTAATGGTGACACGTGAAAGCGCTTTTCGCATCAAACACAAGCCGAAGGGTTCGTGACGTAAATCATTTCTCACAAAAGAGAGAATAAAGCCTAAAGGGGGCTTAATTTATTCTGTTTGAGGCCATCGCGCTTACAACTGCGCCAGATACCTATAAACGATAAATAAACATTCGATCAAGTACATTCAATAGCATTCCCCCATTGATAGAAAATATTTGTATCGCCGGATTTCCACGGAGAAGCTTAAAGCTCTTTGCAGACTACGCTATAATAGAGTAGCTTTTACAAAGATATCGTATTGCATGTATCTATACTAATATTAGAAATCTCAAGAGTTTGTTTGTTAAATACTGTCTATAGTCTACGCGCGTAGTACACTTTGAAATAAAACACTAACGATTTAAAACGCGATATATCGAAGCGAAACGTCGGGCCGAAGTTAAAAATCATTTTCAAATAAACGTAACTAATATATAATATATCGCGTTTTAAACAGTTAGTGTTTTATTTAAATTAAACATTGACTACACATAGTAGTATAGTAGTTCCTAGTAGATATGTAAAACCGAAAACCTGCTCTAGAGTTCCGTGTTAAAAGAGTAAACCAGGCTGGTAAAGCGATAGTAACAGTGTGTATATATTTATTTAAAAAAATGTGTTTGAAAATCTAAATAATAGTATTTAAATAAAACACTTTAACGGTTTAAAACGCGATATATATTAGTTAAACTTATTTCAAAATTATTTTATACATAATAGAAACTGAAATTTATTTCATTTTACATTATTTTGCAAACACTGCAAACATATGGCTGCTTTACTATATTTATAAAAAAGATATATCTGCAATTAGTTTCTATACATGTAGTAATATAGCAATATAAAATCTATTTTTCATTTATGCGTCATTTGCATACACATAGCTCTCACACAGCTAGTCAATAAAAAATAGAACATTAAGACACTTTCAAAGTTTAAAAAAACGTCACAGCACCGTCAAAGGTGTTTTATTTAATATGTTATTGACGCGTAAACAACAGACAACGTTCAAATATTTATTAAATATTCTCAATACAGATAGTGGTAAAAAACGCTGTAGTAACTAAAACAGAGAAGCTGCATAAAAACTCCATCGACAGGTGGTAGCGATAGCAATGTGTCACCTATCCGCTTAATTATTTAAACCTCTTATAGTTTTAATGATCGCCACTCATAGGTTATTTTTATTTAATGAGAGCTATTTGGACAAGTTCCCAATTCGAAAATACTCGAAGTCGGAACACTTAAAAATGTGACAAGCAAAACAGTCTGCTAACGTTCATATGCTTTTACCATATGGCTTGTCCCAATGCCCCTATGTAGGGAATGGGACAAGACACGTCAATATGTTTACATATTGCTACAACAGATCGAACCACTTTGTAATGTTATTCCGGGGTTCGAACCCAGAAATTCTAGCTTATCGAATTGCAACATTACATACAAAGGTTATAGGTACAATAGCATGGAGGCAAACGAAACATTTGCCTCATAAGTTACAAAAATAAACGCATGACCATGAGTAGTGTGGACTGGTAATACCATACGATATTTTATGATATATTCGAAAAATCCATATTTGCTTATAGACGTTGTTTACTAGTCATTAATGTTAGTAATAACTTAATAATTTATTTCAAATATTTAATGTGCTCGTATCTGATTCGCATTGATTAAGTTTATTTTTTTAAAGAATGTCACATTACACACCTGATATATTCGTTTCTTTTGAGCCCCAACAAAGCCATCTGATTTTTAATTACTTATTGACAATTTTTTACTATAAACGTAGGTATATTGGCAGTGTATTTATCTGAATTGTTGTCTTTACTTTTTATTTCTGTATGCTGATCCAGTCTATCGTATTTTAAGACAGGTTACCTTCATCATAGAGTTCCGGCTGACAATGCGCATTGAAGTTTCCGAAAAGAGGTCAGTGTCGTCTCATAGTCTGTAATGTTCTTAGGAAAAAGGGACGCTTTTTGATATAATGCATTTTTAGAGAACCTAGAATTGTGATTACTACACTGCCCTTTTAAAAATATAATAAAAATAAAAGACCACTATTCTATAAATAATTTATTATAGTTACATATTGGCTTATTTGTAATTTGTTTTTAATGATTACCAATATCATAAAACGAATATCGATTAATGATAAAGTGAGCACGGTTCAGGTAGCTTTATTTTTTCGTTACACTACACACATAATGAACCTCTTTTTACGGTACCAAGTGGACAGGAAGACGCTCGTATGCCAAATCGATTTCCAAGTTCGTCTTCTGTCGGACTTGGATTATCGTTCGAAACTGGATAATTGTCTCCTGGGAACATTATTTTGGCTTCGTCACTGGACTTCACTGTTCTAATCACAGTACATGTAACATTCATGCAAACCACCAAAGTGATAAAAATACACAAATTTTGTGACGCCATTATAGTAACAGAAAGTATAACGAGTTTCAAGCACGACTAACAAGCGAATGTGCCTTACATACACTTAATTTCCTATTTAATGCTGTCGTACAATACGTCACAACATAAAGGATAATGCTTAAATTGGATACAACAAATATTTTGGACCAATGTCGTTAATACGAATATTGTAAGCACGTCTTAACGCGTCTGCTAGTTACTAACCAGAGCGCCTTGGATTTATATATTTTGTTTAACTTATTTTTAATATAAAATAACTTAATATTTTTAGCTAGGATGTAAGTACTATCTTACAATCGCTTTCATTAAAATCTTATAGGTAATAATCTGCTGCAGTGGACCAATAAGTTCAAATGTTTAAACTAGATTTTTCTAGTTGATTATTTTTTTTTGGTTTTTTTTTCCAAAATTTTGGTTTTTTTTTTTTTTTTTTTTTTTTTTTTCTTGTTAAGGGCCTTTTTTTTTTTTTTTTTTTTTTTTTTTTTTTTTTTTTTTTTTATAAAATTTTATATATGTCATTTAATTTGATAGAACAACATATCTGTGGCTTTCAAATTGAGTACAGACGGCACTTTTTGACAGTTGACAACGATGATCTGACGTTCATTCCCGCCAAAATCGTTATATTTGTAATTTGTTTTGTTTAGTTTCATTTGGTCCTCTTATAGTCTTATTTCCTAGATCTCATTAGTCATTATTTCCCGCGCATTTAGTTCAGCGTTATCAATTTTATATTACATTTTCAACCGAGTGTAATTTGGAGATTTAAAGTTTTGTTTTGTGTTCTTTTGCTTTATTTGATTGCAAAAATGTTTTACCCAGTGGAATCCCTAAGAAGAGGTGGTAGATTTCACTTATGCTGGGTCGCAGATGCTTGGTCTGAACGTTTTGAAATTATTAAAACCCGGCAGATTTTTGAGCAAGATGTACGGAAAATGTGGTAAGTTATATTCTTATTGTGACAAAAATCAGTAAAGTGATTAAGTTATAATTACTTTATTGTGTTGCAGTGACGATTTACTTGATGTTATACAGCAAGAATCCGGGCGTCCATCTAGAAGATTTTCTCTTCGATTATCATCTCAACTTATTCACGGCTTAGTTCTATTTTATCGAAGAAAAGTGAATTTATTCATACGTAAGTAATCTTTCTCTTATAATCTGAAAAATTAACAACGTTCTATATTATTTTAATATAATAAAATTCTATATTATTTTATTGAGTTGAATTTTGTTGTAGATGAAGTCTGTATGCTCCAAGCATATACAATGCATTCCATTAACCAAAGGTAAATTAATATTATAATAAATATTTTAAATGTGTCTATATTTGAGAAAATTTATAATTATCCTTTTTATAGGACAAAATCACCCGAACCAAAACGTCGTGTAAGGAGATCTCCACCAGTACAGAGATTAGTTATTCAAGAAATTGATGGTGATGAAAGAGTTGAGGAACTCTTACAGGTACCATATTATTTTTTGTAGTATATTCATACTTAAAAAAATAATTGTAACATACAGTACAAAATATAACAAACCTCAAAGGAACAAGTATTTTTCATTATTATAGATATAACCATTGTTGAATGATGAAACTTTCGAATTATTTTAATAATATGTAAAATACTAAGAACTCACTTAAATTTGCGAGTTCCTGTTTAAAAGTGCTTATTTAAAAGTTTTTAGTGGATAACATAGATAATTATAATTTCATGTGTGTTAAGATATTATTAAAAAACCATGCCTTTATAACAGTATTTATATTTATAACAAGTTTTTTTACAGCAAAATACTCAGAACATAGTAGCTCGTGTAGAAGACATCACACTAAGAGAGCCTAATATTCCTGATAACAGGGCATTATATGTAAGTTTAAATATTTCCCTTCCAACTAAATATCATAGTCACAATTCTTTATTGCATTCCATTAATTACTCTGTACACAAATGTTATATTTTTTTTTATTATTTAATTTTTGTATTGTAATGTTATACCGAAAGCATTCAACATATAGATGTTTTTTATTTATCAATACCAGCTCTTTAGTAGACCCCATTGCTGGTACTCTTCTCATAAGGGTGTACACCAAATGCTAGCATCCATGAAATCATGTTTCTAGGAGAGAACGCTGGTGTCCTCACAAAGTACAGTAGGCTTCACAGAAATAGGGTTAACTTATTTCTTAAATTTTTCGCTAAATTAATTATTGGGGTCCTGTAAATTTTTACAGGACGGCTTTGGGGAAATGGACCTCCAAATCCCATCAATAACTTTGAATGACCAAACTGTTGAGTTTATGTTGGGTCCTGAAGGAAGTGCTATGCAGCAAAGCGCCCTGGAATTGGTCGACTTGACACCCGAGAATTTAAACAATCTGACACATCTCGCGGATCGTGCCTCTGCGCACATGGAACGCATTTCCGAACACGATGTTTCAGTGTTGAATAAATGTAATTTTATTTGTTTTTATATGGTCTAAAGAGTTAAAAAAATAACGTTATTCTTATCAGTTCGGCACAATTTAGATAACTTTAAACATAATAATATTTAATTATGGTTATTTTCATAGCTACCGGCACTGAATTGAGAGCTCCGGGTTCCTTTGGTGGAGGTAATTTTGCAATAATAATGCCTTAACCATCTTTAATTTCTTGTCCATAACTAACTCATACTGAATTTTTCTCCAGAAATCACCGACATCCCGCTCCCCGAAATGACCATTCCTCCGGAGACGTTAGTTTCTAATAATTATTGCTTAAGTAGCAATAGTTGTATTCCCCCTTTAACAATTAGTTAACTTGAAGTAGAAACGTAAATGTATTGTAGTGTATTAAAAATCATATATTCATGTAGATAGGTTTAATAAAATTTATTCTAGAACACACAAAATACATACATGTAGACGAGACAAAGTAAGAAGAAGGGGGCATCCCTTTCTTATTGCTGAGATTTATTTACCAGAAAAACAAACCATTCTATATATATAATGGGGGTAGATGTAAATTATTTTTTAGAAAAGATTTATAAGTACACGTGGATTGTCGCCAAAAAGGTCTGGCGATGATCGGTTTTATGTAGTACTATCACTTAAAGCTAGTTTATAATATATATAATATTTTAAATAGTGTGAATTCCTTTCTGTACAGGCAAACTATGGTTGGAGAAGCAGCCCAACCTTCTGCTAGTGTCATAGATAAAAGCCCAGAACAAATAACAGTGGAAGAGATCGCATCCTCGGTGAGTACTTTTGCTTTTTATTTCCAATCTATACTAATATATAAAGCTGTAAGTTTGTTTGAACACGTTAATCTCAGGAACTACTGGCTCAAATTTAAAAACTATTTTTGAGTCTTGTAGAACATTTATTGAGGAAGGCACAGCTCGATGTTTTATATCTTGCGGAGTAAAACATCGAGCTGTGACTAATAGGAGAGAAGAAACAGGGGGCAAAAACGGGGAAAATTGTTTATCTCTGTAAGTTTTCGATGATGATTCAAACTAGAGGTGTCTAAATCAAACACTTTTACCTTAATTTTAGTTTATTTTAACTTGTAAAATACTTTATCTATATTCAAAAATGGGAAAAATTAATTAATTTGAGACCATAGTTGTAGACCTACTAATAAGCCACCTTTGAACCGTTTTTAACACGGTTCGCGACTATTGTTTTAAGAAATTACTTGAGCTTAGCTTTAACGAAACCCGGTTAACACCAGATGAAGCAGCTGATCCATTCAGAACTATTTACTTCACCTAACAGCCACGCATTTTGGTATTACAGGATTTAGACGCCAACCTGCGCCCAAGAAGACGCAAAGTCAGACCGAGGATAGATGAATGCACCGTAATGAGCGGTACATACATGGGTGCGCGGATTAAAGATGATCACGTCGATCTACGTTGTAAGGTATCGTTGTAAGAGATAACAGGACAGTAAATTGGGCGGTCTATTCCCATAACACGTGCTTTTGGAGCGATTAAACAAGATTCCCTTGGCGTATCATTGTTTTTCGGGCTGTTCGGCTGACGGCAGCGAAAAGAGGTTCTCGACGTTTCGCCATCATTCATAATTCTTTGAGCAATTGAGGATCTAACATATCCTGATGATGCCGTCCGCTAGTGATGACGAAACGTGGAGAACCCTCTTCTCATTCACCTCGGACGAACAGCCCGAAAACAATGATATGCGGAACGATGGCCGTGAAGGCCTTACACAATTTATTAAGCTTTCCTTGTCTTGCTCTGTGCCTATAGAAACGATGGCATTTATCTATTTAGGAGGTGATGTTGCGAATCGCACTTCTTCAAGTTTCTATTAATTGAACTTGAGATGAATTATCCTATCCCTATTAAAAACAGTACTTTCATTACAGGATAGCACTTCAGACGTCATAAAAATTAGAGGGCCAACGACACAACAGTTACTTCACCGACCGTGCCACGCAGGTATCCAGCCATCTACCAAGTTGAACCTCTTCCCCAACAACATGTTTTTGAGACGTCTCAACGCCTGTACCATGCCTCCTGTCGCTACTGCAGTAGATGCACCACAAGTAAGTACATATATTGTATATTTTCCTTTGATTTTCTATGCTTCAAATAGGTAAAGTCACAAATAAAATCAAAACATAGTATTAGTTTATGCAGGCAGCTACGCCGATCCACATTTAATTGAACACAAATGCGAACTCATTCCGTTTCATTGATCGATTTTATTTGCAGATAAATAGTTGACCAGAACTGAAACAATAGTGTCCTCCACCATTTTTATTATCATCCATTTAATTAACACAATATATTAATACTAAACAACACAATCATTTAAAAACCTAAAAGAGTGTACCTAAACTAAGCAAATTTTTATTTTTTCCATTTTTTTCAGGAGGCATTAGTACAAGATAAAACTCGAGATGCTAGTCGTTCGTTCGTCCAGGAAATGGAGCAGCCTGAGGGCGTTGCTCATGCGCCTACTAATGTTATTAGTGAACCCATGGAAGTTTTACCTATTCCTGAAACAAATCCAGGTGTCCCTGTTAATCAGGAGGATATTTCCGATTTTCCTACCCAAAAGATATCGACTGTTGCTACAGTCGAAGAACCGCCACGTGAAATACCGTCTCCGGTAATAATTATAATCTCTTCGTAATATTAGTAACCATGGTCAACAACACGTGGGGCTCGCCTCCTACCAAACGGTTTACCTACCCTTTTTATTAAAACACTTAATGGTTTAAAGCGCAAAATATATTTAAGGGAGGACCTGCAAGCATCCGAAACTGAAACATCAATCAAACGCGGAATCCAAACAGAAATATCGAGCAGTAATAAACAAATTAAAAATAAGTAACTAAAGTAAACTCTTTTAACCCGTTAGAAGTATTTTATTATACACACAAACAATACTTTAACAGCAGCTTTATTCTTCATGTATAAGCGTATGCAAAGAATTACTTATTTTATTTATTTCAGATTAAAATACGTCGAGTTGGAGTGAGGACTTTTACGTCGGCTGTCGAAATGGATTTTAATAATATATGTACGTATGTTATCATGGATATCATTAAAATAAAATATACTTCAGTAGCCGGGATCTTGGGATGAGGGATGCTGTTATATTATAACATTTAAAAGCTATTTATTATATAAATCTATATACATAATATATAAAATGTAAAATAAGTACATAGTCCAATTTTTCGAGTAGTGCATATAACACAGACGTTAAAAGTCCGGCATGTGTATGCTCTTGTTCTCTGGAAACAGTAATATCATTATTATTCATTAACCAATCAATATTGCCTTATGGGTTTGTTAGTAAAATTACTTGCAACCAATGGCAATATATTTTTTTTTTTAAATAATTAAGTATATACTTTTGAAAACATTAATATTTTTCACATGTTCATGTGCAATGAAGGCACTACATATATAATTTAAAAATCGAAAAAATTGAAAAAAATTTCGACTCGGGCAGTGAACCTTAGTACGCAAGTGTTAAGGTTGAAATTACATTGCGCGAGAGGTGCATGTATCAATAAGTTGAAAAAATTCGACGATGAGGTGTAGGACTCGGTAGCTCAATTGGTAGAGCAACAGCACGGAAAGCTGACGATGCCGGTTCAAGTCCTGCCCGAGTCGAAAAAAAAAATTTTTTTTTTTCATTTATTTTCGATTTTTAAAGTATATACTTATTGAATCTTCAAAAACTATTTCAAGTCAGTCTGCACGCCCTCGTCGCGTAGCAAATTACATAAAACAAAATGATAAATTGTTTCATAACGTTTTTAGCCACCAATAAGGAAAATATCCCAGACAACCGACAAGCTCGTATATCGGTACTCCTCCAAGAAGCGGGCTTAGCTGATGTTCCCCAAGAGAAAATTGACGAAGCAAATCATAGCAAGAGTAGGAGTGAGACACCCCTGGGCAGTTTGGATAGGACAAAAGTATCGCTGGGCGATTCTGATGTTACTACTGAATCGCAACGCTTTCTCAGGTACTATCTTTTATCACTTTGGTGAGCTATGTGTACTAATATCTATCTATACTAATATTATAAAGCTGAAGAGTTTGTTTGAACGCGCTAACTACTGGGAGGAACTACTGATTCGAATTGAATAAAACATCACCTTTCGGCCATTAGGAGCGAAGAAACAGTGGGAAATGTAAAATAAACGGAGTAAAATTAACCAGTTATTAAATCGTTCAAGATACCAAAAATATCTATGAGAGAATGATTCCTCTGTAAGTGATCTATAAATATGTCCAGGACATAACAGCTATAAATTATAAAGAATGAGAAGGTTTGCAAAAACAAATTTTGGTGCCCGAAATAAATATTGTAAGCGGACCAAGTCGCTGGCACATCTAGTCTAGTGTAAGGTACTAAAAAAAAATCAAACTCATATGACAGCTCATATTTTTTATATATTGCCTTTTAGAGCAAGACAAATTTACGTTAATAATGATTACAAAACCATTTTTCAGAGATGAATGGGGAAGCTATGGGACTATGCATAAACTGTTCTTTTGTATTAAAGATGGATTGAAGGGTATTAATGTAAGAGCTCTTGTTTCCCGTGGCCCAACGCTCCAAGGTCGAGAGCGTCTTGTCGCAGCAAAATGCTTCACGTCTTTATTAAGTACGTATATTTTACAAAAAGTACTTTAATACGCAAAACATATTACTTATTTGTATTTACTACGATGGGTGTTTTGTAAGCAGCTGTAATCACGGCTAAATCGTTAACTGTGGTAACAAAAGCTTTGAACTACTCTACTGACTGCCATCATCAACTTAGCCTAAATGTAGGAACTGAAATATTATTCATCTTTCATATTATAATATATCCATCTGATAAGAATGGATTTTTATTGATGAGTTGTGTTTTGTATTTTTTTTATTAATTTCTTATAGGGTTTAAACATTTTCTCTTTACTTTTCAGAATTAAGGCAACATGGTTTTATAACCATTGAAAAGGACCCTGTTACTCTAGAAATTGTCAATATAACCTTAGGCCCAAGGTTATTAAAACTGGAGAATGCAGAAAAGCATTTGTAAATGTAATTTTTATATTTATTATTTAGAAGCGGTTTAATTTTTGATTGTTTTCTTTTATATATTACAAATACATTTAACGGTTTACCTCAAGTACATAAAGTACACGAAATTTAGTAAATATTGTTAGAAATATTTACTTAAGTTGAATGTCCCGAAGAGGTAATAAAAGTTGATTAATATCCGTTGATATTTTATTTACTTTCTATGTGTTATATGAATAAACGTATTAATGAAACGTCATGCGTTTTTATTTATTAAGCGATATGTAGGTAGGTAGAAAATATTAATCTCGTGTCAAGATATCGATCTTAACTTAAAAAACCAAAAGAAAGTAAAATGTTTTTATACATTCCGTCCTACGCTAAATGTTTAAGATAATTCATATAATATGAAATTGTAAATCATTTGCAGAATTCTTATGTATAAGAAAGTAAGTAAGTAGCACTTAAGGATCAGCCGTTATCGATTTTTTTTAATACACAGATACTTCATGAGGAGAAGAGAAATATCTCACCTTCATATGCTTTAATCTATTTCTTAAGATAGTTTGATTTGACGTCAATTGCCAATGTTGAATCGTTGTAACTTGTCATTGTCAGTTATTTACTTTTGTATTTGAAATTGGTAATTTTGTGCGATGATCTCATTAAATTAAAAAATATATATTTTTGATTATTTTGAATGATATATACAATGGATAATTAACACAAAGAGCACGTGTCCTATATTTTCAAGCGACTGGTGCTTTTTATAAGAAAATACTTATAATGCAGCAGTCGCCTTTTGAAAACATTTTCAACATTATTGGCTTGTCGGAGAGCAATGAAAAACCAATGAAACATGGATTCTACAATGCCTTTGCGTTGTTTGTTTTGGCAATATGTTGTGCAGCAGTTTACGTTTTATTCCTCATATTGGAACCCTTCTTCAAACCATTATTTTGGGCCTTGCTTGTAGGTTCTTTACTTCATCCCTTTAAATACAAATTATCGAAAAAGATCAAGTCTTGGTTTGAAGAACTAGACAAAACCAATTCTAGTGTTGTTGTTCGATTATTGGTTATTCCAATAAATGTCATTAATTGCTCTTCTGATTTAGTAGGCTATCAATTTAGGGAACATTACAAGGTAAGAATACTTATATACGCTTATTGAAGAATAGTGTTAATATTTTATTTCAAGGCTACAGAAAAGTTTATTTTAGTGCTCACAATTTTGGAGATATTGCTATAAATATGCTCATTTTTTTCTTTTAGGCTATATTGGGTCTTCTGTCAGCAATATTTATCTTGCCTTGGATATACAATTCAATACCACGGAGTCTGGGATGTTTATTTTGGCAAATTGTAAATTTTATAAGCTTTTCTACCACACTACTTATAAACTTGTGTACATCATATATTGTAAGTACTAGTTGTCATGGTATATGTTTGTTATGCTTAGATTGATTTATATTTTCAACTATGTGTTTTATTACTGGGATACATAATCATGTAACATTGATAAGTTAACTTTTTAAATAAATAATTTGATATCATTAATTTCCTGCTCTTATTAAAGGATTGCTATTAAAGCTCTAGTATTAAGCTGTTGTGATTTTTAATCAGGAAAAAATTAAGTATTTTGAGCCTGGCAGAATAATGAATACAATATTTTTGTGAAAATAAGAATTTTGTAATTGACATGACCACTTATTACAGACACTCACAATAGCATTGGCATACATCATTAGTGTATATATTCTATGGAGCCCAGAACGAGCAGGAATATTCAAAGCCACATCCCATGTTCTATGGCTGGTGATAGCAAGTTTCCTTGCTAATTTGGCAGGAGCTTATAAAGTTTATATGTTTGTAATACTGCAGATATTTTTTGCAACTGGTTTTATATTAGAAGTGTCATATCTGCACAAACAAATGATTTTAAAAGGTACATATTATATGCATAAAACATTAATAAATTTATCAATCTATATAATAATTAAAATAAATGTTAAAAGATTTAGATAGAAAAAAAAATATGAATGAAGAAACTTGAACCATCATCCACAGCATTCCATGCTGATACTCTGAGCAATTGAGCGTCTGTAGTAGTAATTAGTTTCCCATTGTCAACATTGTTTTATAACCAATTTTTATTTTTACTACATATACTACTCAATCATGGGAATGAAATATTAAAGTATTGTTAAAGTACTTCGTAAATTTTAAAGAATTATGTCTAACATACAAAGCTATTTGTGGTATGTTCAAGTTATGTCTGTGTTATAAAATCCTTTAAAATCATATGTGTGTTATAATGTATGTAATAATAATTTAAATTGATATTTGTCAAAAAAAATTTAAAAAGGCATAATAACTAATAACTATGTCCAACCAACATTTTTGCAGATCCAGAAGCATCTATTATTTCAGCAATTCATGGTGTGTTAACTAATACACAATGCATTCAAACCAATCACAAACTTGAAGATACAATTCCCGAAGTGGACAGTGAAAAGGAATCAACCCCAGACAAAGATTCTCCGTCCCCAGTCACACCAGATACCGTTAAACGGGGAAGCTGGACGAATGAAGCGGTGCAGAGCTCACCCCGACACGCCAAAATGTTATTCAAAACGAGGACATTATCAGCCTTGCCACTATCAAATACAAAACCTAGAAGCGCCTTCGAAAATCGACTTATATCCTCTTTTAAACAGAGGTCTCTAGACGAAAATTACATACGAAACAATTTTTCCGACGACGAAACAGCGTTGTACTTCAAACTCTTATTCTTTGGTTGTTTCTGCATGCTTATATGGAAACATATCTGGTTGCTACCCATAACCTTGATATTTCTGGCCATCCATGTTATTAAGAACCTTCTAAATTTCTTTGGGGTTTGGCTGTTCTTTGAAAACCATTATAATAATTCAATGGTAAAATTAAGTAGCTGGTGGAATAACAGGTAATTGTTTCAAAGCGTTATAGATAATGTCACCTATTCGTTCGTAAATAACAACAATTTTACATTTTACATCGTACCTCTTTTTACTATCTTTTCTTTATAAATTAAAGCAAGAATATTCCGTATTTTTTTTTTAATTACTGACTTTGTAATGAACAATAATGGTAAACAGAAACAAAAATTATATTATACAAAATATGTATTGCTTTTTCAGACAGTCAGCCCTCGTGCCTGGTGAAATCCGTGGAATTCGTAAAATTATGTCAATTTGCAATCAAAGTGTAATCGAAATGGCTTACGATTCTATTGACACTGTGTCATCTTGCATCGTTATTGTGGGACTTATACTTTTCATGATTATAGCGATCGTCTTTATATGTCTACAGGTAATTTTTAATTTTTAAAATTATATGTAAATATCCTACTAGTATAATTAAATATAAACGTAAGTATGATATTATTATTTGGGGCTTTACTTTAAACTAGAAAATTTTCAAGATAAACGAACCAGAAATTATAAGTGGAGTCTTCGTGTTTTTTCGTGTAAAAAGCTTTAAAAGGAATAAATCACTAAAACGACCCTGTCTAGTCAACTCCCTTAAAATATATAAAATGAAGTATAGATAACTAATGCATTGTCAGAAAGACAGATAAATCATATAATAATCAAAATTATAATGTAAAATATATTTTCGTTCAATCTTTTTTCAGTATTGCTTTTGTAAGAGGACATCTTATTTTTATTTCAGATATATTCAGAAGCAATAGTTGTAATCCAGCTGAGTGGGAGCTTGTTGAATAGCACCTTTGTGCAGAACAGCGTCCTCCATGCGTATCTTCCTGATGGTTGGGAAGATAAACTGGATTCGCTGATCGATAACGCCTACACTTATGGCCGCGAAGGGATATCTACTGGTGTGAGTGACATTATTTTGTTTAATTTCTGTAGTTCAAAGCAAATTTGGTTGTTAGATTTATTACTAAGTATGGCAGGCATCTTTAGACTAAGAACCTGGGCTAGTATGAAAATGTGGTATATCAGATATGTGTGAATCTATATCGGACTGCCTAAAAGGAATGTGTTTAACAATTATCTGGTTAATAATATGTACACAGATTTTTTAATGATTATGCTATTTTTTATGTCTGCCGCTTGGATTCTAATTAGATCATGCGATATGTAAGTCGTTAGTTTTAAACAAACTCTTAGATTTTGAATAAATCACTTATATACATTTGTACACTTTACAATGCTTATTTAACTAGTGGTTGTCGTTAGCGAATCCTCCTGATTTTGGGGCTTTATTAAGGTATATTTATGTACGCTTTACTTTATACTACTTATTTGCGACTTACAACGTAAGCTATAGTAAATAGAGCTACTTTTAACTTCGGTAAAAGAACATTTACAAATTTACAACTTCCACCACACAGTCAGACATTTGATACAAGTTCTTATAAGTGCTTATATAGGGGAATATGAGGTTGTAAAAATTTGTGCTCACTACAACTTTTGAATATAGGTAAAAAGCATTCTCAAAGAAGGCGATCCAGAAAAAATAGCCAGGGTAGAGCAACAAGTGTTAGAGATTTGGGATCGTGTATACCAAAGCTGGGTATCCGGTCACTTCGCAGCGACCGTGGGCCCACAAGTGGACGCGTCAGCCGTCCAAAACTCTTGGGATAATCTAGTCAGCGATTTTACGCAGGTTCCCGGTAAGACACTTAAAGTATTGCAAAATTTCAGCCCACGGCAGGCCTCGAATCGGCATCCACAGCGTTCCTTGCTGTTGCTTTAACGAATTGAGTTACCGTGTCCTACGTTATCGTCGAATTTTTTCAACCTATTGATATTTGGACCTCTCGCGCATTGTATTAAAGTTGCATAAGTCCCGCACGATTACACGGGCGGGACATGACATACTTATTTTTTTCAATCTAAATTAGGTTTCCAACTTATAATAATACCTCAGCTACCTAAATGATAAAATATTTCTGCGCTCTAAATGCGTGTTTATATGAATTAAATTCGATGATGTGGAATGGTATGGTAGCTCAATTGGCAGAACAGTGAGTAGAACTGCGGTTGTAAGTTCGATTCGAGGCCTAGCGATAATTTTTTAAAAGCCGCAAAAACCTTAAAGCTCAACAGTGCTATTCGCAAACTGTTATTACGTATACCAGGTTTGATAAAGTTTTGTTGTTTCTTATCTTATAATTATGTTTTGTGTTTTAGTCTATTTTTTTATGATAGAGGAGGTAAGACAAGTATGGTAGGTGATATACCCAAGCCTATAGCATCTAAACAAGATGCACTGTTTTACGTTGGCCTATTTTGGCTTTAGATATTCGGAAATCCACAGACTGAAACCGAAACGCGATTAAGTTTGACGGCTTTGTCATCTGTGGACGGTGAAGATTTCCAGACGAAGTCCCGCATGTTTCAGAAAAAATTGAAACATGTTCGTCTTGGAGAACTCACGACCGTTGATCGTTAACCATACATCGCTACCATTAGACCGACGAGTATGTCAGTCTATATACAATTATGACTGTTTTAAATATCGACTTCTATCTCAGGACTATTCGACATCACTGGTATTGTGGCCTGGGTCCAAGCCAACGTCGGGACATTGAGTGCTATTGCGAGTGGCATTTGGGCTCCGATGGCATCCAACGTCTCTTTACTCGCCGGTTCCATTGGTGCGTTCACGTCGCTACTCTTCAGCGGAGGAGGAGCTATCATCAGCATGATCATCAATTTGGTAAACTTATAACCGCCTTTGTACCCAGCATAGTAGTATTGAATTATGCACTACATTAGAGAGAGACTATTCGTATTCCTAAGGAACGCCGGATGGCAATTCAAGTCCTTTTCAAGAATTTTTTTCAATCTAAAAAAGGAGTTTTAATTTATATAGTGTTACAACGTGCAAAAAATATAAAAGTTTTCAATAATAGATTGTTTCGGTCGGAGAGGGCACAGAGTCATGATCAACTTCTTGTTTGTTAAGGAAACGATCAGTGAAGCAGGCACAGAAATGTGTTTCTCCCCATGGCCCACGAGGGAAGTGGGATTTCACTAAGGAAATCATAACGTGATAAATAATAAAATTGTGTGTGTCCCCATTTATTTCTACCTATTTATATCTCAACATTTTTACTCTCATTTATGATAGAGGAAGGCATTTGGTTCGCTTTATGGAAAGTGACAATCCCAACCATATAGTAATGTCGACCTATTTTAGTTTTGGGTGTTCCGTGGCGGTTCGTGGTGTGATAGACCACCCGTACGGAATGTCTATTATCCCTACCACCCGTTTAATATCTAAAGCCCAAGACAAAGTTCAACATGTTTCAGAAAAATTATAAATATATTTGAAACACCTTAGTATTGTATGAGTATATAATTAACGGGTGTTAATTATTAGCGATAGGTACAATGCTGCCTAGACGAGCCCATCTAACCGCGACTCGACTCTTGCACTGTTGACGCTATAATTTTCACTTTAACACATACCCGTTAAGGTTCAATATCGAATGCACACATGAAGTCCATTTTAAAAATATGGAAATAAATGCAAAAATAGTTTTATTATGCCCCAACCATTTAGTGTGGAAAGAAACTAATCGCTTACTACATTATTTAGCTTTGAATATTGCAATTTAGAATTGTTCATCAGTAAAAAGCATTATTAATGATGCAGGAATAAGGTTTTTAAGTTATTATGATTAAAATTTACTAATTCTTACATAATGTTTCGCGATTCAAACAGGTGGTGTTCTTTACGACGTTGTTTTATCTACTGGCGTCTAGCAACGCTCTCTACAAGCCAGTCGAAGTGATAACTCGCGTGCAACCAAATTTCGGACCTCGGTTAGGCATTGCCCTCTCTGTAGCCATTAACCAGGTAATCAAATGAATTGGTTAAAGGACATGTGCGTGGTAAAATTGAAAATCTACGCCCATATCGTATTTTTTTATGATTAAGGATGAGAAACAAGGTACCAGGGAAATACCAACCATATAACACTTAAATAAAATGTGCTGTCGTCTTATGTTGGCTATGCATTCTTTTTCATTCTAAATCGATTTTTAATTTATATGATTAAATACACATTCAATAACATACAAACAAAAAGTCTCTCATCAATTATCTATGTTAGATTGAAAAAAAAACAGCTAACAGCAACTTATTAGAAATAGAAGTACATATATAGTCTATATATTCAGACACCAGAACTTTATAATATGCTTAAATCGTTCGAATTACAAACTGTTCTCAATATTCCAGGTGTTTAGGGCGTCGTTCAAAATGGCGTTATTTTACGGACTGTGGACCTGGCTCATTCACAACTTGTTTGGTGCCAAAGTTGTGTATTTACCTTCAGGTGAGCTTTGAATTTGTATTTTTAATGCATTTATGTTTTTGTCTCAATAAAGAAAAATATTAAATAAAATTAACCGCAGTTGCGCCTACGAATTTGTCTGCTTTGAAAAACCATTAAAAACCATCTGCATGCTGCTGATATTTGCATTTACAGAGATATTATACAGATATCAGAAAATTGTGGTAATGTATTTAATTAATAAAATATATTTAATTATATTTTATGATGTTTGCAAAACTTTAATATTTTTTAAAAGTTATTGCACATGAAGGCACTGTACATATAATTTAAAAATCGAAAATAATTTTAAAAAAATCCCCTCAGGCACGACTGGAACCCGCATCGTCGGCGTTCTCTGCTGTCGAACTACTGAGTCCTACACCTCATCGTCGAAGTTTTTCAACTTATTGATACATGCACCTTACGAGCAGTGTAAGTGCAACCTTAACACTTGCGTTTGCAACAAGGAACGCTGACGAACGGTTCAAGTCGTGCCTAAACGAAAAAATGCCGGTTTTGCAAACATCACCCTGCCCGAGTCGAATAATTTTTCAATGTATTTTCGATTTTTAAATTATATAGTGTCTTAACATGTGAAAAATATTAAAAGTGTTTAATAAGCAGTTATTTGCAATGCTGTAACAAACATGCATTTACATATTCTACAGTTATTTCCTGCTCGAAAAATCCACATTCGGTCATTGATCCTTTAAAACCGACCACAATTTCGTTGGTGTGTGATAAAAATAAATATTCGTATTTCACTTATCTCTTTACATTCGTGATCCGTGTGACATTTTTGTAGCGCGCCTACACAATGTGATTTAGGTGACAATGCGCGAGTGGTTAGTTTTCATCGCACTGGTTAATTCTGCTTTCGCAGTCAGAATAAACTTTACTAGCTGCCACCATGCTGAGTGGTCCTGTCTCAATAATGTCCCCAGTGACATTACCTACACGTGTTCAGCTCTCAGGGGCAATGTAAGTTGTTTTTAAATAATGTGTTATTTTAGACCATGGCCATAATAATCAATAACATATAGTAATAATATTAACTTTACATTTTATATTATATTTGTACATTCAATAACTTTAGAGTTCAGATTATTTATACCTCATATTATATTGTGTTTGCTTAGTTAAACATGATAAGCCCTAAAGGTTTTGTATTGTGTATAAGTATTTCGAACTATTTGTTAAGCATTTCTATTTGCAAGCTTAAAGCAATGCACATGTGTATAAACAAATTAAAATTCATTATTGTTATGAGATATCCCAAATTTTATTTTAAAGTATAAATATTTCTTTAATACGTTTTTAATTCCACCTGTATTTTTGTGTTTTAGGATTTCACCCTTCACTTAAAAGATTATTACACAGACCACATACTCAGCTTAACGGTGCAGAATTGCCGTGATCTAAGAGTGGTACTGGATTGTCCCTTATTGCAAAGAGCATCGCGACTACAACAGTTCCGGGTTAAAGACTGCGATCGGTTGGAGTTTATCGCACTGTCAAGTACTTCCTTGCTACAGACTCCTCCAACTGTGATCATAGAAAATGTACGAGAAATCATCGCATTTCCAAGGAATATTTTCAAATCGCCAACATCTAGTACAGAGCTCAAATGTTCTGGAGGACCTTTGACCAAATTAAGGGTTGTTAATAGTAAAATTAACTCCATTTGTACGAAGGCTTTCGTAAATGTGAACGGTATGAAAATTATCGAGTTCGAAAACACCACAATTGCTAGTATCCAAAGTCAAGGTCTAGAAGCGGTTATGGGCAATGATAACACTGAATTTAATATGATTAATAGCAGAATCGACAACTTAGAATACAAAGGTATCCAAGTGCAGGCGACGACTGTGAAACTCTCGTACAATTCGTTCAGTGAAATAAGATCGAATGGGATTAATATTACAACAGAGAATTTATTTATTACTGGGAACAATTTCAAGGAAATAAATGCTAACGGCATCAACGCTAACGCACTGAACATCGATATCGTCGGCAATACCATAGCGTATCTAAAAAGCAACGCGCTCACTGGATTACGATGCAAGAAGCGGTCGGTAAAGAAACAAGTTAACTTCTCGAAGAATAAGATCGAACGCGTCGAGCCGTACTCCCTCTTCTTTGACTACGGAAGTTGTAAAAGTGTTGACACCCAAATCACATTTCGCGAGAACAAGATCGACTGCAAGTGTCGTAATATCGCATTTCTGAACTCGCCCTCCAACGGATGTACAGAGTTAAATGGTTTGATATTAAACATAGCTAATAACAATACATGTTTCCTAGCGCCGTGTATATTGCCGATAGATATCGTTAAGCTATTACAAGAAAGCGATATGTGCCACTTGAACCTTGACCCACAAGTTATGTGTTTGCTGTATTACGATAAGCGTTCTAATAATACTCACGCCGAAGTGACCACTGACGAAGAAGTGACCGAACCGGCTCCTACGTTCTATTTGATACGGCAGGCCAATTCGTTAGCCGGAGACGCAAGCGCAGCTATGACGGCTATTGACAAAGACGATCTATTACGGGATAGCCATTTGAACATGACGAATCGAACCACTATTAAAGTCGTCTTTGACTCGTCTAGGGACTTCGTTGAGACGCTGAGGAGTACGGGCAAGTCGCGGAATAGGCAAGAGGAGAAATCGCCGCCCAGCGAGGAATACGTAAACAAATGCGTCGGCAGCCATTGTAGGAATAACGCGTACGATAAGCAAAAGGCGTTGGATTTCTACAAATACGTATATGCACAGTTGCGCACGCCTCGCCAAAACGATAACAAGAAAAATGCTATTTGATTAACGTTATCGTTGTTTTGTAATAAATTGTTGTTATTCTAGTTTTTGACTTTATTGCCCCTCTCAATATCGACTAGAGGTGAGGTTTGTAAACATATTTTGTCTCGCTACTTATTTATCTAATTTCCAATACATGCCAAATATAAACATAGCTGCTGCAGTTATTTGGACCTAGTTTATTACATAGAGATACAATTTTTACGAGAATGAACAAGTGCATATTATTTTTAATCACAAAGTGAACGAAAAAAATGTTAATTCAACCAAGCCACCTTCAATCATACGCAGATATGAGTTTACATTAAAACTCAAATTTTGGATCACTTTATAGCGATCATATTTGCCTTTATAGCCATCATCATATTATTTCAGTTAACCAAAAACCTTATTTAAAACAAATAAATTGTGATTCATCTCAACATATTTCAGTACTGGCTGCCGTGCTGGGCGCTGCGCCGTTTTTAGGGCCTTACTTGGCCGGAATCCCTGCAGCTCTTGATGTGTGGCTTCAAGGCAGGCCCATGGCGGCCATAATGCTTCCTATTGCGCAGGCGGCTCCAATAGCGTTTCTCGATGCCGCCGTGTACGCGGAAATTAAAGAGTAAGTTTTTCAAGACGACGCCAAGGTGTACAAGTAACTGTAGGCTTTTTCCAATCGAGGTCTTGATAAAATTGTATTTACTGAGCCTTGTAGCTCCAAGACATACTTTCCATAGACTAGGAATAGAAGGAAAAGCTGTCTTGACTATCGCAGGCTCCCGAATCTATATACTTACAATGTAACCAAAACTCAAAATGTAACTAACTACCTATTTTAAATTTGAAAATAATCTACATCTCACTTCGACTAAATTGACATGAGCTGTAAGAGAAACATGTCAAGTCTCTTATGCGACATTCTTTATAGTGAAAATACTTCAGTCACAATGATATGATATTATATGTCAAAGTAAGGACAAGACTGAACGAAACACGTATATATTACAGTGGCGGTCACCCATATGTCACCGGCCTAGCTATCGCTGGAGGTATATTCTACTTGGGTCCAGAGGGCGCCATCTTAGGTCCACTCTTACTGTGCTGTCTTATGGTCGTACTCAACCTGTCTTCCACCTTCCTAAGAGATACGCCGGCGGAGGAGAGAGCAGCTTTGCATTCCCGCGTCAGGTAAATTCACTTCAAGGGTCAACCAGGTCTTAAAATGTTGCGTAGTTTAGTTTCCTGCGTGTTTGGTTTTTATATCATTTTATTGATTTTCATAATGTTGTTATCCATCAGTGTAAATGAGACCTAATAGAGTAAATAGCAACATAAAAAGTTTTAAACCGCGAAATGTTAACTTATTTACTATTTATTTTAACGTAGTCACGGGTCCACTCAAAGATCACAGCTTTGCAAAGAATTCTTAACGTCGGGCTGTAGTTGAAATAAATTGTAAAGTAAGTAAATTAATTCATTTCGCGTTTTAAACTGTTAAAAATATTTTATTTAAATGCATACTACTCACGTAAGGTACACACATTTCTTAGCTTAAAGTTTGGAAAATAATGTCAAAACCGGGATTCGAGTCAGAATCCGAGTGATTAACGTTGAAACTAATGAATACACAATTACGTATTCGTTATTGATTGATTTTTAAACATCATTTAACTGTTAATCGCTTTTTCTGAACCTGGTTATTACTGTAAATAAATATATTTTATTGTATTGTATTATACATATTTCTTAAAATATTTTAAATAAAATGATTGCATACCATTTTTGTTAAAGCAAATGGAGTCATGAGTAAAATTGTTATGAGTTATAGATTGGAATTTGGTTCGTTTCGTCATCAACTGTATTATATGATACGTATGCATGATAAAGTGGAATTGTTTTAAGGACACTGAACAAATGTATCAGCGTACTATGTTCTTCTTTGAACACTGTGGATGTCTTAAGTAGCATGTCTTAATTTTTCTAGTATATAACATATTAAAATTTGTTCTTTTTCCATATCTAGGTCGTTATTTGGATGTTTTTAGTGAGGTGTGTATCTAACACGATAATATAGTCGTGAGTTGTATTTGTTTATTACTGCATGATTATATTGGTTGTATGCATGCGTGACAATCAAAGCACGATGATATTTGCGCTCTGCATGAAGTAAAAGACTTTGCTCCATCAAAGTTAATTGATGTTTAATTTTACTTTCAGATATGGTGCTTATCTTTAACATTTGCATGGGAAACTAACAAATGGACAGCGATCTGACAAGAGAGATATATTTTTCTTATCGAAGTTTTTAAATCAATGATATTTTAATAAAGTTACATTCTAACTTCATGCGCTATAATTGTAACGGGAATTAAAGTGTAGGAGTGAAAGAGACAGCTATATGTAATCAGTACAGCTGCGAACCGTTCGCTCTGTCGTTGATCAAGCGATAAGTTGAAGCGTTGTGAATGTGCGGTGTTTGTCACACGATACAACGGTCTCTTTCTAATAATGATTCATGCTCATTTACTTTATCATTGGTTTGAATACATAAAATGTTAGTTGTAAGGATTCGAAGTGGCCAACGGCTGTTCTATATTTTTAATCTCAGCTTTTCGCTATAATTGTGATATGCAAAACTACGCAAATAATGCAGCAAACCTTTGATAGCCTGCGCTAATTCTGTTATAACCGTAAACAATTTTAGTTAATCATTTTTATTTTTAGTGACACTCAAGTGTTTTTATTAACGGATCTCTTATTTTTTAAACTAATATGTATGTAGTATGTATTAATTTATGTTATGTTTCTTTTAGACTGAGTATTATTTATTTTATCTAGTCGTTCAATCGTACGCACAATGCATTATAGAAATAATAATATTTTAACACATTTAGTGCAAATTGATAACTACTTACTTACGTCTAATCAAAAATAGATCGCCAATAATGATAATCGAAGTAAATTTTCATAAAGCGTTTCTTAATCTCCTGCCTACAAAAAGACCAAGGTAAAAGACAAACCAACCCTGACAGACGTGGGTCCAAGTTGAACATGCTAGGGTCACCTTATTTGATATTAATATTTATTCGTTATTAACACCAAGATAGCTTGATGAAATGTTGCAGCTGTCTCAGTTCAAGACATCATCATCAAAAAATTTTAAAAAATACCACGCTTACTAATATTTTTCAATTTATTCAAATTAATATTATTTAACTCCTCGTTATTCATCAGAATTGATGTTTTGTTGTCGTTTACTTATTGATATTATGTCCCGTATAACCTTTTAGGAAATAATATTATGCTTTAAGTTTCGAATTGAATAAAACGTTATTTTTAATCTGTCTAAGACCCAGGAAATGATTGTCAATTCTATATAAAAATTTCCAATGCAACAAGCATTCCAGATTTTTATATAAAGTTGAAACTTAACATGATAGCATATATCAAACATATTGCAACAGTTTTCGTAGATAATTCTATCTTGTGCCATGCGATTGAGTTTTCTCTGTTACTCTGTTATTTTGTCTTGAGATTTCTTTGGTAAAGCATAGGACAATGAAATTTAATTCGTACGTGTTAAAATAAAAATTACACTGCACAAAGGGTGCATGTATGCCATGGGAGAAATTTGACTATCAAATTTCTCCCATGGCCCAAGTGTATGCCGCGGTAGCTCAATTGTTTAGAGCAGCAGCCGGAAATATACTGGGATACCGGTTCAAGTCCAGCCCATGTCGTAAATTTCTTGACTTGATTAGATTGTTAATTTATATAATGTCATTATTACTTTTTGAAATTGGGTCTTAGCAGTGATCTGCTAACGTTATTTGTAAATCTTTTTTATTTTATCCTATGTGTAGCATAATTTGTTTCGATTCTATAACTTTGTGTCTTTCATAAACGTTTTTTATAAAAGCTATTTTATTATAATCTTAATTAAATCTATGTCCCTTTTAATTATTTTTCAATTCGTTTTATCTTCGCCTATAGGTAAGGGTCTTGAAGTTATGTATTTAATATATAATATTTCATGTTTTTCACTGATATTAATAACTGTTTTGTGTTATCGTGTTCATTGTATTGTACAATTTAACGATATTGCTTAATTTTACAGCTAATAAATTGAGATAGTAATTTCTTAGTTGTCTTTATACTGACTCTGGGTTATTGTTATCTCATTTTAGTAGATTTTATTATAGACATGTACGAAATCAGCCCTTACCAGTTCAAGAGAGATCGTCCAAAGTTTACGTTAGATTATATTGCTAATAAGTTTGTATTAAGCACGCCTAAAGCCGAGCAAATATATTGTTTTGCTTGAATACTTTTGTTTTATTTCTTGCCTATCTTTGTCCTACTGGGGGCAAGTCTTAGGAGATTTAAGAGTCACCCCGCTCCAGTGCGGGTTCGCAGTTTACAACTACCGCCACTTATTTCGTGACGGTAACTGGGATCGACTGTTTAAAACACATCTCCAAAACTAGCTATAACCTGATTCTTTTGAGAAAAATACCTGTAATAACATTTCGCCCGATTCTTGTGGTCTTTGGTCGAGTCCTAACTCCTGAAAGCTATATTAATGAGGAATTATAAAATAAGATTACTGTGTTCATTGTACAGAGGTGAGGGACAGATGACCGTGGAGCTCATTTGATGATCACACGTCCCACCTCTATAATTCAATAAATTATATTAGCTGACGAACGTTTTTCGCTTTGGACATTTGCAAATCCAATGACTAATATACAAAGCCACACATCTAGACTCATTACATTAAATAATGTATACACATTTTATGAAGAGTGAAAAAAATGGTGTATAAAAAAAGTCCAAATCGCTACTCTTTTTTACTATAATCTCAATGCATATAATAAGAATACGATATTCCGCGCTGTATAGTTTTCTTGTTTGTAGAAACTTTAGTTGTAAAGTAAAGCTGTGTTTCTCCTTCAGTCAGGATGAGCCCATTGTCACTGAAGTGACCGTCTACCTCAGATTCCAACCAGAAGAACAATACTATAGCATCTGTTTTAATGGTCACTACGAAGCGATTTTCATCTTCCGATGAAACGTCCAGCCTTCTTAGTTTTACCTGTGGAAGAAACATTTTATTTCGCCTGAAATATACTTATATCTTTATTGATATAGATTACGTTGTAGAATGAAATTGAAAATAAAGTAAATACTTACTATCCGTAGTTTACGCGAGTAGTACACATTTAAATAAAACACTTTAACGGTTTAAAACGCAATATACATTTTGAAAATTATTTTTTACTTCGGATCGACGTTTCGGATGCTTTGCAGCAGCCGTGGTCACGGGATGATTGTGTAAGAATAATTTTCAAATAAGTTTAACTAATATATATCGCGTTTTAAACCGTTAAAGTTTTATATTTAAAAATAAAGTATGTATGTAAAATGTACTTTTGGATTCAATCTTTAAAGTATGTAAATATTTTTTAATCATAATTTTGAAGCTAAAGCAAAGGTACTTTGTACTCTGCAGCTTAGGATACAAAACTGATTTTATGAATGACGAGGACAATGTTCAATTTCTATTATAGTTCCTACGCGTAGATATTCGCATAAAAAAATTAAACTGAATAAGTACCCGAATATTAGGCGTACTCAATCCTTTCACAGTTTTTAACGGTACCGGGAAAATATAATTCGGCGGAGATTCAACGCCCATACATTTAAGTGAAAATTTCAAGAGAATCTCCTCTTTATTTTCCTTCTTCCATATGTCCAAACTCGCTTGTTTCGTGCTAGATAGAGCTTCGGTGTTGGCTGGATATGATTGTGTTAGAATCGGCGTTAAACTACTCCAATTAAACACGTCTACAATTATTTCAGCGTCTATTATCGGTACAAATCGGTCATTTATCAGATAAACATCAACATCTCCTGTTAATGTAAGGCGTGGCGATACTAGAACGGGCGCAAAGAAACGTCGTGCGAAATAATGTAACATTTTCCATTTACCACCATATTCTGAAAAATATAAAAGCAATCTTGAGAAAAAAACTAGATGTATATTTCTAGAAAATAATACTTATATAACCATTTAATTAAACATTATTAACAATAATAATCAGTAAATGAAGTATATTTTCATAAATACATCGGAAAACGTAATATATGAGTATATAGACACGTAAGTTATTACATAGTATTAATAACGAAAATTATTTACCGGTCGGTTATAAGAAATATTGTCTAAGTCTTAACGTCACTATGAATCAAATGTTTGCATCAAATAGAGGAAATGCAAAATTAAATAAAATTTATAGTATAAATACGCTTACGGTTCACTAAAACTTTCTCTGTAGCTAAATGGTTAAACGTGCTGCCTAGCATTGTGTTAAGTGCAAAGGGACCTGGGTTCACATTCCGGCGAAACATTCGATTGTTTCGGTCGGCCAGGATACAGATGTCAGATCAACTAATTGCTTATAAAAAAAACTGATAAGTGAAACGGACACATAAATGTGTTGGCCCCATGCCCCACGGGGAAAATGGGATTTCACACACCATTTTATTATTTTAAATTTTATCAGTAGTGAGTTACAACATAATGGCCTTTAATTTGTTGGCCGATAAAATGGTTTTAAGAGACATTTAAAGATTACTTTACCGATTCCTGCCCAAGAGGGCGCCTGCCACACATCATTCAACTGCCAATATAAAGCACCCATTGTGAACCAATCTGCTTGGCTCTGCCGATAGAACTCTGTCTCGGCTTTTATAGACATTGCTTGACTGATCTAAAAACACCAAATACACAATATATGCAATTTATACTTCATTGATACGATTAATTTTGCACCCAACGTTTTTTCGTTTATTTGTACTTAATGTACGTATTTTTAGGATCAAAAAATAACACGGGTTTCGAATCATGAACAGACAACGTAACGATGCTAAGCACTGAGATAAAAAAAAAACTGCAAACATTTAATTTATTGTGAACCCCCCCCCCAACCATCATTACTGTGCTATAATTTATAGAACCTCACATGTGAAGGCTATATAATATTCAAGTGTGTTGTTTACGTATTTAAGCTTAAACTGTCAATCAATGTCACCTGGCTAAAGAAGACGAATTTCCTAAAATAATCCGTATCATTCTTATCTAGTCGCAGGTGTCTCGTTATCTGCACTTCAATATTGTTATTTCCGTTGGGGCTGTGCTGTCTGTGTTTTGAATAATCGCTATCCAAACTAAAATCAGCTGATTTGTTTGTTGCTGAACGCATCGTTTTTAGCGATGGGAATGATTGAAAACCATATTCTGAAGCGAATCTTGTTTGAGGGTAGATGTTAAAATCCCAGTTGTCTGCTATGTAATTATAGTAATGAGTATCGCCGTAGTGGGCATCGTATGGATTAAGAGCTATGTAGCCATCTTCTTCAGACTTTCTGCCATTTGAAGGACTGGATACTAAGTAACGGCGACCTGGATCCAACCTCTCCACTATCGGTTTTATAACATCTACATAGAGTTTTATGTATTCGCTCTTATATCTATCGAATTCTGGTTGTGTGTTGTACCAATTTCCTCGTATAGCCACTTCGTTTTCGTTGTTGCCAGCCCAAACAGCGATAGATGCATGATGCTGTAGGCGGTTTACGTTTTGTTCGATTTCCACTTGAACAGTTCTGTAACATTATTTACAAAAATGAAAAACAGAATTAAACCATTTAAAAAGCGGTTTAAAACGCGATATATATTAGTTAAACTTATTTAAATTATTGTAATTACGGCCCGACTTTCGGATGCTTTGCAGCAGCCGTCTCCCCGTGACCACGGTTTTATTATATGTCGCGTTCTAAACCGTTAAAGTGTTTTATTTAAATGTGTACCACTGGCGTAAGCTACAGACCGTATTAGAATTATATCACTCTAAAATAGTTTTTTAATTAGTATAAAATTTTCAAAGGCAATAACAACGCTTCTTTTAGCATTATACATAAATATCGTAAGTTTAATTAAGTGTTGTATGTAGCTTATGTGAAAATTACACATCATAACGGTTTAAAACGCTAAATATATTGATGGGCAGTCCCTACTGTCAAAGTTAAAACTAGCGTAGCGTTGCGCTGGCTAGAGTAGCGTCTTGTCATTGACATTAAGGAAACCCAGCAACCTTTATCTGCAGTCAAGCCGTAACCACGGCAGCTGCATAGCATCTGAAACATTGGATCTTGGTTAAAGATATATAAGTCAATTAATATAGTTAGCGTTTTAAACCATAACAGGTTCTATTAAAAGTTTTGCACATAATGGACACGTATCTACAATAATATTTAGCAACATTTTGATTTAACATACGATCTGATAACAGCAGCATCACGTTATACTTTTATAAGAGGGTAAACCGCTTCATAAATTAACGCGCTACAGCGACTTATCACTTCTATCGTGTGTCCCGATACGCATAAGTACTTTTAATTGTAACAAAAATCTACTAACTCCAAGAACTCAGCATCTGTCGGATACATGGCACACGCGAAGAGGAAATCCTGCCATATCAGTATTCCCAGCTCATCGCATTTCTGGTAGAAGTAATCGGACTCGTAAACGCCGCCTCCCCAGACGCGTAGCATGGCCATATGTGTATCTCGAGCAGACATTAGAAGATGGTCAACTACGCGTAAAAAAATAATAATAGTTAAAAAATACTAATAAAAAGACAGATATATTCTTTGATTCTGAGTTGGCTGGAAGAGATCGCTTGTTGAAGATACTGCCGTCTATACTACTCTATTCTAGTCTATTATATTTTTTTGATCTATGCAATAATTTGTAAATAAAACAAAATTATATAATATATACCATTATATGTAATTAATAATGACGTAAATATACGCAATACGTAAGTGTTAAGGTCGAATTGTGTTCCTCGATGACGTGTAAGACACGGTAGCTCAATTGGTTAGAGCAGCAGCACGGAACGCTTTGCATGCCGGTTCAATATCTGCCCGTGTCGTTATTTTTTTCCTCTATAGATTTTTAATTTAACATGCTTTTAACCGACGCTTTCCTGCGCGCCGGTTTTATATCTTTTATGCAATAGTTTCATTGACCGCTATGAACACCTTAGGGTACAGTTGTCATATTAAGAATAATAGTTGTCATGTATAGATTTTGCATCAACATAATTGTAATACAAAAAAAAATACCTATTTCTTTATCAGCTCCTAACTCCGGTAGAATGTTACTTGGTATCCAGTTGGATCCTTTCATGAACAGGGGATATCCATTCACTTTGAAGTAGAAAGTCAGTCCCTGCCCACCAGTAGTGTTACCTGTTTATAGAGAAAAAACAATTCACTATCTTACACTATTTGTATCATGAAATGGTCTTTACACTTAATTCATGATAAAGTGTTGTAAAATGAATACTGTCTATAGTTTTCGCGAGTAGTACACATTTAAATAAAACATTTAACGGGAGACTGTCTCCCCGTGACCACGGCTGCTGCAAAGCATCCGAAACGTCGGGCCGATGTTAAAAATAATTTTCAAAGAGTTTAACTAATATATCGCGTTTTAAACCGTTAAAGTGTTTTATTTAAATGTTGTAAAATGATCTTCTTTTTTCTTTGTGTCGTTCGTGTTTTCCCGGTAATAGAACCTTGGCCCTGGCTTAGCAATACGTCGCACACTCAAGCCACTAGAATAAACATTTATATTAACTTACCTAACGCGGTAGAAGCATCATCCTCAACCAGTTCTATAGTTCGGAAACCAATCCTCACTTGCTTACGCGAAACATGACTTTCGCCTTCATTCATGAGTCCTACCTCAAGGTCATATAGAGGTTGCTCGCCATAACCATTAGGCCACCACAGAGATATTACATTCTAGAAATATATCATAAGGTTAAGACGTTATGTTTTTTTATCATAGAGGAGAAAGAGGATCTAAAAAAGGCGCTATCGAATCCACTGACTGAAACCAAAACACGATTAAACTTCAGGGCTTTTTCATCTGTGGTCGGTGGTTCTTGACCCGGGCGCAATTTTGATATTCTTACCACCTATTTAATATCCAGATTTCCAGACAAAGTCGAACATTACAGAAAAAATATAAATTGAAATTTAAAATGGACCCGGTGGAGATCGAACCCGTTGATTGTTAACCATACATTGCCACCAACGAGCCCGTCTAGTAATGTTATCGCACCTACTATAAGATCCACTTATGTAAAATGCTAGTACTTATATGAAGTTTAGGCGGGACCTGAACCGGCTTCCACGGCGATCCGTGCTGCTCTGACCAATTGAGCTACCGTGTCTCGTACTCCAAAGCATCCGAAACCTCCGGTCGTAGTCAAAATTAAGATTTTGCTTTTTAAAACGGCAAAAGGGTTTTATTTATAAACCTTATTGAAGATCTAAATTATGTGTGTTCTTTTCTATTAAACTACAAAAGTTGAAACAATGCACCTTATTTATGACGTCTAAAAAGGTGCCTCGTCACTAAAGTTACGTCATGTGGAACTAATATCGTTTTAATTTAAATACTTTATATTTTTCCTATTGGAATAATATTGTTGTAGAAAAGTTCATGGCTACCTGCACCCTGAGAAACGAGGTTAATGCCTATTATTTATGTATAAGCTTATACTCATATTTTTACATATGTAATAAGTCTAATCTACTTACTGTCGAGCCTACCTCAAGATTTATTCTACTTGATACAATTGATTATATTGAAAGTAGAAGTTTTTACACAGCACCGGAAGGTGTGCACTAGATCCAACATTTTAATCAATTTGATTGTATCAAATTAATCGTGAGGGCCGCGAAATTTGTATAGCATTTGTTTGTGGCTCATGGTTGTCTTTTTTGGAGGCTGGGGTGGTGCAGTCCAATGCGACCTTTTAAGACCACTAAACTATCGGAGAAAATCGAGATCAACTGATACTAGGTACCTACAAGGATGACAACATTTGCTACCATTCCCCGACCTTCTAGTAGAAGAAAATTTCTTGCAAAATTCGAAATACCGTACGAACATTTTGCCCTACCCGAGATTGAAACCCTGGAGTAGCGTGGGTAGACCAACGAGTTTAATAGAGGCAGTAAGAGACAATTTAATTATGAATGGCGAATACTTTTTCTCTTGTTTTTTCTAAACAAACTTTACTAAACCTTACCGCATGTATAGTCATATTAAGTTCAGCTTCAATTTTACCATCGTCTCTTGTCCACAATTCTATATGTTTTCCTATCGTTAAAGACTGATGTGCATTCACAGACAATTTGGCACTCAAATAACCTTTCACTTTCTGCTTCTTTACACCACTCTCTAAATGAGCAACAATTTTTAGATACCAGTGGAATTTATCTCTGTTTATGTGAGTTGTGACTGTTCGTATTATGGCGCCATTGTAAAATTCAATGGAAACGTTTTTCCTGTAAAATAAAACCTTAATGTACCTGTCGTTCTGTCATATCTTTTGACATGTTACTTAACTCTGCCTGTTTAGTTCAAACTAATCTAAAGCTTAGCTTTAAACTCTGACAGACAATTCTATCAACTATCGCAATGCAGTTTATCGATAAGGACAAAAAGACATCTTGAAATTTACCGAAACAAAAGTTTGGTTACGATCTACACATGGTGTAACCCCAGTTTACCTTGTGGGGCATGGGGCGAACACATTTCTGTGTCCGTTACCCTGATCGGTTCCATTACAGACAAGTAGTTCATCAGACTTCTGTACCCTGCTTGACGGGAGCAATATATCGTTTCCCACAACCCGTTCGCTTTTAACGCAATACGTTTAACCATTTAGCTAGAGAGGCAGTCATATTATATATGTATGTTTATTTGATCAATCAATTTTACAGTGTTAAAAGTCCTCAGTTACCCGACCGAAACTACGAGTGTTTACTGATAGAGCATTTGAAAAGAATTACATTGCTACCTCCGATTTCCGATATGTAGATAGTTCATTACTCAAATTTAACATAAACGTGTATTATTGTTTTTGCATTAGAGCTTCTGAATAAATCATTACTAGTATCGTGTTTACGTTCATGACTTTACTTAAATAAACGATTTTTGATTTTGTCTTTTTCAAAACAATTTGGTAAAAAATGCTTGCTTATTGCATATGCACTACCATGTCTTATTCAATTATTCTCATTATTTATAATAAACTAAATAAAACACTTTAACGGTTTAACGCGATATATTAGTTAAACTTTATATCGCGTTAAACTAATATATCTATATTCGTTTTAAGCCGTTAAAGTGTTTTATTTAAATCTGTACTACTCGCGTAAACTATAGACAGTATCTAATAAACTATATGATTTCAAAACTAACCATAAACCCACAGAGGGAAAAGCAGGCCCCCAATCCCAGCTAAAGGACGCTTGCATCTTCCTCAACTGATTTGCGTGACATTCCCCATGATATTCTTGTGGTACACACTGTGGGGCTGTGAAGTGTTTCTCAGATCGTGCATTTGCTGCTTCTAATGGCGACATGAATCTTACCCCCAATTCGTTTTCACCAGCCTAAAAAGATTAAAAAGATTTCTAAAGATTCATTACATTATTATTAAGTTTTTTTCTGTTTTGTGTGTTAACGATTTTTGTTGTGTTAGTATTTGATATAATTGTAATTTACAATTTATTGCATGTTTTCTCTTATTCTTGTTGACTTTTACTCATTTATTGTTATTTTGTTTTCTTTATACAAAGGTTGGTTAAAATTATTAAACTTGCAGAGGGCACAATACCTGACCGAAAATTCTTAAGACGGGGGACTTCGTTCTAAATTTTTATTTTATTATAAATTGTCACATTTGGATAATTGCTGACTGATAATTAAAGAAATTTCTGCATTTTTTCCCCAACCATACCAGAGTGCAACGCGAAATCGATTTATTACTTATTTATTATATCCGAGTCAATCTTTCTCATAAGATTACAAAGCATTGTTACCAGCATGTTTCCTTATAAATATATGTCTGATCGCTTCGTTTCAACATCAACAAAACACATGTCAGAATATCCTATATCTATCTATATATCCTGCCCAATTCTTTTAATATAATTAAATTATTATTCTTATTGCGAAAATATGTCTAACCTTCAGATATTGTTTGATGTCGAAAACATATCTAACGAACATATTATTTGTGAGGCCAAACGGTCTGCCGTTCATTTCTAAGAAGGCGACCGTATCCACACCTTCGAGTACCAAAATGGAGGCTGCATGCTCCAAATATTCTGGTCTTACTACAAAGTAAAATAATATAACATTGTTATAAAATCTTCGTGCAATTAGAAACTTTTATATTTTCAATATTGCACCTAATGACATTATATAAATCAAATATCGATTTTAGATGAAAAAAAAATTGACATGGTAGCTTGAATTGGTTAGAGCAACAGCACGGAACGCTGTGGATGCCGGTTCATGTCCTGCTCGTGCCATATATTTTTTTAAAGTCTAATATCGATTTTTTAATTTCATTTCAAAATTCATATTTTAGCGGTACAAAGAAATCTTTCTGGTGAAGGAAAACATAGCAGGGAACCTTCAAGTCCGAAAAGAAAAAAACATGACACACTTTTTGCCAACGTGGAAATACTTATTACTATGGAAATACACGTTATCAAATAAAATAATAAAAAATGAGCTACTCTTGTATCCCACGGGAATGTGCGATTTTCAGGAAATAACCCATGTTTTATGTTAGCTACATAATTGAATAATTACATGAAAATCATTTTCGCCGTCTATACGTGATGGTAACAAACACCCATACTTTCGTTTGTACCACCTTTCGCATTTCTACTGTAGAGAAGATAGACAATCTGGTATAGACAAAAGAAACATGGCATATTGGTTGTATTTTTTTACAAAGGCGTACCTTGAAATTTAGTTTCATAAGTCCAAGAGTCGTAAGCGACCCACCGTGCCAACACATCATTGAATCCATCAAGGACATTTCCGATAATACCCGCATTCTGCAAATCTGTATAAATTCCACCCGGAACTGTGGCCGCCACCGATATAGCTGAAAAAACGATACTTGTACAGGAACCATTGTGCAAAAACAAACAAGAGATGGGTGGAAATCAAACCCGACCGTAAATGTACGTCTACATTATGAAGTACATAATTTTTATGTATTTTATCTATTTATATATTAGGTCGCAGAAGAATTTTATAAATTTAAACTATGATTTGTTTCATTTCGTTCGTTTCATTGTGCATAACTGATCGTTTTTCATTTGTTATAATATTATATTTCTTGTCATCAGTAAGTGCCTACGTGCTGAGATAAATATAATGTCTACCTACTCGTAATTCAATAAAAGTACCTAAATAAGTTTCTTATTATATTATATTAGAACGTAATACTAAGACAATTATGATAATGAAGACAATATATAGTGTAATAAGCAATGATTGCTAACTGTCATTGTTTATTAGAATACTTTTTTAACCTGAATCGCGACCAATAAGGGGCATTCCTCTCAATTTGCCGAATAAGACTAGAAAAAAACAATCGATAGTGACTTTTTTTATATAGTCTGCGTAGTAAAAGGTCGTAATATCTTACAAATAATAATAAACAAGGTACAATGTATCTACTTAGTTTAATTCTTACAATAAACATAACTTACATTTATTTTTATTTTCCACTCTCCATGTCACATGAGACGAACTCAATTCGATTTTGTATTCCTGGCCTGATATACCGTTTATTATTACTGTTAAAACTAAAACACTCCATACTAAATATGTTACTCGCGTCATATTTACATCGGTAGTGTTAAGACGTTCTCAAGTAACGTGTATTGTTCTGTTGTCAATGGGAATTGAATTAGTGATGTTATACGAGATAGTACAATCTGTATCTACATAGTACATATTATGACAGTTATTCCTTATATCTTGTCGATAGTACATTAAATGTTTTAGAATCTAGCAAAGTGCAGGCATTACTTTTAATCATGAACAGAACAAGAAGCACATTACAATACTTTGTAACAATCCTGTTATCAAAAATAAGAACACGAAAGAAAATAACAAAAAAAAAGTTCCTAACTCCGCTTGCGCAGATGGACACAAAAAATACCTACCTTCTTACTACGGTGACGCAAAATAGACTTTAAATAATATTTTCATATTTTCACATATGAATTTTTCGATATAAAAAAAAGAATACTGCATAATTAAATAAACATATTAAATTAAAATCTGCTTTTCTTTTAGCACTTTAAATATTAAAGTGACCGTCGTTTTATCTACGTAGATAACCTTTGAAGACGTTAAGTAATAAAATGAAACGCGTCATATTTTAGCCCTAGAAAGTAAAATTGTTAGTTTTGTCCATATACTATGTACCTAGTATATGAACAATACTAACAAGGTACTTTACGAAGTGTGAACTTTTTATTAGAAGTAATAAAGTTTGGCCTTGAAATCTGACTTCTTATTGAATAAACAAGCCTTTACTACGAACACAAAACTTAAAAAAGCTTACAAATTAAATGTTTCTTAGGTATAATTACAATTATTATTTTTCTACTAGTCTACTATGTCGCCGACAGCCGATAGCCGATCGGGCTTCTCAAATGAAGTAATATCATTTGATTTGTAAAGCATGTATTATAGTTATTAAAATAGCGAATGTGTTTATTAATACATATATTACTTAAGTGATTGTTTAAAAGGGATTTACTTACGTATTGTGTACGTACTGTAACTAGAGATCTAATTATTATTTAAAATTAATAGATATACATCCATAAGCCATATTTCTGTTACCGTAATGTTTTGTATAGATCACCATTTCGACTGAGAAATTCGAACCGAGAAATGTGCAGAACTACAATCACATGTTCGAATGATTATATCAAATCACGATTAAGTAATGGAAAAAAAATTACATCCAAACTTTTATTGATAATTTGAGAAAGACAACTATGTCAACTGTCACGTACTAAGCTTATATTGATGAAAAAGACGTTGTTTTCTGATAAAATGGAACGAATAACGTTATATGAAGAGTTTAGGCTCATAGAGAGAAGTGAAACCGAAGTGTATGGAATCTGGAAAGGTTACTGTAATGATAATCCATTAGTTTGTTATTTTGTCCTTTTCTTGAAGACCTAGCTCAATGGTTAGACGAAGTGCATTGTCCCCAGAATTCACTTTAAATTTATTTTTGGAAAAAACATATTTTGATACGTTAACGTTAACAATTTAAAACATGAATTTTATATAAATAATGTGTAAAGACTTAGAACATGAATTTTTGCAGGCGCTCATTTACTTCTATTCTTTCTTGCTTTCGTGTTCGGATCATTCTGCACATTTTGTTTTCACATGCTCATGTATTTGTTTGACGAGAAATGCGTTTTGTTCCCTAAACTTTTGTCCTTGACGTCGCTTCGTCAGAATATTATATACGAATTCATACCAGAGGATAAAGACAAAGCAAACAGTGAGTGCGCAACATAATAACAATTTATTTAACCAAATGTTACTGAATTCCTAAAAAGTTAGATAGCCCGTTAATCAAATAGAGATTGATTAAAGAAACTAAAGAGCTAGTTCAATATCATTAAAAATGTAAAAGATTTTTACAAGCGTCCCCGATTTATATTTCACATAATACTCGGTTGTATGTCAGTTGTTTTCTTCACCTCATGAAAAAATCGACAGATGGCGTAGAAACAACTGAGTCGATTTTGATAGGACTTGCACTGATTGTTGTTAAGAAGTAACTAAGATTTACAGTGTGGTGGCATTCAGCTGTTCGAAATTTAAGACTAAATATGTTTATATACTTTGAAACGGAACGATTTCCGTGTTCTTTTAGTGTTGCCTGTTGATTTTGTGAGCACGCAATGGGTCGAGAAAAGTGCCTGTTACCTACCAACGTACGTACCATTGGTTTCGGGAATTTTCGGCCTCGTCTGGACGACGATGTTCCTGATGTGTTCTGCTGGTAGCAGGGTTCTTACGGGGTGAGAATTTACAATAACACTTTAACTTGTGTCTTCTTTCTTAACTTTCATTATTTATTTATTTATACATACATAATTAAACTTACAAGATCTATTTCTAATAATAAAGCCTTACTTCTTGTGATCTGACCTAAGGAAAGTACATTGAACACTTAACTAAATATATTAATAAAATAAAAATTTTGTAAAAATTTAAACACAGATATGGATAGGGACGAGATTAAACAAAAAAAACGAGTATATAATCTGTAAGATGGCAATATTCTTTTCTTACAAAACTTTTTCTTAATTATAATATTGAAACCCCTCAAGGAAAGTTTAGCATCTAACGAGCCTCATTTTTTTGTCAGAGATTTTGTATATACCGAAAGTATATTCGTTAAAAACAATTTTATTTGTTTTTTTGTCAGCTTAGACAGACCGTGGCGAATCCTACCCCCAATATTTGTGTTTTCATTGGCAATGGGCTCTCTATGTCTTTACTCTTCTGTGATAACGCACTATGGCTTACACGATCTCTGTATGAAGTTGAGTGAGATTACTGGAAGCACTACGTAAGTTGTACTGTTGTTAAACTAAACCTGGCAAAATATTATGGTCTTTATAACAGCGTTTGACAACCCCTTAGTGTAATAGTCAGCAAAAGTAGAAACACACGTACCGGGCAAACACTCTTTCTAAGAATTGATGTAAATTATAAAAAAAAAATTAGTAACAAAAAAAATACTACTAACAGGATTTGAACTGACAACCAACGGCGTACCTACCAGCGGTTTACTAATTGAGCTACAGTGCCCCCGTCTTTGTCCATCAAATTGTTGGTTATAGGATTCAGACATCTCTGTGATTTTTTAATCCTACAAAAATATTACTTATACCTAATTACTTAATGTTGTAATCACTATAGGTGCACATATACCGTGAACGTCGCAACCCTTGTATATGAGCGCCGTATCCGGGGAGTCTACCAAGCTACCCGGTTAACAATCCTCTCCGCCTGGCTTCACACGACTTGCTGGTTACTGTCAGCGTTGCTTGCACTCTTAAGAGTATTACTAGGTATCGATTTCCAATTGGTTCGTGTGAGGACACAACTGACTGGAAACATTGATAGATTCTTAGTAAGCGCCCTGTTAATATTATTAATAAGAACGTTGGGATATCTAGCTCATTATTACTTTTAAATAAAACACTTTAACGGTTTAAAACGCGATAAATTAGTTAAACTATTTAAAAATGATTTTTAACTTCGGCCCGACGTTTCGGATGCTTTGCAGCAGCCGTGGTCACGGGGAGACATTCAAATAGTTTAACTAATATATCGCGTTTTAAGCCGTTTAAGTGTTTTATTTAAATATGTACTACTCGCGTAAACTATAGACAGTATTTCATTATTACTTCTTCACACCGAAACGGCTGAACCAATTTTAATAAATAAGGGTTGTGAGAAGAAAAAAACAGATGAAATTAGAATAATAATTACTATGAGGATTTCGGTGTAACTAACGTGGATAGCGAGATGCATATATACGCTTATATTATTTGTTGTTTAACCTTAAGTTAACATTATTTGTGTTACAGGAGCAAAATGAAATACACATTCGTACGATCTTCCCCGATCCCATGGATATGCAATCCTTTTCATCATCAAAAAGCAGCGTGAAGGTACATTTCCAAAAGGAGTATTTCAAAAATCGACCTAAAAAATCTCCCTCTGACGAGGAATTAGGTGAGGTACTCTATCTAAAAGATACGCCAGAACACAGTTCTGATCTGGCTTTGGTGCCTGCTGAAGAGAGGAAGCTTCACGCCCACGCTCTTTACAATAGCGTATCCAAGGAACATCATTTCATCGTTCAAATCCTGTATAATATGATCTCTGACATCACAGAAACATCCCCGCTCCTCAGTGTTTCTAGCAGTGTGTCCTCGTTACAATCGGACAGTAGCTTATTGAAAATTGTCCGCCAATATGGACAAGAGCAAATATCGTCAAAAGTTCTACCGATGAGCGAAAAACGCAGAACGAACGCGGTGATGAATTTACGAGAAGCAGAAGAAATCGCGTTAGAGATAAAACGCAACTTGAAAAGTAAGTTGGAGATGCTGAATGAGGAACTATTTTCATCGTCCTTAATGATTGACACTGATTTGAAAGCCTATTGTCGGAATCACGCCACCAGAACCAGGGATAAAAGAAGACGCTAGCAATGATACGCCAGGCCCAAGTCAAGAAGGCAAGATAAAGTCAAGTTTGAAAAGCACTGGAACCCAAACTCAGAAGAAGCGACAAGATGCATCTCAAAAAGTACAGATTGAGTCGCGAACTAGTGTTATAACGTCTGAAACCAATACGACATCTAGCGTAGAAAAGGAAACTCAAACAGCAAGGAAAGAAAAGCAAGATTAGATATCTAGCTTTTAACTACAAATCATTTTTGTATAATATTAAATAAGAAATTTGGATAATGAATAGCTACAGCGGATATCCAAAGTTAAAACTTCACTTTTCATCACGTGAATCCCATGTTTTTCTCTTCGCCTATATCTTACAAACTTTTCAACGAGGAATCGAACCCACATCGTAGCATAACGATTTCTTTCCACTTATGTCCACTTCTCGTATGATCCAATATCGTCATAGAATTTCGTTTTTAATTTAGGTATATACAGATACTCATATGTATTATTAATTAATATATGAATAAATGTAATATGATGAATTAAAATAAAATTAACATTGAATATTTCATTATTGTGTTTGTTTTATTGCGCAGTTAATATTTTTGATACACTAATGTATTTAAATAAAACCACTTTAACGGTTTAAAAGCCGATATATATTAGTTAGATATTTGTAAATTATTTTAACTATGGCCCGACGTTTCGGATGCTTTGCAGCAGCCGTGGTAACGAGGAGACCACGGCGGCTGCAGCACGGGGGAAACGTCGGGCGTAAAAATATCACGTTTTAAACCGGTAATTCGACGGAACGCTGACGATGCTGGTTCAATTCCCAGTCGAAATTTTTTTTCAATTTATTTTCGATTTTTAAATTACATAGTGCCTTCATGTGCACATGTAAAAAATAATAAAGTTTTCAAAACTTACTTTTTCTGATAATTTAATTTAAAGTATTTAAAACGTTCTACTTGCCTAAACTACAGACAGTTTCAAACAAGTTTACTTCAAATTATAAAAGCCTTTTAATAAGGCACCGTTAGCAGGTAACCTCGCTTGTTCTGACTTGTTTGAATGTATTGCTTCACATCAGATGAACTTGAACTTTTCCATTTAACGGCGTTTTGCATACTGAGTACGAGCTAATTAGAAATAATCTTTATCGAGCGATCTAAAATGTCTCTGTCACGTTCTTTCCGCTCTATGATTATACGAGGCTGCTAAAAGCACAGTGGCCTAATAAAAAAAAAGTTTTTCAATTAGGCGACAATGAATTTGTACTATTTGTGTATGAACTATGGTAAAACTTTTCTGTCACTGTGCTCTTGTAGAACTTTTGACTATAAAATTAGAAAAGACATAAAATTGCAGTTATTATATATTATAATTAATTTGACTAATAGTGTTGATTTTTACGTATTTGTATGTGCATCAATTTTTACTTGAGTGATAATGTAAAAAAACTTATTATAAGGGCACTACGTGGTTAATAAGAAACATTGGGGCTATTATCTCTTGTCTCTCTATGTCCGAATAGATAAATGAATATCATGTTCGAATCCAGGGGAAACATTATTTTTCGGTCAGACAGAGCACAGATCATGTATAAATAACATTGTTTAATGTAACATGTCCCCATACCCCACAAAGTTGAATATTTATGAGCAAGTAATGTAAGTTATTTTGAATGGCACTTATAAATATTGCGAACTTTTTCACGGTTAACGAATGTATTGCAACAAAGCCTTTATTTGTTATACGACTAGTATATTCATCGAAGTATAAGTACACCCAATCGAACATTCGCGGAATACCCCTATAAACACGTATAGGCAAATGTGCATTCGTGGTGTATTATTGTAAAAAAACGACACAGGCGGGACGCAAACCTACGACACTATTGCCACTACCGGTACGTATTTGTATCTTGAATCTAGGTTGACTAGTCGATTTTTCCTAATATATGTTTCCCATATATAAATAACCAAAAAAACAATCTATACTAATATATAAATCTGAAGAGTTCGTTTGTTGGAACGCGTTAATCTCGGGAACTACGGGTTCGAATTGGGTTTCTGAGGCGTACGCTGCAAAAGCGGTTCAAGATACCACTAAAGGATCTAAAAAAAACGACGACGACGACGCGACGTTATATGTCTATCTTTTAAGATTAACTTGCAAGAATGACAGGTAGGGGCGCGACCGACATCGTAGGTAACAGCTTAACTTTATAAAGGTATAGGGGTTTACAAAAACAAATTTGGACGCTCAAAATGAACATTCTTAAGTCGCTGCAATATGTATGTCATTCTGATAACGATTATAAGAAAATACGGTGTAATAAATAACAAAATTTATTTATACCAGTACATTTAGAAAATAACACTACTACCTTTATTATTAGGCATAAAGTTTTGGTATAGAGCTACGTATATTAAATTCGAGGGAGACGACTACCCTGAACCAAGTCCATATTCCTTGCAATTAAATTATGCCGCATTCTCCAATTTCTTCAGTTTAATAAACATGCCGCCGTCAACGGAACTTGCCATAATTTTGGGGTTGATTTGGAGAGGTACTTTAGTTCTTTCGTCCAAACTCAATTCATATTTAGAAAGTATTTTTACTAGACCCGACTTCGATTGTATGTAGCCTTGTCGAAGACCTAGAAAAAAAACGTGTCTATTTAATTTGTTTAATTTTAGGTTAGATATTCCAAGTGCAGTTCTAGTTTGAAATTATTGTGAGTAATACCCACTCTCAGTTGTACTTTAGGCCAATAATTATCATCAATCTTTGCCTGTTTTTAACATCTATCATCAAATTATCTTTTATTCTAGCAGAACATCCTCATTGTTACAGACATAAGAAAGTTACATTTATCTATTAAACGACAAATAAATTATGCAATTCATTCTTTTTAGAGTGTGTTATTATACTGGCAACACAGTAATATTGTATCTGTTGAAATTTTGAATCACCGTTCATGACACGGCCTAGTTCGAGTCTCATTGAAGCCTTTCCGTACGGAACACCTTTAGTAATTACCTAGACATTTGCGTGGGCCCTCTCCGAACGGCATCCAATGGCAAGGGTGCATTTTGATCTTTTTCTCCGGAGTGAATCGCTCAGGGTCAAAACGTTCGGGATCCTCGAAAATGTCTGCGTCCATTTGGATTCCGTTTATGGGAATGAATATCATGGTGCCTTTTTCTATGACCAAATCGGAGTCAGGCAATTTGTAATCTTTGTTGCATCTTCGGAACAAAGCGCGCATAGGAGGGTGTTTACGCATGGTTTCTGAAAAGCGACGATAATTTTAACATAATAGCCTAAATAATAAAATATATAAATGACAGTAGTTGTGGACTTTTAATAAATTTCTATAGTAGCCGTGCTAGTCGTATTATCCAGTAAGTAAATATTAAAGTAGTTCTAACTGAAACTATGTTAGATTTTATTTTTTATAACTAAGACGTTTCGAATGCTAATTAACCGCCACAATCATGTGATCACATGTTCTCCTGAAGCAATTCCTAGAACCAATAATTTGCCCTACTTCATCTAATTGCATTGAACTGCTCTTTTTCCGACATTGGGAACTGAAGATGAATGACGACTGTTGAAATGTTGTCTTTCTAACTCACCATCTAAGATCATGTTTATATATGTCATTTCGTTTTGTGCCTCGTAAGTCAATTCTCCATTGTATTTAGCTAAGACTCTGGTTATTTCTTCTCTCGCTTTGTTTTGTATTTCAGGGTTACATGCCAATTCGTAGGAAGCGTACATTCCTGTCGTTGCAGAAGTTTCGTAGCCAGCAAACATATAGAGCATCGTATTTGCTACCACGTCTACGAACTTGAATTTGTTCTCATCATCGATTCCTAAAAAAATATTAAATTAAAAGAATCTAAGAACGTAAAAATAAATTATAGTTCCGATAAACTTTATAAATAGAATTGAATTGAAAATTACAAAACATATACACAAATAAACGTCATTGATTTCAATTAGTCCTTACATAATTTATAATTCAATTATTGTTTGATCTTTTCTGCGTTTTCTTTTGACTTGATTTGTTATGCCCTTATATAAACTTATATAATACAATGTTTAATGAAATCAATTATAATTCTTATAAATGATTTTATTAAACATTACATAATATAAGTTGAGGAAGAAGCTATTTTTATTGTCTATTAAGATGTGTAATTTATAACGATGCTTTTAATTATAGAAATAAGAAGCAATGAAAATGTACAGTACAAACCTTCTTTTTTTAAACTTTCAGACTTCTCCAATTCTATCAGAGCCTGCAGGAAATCGTTGCGGTAGTAATCATTCTTTTTCCGATAGTTAACAGTGTCATTTACTAATCCGTAAAAGAATTTATATATGTCTGGGTTTGTACGATTCACTCCTAAGTGCTTAAAGATATCAGGAGCGAAAAATGATATCGCTCGTATAGCCATCCTGAAATAGTTCAGATAGTTATAGTTTAGAAAGTATAAGTTAAAAATTTACGTGTAGTATTGCTAAAACGGTTCTCAAGAGAACTGATAACTGATACCTAAAAACCAACGGGTCAAGGGCCCGAATCCCATTGGTAACATATGTCAATTAAAAAAAAAATATATATATATCATTAAATGAAAGCGAATATTGAAATTCCGTGGACGGTGGGTCATCCACTGGACGTCATCGTGGTGGTTATGGTAAAAGCGTATTGTCAATTTGCGTTTTATAAAAATCGATTTAAGATAGAAAATATTATCGTCCATTTGATGCTGTTGCTCTAACAAATTGAGCTACCGTGACAATTGGTTAGACCTAAAGCACGGTACACTGTGGATGTAGGTTTCAGTCCCGCCCATGTCGTAAAATTGTTTCAATCTAAAATCGATTTTTAATTTATATAATGATGGCATATGCAATAACATTAAAAATATTATAGTTAAAATTTTGCGTTTCGGCTTCGTCTGTGCATTTTCCAAAGTACAAAGCCAGGAGTAGATCGACAGTGCACCTTGATTAGATGTGATTTTTTATCAAGTGAACCCCCAAACACGTCTCCCTATCCTTCTATGTCATAAAGAAACACTTACCAATACACTGAGCGTGGCGAAAAGTATTCATTTCCTCTCTGAGAAAACTCAGTGTCCTTATTAAATCCATCATTTTCAACACCAAATCCTACACTCCCGATGATCTCCATTGAGTATTTAGCGAAAAATTCCGAGGAGTTCAGTGTACCACCCGCTTCGTACTTTTGGTCACAGTATTTCAAAGCGTCGTTGGCGATTTGCTGCACGAACGGATAGAAGGATTTCAATTTGGTCGGTGTGAAGGCAGGTGACAGTTTAGTACGAAGGCTTCTCCATTTCCGGCCAGCTATATTGAAAAGATGCCCACCGAGAGGATCTCCCACACTTGCGCTTGTAAATATTCCATGCGATTGAAAGTGATCGAAGTCCTTGATGAGGATCAATTTGGCGATGTCTGGATCGTTGATCGTCAACACTGGTGTATGGAACGAATAAAGGCCAACATACGGCATCTTCCTATATTTGACGTAGACATCGCAATAGGGCTCGAAGAATTGCTCCTTCCGCCTAATCACATCACGCACGTGACCGAACGGGAACACTGGTTTCGGCCCAGGAACACCTCTTCTAGCCCAGTACGTAAACCGGTACTTGAACCAAACGTAGAGCAGGAGAAAGCTGACGACTCCTACTAAGAATAACTCGTTCAAAATTGTTGGAATGAATTGAAGCACAGCCATTTTGTATGTTGACAAAGCACACGCGTTATTTGGAAATCATAACAAGAATATTGTTTTTGAATTGCAGACCACGATCGTCGGTTTCGGATCTGCTGTGCTTACTGCTTGCGAAGGTTGTGCGCCGCTTGTAACTTGCCAGCGGTTATTTCAAAATATATATCGTTTTATGTTACGGCGAATAGTCATAATTCGGCAATTTAACACTTTACAAGAAATTTATAACGTAATTCTTTGATTAGATAAGTTAAATTGTTATAAGTGTTTGAGATACGAGTATACAATCTGTTCTGTTTAGGTAAATCTTTTTCTTTATCTTTAAGTAATTTTATAAAACAATACGATATAAAAAGTAATACTATTGGAGGGAAACATGGTCATCGAACACTTCCAGAATTCGTGGACGTCATCAGTTGATGACGATATAACGACCGTTCGCACTCCGCACTTTTTAATATTTTTTGGTAATAATTCTATTTAATATATATGTAATATCAACCTCAAAAAAAATATATAAAAATTAAATACGAAACTATTACCAAAATATATTCTACTAAATTCATATTTATACCGTAACATACAATTATAGATTTTTTTTTTCAGGATATCACGACCTGAAATCATGATAACGTAAACAAGAAAGGCGTTAAAATTAATGATTTGTATCTTTTCAGAATTTGCTTAATAAGAACTATTATCTCAGTAAAAGTTTGTGGAAAATAGGTACAGAGTTCAATTTTATTCGCTCAAAAATTGTTTTTAAATATCTTGAGTATTAATGGTAAGTGTTATATGCAAAAAATATTAAACCATAGTAACAAAGCCTGCTAAAATTTTTGTATCGTTATAAAAATTCTTAGCTTAGTGCATATTTTTTGACATAAATGAAATATATTTTTTCTCAAACATGGAGATTTGAACATTATTTTGACAACCTTCTTCGCGAGAAATAGTACTTTCTGTACTGGTCAAGTATGTATGTATGATATTGTATGAAAATCAATAGTTATATGTCGTGTCTAGCGGCCAAATTAATGTCTATGTATAATCATATTTGTCGTGTAATTTAAAAATAGAACGACCTACTCCGCAACATTGCGAATAAAGAGGTAACTCAACAAAGGCTTAATTCAAATTTTGAGCTGGCTTGCACACACGGTTTAAAAAAAAGACAGAAATCTGTTTAGTGAAAAATAAATGTTTTGGCGCGTAAAACGCTATTGTTATTAGTTGTTCGTCAACTTCGTCATTTGTTTAGAGTTCTAAATTTTAGTTCTTGTTATAATTTCCGCGCATTATTTGAGAAAAGCCTTGAAATACACGAAATTGTGTATGTCACTCTCTATCTTGCCGGCCTCTGCAGTAACGTACGATTTGTTTTAATTTTACGTAAATTTGACTACCTCTTCTCCACCTAAAATTGGTCGTTATCTGTAAGTACCTACTTAACGAGAATACGAAAAAGATGTATGCAAATATACAAAAAAAAATATTATCTTTATGGATCGAGGGCTAATTTGGTGTTTTAAGGCAGACGATAGCGTTTATCTGACATAAGCGAGGTCACTGCATTTCGAACGAATAACAAAGACCTTTAATTATGTGATGGATGTGAAGTGCCCCAGGTCTATATCAAAATTTCATGCGCCCCGTTTCGAATCAGAACTTGACAGACTGTATGTGTGACTGTTCCCATATGCAGAACCGACATTCTTTAAAATGAATATTCCCCAATTAGAGTCGATGAATACAGTAACTAGTGGCTATACACATCCTGTAGCCAAAGACTGTAAAACAGTAATCAACTCGCGACGATCTCAATTACCTAATAATAAATCAATATGTGTTTTTTTTTATTGAGCAAAGAAATCTCAAATTGCTCTAAGATTGTGAAAAGTATGTACATGTATGTATGGATTCAACTTCATAATACTAATTATAATACGGAAATTTAACAACCGATACCTAAGTCTATTATAAATAAAAACAAAAGAATTAAGAAACATCGTTCTTCAAATCTATAAATTAAACCTAGAATGTTGTGTCAAACCGATGTTAACCAATTTAAAACCAGTATTCTTAAGGGTCAAGTTCAGCCTTGCATAATCCCGAAACAAGCCTCTCTATACTGACTATAGTTTACGCGAGTAGTAAGTACACAATTAAATAAAACACTTTAACGGTTTAAAACGCGATATATTAGTTAAACTTATTTGAAAATGCTTAACTAATATATCACGTTTTAAACCGTTAAAGTGTTTTATTTAAAAGCCTCTCTATATTTTGTATATAATGAATTATCTCTATGCACTACGTTTCTCAAAAGAACAACGACAAAGGCAAAAGAAACGGTTATTTTCTTTATTGTGCATCAACTCAATACTTTGTAAACACCTTCTCAAATGGTTCGTTAAATGTTCGTGGGGACGTGATAGATTGAATATTACGGGTTTAAAACCAAGTAAATTATATAGTTTCAGTATATTATGTATAACTTCAGCTTTTTATTTACCTAAAGTTCCTACGTTACGTTACGTTACAAATAACTTAAAAATCAAAGCTTACCGTAATGCGGACAACAATTCTTCAATCACTGTTATCGAAGTTGTGATCCATTTTGATGGAATCATTGAAAGCCTTTATTCAATGTCTTAAGTATTCTATCGATGATTTTATGTCAAACCGATAGGCTCTCTATGTCTTGGCCTTTATTAACTTATTCTTAAATATATATTTATGTGCACCTAATTTAAGTTTGTCACAAGAATGTTTCATTTTTCTTTCTACATTGTTCATTTGCGTTTTCTGAATTTTATCTTGACGATAGTCGTCGACGATTCCATATCTTGAACCATACATTATTTTATGAATACCTAAAGAACAATTTAAACAACGTTCATCAGTGTCCCCTTCAGTTTCAACTCCCAACTATTTGTAAAATTTCGATTTGGTTGTTTTATATACATCTTCATTTCTCAAGTAGTGTTCACTGCTTTTATGTTCCTCTTAAGGATGATTATTTAAGAAGCATAGCACGGTATTCGTTTCTTTCGCGTCGCCATTGTGTGCGATCGATTTATCTTTTTTTAGAGTCATTGTTCTAGAAACTAGATTGCTAATAAACTTTAGTGTCGTCGTGTAGGTACATACTTTCCAACATTATCAGGGTAATATGACTATAACTATCTGATTCAACGCAAGTTTTTGTAATGGCAAAGGGACAGTTTTCAAACTAACTTGAATTAATAGCGTTTTGCATACGAGCTAATTATAAATATCCTTTTTTGAGACATGAATTACGTCGAAGCTTTCGTTTTATGTATTAAATATTATCATTAATTTGATAAATAAGTTGTGATCATAAATTTTTATGTGCATTAACTTGTGAAAAGTTAGTAAATAATGTAAAAAAAGTGTTAATATAACGATAAACAAGTCAATTTATTAAATCGGAACACACGGATTATTTTCTTCTTCATATCTAATAGAAATATGTCTGCCCCATACCCCACGTAGTTAAAACGGAATCACATACTTATGGTCAGATAATGCAAGTTATTTTGAAAAGGCACACCTCATGGATATTGCGCGCCAAAACTATTTCACGGTTAACGAGTGTATTGCAAAATAGTGTAGCCTTCATTCGTTTTACGAATAATTTGTATATCCATCTAAGTATACACAAAACCGACAATCACTTACAGAGGACCCACCTGACTTGTTTGGACATTAGTCCATACGGGTCGTGTGGGGTATTTGAATATATAAAAAATCCACACAGACGGTACGACTATATCCCTTTTTTCGATTTGGCACAACCACAATCTAGTAGCCCAACTAATCGTGCCTCGAATCCCGACTGCTTCGGTTTTTACTAAAAACGTTTCCAATTTATTTAATGTAATTTTATTAAAAACTAACTATGTAATAATCTAATTAAAAATCGCAAAGCTTATTAACAAAAAAAGATACTAAATTTAGTAAGATCATAATTACATAACTTTTAAATATTGTTCGATCTGTTTAACGATTACTTCTGACTTTATTCATTGTAAGGGGGCATTTACACGATATATGAGAACTACTGCCGAAAAGTTTGCAACGCGGTAGCTGTATAGATATTAGATGAAATAATAATACTAAAAAAATCTTAAATTCGTTTATTATTTTATATTTAAAAAATTGGGATAAGCTTTACTTTAAGATAGATGCTTATAAAGCACATAATTAAAGTATTATGTTTTGAAAAAAGTAATGTACGAAATCCCATGCTCAATGAGGTCAACGACACGTTCGTTCGATTCAAGTTGCGCATGACCTTGACCCGCTCTGCGTTAAATCAGCTGATTACATGAACTTACAAATAGTTACAATTGCGGCCCCGTTTTCTTGCATTAAGCCTTAATAATAAATCACAGCTATTATTCTGTTATTTAATCCAGTTTTGTTGGTTTTTTCGGTTGCGCTCGGTTCAGCCGAACGGCGGGGCGCGGGCGTGGCGATCGGGGGTTTTACTTTCTGACAGCTCGCGTGTGCATTCCATTACGTTTTAAGTATTTCGTCATTAATTTAATTTATTTCGTAAGTTTTTTTGTTTGCTGGTTGTTGTACTTTAGTAGTGATTGTGCGTAAAAGATTAGCGGCTCTCTTTGAAATCAATGGAACGAACGTTGTTAATGCCATATGATTTTAAGTAAATAATTGAAAAATATTCGATTGTTGTTTAAATGACTAAATACAAATCGTTGCGGTAGTCATTATAATCATTCTTTTTCCGATAGTTTACAGTGTCACTTACTAATCCGTAAAAGAATTTATATATGTCTGGATTTGTACGATTGACTCCTAATTTTTTTTAAATATCAGGGGCGCAAAATCTTATTGCCCGTATAGCCATCCTGAAATAATTGAAATTATTATTGTTTTAAAAGTATACGTTAAAAATTATCATTTTTGTTATATCGCTATAACGGCCTCCAAAAGAAAATCTCTTCGTCACTTATCAGCCTCGTTGGTCCAATGGCACCTAATAACCTTATAGATGTTTGTGAGCTTCATTCCTATCCAGTCCAAAACATTGGAAGATCTTTTTTCTTAACTGTATCATTGAATGGGAAATATCGAAATTATGTGAACTGAGTGTGGGTATTTCGTTGAAATGTTGTCATTTAGCGCTTTGGTTTTGTCTGTGGATTTTGAAAGTCAAAATACATCGACAGCTTGGTTCAGGGCGGGGGGCTTGCCCCCCCCCCCCAACCCCCCCCCCCCCTTTTTTCCCCCCCCCTTTCCCCAAAACCCCCCCCCCCCCCGGGGGGGGGGGGGGGGTTCCCCCCCCCCGGGGGGCGGGGGGCGCCCTTTTTTTTTCCCCCTCCCCCCCCCCCCCCCCCCCCCCCGCCGCCTTCCCCTTTGGTTTTTTTCCCCCTTTTTCCGGGGGGGGGGGGCCCCCCCCCCCCCCCTCTTTTTTTTTGGGTTTTTTTGGGGGGGGGGGGGGGGGTGGGGGGGGGGGGGGGGGGTTGTTTTTTTTTCGGGGGGGGGGGGGGGGGGGGGGGGGTTTTTTTGTTTTTTCCCCTCGTTCCGGGGGGGGGGGGGGGGGGGGGGGGGCGTTTGGGGGGGGGATCAATTTGGCGATGTCTGGATCATTGATCGTCAACACTGGTGTATGGAATGTATAAAGACCAACATACGGCATCTTATATTCGACGTAAACATCTCTGTAGGCCTCAAAGAATTGCTCCTTCCGCCTAATCACTTCACGCACATGCCCGAACGGGAACACTGGTGCTGCATTCATCACCATTGTCTGTAAATTTCAAAAGTAGTTAAGAAAAGTTATTTTATATATAGTTTGCGGCAAACTATATATAGATATAGTAACTATACTAATACCCAATCAACGATGTTTTTTTATTCTTCGAGTTTTTATCACCTTTTATACCTAATACGAACAGCTGTTGTATTAACAATATACCGATACATAATGCTTTGCAATTAGGTATTTTTATTTTAAGGTGATGAAGAGTGAAATGCCCTAGACCTATTATATCAAAATTGAATGCGCTAGCGCCCCATTCGGATTCGAAACTCAACAGTATGGATGGCTATACCCTGATTCCTGCCTCAAATTAATTTTCTCCAATTAGTGTCGAGAAAATTGATATATGTATATACAAAATACTATAACTAGTAGCTATGCACATACCACACAACTAATAGTGTCAAACTGTCTGTGAAACGTAATAAAGAAATATATTAAATATTTATTCAACAAAAAAAACTCCAATTGTTCTAAGACTGAAGTTTATTCAAACCATTTTATTAGTATGTACATGTATTTATAGATTAAACATCATAATGTGAATTAAAATATCCTAATTTAACAATAGATACTTAAGTCGATTATAAGTTTAAAAAAAGAATAAAGAAAATCCATGATCTAGTTACGGTATATTAAACTTTATAACTAAATCTCTTACTACTTAATATCTTACAATATGTACTCGTAGATACGACTGGTGACCAACAATCTATACTAATATATATAGCTGAATAAGATTGTTTGTTTGAACGCGCTAATCTCAGGAATATTTGGTTCGAATTGAACAATTATTTTTGTGTTGGTTAGATCATTTATTGAGCGAGGATTTCTATAAAACATTGCGTTGTGACTAATAGGAGCGAAAAAACAGCGGGAAATGTGGAAAAAACGGGGAAATTTATTCATATCCGTGGGTTTCCAATGCGGACACTGTGAAAACGGTTCAAGACACCCAAAAAATATGTATGAAAGAATGATTCCTCTTTTAATAACTAAAAACGTGTCCGCTTTACTATATGTCTATCTAAATACTGTCTATAGTTTACGCGAGTCGTACACATTTAAATAAAACACTTTAACGGTTTAAAACGCGATATATTAGTTAAACTTATTTGAAAATGATTTTTAACTTCGGCCCGACGTTTCGGATGCTTTGCAGCAGCCGTGGTCACGGGGAGACTGTCTCCCTGTCATCCGATAATATATCGCGTTTTAAACCGTTAAAGTGTTTTATTTATATATGTCTATCTTTTAAGATTTACTTTCAAGAACGTCGGGACCGTTTCGACGGGTTGCGAGCGACGGGACGCGACCGACGTCGTGGGTATCAACTTAAATTTATAAAGTTCAAGAGGAGGTTTGCGAAAACAAATTTGGATGTCCAAAATAACTATTCTACGCGGACGAAGTCGCTGTTACAGCTAGTACATAATATAGACGATAATTCTTCAATCACTCTTATCAAAGTTGTGGTCCATTTTGATGAAATCCTTTCGGGCCCTAATCAAATGTCTTAAGTATTCTGTCGGTGACTTTATGTCGGATTGATTGTCTGTACTTCGTCCCAATGGTCTTTCTTTAGATATTCTTAAATAATTTTCATATTTATGTACAGCTAATTCAATTTTGTCACAAGAAAGTTTCATTGTTCTTTCAACGTCGTTCAAAGAGTTGCATGGTTCCACAATATTATCTGGACGATTGTCATCATCTTTTCCATATCTTAAGCTACAAATTCCTTTTTGAGTACTTAAAGAACAGCCTGAATAATGTTCATCAGCGTCCTCTTCAGTTTCAACTCCCAAGAACTCTTTATACAGTTTCGCCTTAGTTGTTTTAAATATATTTTCATTTTTAGCATAATTCCTTCCCTGTGAAGTCGTGTTTACTGCTTTATATGTTTCTTTAAACGACAATTTTTTATTTAAAAAGTAGTCTTTGTTTTCATCTGAACTTAAAGAAGCAAAGTATGGGTCATCTTTATTAAAATGTTGTTCACGGTTCAAATCAAAGCAAAATTTTTCACTGGAAAGTTCGTGGTCACCACAGTTTTTGCCTTTTTTTGGTAAGTTATTTGTATTATAAGCGGATGTATTCGTCTTACCTTCTAAAGTAAAACATTTCTTACCATTAATGTTATGGCTATCGATAATATTATTTGGGAGTGAAATCTCAGAATCATCACTTGTTGTTGATTTTACGCTCTCAATATTAATTTCTAATGACGTACTGTCTTCAGTAGTGCTAGTTTCTTGATTTCTAAATTGAAGGTATTTTTTATTTTTTTCACAATCAGATTCCAGCTTATTATAAGTAGTTAACACGGTTGGCGTAAAATGGGTCCTTTGCTTAGTGTCAGCTTCTGAGTCATCAGAATGTTGTGACTGTGAATCGTAATACACAGGAGAAATATTTATGTTGATAACCGACGACGGCCTTGCATTGTTATCAATTTTTTTCAAATATTTAGAAAGCACTGAACGTTTTCGATTCTTTCGTATCGCCAGCGTCTGTGTGTATTTCTCGTTTTCTTTTTTCTTCGCAGTCATAGTTCCAGATTCCTTGTAAACTTTAATATCATCTGTTATAGTTTTTGTACTTTTCAACATTAAGAGAGCACTATCTGATCCAACGCCTACTTCTTTGTGACGAGGTGTCAAAGGGGCAGTTTCTGTCCCAACATCTCGTTTTAATGATATATGTGTATTGCATAACTCTCCAAATCTAAAGGAAAGTAAATCACTTTGTACATCTATACACTTGTCCTTTAAACGAACGCTTGTTTTCTTTGTCTGCGTATAAGCAGGTATTCCGATTCTTCTTTTAGTCCTTAACGCTTTTTGACTTATTTCCATTAATCGTTGGCGGGCATTGGTACATATTTTTAATTCGTTCAATGGTTGAACGTTTTTCTTATCTGATATGGTTTCAATTTTCGAAGTAGTCTCTTCCCGTTTCTTTAATTTACTATAAAGTCTTTCCGTGACGGACGCCACTATTTGTGCACGTTGATCATTATCATATAATATAGATGCCGATGTGTTCTTCAAGTTTTTGTTTGTTTGGTCTAACATTTCCTCACTGAGACTTTGACCTAACTCCGATAGACTGTTACGATTGATTTGATAGTTCATCGTTCTATCCGAAGAGAGCACTTCCTGAGATCCATACTTTCTTTTATGTTGGATTGGGACGGTAATTTCAAAATCACTGCCACTTCGAGCTCTCCCTAATACAGGTGGTCTGATTAACGTATCAATTTCTTTATTTATTTCATTTGATATTTCATCTTTTGATATGGTTACAAGATAATCGTTGGCAACAGATGCCCCCGAGTCGATCTGATCTGTTTTTGACTTCGAAAAACTCATTATGTTCCCTATTTTGCTTTTATTAGGAAGACTAGTGAAATTTAAACTCCAGTGTCTGTCGTCGAACGATATCTTTCCTGTTGCTGGTACCTATAAAAATACAAAGAAGATTATTATTTAGTATCGTTGGTTTAATTATTATTACAGCAATAGGTATCAATAATGATTACTTACATAATAGATGTAGTGTTTGGTGAGTTCATCTATCAATTTGTTGTACTGATGTTGTACACCTTTGGTAGCTGAACTTTTGCTGTTATTTAGTTTTGGGGGTAAATGTCGTGCTCTTGCAACCCAGCGAAGAGTGGAGGCCGTTTCATTAAAACAGCTGACGCTTGGAGATATTGCTGCAACATGAAGCAACAAGAATTATTTATTTAACAGCAACTTTATGGTTATCAAATGTTTACAAATATCTTACTTGCTATTATGAAGGTGTTAGCGTCACCAGTAAAGCAATCCTTAAGTAGCCAAGTTAATGCAGAATTTCGATATGGCACGAACCTGCCACGTCCAGCATCGCTAACTGTAAAAAAAAACTATTTTTTTGGAGAGTGAAACCTGCAGTAATAAATAAAATTTTCACAACTTATTCACACCGGAAAGGAGTTATTAATATTTTTAAGGTGAATAAAAAAATAACAACGATTATGAATAGGTACATTATAAGAATCAGTAATTCAAGGCAATACGTTTTTTGAATAAATTGACATTTTGACCTAATTAAAAACATTAGCTGACCTAGAGCCGATATGACATTGCTGAGCGCTACTAATGACTTATTTATATTAGCCCCTTCTTTTTGTCTACAAGCTCCAGTAACTTCACGACCAGCTTTTTCACTGAAAAAACATAAATAACGTTACTTATGGCTGTAATAAATTGAGTTGACTGTAAATATATATATACCCCCTCTGCGGGGCATAGGGCAAAGGCATTTTTGTTGTTTTTTTGATGAAAATTTTTGATAGGCAATTGCCTGACCCCGGGCCGGCATCATTATTTTAGGCCATGTGTGCAGCAATAAATATAATATACCGTTACCTTCCAGCAAGATCCACCAGTCGTAAAACAGCGCGTGGTGTGGTTATCTCCAGAAGGGCATGAGACCGAGACGAATTGCTATTCCTTCTTGTCGCTGCACTGCGCCGCTGACGCTTGCCTTCGCTAACTATGCTCAGAAGTGACTCCACATCATGAACCGAAACTTGTCGAAGGTCTTCATGAAAACATAAAATTAAAGTGTTTAAGATAAAAACTGTTTGAAGAAAAGGAATATACCGTGAATCCCAAAGATATAGAAGTGAAGTGAAGGCAGTTGTATTTTTTGCATAGTCTAAATGAAAATTAGCTTGTTTAATCTTGTATGGTCGATAATTAAGTTTTATATTAATATATGTTAATACTAAAACTACTATTAGATAAACGTGTCGGGTCCCGTGTCTAAAAATTCATATTTTTCCTGAAATATGTTGCCCCAGCCTGGAAAATCTTGATTACGTCCGGGTCACAAGAAAAGAGAGATAAAAAAACTGTCTTGAAAATTCAGAGACATTAATTTCTTCGGTTTGTGTTTCTGGATTTCCGAATGTCCAAAGCCAAAAAAAGGCGACAGCACATCTTGTTTTGTCTATGGCTGGGATACTTCAACATCAAGTGAGTCCTATTCTTGTCTATCCGCCTCTATCATAGAAAAAATAAAGTTTCAGTGAAAAGTTAAGCGATTACAGAATATGTTTAAAATAGTGAGTAACCACTTTTAAGACTATACCTCAATTAATAAGAATGAAACGTAATATGTATATAATTTTAATTGTGTACACTACCAATGCAAAAAGAGTTATAAAATTTAAGTGGAAAGTAAAGAGTCCAAAGACCAGTTTAAAGTCCAAAATTAACGTAATTTTAGTTTTTCTTGTAAATTCCAATCCATTTCCGTACACTTATTTCACACCTTACATGCTATAAATATGGCAAATGAGACACATTTTGTTTAGTAGAATAAATTTGCTAGACGTCACCTTACTTAACATTCAAAACTCTCGTGTTCTTTAATTCTGTAATACTTCTTGGGTTTGCAATTTTGTGGATGTTTAAATATATGTGTCCTTAAATGCAAAATGATAAGCGAGGACTTTTTTGTATTTTTTTCCGTGTGTTAAATAAAGTAACGCGTAGAATAGTTATGTTTAGGTATCCAAATTTGTTTTTGCAAATCTCTTCAACCTTATAAAATTAAGGTGGTACCCACGACGTCACATACCGTCGTTCTTGCACGTTAATCTTAAAACCATAGTGCCGCGGACACTTTTAAATGCTTTAAAGAGGAATCATTCTTTAAATATTTTTGGATATCTACGATTCGGAAACCCACAAAGATAATTGCCCTCGTTTTTTCCACATTTTCCGCTGATACATCCGCGATTTGTTTTAATGCCTATCCCCCTAAACAGACAGACTAATATTTTTTTGATTCTAAACAGTAGTTCCTGAGATAGACGCGATTAAACAAACAAACTTATTAACTTCGTATATTAGTATAGATAAGTTTTTTTAAGCAAGTAATTTAAATCAAAAAGTAAATACGGGGTTAAAATAGAAGAAAATATAATGGATAAAACTCTCTTGAATTAATGTTCATGAAAATACCGACTGTCAGTAGTAACTTTCTATACACGATGCGGTTTTATTATGTATGAAATATAGATTTGGAGCTGATAAATCTCTGTCTACTTAACATGACACGGTATCTTTTGAGCAGCAGGACGTTATGTTGTGGATGCCAGTTCAAGTGTCGCCCGTGTCATTATATAGTTATACTCACTCTGTACATAAGGTCCTCTCGTAGGATGTTCCCTGACGCGTAGATCCTTCCGGATGTTTCCCGTGCGTCGCGGCAGTGAATTGCAAGGTAGTACTTCGCTTGCTAACAAATCGTGTACTCGCTCATTGTATATTTCATAGAAACTGTAATTTCATAACACTCTTAAAGGCCACTAAAAAAAAACAAAGAAAAAATAAATACTTACAAATTTAAACACTTAAACGGTATAGTTTTCGATTATATAGGCTGCAAAACATCCGAAGTGTCGGGCCGTAGTTAAAATAATTTTTAAATAACCTTAAAGAGTTTTATTTAAAAGAAAAGATTTATAACTTTTATAAATAAAGAATAAACAATAAGTAAAAAAGCCCAACGACGTAGTTACTCGATAGCGCGATGATACAACCTTACATCTTTTTGATTTTTTATACATAATACGCTATATATAATTATTTCATAATATGCTTTTCAACAATATTCTATTTTTAACGCTTAAGCCTTTACTTACAAACATACAAAAATACTGTCGTCGCGTAAAAATTAACCGTTTAAACCAATGACGTAAATTCAAAGAAGCATACCGAACGTTACGATCATTTAAAATTGCTGCAAGAAGTACATTATTAAATTGTTTAAAGTCAATTGTGGCAATTTAATTTGCAAATATTAATTTAAATTATAGTTAACGCTAAAATTTATTGCGCATCATATAATTAATTTCACAAAGAAACTTTGCAGCAACCCGGATATGATAAACGCTAATGTTTCTTGAATATAAGGATGTAGCGTAGTTTATGTATTATTTTCTCGCCCGAGACACCCGGGTGGAAGGGCGGGCGGCGTTTCAATGGCGCACCGAGTAGAATGAAAAGGTTTACTTTGTAATTTCAAGGCGATATTCAAAGTGACACAAAAAAAAAACATATATATATCATTACCTATTATTATATATATAAAACTATCTATGATCACCATTAGATACGGTAAGTGATTATAAAAGTGGTTTCCCATAACTTATGTTATTATTCTTAGTACCCCGTATGTTGTATTAAGCAGGCAAGCCAGTAATTATATGTATTAGGTATATTTCGCGGTTCGTTAAATGTCTACTCTTATCATCTATCAATTTAGCTACTGTCGGACTTTAAAAATATTATTTGTAGGGGTTATTATGATAGTTTTATTTTACAAGGCTAAGAGGGAAAAGCCTTGGTGATAAATTTCTATACTATATTAAAGTAACATAGTAGCCTTAAATTGTGTATATTATGTGTTCACACATTTTCATAGTACGAGTAGTAGAAATCGTGGTTACTAAAAGAAAGAAAGGGCTGAGTCCAAGACTGAATTTTGTACAATGAAATGCATTGTTACATAACAATCACATAAAAATGACAATTTTTTATGCAGAAAAATCTTTACGAGTTCTTCTGCGTGTAAAACTGTCATCTTTTAATAGTTGTCTTTGAATACATTTTTTTATTATATTTAAATATTTTTTATTTTAATTTGTCAGTTAAGAACTACGAGTTCTACTTACTCGACCTAGGTTTTTATTTTAAATAATTACATATTGTTACATATATTAACTGTTACGTGTTACGACTTGTGTACTTTTAATTGTGGCACCCATTATTAACGATGTAAAATTTTGGTGCATTCGTTCTTGTATCCAAGGCAAGGCAAGTATCTAAATACCTATATTAGATTGTTGAAAATCTCTAAGTTAAGCAAAATATTTTAGACAACAATCATTTAGAATGATTTACAGTAGCCGGGAGAACCTTTCGTCGTAAATAAGAATAATGAATGCTTTTTTTATGTTTCACTAGAGTAAACCACAGACTATGTAAAAAGCCTATTGAAATAACGAAATTGTTATGTTCTCTATGGCATATATATTTCCACAGAGTATATTATGCTTATAGATTTTAACTTAAAACACGCACAATTCGCATCAAAATCACGCATCAAGTGCACAAAAGGCTAGGAAAGTGAGAATCTAGAACGTAAGTCACGATGTCGATAAAGATAAAATCCTATTCCCATACAGGCATGTGATATGCAATGTTTGCGTGTTTTTCGCGCCCTTGTATTCTTATAGAGCTATTGAACAGAATTTAATACCACCAACAACATTATAGCTTGGGCATTTATGGCGGGAACTTTCACAATATCACATTCCCTGAAAAACAAATCAAAGTAAAAAATAGAAAACAACGAAAACCAATGTTACCTATACAAAACTGTGTAGGTTTTAGACCAAACGAAATTCCCTGACTGAAGTGTGTCTGTAGTATATATTACATACAGGATAACCTAGCTATCCCAAAATATAGGCTCCATAAAATATCTAATTCATTTCCGGGGAATTGTAATTGTATGTATAATAATACATTGCCAGTTGAGGTTTAAAATTAATCGATAAATAAATTTAAAAAAAAATTAAAATTTAGATTGTCTCAAAAGGCGTATTATTGTCTAAACGATTTCTTTAATGACAAGACCGCCTGGCAGTAATATGAATTGCTCCCTAAGTTAATAAATTCACAATGTATTAGTTTATAAGACAAGTTTAAAAAAAGCCGGACTGAGTTTCTTGGGTGCTCTTCTCAGTAATCAGTTGCTCTTTTGAACACTCTGTAGAATCACGACAAACAGACAGACAAACAAAAAAAAAATTTGACAGATCTATATAATTTTTATAATTTTAAAGAGAATAGATTAGGTATATATTTTATTTATGTTATAATTAATATAGCGCAATAATCGTATTTTTTTACTTTACAAAGTATTTTATGGAAATACAGTTATGTATAGTAGTCAATTCAAAAACAAAACTGTTACTGAATAAAAATAAGTTTCTAAATAAAAAAGTTTCAAACATGAAAGGTGTCGGCGAAGCAATTTACGAAAATCTACATATCGCGTGAGTCCCCACAGTTATAAACCGTTATAGTATCTATTCTACGTAAACACGTAATATGCTTTCTGACAAAATTGCCAGAGATATAAAACCGCGACGGATTCAATTACAAACACTTGTCGAATACTTATTAATGGTATACCCCAGATATTTCTAACGAAATATGCTGTTGCCCTATTCGGAGTTTTTCCTTCAAAAGACAAAGAATAAAAGTCGACGAAAAATGAGAATTTCAAAAAGTTACATTCAAATTTAATACCTATATAAGTATAACAGTAAAGTAACATTTTAAAATTAAATATATCCCTTTGTAGTTATTGGCTGATCTCCAAAAGTACTGCCTAGTCCTATTTCCAGTTAAGAAAAAGCTACAGTCACTTATGTATGTTGTATCCATCTCTATTAAAACGTAAAATCGAATTAGAAACAACAATTGAACAACCTATGAGTATAATAAAATTCTTCAATTTATAAGAAGCAGCCTAGCCTAGAATTTATTTATTTTGTTTTTTTTATTTAATTAGAAAAACTGTTTTTGCCAAGACCCTTTAACATGTAAAGAAAGTCACTTAAAAAAATTAACTATTTAAATTAATTAATTTTAAATTTATAATAGTATAACATAGTCGCAGAACTGACAGCCGTTGGTGCAAAATGGTTCTGTAGTGGAATTTGGAAACAACGTACGGGACGTCGAAAACCTGGACGACTTCTTACCAAATGGATTGACCCGGTCAAGATAGCTGGAAAACGTTCTAGAACTCTTTGGGGGAGGCCGAACGGGTGAAACTAGTATAACACGTCAACTCACCTGACAGAAAGATCAATAGGTCCTAGCTCAGCAAGCGCAAGACACAGCCTCGGAATTAACCCTGGATTAGATTCAGTTCCCATCATAGTATATGTCTTTCCTGTTGCACTTTGACCATAGGCTAAGACGCAAGCTGACAGTCCATTGGATATGCTCTCCAGAACTTGGCGCCCGAAGGTTTCAAAAACCTGTGAATAATGCGAAAGAGATATAACAAAAATACTTTAACAATTCAGTTCTTATTATTATTAATTTGCATATTATTGGTTGCTATGTCTATTTCACTTTAATAAACATGATGGCACTATATAAATTAAAAATCAATTATACAGTGAAAAAAATACTCGACTTATTAGACTCTGTAGTTCAATTGGTTAGAGCAACAGCTTGGAACGCTGTGGATGCCTGCTCAAGTCCTGCCCGAGTGGTATTTTTTGTAAAATTTATAATCGATTTTTTATTTATGCCTAGTTCATTATGTCGTGTCGAATTTCATATGTGGATCATGAGGATGACGTATTTCTATGCCTGTTTTACCTATTTTATTTTACGCCATGACAGGTATTTACTGAGTGAACCACGAGAACGATGCACTAGCGATCAAGCTACAGAATTCTAACGACAAATATATCACTACGTTTTCCGTTTCAAAAAGCAGCAGAAATGTCGAATATTATATACTATCTAAATATCCGTATATTGTTGTGTAGTAGCATTTGATACTCCTAAAATAAATATTCATATTATTGCCTTACTGTCTCTTGCGAAGCATACGTTTGACTTCCGCGTGCGCACAGGCTATCAAAAACGTAGTCAGCCTGATATCGTCTCACACGTTCCCGACTATCACCCGCTCCCGTGAGGCTCACCTGGACATCAGACAGTCAAAAACATTTAAAACCGCTGACTAAATAAATAACGCACATTTTGCTTCTATTTCAAAGCAGGCGTCCATTATTAAAATGTAATGGACAAACTCGTTGGTGTAATGGTGTAACGGCTCAAACATGTTGGATTTCGTTTGGAAATCTGGATATTGAATGCGTGATAGGAATATCTAAATTCCGTCCGGGTCGGGAATCACCTCCTCAGATGAAAAAGCCGTGAAGTTTATTCACGTTTCGGTATCAGTCTGTGGTGTGGATTTCCGAATATCCAAAGCCCAGGCTTGTTTATATAACTAATTGATCATAAAAAAAGTAAAATTAGTGAACATAACTATTTAATATATCATTTTATAAAACTAAAGTAGTATTGAGAAACAAGGTATTTGAAAAAATACTGTCTATAGTTTACGCGAGTAGAACAATTTTAAAAAAAAATCTTTAAAGGTTAAAAAAGAAATTTATTATTAAATAAAATATCCCGTTTTTAAAAAAAAAATAAATTTTTTTAAAAAAAAAAAAAAAAAAAGGGGGCAACCTTAAGGTCTTGAGAAATATTCAGCAATACTAATTTCGCAAATTACATAATATAACATCGATACTACAAATCCCACCAATCGCTCTCACCCAATAGTATTGTGCATATTCTTTGATTAACTTACTTTAATATTGGTGATAGTAACCGTTTTTTCATCAAGTACAGTGACCACAGGTATGCAATGTTTCTCGCCTCTGAGTTCTCTGAAAATTATAAAATAGAATGATATATCAATAGACAATCAAAACTACTTTTATATACGTGTTAAGAGAATCAAAATACTTCTCTGTAAATGGCCGCACTCTTATCGCTAACTTTACTTTAGACATCGTTTGAACTGAACAAACTTATTGAGTACAATTATACTTAGACAGTATTTTATTGAGTACAATTCAAACTTGCATCGCTTTCACCCTGATAAAAGTTCAGACGCAACTACTATTTTTATCTAAACATTTATGAACGCCTAAGGAAATATTAACTTATTTTTAGACATACGAGAATAGAAAAATGTCGTGTACAAAAGTGTGCTAAGGAAGCTTTGCTATCAAATGTTGTTACGACGGTTTTAGTGATTTAAAAATTTAAAACGAATATTAAAAAATATGTGTTTCGATAATTTAAACTTTTTTCTTAATTTTTAACCTTAACTTGATATGTATTTATAGTATAAAACAAAAGTTGCTGGCGATGTCTGTACGTCCTTAATCTTAAAATTCTGCAACTGATCCTAAAACGGTTTTCTTTAATAGATAGAATGCTTTAAGAGAAAGTTGGAAACTTAATTGCATTAAATTAATATGACCCCTCAGCACGTGATTGAAATCAATATTTTCAAAGATATTACAGATTTAAAATGCAGGGATGTAAAGAAGCGGGTCGGTAAACATTGTTAGGACGTTCTGAAGTAGATATATTTAGTAACTGCATTGTACCGTGCGAAGCCGGGAGGGTTCTCTATTGCTAGCTCTTTATGTGTAGAAATAGGCTAACAACTGTAACTGAATGGTTCTCAATATTTGTGTAATTCTTGTATTACTATAAATGGTATTTAGTTACAATTGAATCTGACGCTTGTCCCCTTTTTTTTGGATTCTGCATTTTCTATGTATCTAATATTGATAATTTGTTTCATGCACATTTTTAAATAAATTAATACAAAGTTAGTCAGTCAACAATTTGTAATAAAAGTCAGTATAATTTTAAACAATTTATTTAACCCATTTACATAACCGTTTGAAGCGATTCATAATAACGTAGTTCTTCATCAGTAACCGATGGTCTGAAAGACTCCACGCCCTGCCATAATTCCGAAAAGCCTATAGTGACTGAATCTTCACTTAGTTCACTTTCTTTGATAATCCCTAAAGCAAAAAAAGCGATAATTATTAAAATAGCATATATGCGGATTGAGTTATAGGTTTTCGCATTATCCAGCTAACATATAAATACAAAAGTCGGAGAGTATGTTTGTTCAACTCACACTCGGAACGCTTGAGAAATTTTAATAAAATGGGCTGTTATATAAATTGTACTTGTATTGTAGTTGTAAAAACATATTTTACCATCATTTATTTTCTCTACAAGAGAACGTATAGCGACCGTCCTAGCCGTGGTCACAATCTGCATTAAATCTGCACCAGTACATTTATCCGGAAGTGCAGCTGCTACTTGCTCCAAATCAACTTCCGGTCGTAGGTTATAGCTAAGAAATACAACAATTTAGTAAAAGATATTTTTAAGACGTGTGTCTCACTTTGTCTTTTAGACTAAGTTTGACATTTAAACCATATCTTACTGCATTTTGTTGTAAATAACTTGTGGGGGTCAAACAATTTAGGGAAGATAAGAATAACTCTATAGAAATATATATGGTTACTTTCATAGTTTACAAAGACAGTAAGAACTATAGGAGTTTATTGAGATTTTACATCTGATATCAGCTATTTCACATACTACCATTATACATTCTAAAATTATACTAGAACAAGATATATATACATAAATTTATACATATTATGTACTTTACTACTTTGGGTAGTTAAATTACCTTCGACATAACGCTTTAAGTACTGAGCTTTTCTCTTGTAAACCGCAGTAGGGTCCTACGTATATCAGCTTGTCGAGGCGACCAGGTCTAAGTAGGGACTGCTCTAACAAATCTGGCCGATTCGTTGCACCCATAACGAAGACAAAGCTCGATGTATCTGAATCTATAACAATAAATCAAAAGTAAACGTTAAAACGTTAGGAAAAATATAGTATATTTTTCCTAACTTGGCTGAAGACCACAACAAATATGGCCGATTTCAAACCATAGAGAACTAGTGAAGACCTTTTATAGAGGGAAGTCGTTGTCACAGATGACACAGGGATAAAGAAATACCTTTATATATGGACCAAGCGACTGCAATATTCAAAATCAAATTAAGATCTTCTTTTAAATAAAACACTTTAACGGTTTAAAACGCGATATATTAGTTAAACTTATTTGAAATTTTTTTTTAAGTTCGGCCTGACGTTTCGGATGCTTTGCAACAGCCGTGGTCACGGGGAAGTTTAACTAATATATCGCGTTTTAAACCGTTAAAGTGTTTTATTTAAATGTGTACTACTCGCGTAAACTATAGACAGTATTAAGGTCTTCTTTTTTAGTTTTTTATTTTATTAATATTGAACTCAACATTGGTAACGCTATTCAGCGATCTCGCATAAGTGTCCACCTTCTTTAGTCGTTGACTTTGCTTCCGTCCCATCCTTATATCAATTCATTTTTAGGATTTTTATGTAAATTGTGTTTTTTTACCAAAAATTTCAAATTAGAAGAAATACGCTACAATTGTTTTACGAATGATATCTTACCAACGTCATTAACGGGGTCTAGCTCAGCTAGCAATTGGCTCACTACTCTATCGCTTGCTCCACCCGAATCACCCGCTGCGCCCCGCCGCGGCGCAAGCGCATCCAATTCATCCAGAAACACTATGCATGGGGAAGATGAACGGGCCGATTCGAATACTGTAAATATTAAGCATTGTTATTGTGGTAGACATGAATATTGGAATTTTAATACACAAAATAGATTTGTTTGCAAAGGTGACTCTCAGTTTAAGTAATTGTATTTGTTATTATTTTATACTAATGACCTGACCTTTTCTAACATTCTCTTCTGACTGTCCTATGTACATATTTAATAGCTCTGGCCCTTTGACACTCATGAAGCTAACATTAAGTTCTGTGCTGACTGCTTTCGCTATTAAAGTCTTTCCACAACCCGGAGGTCCATATAGTAATATGCCTTAAACAAAAAGTATCAAATCCAGTATTGGGCTTTAAAACGTGAAATGTATTAGTTAAATTATTGTTAATTAATCTTACTACGAATCGGTTAATTACTTCGCCTTTTATTCAGATGCGAGTTATTTTTAAATATGTACTACTGGCTTAAACTACAACAATACTTAATTTAATTTGTTTACATTAGACAACCAATCGTTTTTGGAAATTCCCAGAAGGTAGTTTGTCTAAAAGTGTCTACCTGATCTCTTGAGACTTGAATTTTTAAATAAATGAGGAAATTTTATGGGAAACTCTATAGTCTTGAGTAGTTCCTTTTTGAGTTTTTCCAAGCCTCCTATGTCTTCCCAGTACACTTTGGGTATCTTTGGTGCATCCAAATGTTGACTTTGTAAACTTCGTATTGATTCTGAAAAGTATTTTCAATTTAACTTGATTAAATTAAATTATTAGAGCATTCTATTTGTTTTCCATTTGTCTTAATATATGCTACCCTGTACAGGAGAGCGCTGTGAAGAAACTTATTATCCTAGAATTGAAGAATCGACATGCCTACATGACGTTTTGGCGAGCAAAGCAAAATACACTTACAACAAAAAGGGTAAACCTAAGAAGGTGATCAGATTCCCAGCAGTGGGATTTATTTAATGGCTAATAAATACCTAGAGCACAATTAAAGTCCTCTTCATGCAATACATGTAAATTAGGATCTTGCGGCAACTGAGGATAGTTGTCTATCTGTTTCATAAACGATTCTCTAAGCGCAAAATGCATTAGTGCATCTAAATGACCATATAGGAATGTTTCTGTCTTTGACGCAAGTCTTTGCAGTACTTCCTTAGAATGTTGGCTTAAGTAATTATTTAATTTGTCTTTTATTTCAATATTTTTACATTCTCGGTCGATTTGATTATCTATATTCAACTCCATTGCAGACGTGAACCACTGTAACATATCAAATCTCTGTTGAGCGTTTGGCTTTAGTATGTAGAATTTTTCCAAAAACATCCTCATTATATTCGGTTTTAGATCTCGATTTTCTGTGACAGCAATAAATATTATGGTATGCTTTGTGTAGTTTTGATATAGGTCTGTTAGAGTGTTGATGAAATATTCCATTATTCTGTGATCTTCATTGTTTTCAGGGTCTACAGCAAACACCTGTAATCATTTGAAAAATGTCTTTTTTTATCAATTTGAAAATATTTATTATCAGAGTTATAAAGAGGGTACAAAGGTCAAGCTAACTGATACAAAATATTTAATTTCTAAAAACACAAAATTAATGGAATTGAACTTAACAGATAACAATTTAATATTAGTTTTTTTATGTGTCAAAAGGCAAAAAATGTATCTGTCCTTTCTTTTTTTTTAGCTTAAGAAAAGTACCTCAATATTATCCAACAAAACTAATGTAGGTGCAGCTGCTTTAGCCTTCTGTATGGACGCATATATTTTGCTCTCAGTTTGTTTAGATGTGGTGCTTTGTAGTATGTTGCAGTCAATAGGAACATAGTTAAGTCCTGTAATTTAAAAATAAAAAAAAATATTAGTAAAAATAACAATAGTGAGCATTTATACGGTTTTAATAATTTGAAACAATTCAAAGCAAGTTTTTTAAACTTTTATGACCTGCCTAATTGTTCTTGTATCCCAAATATTTAAATGGATTATGTTAATTTAATTTGTTTGTAAAACTTTACTAATCATAAACACCACAGAAAAGGTTTACATATTTGGGAAGGGAAGGCAAAACAAAAATAAGGTAAGTGGTGGTAGAGAAGATCATGAAAAAGAAAGACACTGAAAATTAAAAAAAGACTTGATGACTGAGGACTTTTAATTGTTTGCTATTCTATTTCATTGGCTAATTCTTAGTGAAATTAACTCATTTTCTTACAACTTCTATCTCCAACTTACCATTACATTTAGCCAAAGTTTTTACTAAGAGATGTCTTCCTGACCCCGATGGCCCACTGACAAGGAACATTGGTATTATAGGACTTGCCATAGAATCTGACAACAAATCTAAAATAATAAAGCTAAGTTATTTTTTTTACTTATCTGTATGTACTAAACATATCAAATAATGGTATTACTCATATCTCCATTTCCATCCAAAAAAGGCTCAATACATTCCTGAATTTGTTCAAATTTTTCCTTCAAGCCCAGTGGACATAAATGCATTGAACTATTTAATCCTGGCATATTGCAAAATTGATTCTTTGGTTTCACTGAATGTTTGTTTTCACCTAACGTCAGTTGTGTAACACCTTTTACCAAATACAAGGTCCTTGTTGTGTTTCTCTGCACATTATTAGTATCAGTAGAGATCTTGGTACATTGAAAAATAATTTTTCCACTAGACTCAATAAGATCTAAATATTTATAATGGTACTTGGCAGTGACTTCTTCTGTTAGGTCTATGCTAATAAAATCACTTTCACTTATTAACTTTGGCTTTTCAAAATAATTATTTAATATTTCCTTGAGAAAATCATTAGATACATCATAATCATTTGCGATTAGATTAAGCTCAGCATTCGAAGCAATCTTGGGACTACTCTCAAATGATTGCATGGGATGAAATGATACCTCAATATTATCTTCACTCTTCAAACCAAAAGCTCTGACAAAGTTGTAATGTTCAGTTTCAGTGGTATAGGCTACATTTTTGATAAGTTTTGATCCAATTATTGGAACAACTCTAACATTATCTGAAGGATCAACAGAATTTGTGCATAAACTTTTATTTAGTTCTGAAGTAAAGTTTAAGTTAAATTTTGGAAAATTACTCGCTCTTTGTGATGAGTTTTCCAGTTTGAGTTTCTTAAATGCTGGTGATAAAGTCACAGTTACCCATAAAATTCCATTATCAACATAGAAAAAGTTTTCCACACATAAATCTATGTAGCTATCTTTTGGTATTATTATGCATTTATGTCCCAGAATATTTATATAGTCTTCTGAAATATGTTCCCTTAAAATAGATGTTATAATATTGTCAGGGAGGGTTTGAAGTGGGAACATATTATAAGAGTTTGTCTTCAAAACTTTTCTAATTTGTATCCTGGATTTAATTGCAATAAACACCAAAAATATGTCGACATTAAACTTTGGATATAATATCTTCAAGCACAACTTTATCACGTTAAGAAACAGTAAATGTTTATCCTCCATAATATTAAATTAGAACTTTTAAACTTTTACCAAATAAACAAAAAATATGTGGTATTTTCTGTGACGTTTTTTCCATAATACGTATACCTAATAACGATAATTTTCTTAATACATTTTCCTTTTTATTTATCACACTTTGCAGTCGGTGCCTCTTCGTATTAAATATGATTACTACTGGTTAGCGAATGCTAACTTATATAATTTATGAATCAAGTACGAAGAATTTTATCGCGATATATGTTAAGTATAATAATAATTCAATGATATAAAATAATCAAAACAAATTGTATATTATAAATGTTATATATTTTCAGTTTTCACTTTACGTCATACAACATGTCAAAATGACACCAAATAAAACGCCAAACATTCCAGACAGCTGTCGCTGTCTTTATCTAATCAAAAACCCAATGTGTAATTAATATGTCGCAAAATATTTGTTAGACATAAAAAAATATATTACAATATTGTGTCAAATTTTACTAAAGAAACATATTTGTATTATCATCAATGTATTTATCTTGGTCATCTTTTAACAACATTAGGATGTTATTAATGGCGTGTATGCCAGTTATTATATTCTATTTAATTTGGCTGATAAATACTTCTGAAGGGATTCGAAGTGAGGAAGGAAGTCTGTTAGACCTTGTTTGCTGGCCAGATGGCAATGCAATTCCAGTTATTATCACGTGTAGCTCAATCATTGCTGTCGTGATTGAGGTGGGTATAATTCGGCCGACGTAACTTGGCAAGTCCGAACAGAGGTTAGACAAACTTTGGCGCATGTACACTTGTAAAGAAACCTAATGCTGCCATTTATTTTCGTTAGTGGGATAAATGAAAAATTTTATCTAAAGCAAGCAAAAGTAACATACCAATAATTGATTCAAAGAGAATAAGGGCTACAAACACTTATCTTTCACTAAAATACAGAGACAAAACAAAAATATAACTAAAGAGATATAATAATATTAAATTTGACAATAAGCAATCACTTTTCTAACGGTCTGCGCTCAAAGACAGAGACGACGAAATTAACGCCAAGGAGTGACCGAGACACACGAAAGCGAGCTTTACGAAAGAACCAAATAGAGATGTCCATACGCAATCCTTGAGAGTATCGTTTAATCGATTCCTATTGAAATAGACAAAATTGGATCGTAGAAATATAATTGTATAAAACGCCCTGAAATATATAAATACATTTACTATAGGTAGTTATAATGAAAAAAGTTTTTAATGATTTTATTTTCCTTTAAAGGTAATCATGGTATTGTTTATTACACACCTTACTTGCTCATTCCATTTATATATCTAACGATTTAAATCTTATTAATAAATGATAAAAATGATTACAAAATTTGAAAGAAGTCGATTGTGTTGACATTGAGTCAATCACTAGCCTAGATATTCGTCCCGCGCCCTTTCGCTCTTACCACCGTTAACATCCTAAAGAACGTTTCTTGCAGCGTTTCGCGCTTAGATCAGGCTTGCCAAGTTACGTCGGCTGTATTGTACATCATGTATTCTTTTATTTTTTCCTTGTCGGATCTACGGGTTTGCCAGTAGGTACATAGAAGAATGCGCAAGATATATATTCTAAATAACGATTCAATTTTTAAGTAGATCACAGCTTGACTGCCACTTTGCCTCCTATCATCGTTTTTTTTTATATAGAGGAGAACAGACAAACATGGGGTACACTTGATGAGAGGTGAAATATCTTATCCATATTTGGATTAGGAAGACTGATCTTCTTTCCTCTAAATAAAACCAATGTGCGAAACGGATACAGTAATAGGTCTACCACATGACAGAAAGACGTGGTTTTGACTCGTACAGATTATATACCAACTACGGATACTACTTCTCAACGTTAGGCATGGGTAATAGGTATGAATTATGACCAATTCACGATTGACGTACACTAAATAAAATAAAGTTACGTAGGTATTTCAAATTGTATAAAATTTACATGTTACTTAAACACATATATTACTGTGCGTTAATTTATTTTTTATTGTATTTTTTGTGGTATCTTTGACGTAGTCTACTTTCCAATTTATTTGTCGTAGTTATATGGCCTGTATCAGCTGTTTGAAGCTGGTCTACCGAAAAGGGAGTACAATGTAACGAACGGATTATTTTACTATGTGTGGTCTTTAATCATAATGATCATACTATTTCTTGCTATCATGTTTTATTCAGGCTTGCAATCGACGATAATAAGAGGTATTTGAAAATTGTTAATATTTTTTACATGTTATTTGAACATGAAGGCACTATGTTATTTAAAAATCGAGAATAAGTAAAATAAGTAGGACTTGGTAGCTCAATTGGTAGAGCAACAGCACGGAACGCTGACGATGCCAGTTGAAGTCCTGCCCGAGTCAAAAATATTTTTCAATTTATTTTCGATGTTTAAATAAGAGGTATTATTATTAAATGATTTTTAACTATGGCCCGCAAAGGTTTCTAATAAAAGTTGGGTCTTAAGTAAAAATAGAAAAAAAATAAGTTAATATTTTAACGAAAATTTAATGCATTATTTAAGAGGTAATTTATTTACGTTTTCAAACAAAGAAATGGTTCTTGCGTGTGAATATTAAATAGATCTGATTTTTTCCTTATCGCTAATGTATACTTATCGAGTCTTTTGTGTTTGTTCACAAATATATTTTATTTAGCTAAAATCAAAGGCGGCATAAGTAAAGCAATGCTGCGTTATGCAAATCACCTTCCGTCTAAAATAGCAATAGATCGATTACAAACGAGATTTCACTGCTGCGGAAGAGTGCGTTACCAGGAGTGGTTCTTTATACCTTGGTACAGTGCTGGACAGAGCACGGACATATTGTTAGTATCTTTGGGAAAAAAATACATGCATACGATTTTTTGTTAGTATTTGGTATTTTTGTAAGTAAAATTTTTTTACATGTTTCCTATCCTTGTTGACTTTTACAATTTTATTTGTTTTTCTCCCTCTTAGTAACTACTGGTTCGCATTATAAAAATATATTAGTAATGGATAGACTATTTATCGAGGACGCCTTTTGACCATATAACATCACACTGTAACCAAAAGGATGAATTTAGAAATAACGGGGAAAATTACTTCTACGAGTGTTTCCGTGCGCGCGCTGAGAAAACGGTTCTGAAAACCAAAAATGTGTATAAAAGAGTGTTCTTTAAATTAAAACATTGAATATATTTTAATAAGTTTAGAATATCATCTGTACTCTTATGTTTGTACCATTTTTATGCAAGTAGTTTTAGGTAAGACTAATTTTGTTTCTTAATTTAGGTCGCTACGAAAATTTGTAGCAGACAATGTCCCATACAGCTGTTGTTCGATGAATATAATGCAACCTTGCATCCACCATGGCGTTACTAAGAAAGGCACCATTTATAAGTACGACCCGTCGGTATGTAGAAATTAGTTTGTACTTATATACAATACCTCAAAAAAAACACTTAAACTATTCTTATTGAATTGTTTTAGAGTAGGGCAATGTAATATTTACTTACCTACATTAAGTTTATCGCTTTGCCTTATAATATTAGTAGTCATTAGATCTCACAGAAATCCCTCTTTTAATGGCTCATGGGAAATAAGGGTTGATGATGTTATGGTGTAACGTTATCCCCTAACCACGGGTCATATTCACACACAGTAATATATGGGAATCCATTAACCTTCTATTTCAGTCACAATTGACGATATGGGAAACTGGCTGCGAGGAGAAACTGATAAACGAAATGATGTCGGTTTCGTGGCGTTTCAATGCTGTGATGTCGCTCATAATAATTGCGATGGTAGATAAACCTTGATATTGTTTATACGAAGTTAGAAAATTGACCTTCCAAAATATCATCTTCATGAGGTTAATAATTCCCACAAGTGGGATTCGGCCTTTCCCTGGTTATGGGTAGCTTATGACCAAAAATATAATCCGTTGATTGTCGTAGACTATAATAGCTCGTAGCAATTTGCAGTTTTATTGAAGGTACATACGATATGTCAATTGCTAGTTAGTCCGAAATAGCTGCGCGAGATCCCGAATATTGTATTTAACAACTTTTAATTTTTGCAATCGAATTAACTTCACGATCTATTATTACTTTTTGTGTTACCAAATATATATATGTACATCTGTATCATTACTTGCACATGACAACTTACATAATATATTGACTTAAATCATTTGTTTTTATCAATCTTGTAATCTATCATAAGTTTTTTTACTTTTCATGTCACAAAGATTATTTTCAGATTCTCCAAGTGATTGCAGTTCGCTTTTTGCATACGGCGTATCGTAATGGCTTAAACGTGGGTAACCCTGGCTCCTGCTACGCTTATTTACTACGTTCTGACACTAAGGTCCAGGCTGGTCGAAAGAAAACCTGCCGCAAGCGCAAACCTCGCCAAGCACGAACTTTGCAATGGGTCACAGCCACGTATCGCCCAAAGTATAGATACACGACGTCGTCCCAGTCAGATTTTAATAGCTCCGATGAATTGTTGAAGCCAATTTATGAATAGGCCCTTGTAGTGAATCGGGCGTAATGTACTTACGGCTAATAATCGACGAGTCGTCGCTCGATTGCCACCGGGTCCAACATGTTCCTGATTCTTACCTGACCTACATCCTTACTAATATTATAAATGCGAAAGTAACTCTGTCTGTCTGTTACTCTTTCACGCCAAAACTACTGAACGGATTTGAATGAAATTTGGTATACAGATGGTCTAAACCCTGAGGAAGAACATAGGCTACTTTTACTTTTTATTGCGAAAAGGGGTTGTAAGGGGTTAAGGAGGGGGGGGGGTGGATGTTTGTGGAAACATTTTTGAAGCTAAACAATGAAACTTTCTTTGGCTTTATGGGAGTGGGAGTTAGAGTGAGGAGTGATCTGAGGAGAGAGTGTTGCGGCAAAGTAGCACTTACAACATAGATTGGGCGATAATGCGCAATTACATAAATTTATAAATAGCGTCACTATTCCACGCGAACGAAGTCGCGGGCACAGGTAGTATTTTATATACCTACTTCTCGATAGTAAGCCGACTTAAACTTACATACAATTTTAATTTATAAGGAATAATTGAAATAAAAATTACCTAGAGCACTTAATTGGTTTTATTAAAAGGAGGAAAATAAACTAAAAATGAAACTACCATAATTATTTTACTATTGTATTTTATTCAAAGCACCGTTTTTTATCTAATTAGTAATTATTAACAATGCCAGCAATAAAATTTAATAATAATAATAAATTTTAATCCTCTCTTAGAACAATAATGACATATAAATATCCTTAAGGAACGTTGGGTGCAACACATCAAAAATACTGTGACAAAAAATAAGTTACAATTCACGTAAAATAATTAAGGGGTATTTTAATTTTAATTTCTTTTATTTAAATGTCCCAGCCCGTGCAAGTTTACTCTGATATAGTATTTATGTTACTTCTCTGATAAAAATTTCTGGATCTTATCCGGTTCGGCAAGTTCTCTTATGCGATGAAGGTTGTCCCACCATAGTTTAAGGCGGTGACGACGAATCATGTTAAACCATGGGGTCAATGGTCCTTCAAGCGTCGGTATGAAACTAAAAAAAAAAAAAGTTATTATATTGTTGTAAAAGAACACCTCTGCAAGCAAATAGCTTTAAGTCTGATTTTATTGTCAGAATAATAGTTTAGTAGTTCTTGAATCATCCAGTACATAACAGTACTAAGGGAAGTTGTTGAGAATGACAATTGACACAGACAATGTACCTAGCACAGTTTGTACAACACCATCGTGAAACTGCCGGCCGTTGGTTTGAATCCCGTCTGTATTGAATACAATTTTATTAAGACTTACGCATTAAACTCGCTCTTCGGGATAAAGCAGTACTCGGAAATCTCGTCTGAATTTGGCTTAATCTTTACATCGCTTTGGAAGAACAGGATATGATCTATCTCATGTTCTCCCCACACTCCGTCACCAGGATCATGATAGTGTACACGAGTTAGGTACGTGAACATCTCTGGATCCATCTATAAAAATTGCACAGGCTACAGCACTTTTTCGTATTTAATATAACAAGAAAAGGTCGGCAATAAAACATGCAAGGTTTATACTGCAGCATAACTAAATGTAGCAGCATAACATGACAACATGATTTTACGTTCAATTAAGCATTGATTACTATGCTTATATTCATTTCCATCTAAAAAAGAAAAAGTCTCACCTTATCCAAAGGTATTCCAAGCTCATGATTCATTCTTCGCCTAGCAGCTGTTATAATGTCTTCAGGTTCCCCATCAATATACAAAGGATGACTACAGCAAGCATTTGTATAATAATCTGGATAAGTTACCTATATAAAAAGATTAATGTAACTCAAATATTAATATTTATAACAAGACTTATACTTCCTGTAACATAGTTGATATTATATTTATTATTGTTCTCAAATCATTACCTTCTGACTTGCTCTTCTCTGTAGCAACATATCACCTCTATTGTTGAAGAAAAATACACTAAATGCCCTATGGAGGGGCACGTGTCCATCAGGACCTACACTATGGCACACTCTCTTTGTTGCAGTTCCTATCATATTGTCCTTTTCATCCACAAGTAGGCAAATATCCTTATCTAAAGCAAGCATCTACAAAACAAAAAAGATATAAACATAATAACTTTCCATTAGCATTAGTCACATCTAGAAAAAATATTTTTAATATTTATCATTGTTATTTTGATAAAAGGACGAAACAGGGATTTTTTTATGAAAGATGAGAAAAGACAAGTTTGGGAATCACTAGATGGAAGGTGGAATATCCCAGCCATAACACCTTAACAAGATGGACTGTCAACCTTTTTTGTCTTTTTCCATTGGAAACCCACAGACTGAAACCAAAATGCAATTAAAATTGGCGGCTTTCTCATCTATGGCCGTAATTGACACAGATGGAATTTTGATATTTTTTATCTTTAAGTTATTAAGCTTATTAAAACCAAATACATACTTGTGTAGGTTCCACTCCCTCCGTTGCATTCTGGTCTGGTGCTGGTTTACTTGGATCAGATGACATAAACCTTTTTCCTGGTTTGAAATTGTTGCTCCATAGTGTCCGAGCAAATCTTCTCATAAGCATCTTCAAAGGGAAATGTACAAGCAAAAATTTATAAATAAGAATGAAACAAGTTTTATCTTGAATTTGAATAGCATGATCTAAATATATTCAATTGTGGTATAACAATACATGTTAATGAAACTTAAGTATTTCTATTGCATTAGCATTTTTCCTTATCTTTCTTTGAAAAGGAAGCTCGCAGATATGGGTATTTTAATGTAAATAATTTAATAGTTATGGAGGTCTCCAATAAAAATGGAATCTTCAGGACTGCAAGAATGTTACTAAAGATGTTATTTATTTAAAGTATCAATGTTGCTATATACTGGCTGATCATGAAGGTGTAAACAAAGAAAAAATAAACACTTTCTCAGTCACCTACAGTACAGTAGTTTGTGGATAAAAATGTAAAACATAAAATGTATCATGCTGATTTTTCTCACAATTTTCTTTATCAAAGAAAAAGTGTTATAATACTTTTGCTACTTCAAACACTTAATCCTACTTAAGAAGTAGCTTTTAATAAGCATAAAATAATGTTGATTTAAAGATTAAGATCCTTGTTTTGGTCTATTGCCATTGCATACTAGGATTGCAATTCAGGTGATGGTTGTTTAACTGTTTTATTGTAAAGAATTTGAAATAAAACTTGGAAACAATATTGTGTAGACAGTATTGCAACTAAACTGATCACCTTAATTAGCTCTAATGTTTTGCTCATTAAGAATCTTATATATTATTTACTTAAACCTTCTATAATAAATTAGTGCTACTTATTGACATGGAAGTATTTGAATTAAATAATTACATACCTTTTTAGCTTTATTAAGTCATTTGATATGCAGTAACTATGAAAAGGCACGCACTTACTGATGATCTCTCAGGAATTATCAAACTCTACAAATAAAAATTGCAGTTCTGATTTGTACTTGTTGAAGCCTTCGCCGACCGAGTGGCTCTACATAAAATCTTTATATTAATAAAATGTTCTTGTAATGAAATAAGTTATTAGGTCTCAGATAAGGACGACGTCATAAACTTTTACATGTCATTTACAGATGTATGGTGTCATTGTGAAAATGACAGTACTTGACGTCAAACCATTAAGAGTTTTTTTTTTATGACCATTAAAGTAATTAAGTTAGACCATAGATTCTACTGCATGAGTAATATAAAAAAATTGAATTCTCAAATAAATCTGATATACAATAAAAAATCCTTAGATATGATTTTTAAACAGACGCATAATGTAATAAATATCTATGTCGTATAAGTCGTCTTTTAAATGGCTTGACATTTCTAAAGGTTATATTGATTGCACTACGCTTAGTTAAGTTGCTATACAAATAATAATTATACTAATACCTAATCTAAATTAAATCTTGTTGTCACTTGGTAAATGATCTGAAATAAACTAAATTAATTAATGATCTGATTTTTTATATTTTTTCTACCACCATAGACTATATGGGGTAATTTAAAATGTACCTGGGGTAGCAACATTTGTTTGTGATTCTTTCCGATTTCAAGATGGTGAGTGTTCACGCAACGTTTAAACAATTTTTCTAAAGTTTCTTAAAATTCTTTATTTCTTGTCATTTTACTTGGTGAATTACGTTTCTACGTAAAGAAAATTTATACTTTCACTATAAATACCCAACGCTCGAGTTGCATACAACTGAAATAATAAATAACCTCGTGGTGACAATATGACTTACCGCGTTGTTGTAATTTACAGCCGCCCAAGAAGGACGCGAAATCTTCGGCGAAACAGCCACAAAAAACACAGAAAAAGAAAGAAGGATCCGGTGGCGGCAAAGCCAAAAAGAAGGTAAATAACGATGGTAAAGTTAGGTTATGTGGCATGTAATCTAACTGTTACAATATTATTTTTAAATACAAATATTTGAATATTAAAGACATTAAATATTTAAAATGCGTAATTTTGAATTACAGAAGTGGTCCAAAGGAAAAGTTAGGGACAAGTTAAACAACCAGGTGTTGTTTGACAAGCCCACATATGAGAAGCTGTACAAAGAAGTCCCTCAGTATAAGCTCATCACTCCCGCCGTTGTTTCCGAAAGGCTAAAGGTCCGAGGTTCATTAGCGAGACGAGCACTCATTGAACTTAGGGAAAAAGGTTTGCATTTTTTCTTCTACACATTAGGGAAGAACTTTAAAACAAGTTATCTATATATTAGTAAAATTTGTTTTTATATATTGCGATTAGAGTAGCAATTATTTCAGTATACTTTTTATAATATAATAGTAGAATGTTATTATTTTTTACATGTTAATAGTGGCACCAGATACACATTGGCAAAATTCAATTATATTTCTTCAAAAGTCTTTTAATTTTCATCTGAAATACATCTTTTATTGTTTCATATTGATTAAAATATACAAAATTGTCATGCATCAAACTCATTGCATGAATGCAAATTCAGCAAGAAACTACCCTTTTTTGCTTAAAATCAAATGTTTATTTGGAGCACTTATTATGTTTAATATGATGATCACTTTTTTCTGGATTAACCATGACAGTTAAAAACTGATATATTGAGTCTGATTTTTATCATAGTAGGCATATTTAATTCAAAGAAACAATACATATATTACAAAAAGGCAATGTTTGTTTCAGGCTTAATCAAGCAAGTGGTCCAACACCATGGTCAGGTCATCTATACCAGAGCAACCAAGGGTGATGACCCTGCGGCTTAAATTATGTTTAAGGTTAAAAAATAAACACAAAAAAAATTAAACAGTGTATTTTTTATCAAAATAAACCCTTGGTTTGTTTACCGTACATTAACTTTTTTATTATCAAGATCCATTGCAAATCTGGTAGATGGATATAGATCTCTGAGCTTTTCTTTTAAATTTGCTGAATGTTCTTCATTGGCTGTTTCCACTACTATGTTAGCCTGAAAATAATTTTCTTTTATTAGTCAACCACATCAAAATAAGCCACAACTTCTTGAGCTATTTTAAAATAGTGAAGTCCAGCAAGTTAGTTGCTTGATCACTGGCTTTCCAGTAAGTAAAATATATCACTACAGAAATATGAAATCAGTGATACTTAGTTCCGGATGTCCACTTACAGCTTACAACATTTGGTGCGCCATTTGGTCAATTAAAGCATTATGATTCTTATGCAAAGCATTAGCATATCGGGAGTTCTAATAAAATAACCTAAGGTTCGCAGGTTTTCACTCTGTTGAGGTACTTTAAACTTACCCAAGTAACCAGTACATCACTGACCACCCACATTTGCTCGGTGACAAGGCTTTTTAAAACAGCGTGTTGATCTGAAATTGTTTTAGCGAGTTGCTCCAAACCAGCTGGGTGGTCTGGGACAGCCACTCCGAATCTAAGCAATCGCCCAGTTGCTCCCAAACCGCGTTGTATTGTTCGAGCCAGTCGTCCCGAGTCTATGTTACCGCTGCTAATTACACACACCAGTCTAAAAAAGATTTTAAGTATGCCGTATACTTTTTAAATAAGCTTCAATTATAAGAAATTTTCTTTATATAAAGATAACCTCACCTTAATATTGCAGAAGGTCGGGATATAATTTTTCCTTATTAATATCTCCCGACAGCAATCCCAAAATACCGCGATTGTATAAATTTTTTTCTTATATTTTAACTTAAGATCGGGCTTGGGTTAGCTAGCTATTATTTTTAAAATAAAAGATATTACCAACTCTATATTTAAAAACAAACCTCTTCCCTCTCAACTCGGGCACTAAACCCTGCATCACAGCCGCTAGCGAGCACACACCAGCTCCATCAGCAACTAGCCGCTCGCGCTCCAACATACTGACTATTGCTTTTGCTATGTAACACTCATCTACTAAAAGCTGCCAAGTAAATTAGTTCTATTACCCAAAAAGGTTTCAGAAGAAGTTCACCTAGTACATTACAGAGTACACAAACATTTTTTGGTCTTATATTGTTATATAAGGTCCAAACTGTCTAGCGGTTTACAATCAGTCGGCACATTTTGTACCGCAAATCAGCATACATTTACTTCTTTACACATTTACTTTCATTACATCTTTCAGAGATCCGGAAGATTGTAATCTACCAAAGACGGAAGACTAAGGCTTAAGACGCGGTTGGCAATATTATAAATTATTTGATCATTTACAATTTAAATATGACAAAATTTTACTTGCCATTCTGTCAAGTCTGCCCTTAAGAGTAGCAAATGCATTAGCTCCAACTATCGAGGCGTTTAGGTTTTGGGCTAAGTTGGACACAATGGGCACGGTCTCCGGCTTTCCTGCTTGCAGAGCTTTCATCATTTTCGGAACCTTCGCGCATTCTGCTCCCTATTGTTAAATAATAATAATAAAAAACATGAAGAATATATTAGTCAATTAATTATTGAATATGTCAAAAAATAATTATTTCCAATAATAGATAATTCTTAATATAATCTTTACGACATTGTTCCGTCTTCCAAGCATTTATTTTCCTTATACTATATAACCAATGTGTAATTTTGTTTTTCATACATAGACAAGACAGGAACATTTGAGCTTTTTGCACGCCACAAGAACAGAAGCCAGCAAGGCTCCGCTGGTAACTGGAACAATGACAGCGTCCGTCTCGGGTAACTGCGTGATTATCTCCAAACCCACGGTGCCTAAGCCGGCCATCACCAGCGGGTCATCTGCACTGTTGGAATTAATCAATTTCAGTCATGCAAATCTTCAGTGTCAAATTCCACTAAAAATTCGAAGTCAACTCGATTTAACAGTTATCTTCATTCAGTGTGAGGTTCTAAAAAGAAATATATAAAAGTAAATATTCACCCCGTGTGCATACGTGGTTCATTTTACCCGTTGGGGTCGAACACCTATATATAAGCATTCTTTTAGGATCAAACCAAATGAAAAATCATTTATTTATATAGTCTAACCACAACAACATTTGATGAGTATCACGAACAGCTTTACTGGCGTAATATTTAGCTTCTTCTATATTATCGCCGTGAATAATTACGTCGGCGCCGAGTTCTGTACAACGATGAGCCTGGGCCGGTGAAACCCTTTCTGGGAGTACTACCGTTACCTGTAATATTCGGTAGGTAAATCAGTTTATACTCACTTGAATGAAACATTTACAAGTAAATAAAACAAAAAGACGTGAGAATTAATAACTTAACTACAAACGTTGCTGAGCTAAACCTTGGACCGAAATCCACTGTGTTTTGTTTCGCTATCAGAAAAAATGTTTTATATGAGTAACTAAACAAAAAAAAACGCGAATAAAGTCGAAATAATAACTTAAAAAAGTATACATACATTATATTTATTTTTTAAATATTTAAAATAAATTAACCATAATTACCCCAAACAAAAATTGTTAAAAAAATACATATTATATTTTGCTACAAATAATAAAATATGTTGTTTAGAGTTACGAGGTTTTTACAGGTAATGGGCCGTTCAAGTATTACTAAGCAGATTTATTACAATTATTTACCCCCCCATCCCCCTTGTCAGCAAAAGTAAGCAAAACCTTTTCCCCCCCCCCCCCCGCCCCAGCTTACGTAAACATTTTTCAATAAAAAATGTGGTGGTTGCCATTCGTGTTAAAAAATTAATAAATATCCCTGCCCCCCCAAGGTAAATCACATGCCCTCCCCCCCCCCCCCCCCCCCCCCCCCAAAAAAAACCCAACCCCCACCCACCCTAAACCCCCCCCCCCCCCCCCCATAGTGCTTACGAAATACTTGCACGATCCTAAATCTACAGAATTACAAATCCACATATAAGACGATATGTATGCATGTAGATAGTTAGTATTTGTATATATGATAATGTGATTAAAATATTGAGGTTTTTACAGGAATTCTAAAAGGACCACTGTGATAAGCAGCACCAAGAGCCATGTTTCCATTTGAAGGCACTATAACGCCATTTTCTCGCATTTCGTCTCCTTTTGCTACAAATGCATTTCGGATACCTCGTTCTGCGCAACTGCAAACAACATCAGCACCATTCGTTAATGCAGTTCTATTATATTCTAATATTTGAAGAAGAACGACAAAATAGAACTGTAGATCTCTTCCAATAAGAAGAATCCGTCCTTCAAAGAACGTTTCTATCCCGAACAAATCATATATGCCATTAAATTAGTAATCGTCCTTCCCCACTTCTGGAGTGGTACGTTTTAAAATATGGTAACACTTACCTTCCAGTATATTGCAGATTCTCGCATTTCAAATATATGTTGTAATCCATGAATTTGCTTATTTTGGCTTCCTGTTGACACAACGAGGGTTATTAGGTGTTAAGTAAGATGAAAGAGGATTCAAACAATTCATAAAACGTAACCTCACACAGAGTGGTGTATGTATTATACCATCATCTATCCTTTCGGCTGCTTGTTTAATTTCACCAAAAGATAACACTCGAGTTTGTTCTACGGCAATATCAGAATTATCCTAAAAACAAGCTGTCATTTACGCAAATGGTAGGAAGACGGTATATAAAACGCTTAACGGTTTAGAACGCAACTTATATTAGTTATATAGTTTGCTACCGTGACTATAAACTGTTTATGTGTTATGTATAACGTTTCTTCTTAATTAAACCTACTTATCCTGGGCACGGCTGCAATAGTGCCTCACATTAAAATAAAACGAATATATTAAACGATTCAAAGTATTTTTAAATTTGTAAACTACAATATTATTCAAATATGTTGCAGAAAAATGTTTATATTTCATATAGGTAGCTTAATCCTTACCATTATATTTTATCAAGGTAGAAAGTAATAAATCTAATCTTGAGATTTCATATATCTTATATATATAATGTTTTATTTAATACTTGTTATAATTTTTCACGATGTAAGTAGTTTGTAAGATTTTTTTTATGAATATGTCATTTCAACAATTTAAGAATTTTATTTAGCAGACATATTGTCTGAAACCATAACTTGAAGACTCGTAATTTATTCTACTTTTATATTATGACAAGAAGGTTTGATAAACCGATTAATTACGAATAATAATGAATAACTACGATTTAAACCGTTTTTAAAGGCAACATAATTTTCCCTCTCAACCTATCACGCTGCCAACATATCTGTTAAGATCTTAACTTGTTATTCGGTAGTTTTCTAAGTGAAAATAGCACATTTCGTACAATTAAATAATATTTATTTGGTAATACGGGAAATCTTTTAACAGTTTCTTCTCAACCTCTTTGCCGTGATTCGCATCTGTTACTTCAAGCAATAAATTGACCTGAAAACAAACATAGATCTGTATACATTTTCGAGACTATACTTACTATTGTCGTGTTGAAGAAAACCTGTATTAAATTTTAAATAGGAGGCAAACGAGCAGGCGGATCACCTAATGGGAAGTTATTTTCTGCCGCCCATGGACATCTACAACATCAGGCCTCCTGGAGATCCTTTTATAAAATAATATGCTCTTGTTTTGTAGGTCCTTAGATTGTACCGCCTTAAAAATACTGAAGTTGGCAGCTAATTACACAGTGCCACCGCTGTCAGTGGTTAAAAAGCCCTTACAAATATTCTTTTTTTTTACTAATTAAAACTTTTAACTGCCACTTTTACAGTAGTATAATACGTATATGTATACTAATGTAACTATGGAATTGACCGATTGAACTTAGACGTAATAATGCATAGACAATAAATAAATTTACTTTAATAGTTGTAACATCTGGTTGTTTCCAAGTTCTATCCGAGACGATACTTAAAATATCTGCGCCGGCATCTGTGACCTTAGCAATGAATTTTGCCACGGCGCCAGGCGTCTCGTTTATTGTAGCCGTTACATGTAACGACCTTCCCTCTGCTACGAGAGCACGTTCGATAACATGTGGTACACGATTCATGTTTAAATTACCACCCGACAAGATAACGACGACACTGTAAAGAACAATATAAAAGAAAATGAGAAAGCGACATTCCAGTTAGTGCACCTTAAACTTTTACTGTAGCTACTTTTTTCCACGAAGTTCAGGAACTTTTCCCGCCATAATGGCTGCAACAGGACATGCCGCAGCACCTTCTACGACCATCTTTTCACGCTCTAGTAGTTTTAAAAAAGCCCGGGATATCCAACTTTCGTCAATAGTAATCTAGAAATGTATATTAATCTAGAGACTTTTTAAAATTCTGATTAAAGACATGTACAACTTAAACAATAGCGAACTAAAAATACCATCTTATCCAAGTAGCCTCGTATAATGTTGTAAGAATTTTTTCCCGCAATCATTTCCGACAAACTGTCCGCAATATTTTGCTTGATTTGTACAGGCACAGGTCTATTCTCTTGCAAAGCCCTTGTCATAGTTGGTGCTTGTGAACATTCTACACCCTGTTTTTTTTTTAATTTAAGGAATAACCATTATGTAAAAATGACAAAGAGGAAGCGGGGTGCCTTTTATGTCCTGCTGAATAAAACAATGATAGCCCAGGAATCAAGGATCTCTCTGGCTACACAAAGCGTTTAAACATAGGCAGTCGAAACAGATAAAGTGAGACAGATGCATAGGTATATATTTAATATGTATATAACTTTTATCAGTCAGACAGTCTGTGATCTGTGACCCTAACAAAAAATATTTTTTTATTTAGTTTACAAAACTTTTGAACCATGCAATGATTAGAATGGATATAAAAGTGTATCATTTGATTTTATGGGACAGGTACTTACATAAATAAGACAGGTTGGCTTAAGAGTTTTAATTGCTAAAAGAATGCTAGCAACGAGACCTCCGCTGCCGACCGGACACAGTATTGCGTCTACTTTGTCTGTTTGTGATAGAATTTCCAGTCCCAAAGTGCCATAACCAGCTAATAGGTCCAATCTATCCGAGCTGTTGATTGACACAATTTAATAAAATATTGGAGAAAGTCCGCGACGATATATGTCTATCTTTTAAGATTAACTTGCAAGAACGACGGGAAGGGACGCGACCGACGTCGTGGGTAACAGTTGAATTATAATGAAGGGGTTTGCAAAACGAATTTGGATGTCCAAAATAACGATTCTTGCGGATGAAGTCGCTGACACAGCGTGTTTTTTATAACTGCAATCTTACAAAACAAGGAAATTTTTAAGTTAAGCAAAGTCAATGCTTTCAAAATAAAGGAATATAAATATGAAAAGATTAAAGCAAATTTAAATATTTTTATCAATAGTGGAGACGCCTGTCTCCACTGTTAGTCTTCAAAAGATAGTATTATTTGAATCATAATGGTTATATCGTATTTAGGTACTTAGCAACAAAATTAGATCCAACGTCGCGGCTAAAAGATAGCGCGTGTAAACCAGCTTCGCTCGCATCGCTCCCGAGACTTTTGATTATGGCGTAGTTGTCTTTATATAGCCTTTTCTCAGCCAATGGATAGTCTTTGGGCACAATAATGTTTACGGGTACGGAATATAAAAACCCGTAGTAACTCATTGCGGCGAGAAAATTGCGTCCTCCTGACGCTGTGCAGCCTTTACTTTTCTCTGATGTGTGAAGATTCGCAAAGAAGTTGCATACTCCACGAGCCTTAAAACTTTAATAGAAACTCGAACTAATATTATTTTCTTTTTTTAGGCAGTTATGTCGACATCAATTATATATTTAAAGACTGATAAATCTTGTTCAATGCATTTTTATACTGATAGTGAAAATTACCTTCCAGTTTTTTGTAAATTTTCACATTTGAACAAAACCTTACAAAAGTTGTTTCCAATGTGATTGGCTTCCTTAAAAGTGAAACAATATTTGTTGAGTGTAAAATACATTCTAATAAATGTAGGCATGTAGTACTTACAATTAGTGGAGTAATAGAAATATGATTTTTAATCTTGTTATGAGCATCCTGTATATCTTCTAGTTTCAATTTTATTTTACTAATAGGTGCCGTAATAATTTCAGTTTCCTAAAATCAATCTCATGTTAGGATTTGTTAAACTGATATTAATTTGTGTGTATTGGTATAGGTTAAAAAAAATACTAACAACTATATTAAGTTGTTCCATATTATTTTAAAAACACATGAATTTGAATATACTACAATACCTGGGTATTATTTATATAAATTGATACAACGAATTTGTCAACACTGTCAGATTTAAGATGAATGTTAAATTATTACTCTGTGACAATAACAAATAATAGTTACAGAGATACATATTCTAGTTAAAATTATAAATGGTTTTAGTAAAACATGTATAACTTAATCAAATATTTATTGTTATAAAAATATTAATTTATAGCTAAGGCATCATTTTGTGCTTCTTGAGATAATTGTACTTGTAAATTTAAAAGCTTATTTTTGAGGACAACTATGCCCATTAATACTATATTTTCAGGTTTTAGTGCTCCAGCAGATTCCACATTATAAAAGAACTTGTTTGGTTTTGCTTCCCAATTGAACTCTGCCTCATATTGGTGCTCGTCTAATTCAGTATGTTCACTTTTGGGCCACTCATCAGGTTTTGGGAACAGAGTATGTCTCATTGCATTATCTGGATCATATTCAAATGATACACCGGCAGTTGGATTCCACTTAGCATGTTCTTTACCAAAGCCCTTTTTGGCATATGCACGTAGTTTTAACTCTTGACCTTTTCTCAACTTTATAATTAAAATTTCATCCATCTCCCCATAATCTGCTTGATCTTCATCTCTGTGGCGAGATGTAACTGGTACAACTCGCGGATCACTCGACTTTAAATCTGCTGTAGTGACATGTCTTGTTTGATCATCGGTGCACTTTACATCTAAGGTGAACTCAACACTACAGTCTGAACAGAAGTCAGCACACATACAGTCACGTGAATATCTAATTTTATCAACAACATCATCAGATATAAGGGGAATAAGCCCGATGCGATGGGCCAGGAATTCATCACTCAAAACTGTGGAATTCGCTTCTAGTTGGACCCAATCAATTGCCATGGTTGGTGTTTCAGCGATAAAAACACGACGCATACTGTTTGCTACACTTAATTCTGTATCTTCTACTACAAACTTTACATTGTCATCGGTGAGCTCCGTAATGTGTACAGAAGGTTGATTAGCATACGGCATTTTGTATTTTTCAAAGCACAATAGAAGTAACTATCCCCTTAATACAAAATTAATACAACTTAATAACGTAATACCTAACAGATATAATGGTGAATTGTTATTATTTTATATCTTCAAACAGCAAGCGAACCAATGATTCTTTCACACTTTACAGCATTATTTCGACTTTAGGGAAGTTTTGACAATTGACTATCGCTCGTCGCTGTCGGACAGAATATTTCACAGATAATAATTGGGAAGTTGCATATCTGTGAAGTCGTAAGAGCTTTCGCAAATTCGAAACTGAAAGATACAACGGCCGATGTAACAAGTAATATTTTCACAGCGAAAAATATTTGTCACTCAACAACTATAATTATAAATACAATATACGCACTAGATTCATTTATCTTCTTGTTCTTAAAAAGCATGTCGTCCTTTTAAAAGCAGAACAAATATAAAGAAAAATATATTAATTTGCATAATAAAAACACTCGGGTATATAAGTTTACAAATTTTACTAAGTAGTTATGCTGAAGTTATTAGCATCTTGTTAATAACTTCAGCATAACTTACCTTCATGCAAGATAGTTAATAATAAAATAAATACTATGTTTATATTAAATGAAAAGCGCGGATATAACACAACAAACAACAACCAACTATGGCTGAATTACGTAATTATTAGTTAAATGCAACTTTTTCGCGTATTTATAAAAAACATGTTAAATAATGTGATAAAAATTGATTGAATCGCAAAGGACATTCAGTTGTTACTAATAAAGCTGACTGACCGGTCATCCGATAATAAGAATAAAAGTATTTGATTAAATCATTATCACTTGCAAAGAATTCAACAAATGGAACGTTACGATTGTTCCCAACCAGTAAGATGATATTTTTCTATATTTTTATAATGTAGTTACATATTTCGAAATGCCTCGTTAGTATAATTATGTGTTCGTTCGTTTGACAGCAGGTTAAGTGGTCCAGGATTGGAATCCTAGTTAAGACAATAATGTTACTTCTTTGTTTTTAATGTCTCTAATTTGTAGTACCTTTGAAGGGTGCTTCGGAGAACAACTACTTAATTACTAGACGTTAGACCCCGCTAAATCGCTTAGGTGGAATAATGTATACACTTTTAAGCCCTTATGGAAGATTTTCATTTAAGATTGGTGACTTTAACGCAAGAATCGTACTCAAAGAAATTTAAATTATAATGTAGCAACATTTTAACTAAGTATTTTTATCAATAAAACGCAATTATCTGATGTACTAAGTCGCATTTAAAATAATAATAATTATATAATTTGTAGTATAAGTACATATATGATTATCAATATTACAGACATAATATTATTTTAATTACTACGAACTACGTAGTTATGGAAGAGGGACTGCAGATTACGAAATTATGTGATACTTAGATAATAATTTTAATTAATAATAATGTCAAAGTACAATCGTGTTGAAAAAGTGTTCGAATGGAACGATTTTTGATAAAACCATGCTGTATTTGGAGAACGAGTGCCAGTTATTTTATTTTACTGTTCTTATTTTCTAACTAAGCCGCTTTTATCGTACTTACCTAATAACAAAAAAAGCGTGGCGTGGATATATCGTGCTGAAAACTAATCAGAAGTCAATATACTTAAACAACATTAATCATATTTTGTAAGTTACGACCCTCTCTGCTATCGTAAATATTGCGATGGTGACCTCTGATCTCTTTAATTATTATTATACAGTTAATGGCACGTATTAAAGAGAAACATGTTACCACTAATCTTTTGTGGTGGAGTTGCAGCTGTGCTGACTGTATTGATAATGTTTTAGTAGTAGTTCTTTCAAATACAATTTCAAATGGGTTTTCAGACTATAGAATATGATCCTATGTGCGACCAGGATAATCCTCAAAAGATCTCATTTGAGGACGTTTCAGCGGCTGCTTTTAGGATCCAGAGTGGAATTATAAAAACGCCATGCGTGGTACGTCTGTCTTTTTTGGAATTTCGGTTTTTTTTAATTTCGCTGGATCGCGTAACAAAATTACCATTAATTATAATAATTAATCATTTTATTTATTGTTGTCCGGCTACCATTTAATTTTTTAAGATATTCTTAAAGCCATTCCTGTGTTTATTTAACACCAAAAATGATTGTTCAGGTTAATGTAAAGTGAGTAGTTGTTAATCTGTTTTGTTTCGTATTTATTCAATTTTATTTACAGAAATCCCATATGTCTAAAAGTTATGGAATGGAAATATTTCTCAAAAATGATTTTCTGCAACATACTGGAAGGTATTATTTGTTTTAACATTTTTATTAAAAAATTGTCTTGGTATAAATTAAATGTTACTAAAATTAAGATAGAAATATATAATAAGATATATAATACATTCAACTTGTTGTTCAAGTTCGAAATAAATGTTTCATAAATTTTGTATATTTATTGTCTATACAGGATCCATATGATCTACATAATTCAGTTAGTCTTTGAATTAAAAATACTCCCTTTATTTGTAGTTTTAAAGAACGAGGTGCTCGGAATGCTTTGCTCTTACTACCACCGGAAGCGAAATCCCGCGGAGTAATATCAGCATCTCTTGGAAACCACTCGCAAGGACTCAGTTACCACGCCAATCAACTGAATATTCCGACCACAGTAGTTATGCCAAACGTAGCTCCCATCATGAAGATTGAAAATTGTCGTTCGTATGGTGCAAATGTTGTTGTACACGGTCACGATATGAAGGAAGCAAAGTTCCACGCTATGACATTGGCTAAGGAGAAAGGGCTAACATACATCAATGGGTAAGTACGATTGAATATTAACCAAACTAATGTGCAAATATTACAAATGCGGAAGTTTGTCCGTTTGTCCCTTTACTTTACGCTGTTAGACGCCAACCCCCTTTATTTCTATTATACGGTGATTTTAAAGGATGGAGAGTTACGCGTTTAGTTTTCAAGAAAGTCTTAAGGAGAAAAGCTAAACGTCACGTCTTTTGCTCAAATTATCAGGTACGACCATCCTCACATAATGGCAGGGCAGGGCACAGTAGGCTTGGAAATACTTGAGCAAGTTCCTGACGTCGACGCCATATTAGTTCCCGTAGGGGGAGGGGGGTTGCTTGCCGGAGTCGCTACAGCAGTTAAGCATCTTAAGCCCCATGTTCTAATATATGTAAGTTCTCAATGTAATCAAATAGTGAGGTAATAGTGAAAGTCAAATCTAATTTTTCAATCAATTTAATTTTTATGGCTTTTTAAAAACATCATCGCTAAGTAGTCTATAATGTTACTGAGAGTGGTCTATTAATAGATTATTATTGAAAAAGGCAAAAAATGTGTCTGCTCTGCAATTACCTTAGGTGTAACTGAACTTGATTACAACTCTATTGGAACTGGAACACATTGAGTAAAACTTGTTTTGTAGTTGTTTCAGTTTTTGTTGTTAATTATTTAGTTTAGTTCGAGTTAATAATGTTTTAACTACGACCAAATGTTCGCGTTCTCAACGCCTTTAAGCATATACCCAATTTTTCTTACTCGTAGGGTGTGGAGACAGAAAAATGTCCAAGTATGGAAGAAGCCATACGTCAAAAGGCTCCGTACAGTGTGGACATTCGTTCGACATTGGCAGACGGACTTGCCGTTCCCACAGTCGGATATAACGCCTTCTTCACTGTCAAATCTCTAATCGATAAAATGGTAAAGAGTTTCTATATTTGGTAAAGATAACGGAGACACATTTGAAATAACAAACGCCTTTCTTATTGTTCGAAAAGTTAAACTTTTCTTAAACTAAGTTTTCCTCCATCAGTTCACTAGTGTAGCTAGTTGGACAAGGACCCCGGTCTACCTAATCCTAAGGCTCAAGAAAGAATTAAGTCTCATCCCTCTTTTAGCATAGATTCAATTAAATAAACCTCCAAAATTATAAATAGCAACAAGAACGTTAAAAATCCTTTTCTTCTACGCATATATCTTCTCAAAGATAAGGTTAGAGGGCCCCAAAGTTCCGGGGCCCTGGTGCACTGCACCGCCTGGCCCTACGATAGCTACGCCACTGCATCAGTTATCTTCACTTTAATTCACCAATTAGAAAATTAATAGTGTGCTTGTTGTAATAAAATTTGTTGTAATAAATCTGGAGTATAGATATAACATAGTATGATGAAATTATGTGAATACGTCAATCATAACTAAATATTATTTTAAAATCCAATGTTTATAATCTTAAGAAGATGGTTTACACCAACTTTGAACTAAGGATCTGATGATAAACTTAATTGGGCTTATTTTGAAAATGTTCAACTCTTCAAAATATTCAATAATTGATAACTGCCCATCTGATACATCATTCATGTTATCTGAATACAATTAACAATAAGACAAAAAATTAAGAAACGGCTTCCTTTAAAATTGGATGTAAAAGTTAAAGTAGCATGCACAAAATTACGTAGTATCATTTTCAACCATTCACACCAAGCCTAACTCAATAAAATACTACAAACAACTGCAAGGTGCCACAACTCTTCCTCAATTTATATCTTTAACAGATTACAGTCAATGAAGACTGGCTCGCTCGTGCCATCCTACGGCTTGTGGAGCAAGAGAAGTACGTAGTAGAAGGTGGTGGTGCTGTCGGGGTAGCAGCCATAATGGCCGGTCTTGTACCTGAATTGGCGAATAAAAAGTGAGTTTGAGTTTTAAAATTACAATAATAAAAGTTCAGACAGAAAGTTTTTGTAATTTAGAATTAGCTTTGTGATACACGGGTTTCTTAAGTTTAAGTACCATAATTCGTATATTCTCAGTAATAGAGTGGGATCGATGCGTCATTATTACGGATTATTTGAGACCTCGTTCATAAAAATTAGCACTATATTGTGTAATGAAACGAGAATAGACTTCCTGTTACCTTACCGTGGTCGAACAAAAATATATGACCCCTGTGAACTCTTCCGCAATTTATGATATACAGTAATCATAGAAATATGGAACACGTGTCTGACTATCTGAAAGTAAGGTCAACAATGTCAAATACAATACCCCGATTTTATTTTCGTTCATTCGTACTTAAAAATAAACTAATAAGTCACAATTGGTAGCTATAGCTTCTTAATATCAGTGTTTTGTTGTGGTCGTTTTTTTTTCAGAAAATTTGAGGATAGCTCGTAATATTATTGTTCTACTATCCTTTCTCTTCTATCATTAAGTTCTCTTGTTTACATCGTCGAGTCATAGTTTTTTGCATACTTTTTTTTTATTTTTTTAGCTATGATGTTTAATTTATTTTAGGGTTGTCTGTATACTATCAGGCGGGAACATAGACACGACTATACTGGGAAGATGTCTCGAACGAGGATTAGCAGCAGAGCAGCGTCTGGTTAAGTTTAAAGTGACTGTAAGCGACCGACCCGGTGGTATTGCAGAACTGTGCAAGCATTTAGCATCTCTTGGTGTCTCTATAAAGGATATGATGCAGGAACGAGCTTGGGTGTATGGAGATATTTTTAGTGTTCGAGTAAGTTTTCTCGTTCTTATATTCAATATGTACGTTTTATTGTTTGGGCGTCCCAGCGCTACAATAAAAAAAAATTAAGATAACTTTTTTTTCAAAAAGATTTAGTTTTATAATTAAAATAAAGATTTAATACATTCTGCAACACAGGGGCAGTCGGCTTAATTTTCCGTTGCTGAACTGATTATTTTTTCGTTTTCTCCTTAATATTATCTTATATCGCTAATTAAACTTCAGGTATAAAAAATATAATTACCTTCGTAAAAATATTAATGTTTATGTTTAAAGGTAAAGGTAGTCTGTGAAACACGAGGACCAGAACACATGACAGAATTACGTAACATTATAATGGATACATACAAGGAATGGTACTTTGCGCAGGAGTGGGATGAACGACACCGTCGCCCTAGTAGAGACTCATTAGATGATGTATCGCATTAAAAAAAAATAGAAAATTCTAAATTAGACTGAAGGAGCGACGTATTTTTATATAATAGAGAAGGACAGATAGGCCCGAGGTTCACTCGATGGAAGGAGAACCACCACAGCTATATACAATCTGAATGACGAGCTCTATCGATCTATATAGGCTTTGAATATTCGGAAATCCACAGACTGCTAACCATTCAATATCCAGATTTCCTGACGATGTCCCAAATGTTTCAGAAAAAAATAAAATTGATTAGAAACACTCGGTGGGGATGCTATGCTACCACTAGACCAACGAACCCCCCTAAAACACTTCCTTATTCCTTAATTACAGACCAGAACATTTGTGTTACAATCAACGACATCAAACACTACAATTAATTATGTACCTACTAGATTTTCAATAAAATAATCAATCGTACCAAATGAATCGTTCTTTATTGAACCACATCAACACATGATATGGTTCCATCTATATTCTCTGCTGCTCACCTGAATACACTCACAGTAAAAATTTAGATGTTCTTGAAATGCTCTAAATAAGTTTTCAATTTCTTTTCTTATCTGTGATGTAAAATAAATATAATAAGTTGTTAAATAATCTTTAATTTATAAGCCCTGTTGATAGTTTTGTTTCGTACATAATGTATTTTCTTGGTAACATTAAAGGATGAGACTAGTAAAAACTAGCATAATGTTAATTAGTCAATTTGAAAATAATGTTGTAAAATTAAAAAAGGACTCGTTTTTAAAAATCATTATTTTTTATCGATGGCTGTATGTAATACTATATAGTAAATGTATGTACTTAATTCCTTCTTTTAAAAAAGAATTTACAAATCTGTCAATTTTCTTTAATGTTATCTATGAATAACATCAAAAATATATTAATATAATATGTTATATGGCACTGCCCGTGCTGTGATTTTGGATATTTTCTAAATTAATCAATATTTAATTATGTATCAAAATTATTGGTTTAAATGTTGAGCTAGAATATTAACATAATGCAAGACGTAAGTAAAAACCTAATTATTGTACTATTACATGATCCTTACGTTTCTCTTTTTTCTCATGGTTTTTTCTGTAATTTACGCTAATATTTTGTATTTAAATAAAACCCTTTATTATGTTGTATTTAAAATTATATTTCATACCATTAGGACGTGGAATTTGACGAAAATTGTGACCCAAACAATCCGCGAAAAATCAAATATGACGATATCTTGGCTGCATCAAAAAGAATTTCTGGATTCGTTGTAAAAACTTCATGTACGGTACGTTTCCACAATATTTACTTTCGTGAACAAAAACTACTCAGGTAAAGGCATACTTGTTTGTTCTTCTATTTTTTTTTCTTAAAACATATGCCTACACTTCCAGAAAGCCCTAATGTCTGACAGACTAGGCATGGATATATACCTCAAACAGGAGTTTATGCAATACACGGGATGGTAAGGCAATACATATTATTATTTGTATGATTTCAACTCAACTCAACAAGTTTATTAGTTTTAAGGAACGAGGCGTAAGGAATGCTCTGATGCTTCTCTCTGACGAACAAAAAAAATACGGTGTAATAGCAGCATCCACAGGAAATCATGGATTATCGCTAAGTTACCACTCGACGCTTATGGGAATTCCATGTATCATAGTAGTGCCAGTACAGGCGCCCCTCACTAAAGTGTCAAAATGTCAAAAATTTGGAGCAAAATTACTACAACATGGACATAATATTGCAGAAGCAAAGCGGTTTGCTATGGGAATTTCGAAAGAGAAGAAAATGGTATACATAAACGGGTACGCAGGTATTCAGTGTTGGTTTTTTATGGGACTGGGACAGTATGGGAGACTCCGATACCGTACAGATACAAGAGGAGATTTAGAAACTATTTAACGAAGTACCAGATAACAAATTTAATAAAAATGTAACACCACAAGCAGTAACAATGTGGCTACACAATTTACACATCTGCTGAATTGTGGATACTTCCACGTGCATCTGATATTGAATATTATCTGGAAAACACCTTTTCATAAATACAACTATGTTGATTATGTTAAATACCATGTTATTTACAGCTATGATCATCCGAATGTAATAGAAGGACAAGGAACCATAGGAATTGAAATAATGGAACAAGTATCAGGAATTGACGCCGTTTTGGTACCAGTTGGGGGAGGTAGTCTGATAGCCGGTATTGGCATAGCAGTCAAACATTTGAAACCAGACACCGAAATCTATGTAAGTCTCGGTTATGGACCATTTATTCCTTATCGTATTCTTTGGGACTCTTTATTTAAGCAGGAATTAATGCGTATAACAATTGTTTTCAGGGAATTTGTACAGAGAAAGCGTGCAGCATGGTCGAGGCTTTGAAGAAAAATGAGAGAGTATCAGTAACAATCGACTCCACTATAGCCGATGGTTTAGGTGTAAATATGGTCGGTGTAAATTCATTCTACAATATTAAAGGAATGGTGGATAAAATGGTATACTAGTGTTTTTTTACTATAGATTCCGTAAAGACGAAATAACGTGTGGTATTTAAGTGTATTATTATAGCGAACACTTGGAGAAAAATACTCAAATAAATATTTAAAAAATGCATTACATGTTTCGTTGTGAATACGGATGATTATGTGTATAATAGAATTTTTTTTAATACCCTTTAGATAGTATGAGTAGATTTTTTGCAAATTTTGGTCGCAACAACCTACAGGGTTGAACCGTATTCATCTTCACTAATTTGATAAATGTTTCAAATTCAGGTGGTTGTTAAGGAAGATTGGGTGGCTCGCGCAATAATGCACACAGTCGAAGAAGAAAGATTCGTTGTAGAAGGAGCTGCCGCAGTTACTATAGCTTCCATAATGGCGGGATTGTTTCCAAATCTGAAGGGAAAAAAGTAACTATAGTATAGAGCATTTATTGAAATTATAAAGTAAAAATAATTATAAACCGTTTTACCAAAGTGTGGTAATTCTCCAAAATTACTGCAAAGACTTTTGGATTAAAATCATAAAAATGAGAAGTTATCTAGTGTCAACGTCCAATAAATCTCAAGGTGTTACCTAAATATGATTTCAGAGTCGTCTGCATTTTGAGCGGTGGCAACATAGACACGTCAATCCTGGCAAGAGCTTTAGAACGTGGAATGGCTGCTGAAGGTCGCTTGGTAAAGTTTAAAGTGACTGTAACCGACCGTCCCGGAGGAATGGCTGAGCTCTGTGGCATGTTGGCAGCCCTGGGGGTCACACTGCGAGACTGTATCCCCGAAAGAGCCTGGGTCAAAGGCGATGTCTTTAGTTGCGAAGTAAATTCTTAAATAGTGCCTCAACTACCTATAGGCGACTAGTTAATTTTGTTGTATTCCCAAACTACTTTTTAATAGAGAATTGTACTATTTATTTTTCTGCTATACCAATACAACATAAAGCCAAATCATGTGCTTTGTTGTCTAATTCTGGATTGGTCTTGTTTAATTATCTTATCGATCTTAACCCTTTATTCCAGCTGAAAATCATAGCAGAAACAAGAGGTTGGGATCACACAAAGGAATTAGTTGAACATGTCAAGAAACATTACAAGGAATACTATTTCCCAGAGATGGGTGACAGTCAGACCAAATCGCCGAGCGCTAGACGAGGACCCTGTTTGGCTCCTAATCCTGTGTGCATGCAAAAATAAAGTTTCTTTGACTGAAGCCATTTTCTGTACCTAATAATATATCCAGTTGAAAAAATTGCTATTTTTATATCGGAGCTAAAAACACGTTATATTTCATATATATTTTCTATTGAGGTATAAGCTTTTTATACTTATGTCTTTACCCTAACTTTTGAGATTTTAAAATGTTTTTTTTAAAATGTTTTTTCAAAGTAAATGAAGTTTGATTTAAAAATACTTAAACTAATAAAAACAAGTTACATTTAAATTAATTTCAAAATTTAAAAGAATTTAGTGTACCAACAACCAGTTTACATGAATACAAGACAATGTCATCAAAAACATTAACACACTACACATATTGTATAAATTGACAAACAAAAATACATCTATAGTTAAAAATTAATTTTAGATTTTTAAAAAATTACAACACGGACGTATATTGAACTAGTATTCCGTGCAGATGCTCTAACCAATTGAGCTACGAGGTCCTATAACACGACATCGCGAATTTTTTTCAACCAATTGATACACGCACCTGTTGCGTAATGTCATATCTATGTTTTGAAAATAAGGGTCATATGTACATTTACACTATGGGAAACGTCAAAAAACATCACAAACATGCGTAAAAGAAAGTAGTTACATTTTTTAACTAAATAATAATACTGAAATGAAATAAATAACATGTCTTTTAATCTCCATACTAACATATCTTTTTCATCAAAAGCGCAATCCAGCTATTAAATAAGTAGGAAAAATATACGAAATTTGCTATGAATGAAGAACCAAAGGCAGAATCCCTAGGACAGGCTCCAGCTATACTGGCTCAAAGAAAGAAGGTTCCTCAAATAGAGCCGTGGTGCCCTGAACCGGTATGATATTGATTTTTTCTAAACAACAACAATGACTTGGCTTCGAAACATTCGCTGATACTTAATTTTGTATTATGTGAATAAGGACCATCATAGGGCATTGGCAAAAAAATGCGTAGACATGTACTGTTCAAGTTCGCAGTAACGGCTGACGAGTCAAATAAAAGCATAACAGAGCCATGCACGAATCCGCGCGAATGTTCGCTCCGGGATCAGTACGACCCGCCGCACTTTTTAGCTTAGAAACAAGTTTTCAATCTAATTATAATATGTGCTATGGCCTTATTAATCCATGTTAACTGTGTACTTTTTTTTCAGACTGATATACAAATTGATCCATTCTGCGACCCTTACAACCCGAAACAGATTTCTTATAGAGATATCGTTAAAGCAACAGAAACAATTAGCCAAGAAATAAATAAAAGTCCACTATGGGTAAAAACGTTTATTAATGTTTTATTTAAATAAGTAAAAAATTGCACGCGTAAATACGTCACGTTTTACCCTACTTTAATGGCTAAGAACAAAGAATAGTTACCTTAAGTATAATAAAATTATTTAGTTATGTAGTTCTTTTGTTTCTCCGTTCTCCATGTTTGATTTGATGTAGAATATTTTCAGGGTTTAAATAAAACTCATTTCTTACAGAGGTCAAAACGATGCGCTGATTTTGGTATGGAATTGTATTATAAAATCGAAATATTCTATCCAACTGGAAGGTAATGTATATTTTACATTAACATATACATACATAAAGCTAGATAAAAACAACAATAACGTTCTATTACTCGTAGTTACAGCGAAAGAAAAGCGTTTTATGCTTTATCAATGTTGAATGAAGATGATCGAAATCGGGGTGTCATTACAGCATCTTTAGGAAATTGGGCTACGGTAAGATTTTTAACTGTCATATCATAGATCACCCTCTGGATGAGTACAGAGCACAATAAATTAGTAATAGATATGTACTTATGAATTATTTTAAAATACTATGTTTAATTATTTCTATATAAGCGTTGAGTGTATTCTTATTTTTAAAAAAAATATTAAAACAATCAATCTAAATATTTACTCAGGCGCACAATACTGTTGTAGAGTAAAATATAATAGTCAAACTTTTAGACTGCAACTAATAAATAAGCTTTATTTATTGAACAATATAGAATTGCTAGATTTAGGAAATTCAAACACAGATAGGCATGCAACGAATTTTTACAGTTCGGTCTGATTTCTGTAACCGATTTTTTAAGATTTTTCAATAATATATTATTTATTTATCTTATTTTGAACACAACCAGGATTCAGTCAGTGAATCCACAGTGTTAAGGGCGGGAGTCCTGAGTGTGAAAACCATATAGTGTTGACAGGGCACATCCATTTTATCAACAACATGCTTCTAGAATGTGTTTTGCTATATACTCCACATGACATATTTTTAAATATAATAAATTTATCATTTTTCGAACATATTATGTACTAAGTTCGAAAAATGTTAAACTGCATTTTGTTTAAATTTTAGGCCTTAGCATATTATGGTCAACGCTTAAACATATCAGTAACAGTAGTCCTACCCTCAAGTACACCAACAAGTGTGGTCGGAAAATGTCATGAATTTGGAGCTTTCGTTGTTTCTTATGGAAAGAATCTCGATGAAGCGAGGCGACAGGCCTTTGTTATGTTAAACATAAGAGGGCAGATTTATATCAATGGGCAAGTACTTATAGTTTGTTTAAAACATATTTACTTTTTATCTAAAGATGAGGACAATTATTAATTTATTTTTTATTTAGTCAATTGTATGTTATTTTTCACACAAATAAAATGAAAAACATCTATATTTAATATAGAGTCAACATTTAATATTTTACTAATATTACCCAGCATTTTTAATTTAGGATTATAATTTGAAGATTAGGATGGGGTTTAAAAATATTTTTTTTCAACTAATTAAGTAATAAAGTTAGTGCAATATTATGGATTGTTATTAGATTATTTATAACTATATATACGTAATTTTTATATAAACAAATGAGGCTTTCATGTTTATTATTTATTTCAGATATGACCATCCTGACGTTATAGCCGCATCTGGGTCAATTGGAATCGAGATTCTAAACCAACTTCCACAAGTTGATGCGATTGTTGTCCCTGTGGGGGGAGGTGGTCTCCTCGCAGGTATAGCAGCTGCCGTTAAGCATATTAAGCCTGACATATTAGTTTATGTGAGTATAATCGTTCTTATTCGTGAATCTTTCCGAAAATGGAAATGTAAAAACATTCCGTCTTATCACGGACGCAGTCTAATAACGCAGGTTTTCCTTTAAAATAACTCAACACGCATAATATGACATGAAAGCTCATATGGTTTAATATACTTAATAACTAAGTAATAAGTATTATAGTGTTTTTAGCAAATAAAAGAAGCAGTAACATTGAAATCTGACATTTCAGGGTGTACAAACACGAAATTCTCGCTCCTTCTTCAAAGCAATGGAAAGTGGACAGCCAGAGCAGACTGTCGTAAAGAGACAATTAGCTACATCGCTAATGATGCCGACAGCTGGTTACAACGCCTATAATACAGCTAAAAATAAGTTAGACAAAATGGTATGGATTGCTACCTTTTCTTTTGATATTATTTCGAAGTAGTTGTCCTTCGTCGTAATATGATTCTTGACAGGTTCTAGTGAATGACGATTGGATATCGCTGGCAATGTTGCATTTGTTTGAGGAAGAGAAAATTGTGGTGGAAGGTGCGGCTGCTGCTGGTTTAGCAGCGTTTATGTCTATTCCTGATATCCTTCCAGAGCTGAAGGAGAAAACGTAGGTCATATTCTCTTTAATTAATAGCTAGAGGTGCGTGGCACTATGATCTAGGAGGTTGGTCTAGATTAGATTTCTTTTATAGCCCATATATTACTCCAATGTACATTTTAATTCGATCAAACCTCCACACAACATTCGCATGTAATACTAGTGGAATATTTTTTTATGTCCGCGTTTCATGTTTTAAGTTCCTATTGTAAGTAGTTTTCGCAAGCAATACACATTTAAATAAACCAGTTTTAACGACCCGACGTTACCGATGTTTTCCAGGAGACTGCGACCGTAGCGGCTGGAAAGCACCTTGCATAGGTTCTAACTAATATATTTAGCGTGCCATATCGTTAGAAGTCTTTTATTTAAACGACTGTGTCTCTAATTATAATTGTTATTATGAAAAACCAAATTTGAAATTCGTTAGACAGAGGGGGGCGAGACTATAATACATCGATTTGCTTCTGTAAACTGCAAAATTATTTTCCAATAATTCCAGTTGATATTCAAGGGTGTCTAGGAACGTAAGAGTACAGTCTGTGATTTTTCATTCCACAATGGTAATTTAATCATTAATCTGCAGTGTCGTTTGCATTCTAACTGGTGGGAACGTCGACTCAATAATTTTACCACGCTGCCTTGAACGAGCGAAAGCTATTGAAGGTCGCATAATTGAACTAAGTGTACGTACTCGAATAATTAAAATATGTATTACAGTTATCTCGTCTTGAGTTTTTAAATGATATCTTTTTATGTTTGTTCTTATCTAGCACTTAAAATGGTCAGTAGATGGACGTCGTACCAAACGATTTGTAATATTGGTAGTTTCTCCGCCTTCCTGTTCTTACTTCGTATTTTTGTAATTGCGAAATAGAACATCAATTGTTGATTTTAGTGATCCAAAAGGCGGATTTTAAAGTCATCTTACTCTTTATCTTAGGTACTTGTTGCAACCGAAAACAACCAGGAACACCTAAAAGTCTTAAGCATGATAGCTAATGTCGGTGCCAACATAATTTATTATAATTCAGAAAAGTCTTTGCTACAAGACAATGATTATGATAGGAATTACGTAAGTCTTATTTAAAAAAATGTGTCTTTTTGAGTTAACTAAGCTATTAAGTGCCTTAGGTTGAACAAAGTCAAAGTCAAAATCATTTATTCATGTAGGTAACTATGTACACTTATGAACGTCACAAAATAATTAAAAAATCGAACTTTACATTTACTACCAGTTCTCAAATCAAGGGCGTAGAACGATCGAGCAGAACTGGCAATAAACTCGCCGTCAGTCCTTTTATCGCCAAGTTTCATTTTACATTCTTCATGTACTTTTAGTGCACTACATATTTTTCCTTGGGGTTCGTCGATACCCCCAGCATTTTTATCATTTAAATATTGATAAACGTTATAATAACCCTTTTCAAGCAGTTTAGCACTAAGGCGATATAATATGAATTTGTATTATAGAGATTGTTGTTTTCTTGCTTTCTCAAGGCGGGAAGAGCTATTTATTAATAAAACTTCTTATAATTTATAAGTTATCTTAGTATAAGTGTTGTTTTTGAGGATATTTTTATTTCAGCTGAAAATTATTTGCGAAACACGAGATATCGCACATGCGTGTACCCTGAAGAGAGTAATGGAGCGCTTATTTCCTGAAAAATGTCGTTTCTTCAAAGAGCCTTTTATTCCAGTTGCTACCTGCGCGTGCTATCCTAAAAAATATAATTTTTAATCTGCTCTACCGTGAAAAATAAATATAACGTCACCGTTAACATATTAAGTCACTTTTTGGCCATGTTTCACATTTCGTACACACTGATTTATAAATTATAGGTATTAAAAATTAATAATTTTGAATAAAATTCACACATCAGTATTTATTAAAACAATGACCCGACGATATGTAAGTATACTATTTAAACTTTGTTGCTTTTGGTTATAAGAGAATAGCTTTAAATAAAACTCTTAAACGTTTTAAAAAAAATTTAAGTAATATATTTCGCGTTTTAAACCGTTAAAGTGTTTTTTTTTATGTGTACCACTCGCGTAAACTATAGACACGTTTAAGGAAAATACTCTAATTCTAAAATATATTTCAGGAAGATTTTGATGAATTCTGTGATCCGGATAACCCCGTGACAATTACTTATGATGACGCGGTAAATGCACTCCATCGAATACGGAAATACATGCCGGAAACGCCATATGTAGTACGTGCACATATTATTTAAACAAAATCTGCACATAGGAATATGAGACTAATAATCACTACTTCATGGGTTTTATTCGAGGTTATGTTTGTAAAACTACTAATGTCTCAAAAAACGAACATTAAATGAACCATCGTTAGGTAGATTGTAAATTCGCTATCATTTTTTATCTGTAGAAAACCCCCATTTCTTTTTCTTTCCATCTTCTGGCTTTTGTTGACTCGGTTTTACATACACTCATATAATACTTAATTTCCTATTATTTACAGATATCTCATAAACAAAAAGACTTTGCAATGAACATATATTATAAACTGGAAACAGTGCAGAGGACGGGAAGGTATTTTGGTGAAAGCAATAATTCTTCTCAATCCTTTTAACAAATATTATAACATTGAAAACCTCTATGACATAGGCCGGACTAGATCACGCTACTAACCGTACCTTTATTCTACTAGTATATATCGATATACTCTACCATATACTACTATGTACTCTTTCTCATAGCATATTACTCTAAAAATCATATTGCACATCGCTCACTATTATTATAGCGTAACTCAAAGATTAGTATACATATATCTCATTATAAAATAATAATTTTGGTTCAATTTTCATTTGAATAATTCCTATCATATGGTAGATACATGTTAGTGCACATAGCTTATGAAAAATTATAGTTTTACAAGATTTAATGATGCGGGCGACCGTAAACCTCCGATCACTGCGTGCAATTTAAGGCAAAATATATAATATCATGATATTTGTGGATTTGAGTCCCGCACGCATCATGAAATCTTTTTAAATAAAAAGTTATTTTAAATACTTATGTGTGCTGCCATTGTTCTAATAAATAATAATAGTTTTAAAGAGAGAGGCGCCTTAAATGCTTTGGAGGTCCTGCCGTTGGACAAGAAAAAAATAGGCATCGTCGTTGCGTCACTAGGCAATCAAGCGATGGGTCTCTGTTATTACGGGCATAAGCTTGGCATACCAGTTACCGTTGTGATGCCTATAAATGTGCCAATTAACAAACTACAACAATGCCACAATCTTGGGGCTAAAGTTGTTGTACAAGGCGGGAACCTCACAGAGAGTCAAAGGTTCGCTCGGGCCATTGCGCGAGAAAAGGGATTGACTTATATTAATGGGTATGTTTATTTTTCCGTTTTATATATGCTGTAAAGTAAAAAAGTACACATTTAAACGTTTTCAGTCGCGACCATCCCGATATTCTCGCTGGGTACGGGACGATAGCATTAGAGATCCTCGAACAACTGCCGATCGTGGATGCGGTCCTGGTTCCGGTGGGAAGCGGCGGCCTCGTTGCTGCGGTGGCAGCCGTAATAAAGCATGTTAAGCCAGACTGCCTTGTTTACGTGAGGTTCCTTCTTTTTTTGTGAATAGATATTTTACACGAGTCCAACAATTGAGGATGTAACGGTCAACAGCGTGCCATGCCGTTAACGTCGGCGTTCTCTTCTCCCTTTCCAGTATAAGAAATTGTTTACTCTTTTTTGAATGAAGCAATTTTATAAGTACTTAGTATTAGAGCTACGTCACTATGCGCGTGCAAAGAATTAAAGTATTTCTATTAAATTTTAGGGCGTCCAATCTGAAAAGATACCAACATTCTTTAAATCTCTGGAAATGGGTGAGCGTACGAATCTCCCTTGGCAGAGCTCCACAGCAGATTCTATAGCGATGCCCAGCATTGGAGTCAACGCCTTTCACACGGTCAAGCCGCTTCTGGATAAGATGGTAACTTCTTTGTGCTAAGTTTAATAAACCATTATGATTGTTGAAGAAAACAGTCAATAATGTTTAGGTTTGCAATCAATGTAAAAGAAAAATACTGTAATTTTTTGATATAAGATACCTGCACTATGTTAGTGTTAGGGTTCGGCTCATATGAAGACATTTGACTTTACCACGTCGTTTTAAAAGCTTTACTGTTTTATAAAATCTTTTATAACATATTGGCTCGTAAAGCTCGTACACCAATTTCAATATCGTAATGTATCGTACTTGTGCGATAATGTAATGCAAAAGACACGTTTTTTTTTTAAATAAAGTTTTAAGATACTCCGTCTAAAAATGAACGATACTTATATATACTATATACTTTACGGGCAAATATGTTATAAAATACATTACCAAATACCTAACAATCATTATTGTATTTAAGTAATTGAATGTGCACCTGATTAATAAAGCTGTTTAATGTAAATTTAAACGGAACAGATAAAAATATTCCTGTCTTTCTATTAAGTTACTAGTTAACGAAGATTGGATAACCAGATCAGTTCTACATTTAGTTGAATTAGAACGTTTGGTGGTCGAAGGTGCAGCTGCTTGTACGTTGGCTGCTATCTTGGGTAACCTTGTCCCCGAGTTCAAGAATAAAAAGTAATTTTGATTATTAAGTTAATGTTACATTATCATCATATAGATATTCAGGATGAGATGAGGATTTAGCTTTTAGTGATACTTGTGTGAAATCCCATTTCCCCCATGGGGCGAACACATTTCTGTGCCCGTTTCACTGATCCGTTTTTTTTAACAGGCAAGTAGACTTCTGTGCCCTGCCCGACCGAAACAATTTTTTTGTTTCCCTGGGATTCGAACCCAGGACCGCTCGCTCTTAACGTAATGCCAAGCAATACGTTTAACCATTGGGCTACAGAAGCGCCCTTTAATGTTACTTGATCTATTTTATATCCCAGTAAAATGCCAGAAATTGTATGCGTGCCTAATTATTTTTTTTAATTTTGACAAAGATGAAGCTAGTTTTTACATTTATAAATCGTAGAACACGCTTACCACTTTCAGCAGTTAAATACTTTGCTTTGATTTTAGTGTTGTATGCATTTTAAGTGGAGGCAACATAGATGCGGTACTAATGAGCCGTTGTCTTGACAGAGGACTAGCAGCCGAGGGTAGATTGGTTAAGTTTAAAGTATGCTTTCTGTTAAACAAATACAACCTATAATGTATTACATGATGTAGTAATTTTGTTGTAATGTTTTAGGTCTCTATCAAAGATACCGCATCGGAATTTGAAAGACTTTTCAGATATATGGGAAATGCGGGGTTCAACGTAAAAAGGCTCTTTCAAGACCGTGTTTGGGTAGAGAATGAAATTTACAGAGTCGAGGTATATATATATACATGTATTTTAATAATGATATCGTTGACATACCTATTTTATAATGATTTCTTTTTAATTTATAATTTCCGCATCCGTATTTCTTTTCCTATATTAGGTGAAGTTAGTGTGTGAAGCGAGACACTTGGAACATGCACTTGAATTAAAGAGACTGATGGAACGTGAATATGGTACGGCGGCCATCTTTGAAACGGAGCCTTTCAATGAAAAATATACGTGTCCCTGCTATGTCAGAAAGTGCTGTAGCTAAAATTATTATTTTTAAAAGCCAAGATCCCATTAATGACCATATTCATGAATTTTAATAACTCTTATTGTACTTTCATATTTACATATTATTTCGAGGCAAAACTTTCAAACTTTATTTCGTAATAAAATACTTTATATTATGTAACAGAATGCATATCTTTATTATATTGGTCTCAAGAAAACAATATTTAACTATTTACTTATATATTGCATATAAATAATTATTGTTACAGAACAAGGTAAATAATAAATGCTTCAAGTGTTCTTACTGCCTTACTTAAAAATACTATCCATAAATCTTGCCATTTTAATATCTCTTTTACTTAAGCCGTTTACATCGTGAGAAGAAAGGGTTATCTGAAAAAAAAAAATAGGTAAATCAACTTTGTCTATAATAAGCTTATAATATATTTTTGTCTATTAAATCAAACCCGTAACTATTTTAATCATGGTTTATACATTTACTACTATAATTTTTCTTTTTAATTTTATTTCTTGGTTTAACTTTGTTGTTTAATGTATACTGCTTGGGTAAATTGCAGACAATACCTGAGTTTTTGTTTTAAGACTGTTCTGAGCCATGTCAATCGCAGTACTTGAAAATTGGTGTTATAACTAATAAAGAACTTGGCCAAAAGGGAATAGGTTTGTCATGATGAGCAATTAATTGCATAGCACAAGATAGGTCTCATTTCCAAAACACTGAATATCCTTTTGGGACACAGAGCATTATATGATTACCTGAACTTTGTTGTATACATTGAACCATTCGGGGTGGTGATCCATTTTTTCTGCTAATAAAGCAACCCTTGTCATGAAACCAAAAGCTTCATTAAAGTTTTTAAATTGGAATTCCTTTTCAATAGCATCTCGATTTGCCTGGATTTTCCATCCTGCTTGCAACAGAGAAGCTAGTTCTGTATCACGGTCACCCTGATTTAATTTGTCTGCCTATAAGAAAGAGCCAAAGGTAGAAACAATTCAATAAGCAATATTAAACAAGTGTTAATAAAACCCCTTTACAGTTTAGAATGTAAAATTATCGATTACATATAAATTTAAAGTTAATTAACCTAAGTTTTAAATATAAAACAAGGTTTTTTACCATTTTCCTCGTTTTTGGTGTCGGCGGAGCAACAGTTGATAGCCTTGCTACACAGTTATAGCGACTGGCAGTACTGGCATTGATCGCCTTAGAAACGATTGCGCTCGGAACGACTCCGGCGGGGTGAAAGTGTATCGCTAAACCGCGTAAGCTGTTGTATATACGACTCCGAAAAAATAACATTTTAAGGTCTTGATTGTCCGTGCGGAGATAACATTGTTACCTCATATTTTCAATTTTCATAGATACATTTTTTCATGTCAGTGATTCTTATATGTTTCTTTTTATTTAAAAAAAAATGAATGACAGACGTATACAGAATGAATGACAATGTACTCGTAATATCATATTTTGTAGTGGCACTGTCAAATCTAAAATTATGTTCGCATACGTTAGTAACTAATATGAATGAGAATGTTGATTGAAGTTAAATTGTTTTTCCTGTATCTAAATACTCTTTATAATTTATACACATATAAGGACATGTGTTCTTAGCGTTACTCTCGTATATATTATGGAAGCGCTTAAAAATTGTATACCCTCCCAAATGTACAATGTTTTGGAAAGGGCCGGCATCTCTACCTCAAAAGAAATTATAATCTCTTCAATTTGGGATATAAAAAAAAACACAAATATGAAGAACGAAGACATCACGTTACTGAAAAACATAATAGGGAAGCAAATTTGTCCTCTAATTAATACTGCCGAAGAAATGACATTTGAGAAACATATTAACACTGGTTGCGTATCAGTTGACAAATTATTAAACGGTGGATTACGGGTTGGGACTTTAACTGAAGTTTATGGTGAAAGTGGCTCTGGGAAAACTCAATTAGCGTTGCAAATCGCGGCACAATGTGGAAGTAAAGGAAGTGTTTATATATGCACTGAAAGTGTATTTCCTGTCAAAAGATTTAATCAAATATGTGATTATATTCAACGCGATTCTTGTAAGAACATCAATAAGGAACACACATTTATAGAACATGTAACGGAGGGCGAAGATTTGTTATCCTGCATTCGCGTACGATTGCCAAAATTGTTGAAACAGAAGAAAATAAGTGTCATCATTATTGACTCTATAGCTTCTCCCTTTCGTATTGATGTTTCAAATTATGTTCAACGAGCAGAGGAGTTAAGGGAGTTGGGAATATCGCTATTAAACCTGGCACAAAACTTCAACCTCGCTATACTATGCCTAAACCAAGTTACGTCATCATTCGAAAAACCTGATAATATACTACCTTCTTTAGGACTTTCTTGGTCTAACATGGTCTCCTACAGATTATTGCTACGACGATCGTCATGTTTAATTAATATAGACAATATTGAAAGCCAAATTCGCGAATTGATTGTAATGTTTAGCCCCGATTTAGACAATAAAATGTGTAAATTTGCAATAGACACTACAGGATTAAAGTCTTTGCCAGCCTAATACTCTTTTCTTTGTTAGTTGTTATTATTTGTCTATGAAGAAAAAAAATTATTAATTAACATTAGTAGGTATTGAAACTTTTTTATTGTACCGATACGGCGCATATATGATATAAGTTAAAAAATACGCAACAGACTATATGAAATGGGGATGATTACAGATTTTGACATCTGACAATCGTAAAGAAACTGTCAAACAAGTTGAAATAATAAAGATTAAAGAAACAAAGAAAGTATTCATTTAAATAATAGATTACTTACGAGATAAAAATCCTACTTCAAATACTTTGAGATGTATTGTAGAATAATAAAAAAAGTAACACTGTGTTAAGGATTTTTAGATTTTTGATAATCAATATGTCTTGTAACTCTTGCTCTAAAGGATTTTCCTTGCTGCGTTCAGAGGTAAAAAAACTTGCGGACACCCTTATTAAACTGCAATGACGATCGTACAATTTTATATCATTTTCAGAAAGGCTGTCCTTGCTGCGGATTCAGTTATTGCTCAAAATGCTTAAACAACAAAATCTTCCTACCAAAGCTTAATTGCGAAGCAAAGGTATAATTAAATTATCATAGCAACTGTTTAAAAATTTAAAAAATATTGAGATAAACCAAGGCAGCTAGAAGCAGAGTAACCTAACTGCAATTTCATGGCCTCAGTCATTTAGTCTTAAAATGTTAATCTACAAGAGCACAAGGACCGAAAATTTTTAAAATTAATTATTTTAACCACTTTCAGTTACACAAATAATAGCACGAATGAATACATTTTCCTTCACACCTAAATACATTGCGTTGGGTGAAATGGTCAGCGGACAACAGGGGCTGATCCCCCGTCCCGCGGGGGGGGCCCCCGGGGAAAAAAAAAAAAAAAACCTATTTTTATTTTTCTGCTTATCGAAAATCATGTTAATCGTTATTAGTCCACTGTCTATAGCAGCCTCATTTTATAAATATATCTTTACTTGATGTGTTTCAGGTATGTGTGAAATGCAAAAATGCTACTAATTCAACTGTAAAGACAAATATTGATCCACCAGCTGCCTACTACAAGTAAGTTTTCTCAGATCTTGATTATTAAAGATCTAGAAAAGATTATAATATTAATAATTCCTTAATTTTCAGAAGAATTGGTAATGTAGACAATAAAATAAGTAATTTGGATAGCAAAGATCAGACTCTTGATATGGAAATTAAAAACCGTTTACAAAAACTTAAAGAACCACAAAGTTCCACACATTATTCTGATAGGGATATAGAGGCCCGATTAAAAAAGTTAAAAGATGTTCCGTCAATATCAGAAGCTGATCTTGAACAACGATTAGCTAATATAAAGGGAGTTTCAGTTGAATCTATGAAAAGTAAGGTAGGTTAGGATACCTTGGAATCCTCAAAATATGTTCTATTTCTCTTTTCTCTAAATTAAATATTCAACACATTTATGTTTACATTTCAGCCAATCACAATTAATCCAGATCTAAGAACAGAAGAAGAACAGACTAATGACTTATTAAGACAATATATGGCACAATCAAACATGGATCAAAATTATGAAGATGAGTTTAATAATAAAATTTCTGATATTGAATCAAGGTTACAGAAGTTAAAAGGATCTACAACCACTGGTGTTACAGTACAAGAAACAAGCCCCCATCAAGATGAAGAATCTGAGGAATCAATCATAAATAAAATAATTGAACAGGTTATAATTACTTTTTACGTTTTTAGTAGTAACTAAGTAAGTATTAAGTAGACAGAAATACTTTTTAGTTATTGTTTCCAATAGTGCAAATGTATGTAATGTTATAGTTAATGTAGTTAAAATTAAAATACACACACACACATATGTGTGTATTTCCATATCCATATGGATATGGTAATGCAGGCTCTACAGACTGATAGCTACACATGGTTATAAATTTATCTTTAAGATTATGTTGAAAAATATCATAAAATGTATGTTAAAGGATGACTCCTGCGGTTTTTTGCCGAAAAGGGCCCATTAGTACTTTGTTGGGATCGTTCTTATGTTTGTTTCCAGGCGAAAATTGAGTCCTTCGATTCTGAGAACACTGCATCAACAAATGATGAATTGCCATTTTGTGAAATTTGCAATGAAGATGCAGTTATGAGGTGTATGGGTTGCAAGTATCTATTTTGCAAACAATGTTTTATTGAACATAAAGATGAAGACGATGGCTGTGATAAGTTTGAGCCATATACTGCTCCTAAAAATAATGTCTATTGATATTTGTTATTAAAAATAAGATAATTTATGTATTTATATGCAATTTTATTTTTTATAATCATCCATAAAACTTGGAATGAGTTTTACCAAATCTTCACAGGTTTGTTTGTATTCATTTTCAATCCATATGTTTTTTAGTTTCTCTATAATTTTCCCATACATCTTGCCAGGCGGTACTCCATTTTCTTTTAAAGTTTTACCAGTAACAGGAAACTGGGGTATCTCCCACTTTCTTATTAGTTTCAAAAGTGTTTCATCACCCCTGTACTTCAGTAATTCAAGTACATATTCTACACTGTTTTTTTGTTTTATTTTAGAGTTTAAAATTAGTTTTTCATATGGCCTGTAATATAAAATTGATAACACACTTTTTTAATTTTAACTAGCCTACCTGGTATATAGTTTTATTTTGTGTTTTTACTTATTAAAATTAAAGAAAGATTTATTACTGTTACTGATAACGTAAACATGCCCAATACAGAAACTTTCATGCTTCTTTCATTCAATCTGTAAAATTAGCATTATAAATTATAATATAATATTTTTTTATACTTACAATAATGGTCTTGTTAAGTCATTTTTATCTCTGTGCTCCACAATGAAATAAATCATGTCCCTATGATAGCCAGAAAACTTTAATCTACAATGCAATAGTGTGACATCATCAATGTCATTCAATAAGGCAGCTAAATAGCTCATAGGGTGTAGATTTAAATGTTGACTTCTCTTCAGTAATCTGTCTAATGACTCAATGTTAGGATGGGGTATACCTGTAAATTATATGCTTTTAAGCATTTATAAATGAACTAGCTGCAACTTTGTCCATGTGGAATAGTGACTGTGGGTATAATTTTTAATTATTTGAGCTGTTTATTTATAAGAAAATTTCATTGTTATAGCTTAAAAAATCATGAATTTCCACACAAACTTTCATCCTCCTTTTTTGGCATTAAAAAGCCCATGTCTTTTCTCAGGCTCTAGCGTACCTGTGTACCAAATTTAATTTAAATCTTTAGTACTTTCGATGTTAAAGCAGGCCAGACAGACATAGTTACTTTTGCATTTATAATATAGTCTTGATTTTTTATCTTGTATAAGGATCAAAACTTAGAGAAATGTAATCAATTGTAATAAATGCTTACCTATATATTTTCCAACACCTACATTGAGCATAGTCTTTAATAAGTTGCCAGCAAAATTTCCATCTAAAGTTTTTTGCAATTCCATCCATATTCTTTCTCCCGATACATTCTGAAGGCCATCAGCATTTTTCTCAATAACTCTCAATGTATACTCTTCATGACTATCAGGACTTTTAGCAATTCTTCCATAAAAACGGAAATACCGCATGATTCTTAAGTAATCCTCTTTAATTCTTACATCAGGATCTCCAACAAAGGCAACCCTTCGTTTCATGAGATCATCATATCCATAAAAATAGTCATATACAGAGCCATCAAAACCTGAAGATGAAATTATAATATTATGTATACAGATAAAATTAATTTGAAAAAATTAGTAATAAAGTAAATACCAAGAAACATAGAATTGATTGTTAAATCTCGCCTGTTTGCATCTAATTTCCAGTCTTTTGTAAATTCTACTTCAGCATGCCGTCCATCCGTGACTAAATCAACTCTCAATGTTGTTACTTCAAAATTTTCTTTGTCATTGATCCGAGGCGTAATTGTTCCATGTTTTTCTCCACTCATATTGATCATTCTAACATTTTCCTTTGTAAACATATCCTTCATCTCATTGGGAGTTGCTGTAGTAGCAAAATCTAAATCCTTAGCTTGCTGATCCATTAAAAGATCTCTTTAAAAAAAACAAACTATATATATTTGTTACAATGTCTGTGTAAATTTCGATGAAGTTTAACATCAATTACCTGACAGCCCCTCCGGCAATACGAAGTTCATAATTATATTTATCAAATATCGCTTTTAAGTCAAGAACTTCCTGAGTGAAAATATTTTGGAATGCAGTGGAGTTCAACTTCATTACAATTGGATTTTCACGGAATTTTAGATTTTCATCCATCTTGGATCTAGTTCTCTTCAAAATAGTTTTCTTTAAAGCATAATCACATGTCTACAATGATTGACAAATTATTACTCATCTATTAAAAAATAATTATAGAAATTTTGATATATATAGTTTATTATTTATACCTTAAAGGTATTGAACATTAAATGATAATCTCGTGTTGGTATATATTATTACCATGTTTGGATCATGGGGTGCAATACTAATTTTGATTTATAACCAAAATATTTTTATTTTGAAATAAAATAGACCAATGTGTGATCCTTATTACACTTCCAATAATAAGAACGGTGAAAAGGCAGATGTAACAAATACCAAACATTACCACAATTCCTCTTTATGACACTTACATCCCGGTGGAAAAATCTACGCAGCCCATTGAATACTGTTTTCATACCTAGTTGTTGTTTAGTATTTTAAATTACTTACACGGCATTCAAATTCTCCACTTATAGGGTTAGAAAATTTCAACAAAATACTATTTTCATTTTTCACTTAATAAAATCTGTGTACCACCACAGATCTTGATGACTCTGTGATTTATAGCTGTCTAATACAGTCAAATCAAAACCACAGCTTATATGAAAAATGAAACAACGCAAATAAATTAAGTTCTTATATACATTTTTAAAATTACATTGTAAAACTGAAACAACTACCTAATCTAACAAAAAATTCAATATGTAAATGGCTTATTGAGTTTTATTATATCTGAATCACAATAGTACTTAAGAACTTAATACTACTGTCACTTTCCACCCATTAAGTTGTTCATTCCACTAGACCCTTGTTGCAGTTGCCTCATCATGTTATGTAGTCCGGACATTCCACCCATTTGTTGCAAAATCCGGGGATCCATCATCTTTGCCATCTGCTGGTTAAGTTTTGCCATTTGAGTCTGGTTGACATTCTTTGCCATGTCCCCACCTTTGAATAATCCCTTGATACCACCCATTTTTTTTACTACAGCTGCAAACTTGGTGTACTGAGCTATTAAATCTTTTACATCTCTTTCAGTCACCCCCGCACCTTGAGCAACACGGGAAATACGTGTGGGTTGTTTTGAAAAAAGTTTAGCACCATCACGGTGATCAAGTTCTCCTTCATTCATTGAATCCATTATTGTCATGAGGCGTTTCAATTTTGCCATTGATTCCTGTTCACTGCCTTTTGACATAAAGTCTTGTGAGAAGCCTGGTATCATTCCCTATAATTATAGTACATTATTATTTTGGATTTATAATTAAGGAGACATAGAATAAAATAAATAAAACTTCTCAAATTTGAAACAAGTTTGATAGGCATTGAAATATATTTTTATTTTTAATAATTAAATGCAAAACTTACCATTATCTGTGAGAATGGGCCCATTTTCATAATATTTTGGAACTGTTCATACATGGCTCTCAAGGTAAACTGACCATGTTTTAGCTTTTCTAAAAGGTCATCATTGTCATCGAGTTTTAACTCATTTACTTTATCTAAAAGGCCCTCAATGTCTCCCATACCCAGCAACTTATTAATGAATGGTTTAGTTTTGAATGGTTCAAGGTCATCAATGTGTTCTCCAGTACCTATAAATATAATGGGACTCTGTGTGGCTGCAACCCTGTAAACAAAAATTATAATAATTACATAACTCTGTTATTTATGATTTTATTAAAGGTGTTCACAGCCCTAAGATGTTGATGGGAAAAGTGATATGGTTAGTCAGAGCACTGAAATTTGAACATACACTTGTCTGTACTCAGCTCAGTGATAAAAACAGAAAAATGTATGTGCCCTATACAGGGAAAACATTCTGTGACATATCACATAGCATATTTAATTTATATAAATGAAAACAAACAAATCTGATGTGACCAGATTATAAACTTACGCTGAAAGAGCGCCACCACCTTTAGCATGGCCATCCAACTTAGTGATGATAACAGAACCAATATCTACTTTCTCCTTGAAGGCTCGAGCCTGCGCTTCACAAGCTTGACCAATTGTAGCATCCATCACAAATATGATGTTATCTGGTTTCTATATAAAGAAAAATATAAATGATATAAGAATAACCATTTTTTTTTTTACACAAATTGAATTACAACACAGCTGAGTTTCTTTACACTACTAACTGATAATTGTGCAGAGAAAGATTAATGCTATAAAAATCAATATTTTAGGAGATTTTTGTAATTTAAAAATTATAAATATTGACACATTTAAAACAGTTGGACACATAAAAAAATAATGTTCAAATTATTACTATTGCATTGGCAACTGCCAACATCTCCTCAAACAGTGACTCTTCTTGTTTGTGCCGACCACTTGTATCCACAATGATCATTTCAAATCCTTCTTTTTTAAACATATCAACACCTGTTGATGCAATAACAACTGGATCTACTTCAGTATAACTGCAATCAGAAGAGATTACATAAATAAACATTCAAAATGTACTGAGAGCTACAAATGCAGGCACTAAAATCAATCTTTAATGCCTTAATGATAAAATTAATTTAATAATTTTTCATAATGCTAATTTACTTCATTGTATACACATTGAAATACAACTGCTGCACCAGTGTTTATAACTATTCACTTATTTCTTTATAATATTATTATTTTCTTTTGGGGACACCAATCAAAATCCGGGTAGTCAGCCCACATAATTTGCTGACCATTGCACGCATTTCCTCTCAAAGCTACTTAATTAAAGGTTTTACTTTCTTTTTTATATTAAGAGTAGGTGCTTTGCTTTGCTATTAGTTTAGTATTGTGGAGAAATGAGCTAAAATAACCAAAGCCTTATGTAATGGCTTTAGAATCTTTGATGTTGTTTAGCACTGCATAGAGAGAACTGGATAATATAGGAATAATGTTACACCATAGATAAACACAATTAGTACAAACCTTCCATAAAACGGAATTCTTGCCTTAGTACAATTCTGTTTCACTTGATCATAAGCACCAGCTCTAAAAGTGTCAGCACAAACAAGACAAGATTTCCAGTTTTTTCTCAAATAATGATATGCCAATTTTGTACAGGTTGTTGTTTTACCAGAGCCTTGCAATCCTACAAACATTATTATATTTGGCTTGCCTTTCACTGGCTGGTAGGGTTTCACTCCAGGATCTACTAGCTGCAATATATAAAATATGTCAAAAACACATAAAGAGAAAAATCTTACTTTGCAATAAAATACAATACAAGGTACAGTACCTTTACAAGTTCTTTAAAAACTGCAGATTGTATCATTCTTCTCTTGTTAAGACCCCCAGCCATTTCATCAAAATCAATAACAGCACGGACATTTTCGCGAAGATTTTTAACTAAACGAATATTAACATCAGCTTCTAGGAGAGCAGCACAAATCTGCTTAAGCATAGAATTTAAAACCTGCAACATGAAGCCCAATGAGAATGCAAATCATATCTCATTTATAATGTTCCTTATAAAGTAATATCCAATACCTCTTCATTAATGATTGTGGCTCGGCTTAAAGACTGCAAAGCAGTAGTAATTTTACGTCCTAAATCAGCTAAAACCATTTTGAATAAAAACTAAATCACTTTCTATTACTTCAATGGAATTCCTCTTAGATTACTACTTGCACATGAAAGATGTAAATCTAATAAGTTTTAAAAATTTCATCTCCTTTAAATATATATTTGTGTTTATTGTTCTAAGGGTTTTACTCTTGTAATTTTTAATTCATATATTTTATTACAATCAAAAACAATCACCACGTCCTCTACATATGGCGAAATTTGTGTCAAAGTTCTGTCATTTTGATTCGATTAACGTTAGTAAGCCTGTGGATTTAAGCGCTGTGTTATTAGATGTCTGTGTTATTCTAGCCAAGCGAATAATACGCCAATTATCGCCAATCGTCCATTATTGACATATAATTAAAAAAGTATATGCATGCTATATACATAGTAGAGTGGTGAATTTAACTTTTTGTTATAGTATAATTTTTTATATGATTCGTTCAATAAGCTAAGTATAAGTTAATACTAAACTACTAAAAATAATTTTAGTTATAAATATCCTTTTATATCTGTGGAGGTCATGTAAATGTTATTCTGTACTTTTTACATTTCCTTTCGTTGTTGCTGTCAAAGTGGGTAGAAATCGAAATCAAATATCATCATCACTGACATATATACATTTTCGTGCATTTGCTATTGTTTTAAATGAAAAATCATCTTCAATGAGCAGTTAGTAAGGGGATTACAGTTAAAAAAACGCTAATATATCAACTATACGACTGGTATAATGGTAAGTAAATGTAATAAACAAATGCGGTCATATTATTCTTCGAGTAGTTCATTGTTCTAATCCGCATCTTCTCTTTTTTTGTTATAGGGTCAAAACCAATCCGGAGGTGGAAGTGGGGGTGACAAAAAGGACGATAAAGATAAGAAAAAGAAATATGAGCCGCCAATTCCAACAAGAGTTGGTAAGAAGAAACGCAAGGCGAAGGGACCCGACGCTGCGTTAAAGTTGCCACAAGTTACACCGCATACTCGTTGCAGACTAAAATTATTAAAGCTCGAAAGAATTAAGGATTACCTTTTGATGGAAGAGGAGTTTATTCGGAATCAGGAACGCCTCAAACCACAAGAAGAAAAGATTGAAGAAGAAAGATCTAAGGTATAATGCCAAATCATAACAGGTGCACAATAACTTACCATATCATATAAAGTTCCTGCTAGTAGGTGGCTTGTTTCTGTTTACAAATTCAAAAATAAGTAATCATTTGCATAAATATTTTTTACTTCTAAAATTATTATCTGGTCATTAAATAGTGACCAATGTGTGACTTTATTGTTTCTATTAGGTTGATGACTTACGGGGAACACCCATGTCTGTGGGCAACTTAGAAGAGATTATTGATGATAATCACGCCATTGTGTCTACATCAGTTGGTAGTGAACATTATGTGAGCATTTTGTCATTTGTGGACAAAGATCAGTTAGAACCTGGATGTTCTGTCTTATTAAATCATAAGGTAAAATACTTTATTTTAAGAATACATACACAAGTGTAAATATTATTAATTTCATCTTGTGTGGGTTAAAATAGTTTTGTTATCATGGTTACTGATGTGTGTTCACATACACATCACATCAAATTCATGACTAATTGTATAGTTGTTTACAGGTTCATGCCGTAGTGGGTGTACTGGGTGATGACACTGATCCTATGGTGTCTGTTATGAAGCTAGAAAAAGCACCTCAAGAGACTTACGCTGATATTGGTGGACTTGACACTCAAATACAAGAAATCAAGGTAAACTTATTAAAAATTTAAATCCTGTTTTCAACTCTGGGCATGGCTTGAACACATTTTAGTGTTTATTCCACTGTTATTTTATATTATATACTATGTTATTTTAAATTATTGAAATTTACCAATATTATAATACCTAAAGCAAGGCAAACTAAATTAGACACAGAGACCAATTGGGATTCAACTTGCATGTACTCAACACGATATTATTATGATAACAATGTATGATATTGCTTTTAGGAATCAGTTGAGCTGCCTCTGACCCATCCTGAATATTATGAGGAGATGGGTATCAAGCCTCCAAAGGGTGTAATCTTGTATGGTCCACCGGGTACAGGAAAGACTCTACTAGCAAAGGCTGTAGCTAACCAAACATCAGCGACATTCCTTCGTGTTGTTGGATCTGAACTTATTCAGAAATATTTGGTTTGTATAAACACCTGTTAATTATATTATAGCTTGTACTTACTATAGAAACAATTCTTATTTACTTATTACCAGTAATAGATGCAAAATATAAACAAGTTTTATCTTATTTACAGGGTGATGGTCCGAAGCTAGTAAGAGAACTTTTTAGGGTTGCTGAAGAGCATGCTCCTTCTATTGTCTTTATTGATGAAATTGATGCAGTTGGTACAAAACGGTTAGACAACTTCTTTTAAGTTTTTGTCATATAAGTATGTTGAAAAATCTATTGTATCCCATGTACAGAATAGAAGTTTAAATTTTATGTCTAACAATGTCAAAGTTTGAAGCAAATGGAATACATGCATATCTACTAAATATATATACACATAACAAATTGCTCCTTTCAGTTATGATTCTAATTCTGGTGGAGAAAGAGAAATTCAAAGAACTATGTTGGAATTGCTAAATCAATTAGATGGGTTTGATTCTCGAGGCGATGTAAAGGTAATTTTTAGTGTCATATATTATTTTCATTATTGATTAGTTACATATTAGTATTAAAATGGATAATAATTTTATAATTATACTTCAGGTTATAATGGCAACAAACAGGATTGAGACATTGGACCCCGCATTGATTCGTCCAGGTCGTATTGATAGAAAGATTGAATTTCCACTACCTGATGAAAAGACTAAGCGTCGCATTTTTACCATTCATACCTCTAGGATGACTTTAGCTGATGATGTCAATTTGTCAGAACTTATCATGTCTAAAGATGATCTTTCTGGTGCTGATATCAAGGTAATTTATACCTGATATGCTTAAACTACTGTTTATTTGGACAGGAACATACTGAGTTTGGTGTTCCTATATTTACTCTTCTTGTATTTATTTCTAGGCAATATGTACTGAAGCTGGTTTAATGGCGTTAAGAGAACGTCGTATGAAGGTGACTAATGAAGATTTTAAGAAGTCCAAGGAGAGTGTTCTATATCGCAAGAAAGAAGGAACTCCTGAAGGATTATATCTTTAAGTCATTTAATTTTGTCAGTGTTGTATTGTACTGAAATAATATTAAAAATAGCTAAAAATTTATTTGTTTTTCTAATAGCTTTAGATCCAGAAGTTGTATCAAAGATAGGAAATGGAATTATTCTATAATTTCATGCACTATTGCATTCCATATTATACCAAATTCTTTAATGTAAGATCCTGTTACTGTTGAACTAGGGTAATTCTGCATTTAATAATTTAATAAAATTAGTATTTATATAAGACATGAAATGCCAATGATGATACTCTAGAAATAAAAACTAGTTGCATCTCAAGTACTTTCTATATAATCTAGTAATTCTATATAATAATACTATGTATTCCTTGTATAAGGATGGTGTAGTCTGTAGAAAATAATTAGGTAAAATTATTTTTTTGTTCTGTGCTTTCATACCAACTCAATGACATTTATGAAATATGAATCACTATTACCATTTTTTGCTATTATCTGTGGTGAATTCAAAGTGCATACATAAAAAATAAACTATACATTGCATTTACTTTTAATTAATACTTTCTCGTTCACGAATATCCTAAAATGATAAATTGTTTAGTATGTGCGTAATAAAATATATGGATGAGTAATACGGAAAGCGATAGAGAAGTGACTGAGCACACTGCACTTATGGACGGCCACATCGCAGAAGCTCGCCCCGATAGGGAGATTGCCGAGAGAATCGCCAGGAAACGAAAAACCAAGGCAGATGCACAACGCAACTATGGGGTAATTTCATGCATTGCATTATAAATTCGGTTTGGGCAAACCCCAACGTCTCTTTAGTAACTCCGAAAGAAAGAGAAATGGCTTTTTTTACATAGAAGTTGTTATTAATCAACGCTGCGTGCATTGATTAATAACAACTTCATAAATTAATTATACATTTATTCACAAATTAGCGATTAGCTTACTTTAATTGTTACTAGAAACAACACTGTATTGATCTTAGAGGATAGCACATGATTTTATAGAAAGCAAGAATATATAACTGAAATACTAATAATTATATTTCATATTTATTTTCCCATATGCTACATAGTCCAGACTGTTTATATGTTTAGGTCACACATGTTTTTAAGAGTGTGTCTGTAACTATTTAACTTTATAGATTTGTTGTTTAATATTGCAGTCTGTGGGGCAGCCTGATGAGGGTACGTCCAGTGCAGTGGGTGGCTCAGCATCACAGGCACCGCCCCCAGGTCCAGTTCCAACGCAAGGTGAAGAGCTAGAGCTAAAATATGGTGCAAGACATGTAATCAAGCTCTTTGTGCCAGTAACTCTGTGTATGATAGTTGTTGTAGCAACTATATCATCAATAAGATTTTACTCAGTAAAGGATGTATATTTGTAAGTAACTCTTTAAGCTATTGTGACAAATACATATCGAGTAAGGGCAACATCATCAGCACTTTCTATATAAAGTATAAAGCATAAAGCAATGAGTTTCTTTAATAAGCTAATTAGACATTGTACGAGAAAGAGTAAAGAAAAGTAACATAACTTGTTATACTATGTGCATGTATATAGGTCATGAACTTATAACACTAATAAAATATTATTTATTACAGGGCATATACACCATTTCATGAAGAGAGTCCATATGCAGTGACAAAAGTATGGAATGCCCTAGCAAACTCTATGATTCTATTGAGCGTGATAGCTATGATGACAATTCTTCTAATAGTGCTCTATAAGAAAAGGTGTTACAAAGTGATACATGGTTGGCTCATTCTTTCATCCCTGATGCTGCTATTTTTATTTTCCTATTTATATATAGAGTGAGTATTTTATACAGTATATATTGAATTAGAACTATGGATATATAGCAGTAATTGTAATTGATCAATTTCTATAAAGATTAGTCTCCAATAATTAGCAGTATATATGTATACTACCAAAAGCATAAGAAAAAAGTTACGTTATAATGCAGGCAAGGTCTGGGACATGGCTTGATGGTTTTCTATTTTATAAATCTTTATGAAGTTAAATATATGTGTGTTTTTTCTAATAGGGAGGCACTAAGAGCCTACAATATACCAATGGATTATATCACACTAACATTTGTGATGTGGAATTTTGGCGTAATGGGAATGATAGTGATTCACTGGAAGGGCCCCCTGAGGCTGCAACAGGCATACTTAATTTTCATTGCTGCCTTAATGGCTTTAGTTTTTATTAAGTATCTGCCGGAATGGACTACTTGGGCAGTGCTGGCAGTCATTTCTATATGGGGTGAGTGAAAGATGCTTACTTATACTAGTATTAACATACTTACAAACTAGTTCATAAGTAAATACTGTCTATAGTTTACGCGAGTAGTACACATTTAAATAAAACACTTTAACGGTTTAAATCTGAAACGTCGGGCCAAAGTTAAAAACCATTTTCAAATAGGTTTAACTAATATATCGCGTTTTAAACCGTTAAAGTGTTTTATTAAAATAGTTCATAAGTTATACCAATAAAGTGTAGTTAAAAATAAAATACAAGCTTTAAAAAAAATGCCTCAAAAGCTACTATTTTTACAATAATAAATAAATTTTCAGAAGAAAAAAGAAATATAATTTTTAGTAGCTGAATATTAATAACCCAGTGAGAAGAAAATATTAACATCACTTAATCAGTCAACAATAAGTCTAAATGCTGCGATTAGATATAAGGTACTCATAAGTTTGCGTTCTTTTTAGATCTTGTTGCTGTATTAACACCCAAAGGACCTCTGAGGATATTAGTAGAGACTGCACAAGAAAGAAATGAACCCATTTTCCCCGCACTCATTTATTCATGTGAGTATTAGAAATTAACAAATAACATTACTATTTTAAACAATATTAAAATAGGTCAAATTGAACATGATGTGCAGTCGACCTATTTTGGCTTTGGATATTCAGTAATCCACAGACTGAAACCAAAACGCGAATAAACTTTTTCACACGGCTTTTGGAATTTCGATATTTCTACCACTCATTTAATACACAGACGAAGTAAGGACTTCGTTGGCTGCCCCACAGACTGCAATATTAAACAACAAATCTAATAAAGTTAAATAGTTACAGAAAATTATAAAATCTTTATATTATATAATATATAATCATTTTAAATATTATTCCGTGATGCATTCTATTTGTTTGATTAGTTTTGTTTTATCTCGTTGGTGGTGAGTTGTATAAATAATTACAAAAATACTCTTATGTTAGAACCGAAGCAATTCTATTAGAATAAACAATAATATTGTATGAACAATCGCTACTAGTCTAAGTAGGGATTGTTCGGTACTTTTCCACTAATATGCCTAAAACTTTTCCAGCGACGGTAATGTACTGTCTCGTAGCTGCCAATACAACGGAAGGCAGTGGAGGGGAACGTGGTGATGGGGCTGAGACGAGGGCCGCCGGGGAAGGTGAGCTGCGCCCTCTCAATCCGCATGGTCTGTGGCTAAAACTTCACTTAATCTTTATATTATGAGGCTGCTAGAGGCAGAGTGGCCTAATAACAAAAAACGTGATAAAAATTTGCAGTGTAAAAATAATGTTTGAATAAAAACATTATTTTTAAAAACTGTCAGTAGTTTACGCGAGTAGTACACATTTAAATAAAACTTTAACGGTTTAAAACGCGATATATATTACTTAAACTTATTTCAAAATCCTAACAAAATTTTAAATCCAAAGCATCCGACACGTCGGGCCATAGTTAAAGATAATTTTCAAATAAGTTCAACTAATTTATATCGCGTTTTAAACCGTTAAAGTGTATTATTGAAATGTGTACTACTCGCGTAAACTACAGACAGTATTTAAAAATAATGTTATCAATTTTCGGTCACCATGCTTCTTGTAGATGTAGATTACCATTTTTAGACTATGAAAATAAAAATAACTCAAGTCATAAACTGTGGTTAGGCTACTCTAACGGCCTCATATTACTTGTAGATTATCCTTGTCTTGCCTTTCAATGAGACATAACCCAAAGATCTTGTTACTAGGCCTTAAAATCTTAAATACTGGTATTAATAATGTAACAATGACAATAACACTGAGATTAATGTTTATGAAGATATCATAACAATAACATGACAATAGTTAACGAAATTTGCCATTTAACTGTCACTATGCATTTTATTATGTAATTGTATTGCTTGTATAATTTTTGTAACATGATTTTGGCATTACTTATCCTACTAATTATTATAGATGGAAGACTTATTCGAATGGACTGGACGCGACAACTTAATGTATGGTCCAATAGATTTTATTGTTTAATGAAACAGATCGGGCGCCTCGTCGCGAAATATTAGAGCGTCGCCATAGCGACGAGGGCGGGTTCGAAGCGTGGCGTGCGCGCTCGCAACTCGCGCGGCAACTGCGAGTCGACAGCACCCCAGCTAGCTACACTACACGTATCGACCGACCGCAGGCCTCGACCCAACAGCAGCAATACGACGTCGAAGAGGAAAGTAAGTGTCTTTGAAACTTTAACATTTTCCACATAAAATTGCACATGATAGCACTATATAAATTAAAAATCGATTATAGATTGAAAACTGCAACATTGCCAACAGCACAGAATATTGCGAATTCCGATTCAAGTCCTGCCCGTGACGTAATTTTTCTAATCTACAATCGATTTTTAATAAAGTATATGTCCTAATTTGTAAGTCTCTATAAAACACTATCTTAAAAACTAGTTTTGAGATCGTCGTCCCCCTCCCCCCGCATATATGTTAGAAGTCTGTGTTACTAGACGTATTGTGGCTGTAAAAAAAAACAAAATACCAATAAATAATATATCGATAAAAAATAATTTATTTACTCATTCTACGACGTCTTAAACAGTAATTTTAATAGATAGAAGGGATATTATTTTGTTTACATAATTCTCAGCTGTATTAATCCGATGTTTTACAGAGGGCGTGAAGCTGGGACTCGGTGACTTCATATTCTACAGCGTCCTGGTTGGGAAGGCGAGTTCTTACGGTGACTGGAACACCACGCTCGCTTGTTTCGTTGCAATACTTATCGTAAGACATTTTCTTATTTAGTATTTTTATTAATAAGAAAATATATAACCACGTGTTCATTTCATTGTTTTATGAAAGCTTTTTGCGGTCGTATAGGAAACATAAATAAAAAAACAAAAGTAAGTATCGTCTGTAGTTTACACGAGTAGTTAAACATTTAAATAAAGCAGTTTTAACGGTTTAAACTTGAATTATTAAACTTGCAAAGCATCCGAAATTTCGGGCTGCCTTTTTAAACTTAGAAAATGTTTGATTTAAATGTTAACTAGTGGCGTAAACTACAGACAATACTTAAACCAGGCACAATTATGTGTTTGGCCCATTATGATGTTCGATTTTTAAAATGAATTTAAAAAAAATCCACCTTGTCATCATTACATTTTGTAATATTTGCAGGGTCTCTGCTTAACCCTACTACTACTTGCGATATTCAAGAAGGCGTTGCCGGCGCTGCCCATATCAATAACATTTGGACTGATCTTTTACTTCGCGACGCGCGGTGTGGTCAAACCCTTCGCGGACGCCTTAGCTGCTGAACAGGTTTTTGTCTAGCTCTAAATTAATGACTCGACAACTTCTGGGGCGATTCTCAAGTGGGTATCGCTCGATATAAGCTGCGACTTATGCCAGACTCTTATATAACTGGTGACATAAGTCGACTGATATCGCTTTTTTGAGAGTTGCCTCCTTTGAATCATGGCGACGTATATTAAAATGAAATATTGATACAATAAAAATTGATGTAATTTTTGCAGAGGAAATAGTAATAATATACACTAACATTGTTATAATTTAATTGATAAAATCAGATGCCTAATATAAAATTAAATAGAGTAATTCGCAGTATAGATAATTCACGTATAATGTAAAAACTTCGTTAATACCCTAATGTTATCCAGCTGGAATGCATGGAAATCGTATCCCTTAAAATAACTAATGTTGCTCTAGCGTTAAGATTTAGGTAAAAAGGCAACAAGTGGTGTAAAGGGTAATGTTTTATAGACATAAGTAACTTATTAATATTGTATGAGTGTATTATTATGATGTGTTTATGTAGGGGCACGGTTCTTTAGCGCTGAACGAATCCTGCGCAGAAGTCAAAAATAAGGTAGCGGGCGCGGGGCAAGTGAACCTCACATGCGCTAACGTTGATTGGTTCCCCAGTCGTGTTTTCTTATTTGGACCAATACGACGCTCCCCTTGCTTCTTGAGCACAGTCTCGTTTGCCAATCAATTACGTGCGCGATTGAACCGATGCGCAACTATCCCCTCTACATTTCGTTCAGCGCTAAGCATCCGTGCCGCGACATAAAACACGTTTAAATTGAAGTATGGCTATCGGAACCAGATAAATATTTTCTGTAGTTTCATGGGTACACATTTTATTTTTAAGAGACATGTTGAGACAATCAATATAACCTTATACGCTATTGTAATATAAGACAGTCTGCAAAAGTTCATTAGCTGTTAGAGCATTATGTTTCTAAAATATCAAACGGTGTATGCTATGCTAGCGATTTGTCAGTGTAAATAACAGAATTGGGACCTAGAACCCATTTTTTAGTTTTGACATGGTTTCTTTACAAAATGGTGGCCTAGATAAGTACGCCATGCAACGACTGCATTATAAAATAAAAGATTTAGATTTATAATCGGTCGTTTGTTTAGGTTTTTTATTACGTCTCGGTAGCCTTGCTTCAATGTGGTTTCCGTCAAGTTGCGGTATTATGAATTTATCTGTATTTTAAAGCATCATAAATCACCTTAATTATTGGGTACTGCTGTTAAAATTATTCATACTTTTTTCTTGAAAAACTAAGAGGAGCAAACGACCGTACCAAAATAAAAAAAAGGTGTATCAACGACCCGCGAACAGAAATTGTTGTTATGATTACCAACCAATTATTGCATAGGATTGTGTCACTGTACAGAATTTTGTGCATAGCATGCACCTTTTGTATTTCTTAGAAACTTCTTCATTCTCTCAGTCCTAAAAGAGCAAACATAATACAAATCCTCTTTCTCATCCTAGTTTAGAGCTGTAAGTAACAACAAGGATCCTACATTTGTTTATCTACGTAAATAATTTTTGCTGTAACAGGTACTTAGTTCAAGTCATGTTTTGCTAAATCAAGTTATAGTTTTGGACATTTCGTATTTTTTGTCGTAATAACAAAATCTATGCAATGTCAAAATATAAGTACTAATTTGCTTAAATATAATCAAGTATGTTGCAGTTTTATAAAAATCTATGCGATTATTTGGAATAATTTAGAATCATTTTTTCATTGAGAAAATATCATCCATAGTGTTTTGACTTCCTCTATGAAAAAATAACCCATTTGACTTACTGTTATAAATTTGAAAAATACATTTGCTACAAGATGACTATTGTCTTGAATTGTTTTTTGTGGACTTATAATGAAATTATTTTTTAGTTGTTACTTCCGAGTTATATAATCTGGGTACCAGATTTGGGGTCAGGCACTGACATGATGTTTTTCAAATTAACTGTACTGTATTAAATAGGCTCATGTAATGCATTAACAATATATCTATATATTTTTTCTTTCTGATTAGCATTACCAACCGGTTTCCGAGTCAAATTAAATTAAACACCTTGAGAATTAACTGCTTTACTTTTTTGCTGTAAAAAAATCAATGTTGCCTTGGATTCTTGAACTTCCTTCTTTAAATCCCATTTTATGAAACGCAAAAATATGTTTACTACTATAAGATTTGAAATGTGATGAAAACGTTTTATTTACTAAGAAACCGGTTGTAAAAAGTAACTGATCTTAAGTTGTTAGTCCAATGAACTATTTTATCTACATTCCAATATGCTAAGAGGCTTTAACAAATAATAATTTATTAATATGACTACTCATTATCGACAAAAAGTGTGTTGAAGAATAAATTTTTTATCCATCATCTGTTTATTATTTAAAGCTCTAAAGTGCATGCAAACGATTGTACTAAGATTTTACATAATTCCAATTTGCAATATTGTGCGTTTATATCATTTACCTTTTTGCCTTGACGAATTTTAAATGTTCTATGTTGAAAGCAATAGTTTCAATTAGAACAGAGTTTTCTTGTGAACAATGATTTCCCAGAAGAAGCCCTATAATAATGGTAAAAATATATTTGGATATATTAAAGTGGTGGTTTGATGTGGATACAAAACGCCCATACGACTTATACAGGTAATGAAACAATACAATATAAGTATATAATATATCTCTTTAATAATGACAACCAGACAAGAATATCGCCTCAAAAATATTAATTATGTTAATGCTAAATTATAAATGTATGATTTTTGAGGTAAATTGATTTGTTATAAAAATATATCGCTACTTACACAACTTCTGTGTGAATTTTATGACATGGTAATGATTAACAAAAATATATAGAAATGCACAAGCACAAAAGCATAATCTAAACACAACCTTTATCCACAAACACCACTTAAAATTATAAACAACACCAACAATATAAAGAATCACATAAAATATTGCACTAAAGCTCTAAACTTAGTGTATTTGTAAATGAATGAATGTGAATATTATTATAAATAGAACTTTTTGTATATGGAATGCATGCTTTTGAGATACAAAATTTGAGAGAATTACGATAAAGAAATATAACATACAAAACACCCAAGTCAACTTAAATTCGAGGGTTTGGTATTTCTTCCGGTCCACTCTTCTTAATTACTTTCAATTTGTCTTTACTTGGTTTTAAAGTATCTGACACAATTTCTTCTTCGATTGGAATGTGTTTTGGGATATCTTTCTTTGGTGGAGCCTCCTTATTATTTATTTGCTCATTCTTAACTTTGACATTTTCAGACTTTACTGGCTTACTGGTAGGTTTATTGTCTTCTGAACTTGGTTTGGATTTTTGTTTAAGATTTGCCTCTGGTTCTTTTACAATATTTGGTTTAATTTTAGGCTTTGGGGCTTCAGAGGACTGCACTTTTTGTGGTTGCGAAGCGGGTGTACTCTTGTGTGGATGTTCTGTGGAACTAGTCTTTGTTATGGGTTTTTGTGTTGTTGGCTTTTCAGTTGTAATTTTTTGTTCAGGTGTAGAAGGTATTTCATTTGCTGGCTTTTTAGTTACTTTTTTTTGTTCGGGTTTAGTAGTCTTGGGTTTTTCAGTTGTTGGCTTTTCTGTTACAACTTTTTGTTCAGGTGTAGTTGGTTTTGCTACAGGTTTCTGTGTTATGGATGCTTCAGTATTTACTTTCTGTTCTGGTTTATTAGTTGTAACAGGTTTTTGGGTAGTAGTTGGCTTGTCAGTGGTTGTTGTTTCTCTGGCCTGTGCTTTAGGTTTTTGTATTTGTTCAGTTTTTTGATGAACATTCTGTTTGACACTTGGAGTATAAGCTTGCTTTAAAAGAGATGGTACTTCTACAGCTGCAATGAAGTTCTGACTATGTGGGGAACCTAACAATAATTTGTTGTTATATACTATAGCATCACTGATGTGCGCAACACTTTTGTCAGTGTTGTAGTAAGATGCAATAATATTGCCATTCCAATCTGTTACCACTAGACCAGATATATCGCTGAGACCAGACAAACTTGCAAAATTGCCAATCTGCAAGTAAAAAAATATACTGTAAATTAAGAGAGAAAGGACGCGACATTAAAAAATGTTGTAGGTTGCGTACAAGTGATAATTAATTTTATTACTATAAGCAAAAAAAAAACAAGACTTACGAAATATATTATTTCCTCAAATATGTAATGTGGGAATTGGGTATTTAAAAATTCAAAAGGCATTTCTATGAGACGTGCTGCTCGTGCGATAAACTTTCTTAGTGGTGGAATATCTGATACCGTTTTGGCGATCAACGGTGTTTTGTCGTCAGAAGCAGAATACAATGCTATCTGAAGCCCAGAACCATCTGGCAACGCACGAATGTTATCAGGTGTACCTAAAAATTGTAAATTGATTACATTATAACTATTTAAATATAATTTTTATTATTTACACTGATAATATACATAATCAAAGGACTTAGTTATATGTTCAGAACTTAAGTTAAAAATAGTATTTAAAACCTCAAAATTTGCTTTTTCTGACTGACAATTGTGTTTTTATAATGTACTCACAGCTAGGTAGATTTCCCTCTAATTAGCATATAAATGAATAGTCTTTATAGGTAATTGTTTTATTTTAGATGAGTAATTCCAAATAGGGGGGTAAATAAGAAGAATAAGATCAAAAATGAGTAACTATACCTATCTGTTTAAAAGATAGTAATTATTATTAAAAAATAATACCTTCCTATTTTAGTTACTAATGAACTTATAAACACTGGCAAATGTATGATTTATTTTTCGTGAGAAAAGATGCGGGTTTACACAAAATTTCATAGAATTGTTTTAAACAAGGAGGCATAGATTGCATATTCCAATGATTATATGTGTAGCTGAAATTAAGTACTTGAACACCTTCGTTACTTAACTTTAGCACTTGTGTAAACACGCACCGCATATGACATGCTAACTATTTAATTCCAGTATGTCTTTCGGCGACAGAGTTAGCACTTAAGATGTTATTGCTTAAATTCAGCATATTTGCCATAGGAATTCATCTTATGGGTGCCCAAGAAATTTTCGAAACCGATGTTAACATGAGAATTGACGCAGGAACGAGGACCTGCATATTCGAGAAAGGTAAAGCAGGTCAAATGATGGAGTTCTACTACCAAGTACTAGACGGTCAGCACGGCGAATTGGATATCACTGTGGATGTCTTCGATCCCAAAGACACGAAAATAATATCCGATTATAAGAAATCCCAAAACTCAATTATAATGGATTTGGAACATGACGGCGATTACGTTTTCTGTTTAGACAACACGCATAGTTTGATGAATTCAAAACTTGTTTTTGTGTATGTGGTGATAGAAGACAAAGAGAAAGAGAAGGATCAAGACGGTCGGGTAACTACCGTCGGAGATGACGGACAAGAAACGGAGGAAATTATTGAATGGGTCGGTGTTGACGGAAACGGTGACACATATGCGATACCAGTGACAAATATTTTAGAGTCAATTATGCGTACACTTAACTTAGTCGTGCGTGCGCGCCATATGTTAGATATTTATAGTGCAACGAAAACTAGGGATGGCTATTTAGCATTAGAGGATACATTTATTGTTGATGTGTGGTCGGCATTCCAAATTACATTGACCATGTCGGTTGGGCTGTTGCAAGTATACATGATAAAGAAATTATTTAAATCACACAATAGGATCTAATCTTGTGTAAAAGAGACTATTTTTCTTTAAAATTAAAATTGAATATATTATTTTCAACTGCTCCAGAAGAGTATAAACAAAAAAATAGATAATATTGTAGTTTAATCTCAACAGATTCTATATCTGTTTCACTAAGCTTTTCTTCATTTTAAAATACTTTTTCAATTGATTTTATTGTTTGTTAATAACCATTTTTATTGTTGATAACACAAATGTCATCTGAATGTTAATAAGAAATGTACCCTGATTACCTGTTATCATAAAAAATAATTTCATAGATTATAAGAGACACTATTGTTAAAACAATGCTGAATATTCTGTTGAATTATAATGCAGTAAATAATATATATTACCAGGCAACCCATCCACAAACACCTCAGTTTTTCCTTTTTTAGGTCCACTAATGTAATACTTGAGTATTCTATACTGCATTGTTTCAGCAACAACTACAAAGCTTTCATCAGGTGAAAGAGCTACTCCATTTGCAAACCACATATTATCAAATAGAACTTTTGATTTCTTAGTCTCAGGACTGTAGTAGAGTAGTCTAAAATGAAAAGTATTTAAGAATTAATATATTTTCAATTTTTACACAATTTAATTGATGTTGTTAGATCTTTACCTTCCTGAGGGATCTGATAAGCCAATGAACACCCCATCTTTTAAAGGGAAATCACTACTAGAATCTGTCCAGTAGACTCCACCTTTCTTGTCCACAGCAACAGAGTTAAAGAGTTTAGGTTTTTTCCCCTCTATAGGCACATCTGGTGTAACTAAGGCTTGCTTTTTATCAGTCTTGAGATCTACTCTCCAAATACCGTAATAAGCATCAGCCACATACATTAAATGTTTATTTTCATCTATACTAAAGCCTAATGGTCTACCACATATATGCTCTTGAGTCAATCCCGCTACAAGATAAAAATATAAATACATATGTAACTAAAGAACGAAATATCTAAAGAAACATTAAAAATGATGACTATTTATTTAAACTTACTACAGGGCTGTCCAAGTTTAGTAACAAATGTTACATGCCCTCCAGAAGAGCACTTTACAATTTCGCCGGTACCAAGAGACGTGTATAACTCGCCATTCAGTATTTGGAAAACTTCAGGGCCTTGTATTTTTCCTTCATACAATTGAGCAGCATTATTTAAAGCACTATTTGGTTCTAAGGCTCCAATATGATCTTTGGTCGGGGCAATTCTATGAATAAGTCATAAATAAGTAGGTACATAACGGTAAACAATGCGTCGACTCGTGGTCGACTCCCAATATAAAAAGTTAAAAACTTCAACTTACGGTATCTTCGAAAACTTAGTGTAAGGTGGCAAATTCGGTATCAGAAGAACTAAAAAAAATACGAAAGCAGAATAAACTAGCAACTTAAATATTTGTTTAAATATTCGTCCAATAAATGACATTTTATTTAAAAAGAAACGGCGAAATCTAAAAAACTATATGCGATGATCTTCCAAGTTCCGATAGGCGTGTAAACTGCATATGAAAGTTAAGTTAAAAACTTTGGGATGTAAATTGTACTAATTTGACAATCTTAATCAGGTACAACTGATAATTGACATTGGCAGGATCCATTGAGTAATGGGTATCAAATTAAGAAGAAGAAGAACATCTATTATGTCAATATAAAAAAGCACAACAGATAACAAAAGTAACGATATGTATCGGGTACTAATTCGTACGAATAAAATGATATGCTACATAATATATAATCTATGATATGTACTACATGTCATATTTCGTTACTTATGCGCATCACTACGAAATTTGTTTCTTTTCCTGTAGAGTTCGCCATCTTTTACGCGTTTTCTGCGGTTGCACCCAAGAATTTTATAAAATTTATAATGGGTCACGCGAATATTTGGTATTCTCACCCTCGTAAATACGGGCAGGGTTCACGTTCATGGTAGATAAGCCTATACTTATACTAAAACAAATAAAGTAGAAGTTATTATATTTGGTTAAAACACGTGTGTATTCATGGTTCTTTTTCTCGTGTTTCAGTCGCGCCTGCTCCAACAGACACGGTCTTATTCGTAAATATGGTCTAAACATTTGCCGACAATGCTTTAGAGAATATGCTCATGATATTGGATTCAAAAAGGTATGTTAACTTCTATTAATACTGCTAATTCGATAATATCTACAATTCTCCTTTCATTTGTAGGTTACAAAAGTACTTGTTTTTTTACATTTACTATTTTTTTTGTATTATCAATAAGTTAATATTTTAAATCACTACAAATGTGATTTAAAATATTAACTTATTGTAGGTTTATATTTGTGTAGAATAAAAAGCTTGGCATTTTTTCATTGAAACATTAAAAGTTTTACCATATTTAAATTGTTTGTATGCTGATAATTATAGCTATGCTTTTTTATATATCACGAGTCATAGAAAATCTATATTTATCCATTAATTGTGGGTCATTTTGTTTCAGCTGGACTAAACACTGTTGTGATGGAGACTAGGCTAATACATTTTTAAACATCTTTAAGTCTTTTTTTTCACATTCTACCACTACATATTCTTACATTCTACAAAGGAATTGTTAAATAACACAGTGTATATAAAATACATTTATTTGAAGTACAAAAGTATCACAAGACATAATAAATAATTTACATTTAAAATATTTACAATACATGTTTAGTATGTACACTAAAACCCAAATTGGTGAAGTGTTCAGCCAAATCTCTGAAAAGTAAAATGTGTCCAATTATATTATTTAAATTATGAAGACAGTAAGGCATGACACCTTAAGAGCCTAATTTAAATCTTTAAAGTATATCCACAATGCAAAGCCTGTGCTGTAAATTTTTATTATGTTTGTTTATCAAATTAAACTTCTAAATACCTGGGCAGCACCAGCTAATAATGAGAGAAAGCTTCGTTGTGGTGGGCGGCAGTGCTTCTTACCGCCTTCTGCACAGCATAAGTTAGGGAAACAGTCCACACTGGAACTGCAGCGTTGTGGAAATGTGTCCGCTTCAGGTGGTGGGGAGCATTGCAAGTATGATTCCAGCATACGTATAGCTAAAATTATAATACTACAAATGTCACATAAATCAGGTTTTGTATTGCACATTGAATTGTTTATTCTGAAATGCTTATTAAGAAGCATATTAAATTTTGATAACTAAATAAAATTTATTTTTTTAATTTACTAGGCCAAGATAGGGTGTATTGAACTTTATGTTAAAGTAGGAGCAGGCTCACGGAGTTCTCTTTAGTGACAGATAATAAATTAGCAGGAATTGTAACAAACAGTAGAAGAATAAATGTATCAGAGGTAGTGCGTGTTACGCAGTAATTTTCAAGTTACTATATGTATCCCATTCACGATACTACACGTGAAAATGTAGCTTTTATAAAAATGATGTAAACAAACATACGTCCATCAATTCTATTGGCTACTGGGACTAAGTCCAACCGAGCTTTCGCCGTCCGGCAGTAGGAACGGGTGCCATCCGGACAGCACACTCTGGGCCAACAGTCTGCATCTGTCTTACAAGACTGAACTTCGAACAATAACTCTCCCAGCGGCGCAGCTGGACATTCCCGTGGGATGACTCCTAGAATCGCTGCAAATTATAAATTAGCTTAAGTAATCTATACTAATATAAGCTGAAGAGTTTGTTTGTACGCTCTAACCTTAGTTGAAATAGAAAGCGGGGATTGTGTAAAATACAGTTCAAGGTACCCAAAAAATATGTATGAAAGAATGATTCCTCTTTAAATGATCTAAAAGAATGTCCGCGATACTATAATTATGTCTATGTTTTAAGATTAACTTGCAAGAACGAGGAGACCGGTTTTATTAAGAGAGGAGAACACAGCACAGTCAGTTAATATGCTCATTTCAGACTACTATTTACTATGATAGTATAATAATATTATAAATCTGAAGGGTTTGCTTGTTTAAACGCGCTGCAAAGGTGAAAGTTATTCATCATTGAGGGCTTCAGTTACGTGAACTGCGAAAAAGGTTTAAGAAAAATGAATTAACAAAAAATATGTAGGACAGGATTCGTCTTTGAATGATCGAAAATCATGTCCGCGATATATATGTCTTTATCTTCGTAAACCAGCTCGCAAGAATGAAATATTATCAAATGTATGCAATATTACTGATTATTTCTCAGGGTGGAATAAACATAATAATATATATCTTTCAAATAATACGTTTGCCGGTTTTATACTTAACCCTATTTCAATTATATGCTGGAAATAATGAAGTGAAACATATTACTATTATGAAATAGATACCGATGATTAAGAGCTTGACGTTCTGTATAACACAACTATTATATAAATAACAATATGTAAATTAAAATACGTTGGTTTGAAAACCCGGTAACTTTACCTGGGTAATTTAAATTATATATATCTACCAATGTTATGAAATTGAATGTAGGTTATGTGTGGTTTTCTCTAATCTCTTAATAGCATAACCAAATTCTATACCCGGAATTGTTATTTGAACTAAAAATAAGCTATATTAAAGTACTCTTAAATAATATCCTTAATTGATCGATGATAATATCTTACGTTGATGTGATTGTTCCTTGACAGTCGGTCGTGGTGCGGGCAAGCCTTTCACGCATTGACCTTGACAGCACAGCTGGTCTGCTCCACTTGTTAGACGGCATTGTGAGTTGTTCTCGCAAGGAATTGGGAACAGGACACTGGCTACTGACTTGGGGCACACTAATTTCAGGTTCTTGCCTGTGTTAAATGTAGGTTATTGAGTAATTTCTGGAAAACGTCTTTTAGAAAAATTGGTACCTACGAATCAATGTTTTTTTTCTAGGTTTGGTAGGTACACGAAGGAACTGTTTGTATTTGTATATGTGATTTTTAAAAGGAGATTGTTATTATGCTTTGTAGGGATATGAACCCAAGACCTACAAATGTAACGTAAACGGTATTATTGTATTTGAATGTAAATTAAGAAACCGCAGCGTCCTATGGTTTAGTCAAACTCTCCTTGCTTATGTAATATACAACACAACTAAGTATTAGCCCACCTTTTTTAGCGGGTGCGTTGATTTTAGGAGTTGTCTGTATAGGTAGTATCTGCAGGAACGGTCTCGGCGGTTCCGTCGAGGTGGTAGTCGGCTTCGGCGTCGTGGTAGTCGTGGTCGTTGTACTGGTGGTGGTACTCGGAGTTGTAGTAGTGGTGGTGGTGGTAGTGCTTGGAGTGGTGGTTGTTGTGGTAGTGGTAGTAGTTGTGCTCGTGGTGGTACTAGTGCTGGTTATGGGACTAATTAACTCGACTACACTACTGCTCGCCTCGTTGCCTCTAGAATAAATTTTGTTGCTTTAACTACAAAGCGGAAGCGGTGTAAGCAACGGTTATAGTTGTAGAACTCAAAAAATGTAAACTAGTTCTACTAATTAATGGATATAATGATTCTAAATGATTAGTAGAGAAAGTGCTACATACGAAATAGAAGTAATATTAGCATTTGTTGTATGTATAAATACATCTAAACGAATGAAACAATAAGTAAGGAGATAAAGTAGACATCGAGGTTGAAATTTTCCCTTTTGAAAAGAAAATGTAGGAAGATTGAAAAAAACTATCACAACAAGAATTGAAAACCATTTATTATGCATAATGTTTTCTTTCAATAATTAGAGTTAAGTTGTGCAATGCAATTCGTAGAAAATAACAAACAAGTCGATTTGTGGCTAAGGTAGACGTCGTCAAATCACAGTATTTATAACATAAGTTAATGGATAAATAACAACAAGGTTTAAAGCGGTAAACTGCTTAAAATATTATATTTAGTAGTTTCTAAATCGCGCAAACCTAAATCCTCGAATTAAATATGTAATTATCAATGGTGAGTGGCCTTAACCTAGGTTTAGTGTACTTCAGTATAGCCGCTCACTTTTAGTAGGTTTCTGTGTACCAAACCGTAGTTATTATTTTACTTAAGGATATAACAAGCTTCAATTACTTTGTTGTTACTCTTGAGATATTACTACTACTCTACCTAGGTATATAATCTATGTTACCTAGATCGCTAGGTATATAATCTTTTTTTCCTAGATTTGACACGTAGATAATATCCTTCATGGGTTGGTATATAGTATTTTTATTTTATAATGCAGTTCAGTTAATTATATAATTGATAGCCTTTAAAGTAAGCATTTTAATATTATTGTTTAATGTTTCTTCTTGTAAATTAGATGACGCTTATCTTAGGACTCAACAAGATGCTCTAGACTTATATATGATACTGTCTATAGTTTACGCGAATAGTACCTACACATTTAAATAAAACACTTTAACGGTTTAAAACGCGATAATATTAGTTAAAGTTATTCAAAAATGATTTATGACTTCGGCCCGACGTTTCTCTATACTTTTTGACTTTTACTCAGATACTCTACACTTTTTGACTTTTATATCAGTTAAAAAGCCGACCCTTAGCTTTTAAGATTCCTACCTACTAATACGTTTGTATTAATACGTATATTTCTTATTAAAAATAGAAGTTTTATAAACGAATGAAGCTAACTAAAGCGTCCTTACCGTAAAGCTGCGGCTTTCTGTACACCTTTAGTGCAAAATCCTTTACAGCAGAGGTGCTGATTTCCCATAAGGCTGCTGCATTCGGTGTGTTTTTTACATGGTAAGGGGAAGAGGTCGAACCAGCCACTACTTGTTCGCACCTTTGGGCACTGTAGCGATTGCGCATGTCCTGCAAAAAATCGTGGTTGATAGGCCAATAAGCTGCAGTTTGATAATACTCAAAATCATTAATAAGTAGGTACAATAAGGTATTGAATTCTCTTTGAAAAAGAAACCTAAAACAATAATCAATGTCAAATAAAAACATACTAAACTCATCGGTTATACAAGTATTATCACTATTTGTTTATAATATTTTGCTATTTTAAAATACGTTTACCCCCTTGATTCTTAAATTTCAATTATTTCACTCTAGGCAAAAAAATGGTTATAACAAAGGAAGTCAACCTTCCCGAGTTCTCAGTCCTGAATGTCCCTGAAGTGGATTTATCATCAGCAACGCTGATGAGCGCAGCGCACCATTTAGGAAAGGACTGTGAAAATATCAACAACGAGTTTATGCTATGCCGTATGGAATCTCGGGACCCGCGAGCTTGCCTGCATCTCGGTAAGCAAGTCACAGACTGTACGATGCAATTCTTTAAGAAAGTGAAAAGCAAATGTCAGCATGAGTTCAACCAATACGCTCACTGCATAGACAAAAGCTCCGGTGATTATTCTTTCAAGAAATGCCGTAAAACACAAGCTGTTTTTGATAAATGCATGGAGGAAAAGTTGTGTATGGTGAGGCCGGATTTTGGTTATTTCTGTCGGGCTCGGGTGCACGAGAGCAAGACGACACCACCGCCTCCTGATCCTTGTCCGTGTCATTCAAAAGTGCAAGACCCAACGCCATCACTTCCCGATTGTAAACCTCGTCCACCGCCGAGATTTAGCAGCCGATACTATTGGATGACAGAGTGATAAACAGACTTCTAAACCACGGTGTAAATTTTGAATATAAATAGTTATTGGACTGTTGCCAATTTAGTAGCGGAGGATTTCTAGAAAGTTTTGGTAATTTTGTTAATGGAAATGTACACCTATTTTTCTATTTTTCTAGTGTCCTCCTACTAGTCAAAAGATAACATTATAACAATTATTTTTTTGGACTGTCGCCTTTTTTTCCTATCAATATTAACATCTATATGAACAAAAGTGTTCTTTTCCACAGGGCTAGACAATTTTGAATGTATCTCCAAATTAAACTTTACCCTGTAAAATATATTCCATTTTACAAAAGTTTCAACTGGTCAAGTAATATGAAGCTGCTAGAGGTACAGTAGCCTAATAACCAAAAACATTTTCAAAAAACGAACGAAAATGAATTTCTACTCATTGTTTATGTAACAATTATGTTAAACATTTTCGGTCACTGTGATCTTGTAGATTAACATTTTTAGAATATGAAAATATAAATAAGTCATAAAATTGCGGTTAGGCTACTCTGCCTCTAGCGGCTCATATTATTATCCAAGAAAGAAAGAAGTGTGTTCTATTTTACGATTGAAATAAAACCATACTGTTGTCTAGCTTAGACACAATGGACTTATTGTTTGTGCGTATGCTGCAACTTACTTATGTATTTGATAAATCATACTACGTAATATTATAACCAAACTTTAATGAACTTTTACCGCCGAAGTTTCGCAAATCCTTGCACTTGAGAGAACTTATATTATGCAACTGTACTGGTATACGAGTAACCCAGTTTTTAATTATAAAACATGTCACAAGTCTACATAAGGTAATGGTCCAGTAAAGATTGTTACGTAGCAACTTATTCGACTCGAATGCCGCTTATAACCAGGAAAACTTATAAAAGTTAAATGGAAAGTTGTTCAGTCGTTCATATTTTCCAATTCCTATATTAAATGATGTAATCTTGTAATTTGTACTGTTTGTTGTGCACGAGAGCATAATATATTCGCTTACTTTTAAACCAACAATAGCGACTTTCAATCGCTATTGCTTCGAAAATGAATAACTGAATTGATTTTAATTTTATATCGATGCTATACTATAATCTTGACATACTACAACGGTTACATGTTCTAGTTTCCGCTGGAAGTCCTACATTCAAACTCCGGGAGGTTTAAATAAACGGTCTCTTGGTAGGATAACTCTTTTTGCCTGTAATATCGATCAGTAAAACAGGTTTAAATATAACACTTTAACAGTTTAAAACCCGAGAAACATATGTTAAACTTATATTGAACATTTTGTCAATTAAGGCCCGACGTTTCTGCTGGTTTGCAGCAGCCGCGGTCACCGGGACACCAAGTCTCTCAATAAGTTCAACTATATTTCGCGCTCTCAACCTTTTTTTTATTTATTTCAATGTGTACTACTCACGTACAGACAGTACAACGCTTTTTTGAAAGAAGCTTCTTCCTTAAAAATTAAGCCTACCATTTATATCCTCTGCTCGTTTACATAAATATATATAAATTAAAAATTACTCAACTATTCGAACAATTAAACTCCCTTACCGCCTTCTTAGCTAATTAGTTAAACGTCTTGCCAAGCTTTAAATGCGTGAGGTAGGTACTGAGTTCGTATTCCGGGGAAACAATTGATAGTTTCGATCAGATACAGAGGTCTGATCAACTACGCGCCTGTCAATAAAACTGATTAGTAAAACGGCCACAGAAATGTGTGCGAATCACACCCAACGAGGGGAAACGGGATTTTACTATTAATCTCTCTCACTAAATAATGTATTTATTTATTCTTTATTGCACAAAAATAATAATGATACAGAATAAAAAACTGGAATAAAGACCTAAATAAACCCAAAGCCATATTAGATATTAAACAGCCGCAAAAACGTTGTGTTATTAATGATAAAGGAGGACAGACAGTGGGGTCCACTCGACGGTAGGTGGAATACCCCAGAATATAGCATCTAAACAAGCCGTCGACCTATTTTGGCTTTTATTCGGACAGAAACCGAAACTTGATTAAACATCACGGCTTTCATCTGTGGACGTCGGTTCGTGACCCGGACGGAACAAACTCGAGACCCTTTGTTTTAGCCGAACCTTGCAATAACGAAATTGCCCGTCAAATTTACTTGACTAAAGATTTGATTTGAAATTTGGGATGGATGTTTGATCAACTACTTACCTGTTGGAAAAGCAACTCAGTAAGACGGACACAGGTATGTGTTATCCTCGTGGCCCACGGCAGGAAACGGGACTTCACTTATTTAACTTAATTTAATACCACTCGCACGTATCTAACTTAATCTTACCTGTATCCGCTAATCCGATTATTAAAAAAATAGATGCAACTTTAATGATCATTGTGTCAAATAATCACGTTGAGCACTAGAATTCACTTTAGTGGGTATTTAATTTTTGACTACGCGACTCCACTCTCGCTCGGCTTTGTCGACAGGCACGGGCTAGCGAATGGCGGTGCGCGCGGAGTCAGTGGTTGCATAAGTACCAGTCTGTTGATACAGATTATCTTTTGGCGGACAAACACTTTCGCTGCACTTTATTGCCTCAATGTGCTTGCCCTCTTTACGAGACGAGAAGTTTTTTTTTGGCTAAGTGCTGCTAAGGCGATAAAAAACCAATATGTTTTATTTTGTTGCAGCCTATTTCTGTTCTTCACCTGGACACAGGTATCTTCTCTAATGGGAGAGCTGTACACAAGCTGCTTTCGGCTTGGCGGTCTATAAATACTATTACCACTAAGTTTTACGTGCTATTCAAGACTCAATTTGATCGTGATCTTCACTCGAGGAGGGGACTAACCACTAGACTGACGAGGCAGTTTAGATTCAACATAATATACTTACTTGACCTCTTGTTACGCGCATGCTCTCAAATAACCAAAAATAAATACTGTTAAATACAGCACTTTTACCGGCTTAAACGCGAAATTTCATAGTTATCAATAGAGATGCTAACGGGGGAATCATTTGACCACGGCAAGACATCCGAAACATCGGGCCGTAGTTAAAAATAAGTTGCCTAATACATTTCGCATCTTTAACCGTTAAAAGTATTTTAATGTTACGTACTCGCGTAAACTTTACAACAGACCATCTTCATTTACCAGTTGTTCGATACAACCTTTGTCCCCCTTTTCATACCTGGCATGTCGTATAAGAATAATCCACCCCCTATAAACCCCACTTTTGATGTTTCAGGTCCTTTAAGGTAATGCTAGTTTGTGCGTTAATCAATCGATCATTCATGACAATACTATATATAACTAAATAAGCAGGTAGAGGCAAATATAACATAAGCAGGGAATTACTACAGGGAAAAATATAGGCAAATTACGATCGTTCTAGCGCTATTAGAAATTAAATTTAAAATCAACAGTCGAAAAATACCTATATGTTCAAAATATCCTAAATTAGGTACTATTTAGTTCTTGACATTTACAATAATACTTATAACTCATAACCCGCTTCTGTAAGACAACTATACTTTTTATGTGCCCAAAAAAAATATTTGGAATTCAAGCTTGTTGCAAAATTTTTTGACCTTTACTAAGTACTTGTATAATAAAATTACGTAGGGTCAAGGCAATTAAGTAGGTAAAATCCAAATGATAGTGCAAAACAGATAAGTTTCAAAGCATATTATTTTACAGACACACATAGGTATCTAAAATAATATTAGACATTATCAAATCTATCGTGATGACTTGAAAGTAAAATTAACGAACAGGTAGATTATATGTTTATAGAGATAGGTGAGACCGCACCACAGTACCTATAGAATCGAATATATTATTATTAATAAAAAGAAAAAGTAAAAGAACTAACGTGGGCAGTTCTAGCCAAAGCCATCTGCATCTGCATGTATAGTATCCAACTCTACTTACTAGTATTAGTAACTACTAACCTCTATAATCGAGATATCTCGAGACATTTTCATAATCGAATGATTTCGATAGTATATCTCATAATCGCCCGCCTCTAAAATAGTATGGTATTCGGTACTCCTCGTAGGTTATAAAAAATTTATGTGGAGGATAAAATGGCCAATATTTAAGTCAGAAGCAGACTATTGGTATGGGAAACGAGTAAACGACATAATGTTATGGTCCAATATGGTTCACAGCTTCTTCACTCTGCAAACCCATCTATTGCCATAGATTATACTCTATAACTCAACAGCTCAGTGGTGTCGGTGAATGATGGTTATTGGTTACTTGCTCGGTATTGTGTACATTTGAAGTATTTAGTATTATTTATAAATAAAACGAACTGCACAATTTGCCTTTTGTGTAATTCTCCAAACATACAATTATTAATTTATAAATAGACTTCTAACGAGTGTAAAGTAGGATATTATTGTAATGCCGCAGTTGGACAATAAACCTCGTGTTATTTTGGAAGAATTTCGCGTTAAGGTTACTATTAAAATGAGTTCTCTAATTTCCTGCAAAAATAAATATTATTTTCTTAACAAATATTTGCAATATTTTTTGTAGAATGCACCGGACGATTATGGATTCTCTGATGAACATTGGGATTTCAATAAGTTTGTAAAAAAAGTTTCGTATTGTTATTGTGAAAATGGATTCATTAGAGATGGAATTTGACTTAATTGGTATACAGCCAGCCTTTGCCAATGCTTTTCGAAGACTCATGTTAAGTGAAGTTCCCAGTATGGCTATTGAAAAAGTAATGATAAAAAATAACACATCAATAATACAGGATGAAATATTGGCTCACAGACTTGGTTTAATTCCACTGAAAGCTGACCCTAGACTCTTTGAGTATCGGCCTGAAGGTAATAAACAAAACATTATTGCACCCCATGAAAAAGTTTTAACATATACATAGTTTTTTTCTTACTTAATTTGTGTTTCAGGTGCGGTTGAGGGAACAGAGTTTGATACATTAGAATTTAGTCTAAAAGTGAGGTGTTCTCATAATAAAGTACAGACCAAAGATTCATTTAGACCTGAAGACTTATATGAAAACCATAGTGGTAAATATTAATATGAAATATTTTTATTGCTTTCTTTGTAAATCTATTATTGACATAAATTACTTCTAGTTTATTCATCTCAAATAAAATGGAATCCCATTGGGAATCAAGCATCTGTACATAAGGATATTGATGTCGGTCCAGTCCATGGTGACATTTTAATATCAAAAATGCGACCTGGACATGAGCTAGATCTAAATCTTGTTGCTGTTAAAGGAATTGGAAAGGATCATGCTAAGTTTTCACCAGTTGGTTAGTATTTTTTTTTTGTCAAAATGGAGATTGTAAAATCACAAAGCACATAAAGGCACTGTTCCCAGTTATCATCATTTATTTAGTAGCTGTTGTAATTTAAGTCCCCATACCTGTACCTGATTACAAAAGACAAAGACTTGTGCTGAGCAGTAGAACTTAGGGTCTAAAAAAGCTTTAGCACCAAAAATACTACTTTTTAATAGAGCTAAGTTCCTTATAAAGTTACCTGTCTGCAAAGGTGACTTTTTCTTACCTGTTTTATATTTTTAGCGACAGCCACATATAGACTACTACCAGAAATAACCTTAACACGAGAAGTAAATGGTAGTGATGCAGCATTGCTCCAAACATGTTTTTCACCAGGTGTTATAGGAATTGATTCAAATGGTTGCGCCTATGTTAAGGATGCACGCTATGACAGTTGCAGTCGGAATGTGTTTCGCTATGAATCTATTAAAGATGCAGTGATATTGACCAGAATTAGAGATCATTTTATTTGTAAGTATTCATATAATAAAAGTATACAACTCATTTAAACTTGGTGCAACAAGGATGTTTATCATTTCAACATTTTTTTTCAGTTAATGTTGAGTCAGTTGGAGCATTACCATCACAAGCCATTTTTGTTGAATCTGTGAAAATCCTCAGAGATAAATGTAAAACACTACTAGATGAATTACAACAATTCTACCATTCAAGTTCTATAACACATGTTAATAAATAAAGGCATTAAACATTTTACTCTTGTTTTTATTCCTATAAGATGTTTTTCTTTGATGTCAATGAAATTATTTTGATTAATTATAATTTATTACTAGAAAAACGTTTGAAATACATAACTAGGCTTACATGTATATACAGAGTAATAATTCTACTTAAAAATTGTGAAATTCATATAACATTAAATGCTAATTATGATTAAATTACAGCAATTCAATTATAACTTTCCATTTTTGTTCTAGTAATTTTCCAACTCAAGTTTATTGACATTTCTAACATAAGAAACATCTTTATTAGTTTAGTATTACATTACTGCCTTTCTACTAGTCCTAAATATACACAAAAGATTGACATTGCTACACCCGGTTGTTTAGCCTGTCTTTAAAACAATAATGCACTAAATACCAATACACCTACTCTCAATATTTATAGAAAGCAGCTCTGTAAGCAGTGAATTTAAAATATTACAAAAACACTTTTTTTACCATTTAAAAGTGTTTTATTTAAATGTGTACTACTCGCGTAAACTATAGACATTTAAGTATTTTATTACCAAGATGTTAATAACAGATGTCACAGAATTACATGTTACATAAAAATAATAGACCATATGCAGTTTTTATTACTAAACATTTTTCAATGCAAATTTTGTCTCTCCATGTCATGTAATAATAGGCAATGGCAATATATATTGTTTTTTTACTTCTTTAAAAGGTTTAAAATTTTACATTATTGCACACAACCTGATAAGATATAACAGGTTAAAGTGCCATAACTGGCTTACAGTTACAATCTGCATACAATGTAGTTGCTTTAAACTTAATAAGTAAAATAATTGGAGAGAAAAATGCAAAGAGTATAAATTAACATACATGTTTTCAACAATGTAGTAAACCACAAAGAAGCCCCAGAAACTCCACTATACTATCATAAGGACTTATAATTTAGAATTATGAAGAATACTGTGCTGCACTGCATGTGTCATCTGGTCCTAGTATACTAATTTTTAATTTAGCAGAATTGGTTCCTAAGTACACTTAAATTAAAACAAGGCTTAACTTGAACTAACAGATAATACCTATGATTCAATGTTTATTCAGATGCTGGTGGATTTTGTTGATCCTCACACAAACTCACATAAGCCCCTCTGGTTACTCTAGCCTTCCGTTGACCCTTTAACATATTTGCTGCTTGTTCAATGCGCATAACAAGTCTATGCTGGTTCTCCAAACGTTCCAAACAGTTTTTGCAGATAGTCTTAGGTAAGGGATCTGAACGGGATACCTGAAAAGAATATGGCATGATAAATTGACTAATTTTCATTAAAAAATATATTACCGAAACTTTATACAGACGTTTATTGACAGGTATCTATTAATCTTTTCTGAAATGCATAATCGAATGCCTTCCTCTCCGTATATATGAAGAACTACCCGATGCATCTCCGAGCATAAGCGACAAATAAATCCAGTTAGTACACCTTTATCTAGACTGCCCATATTGTCAATCGATAATTAACGGAGATCTATTTAACAACAAGATCGTACACCGACTATTTGATATATTATTTACACAATTTACATATTGTTCAGCACTGACGGAAAATTAAAATGTAACAAAGTACAAGGGTTCATTAATTTGTAAAACGTTTTAAGAAAATATCCGTATTTATGTTAACTCCTGAAGTTAGAGTTAAATTATTGAAATTGTAATAATTTACACAACTATTTAACAAAAATTTCTATTTAATTTTCAACACGGATGTAGGGAATGTTTTTATTTTTCACAACTTTATTAATTAGTAATTACACAGATTTATTGTAACTGTAGAATATTAAATGTCAGCACAGTAATTGTTTGTGTAAACTGTCTGTAGACTGGTGTTGCTAAGCTTCAAAATGTCATTTTAAACAATTATTAGATTAGATTGAATAAAACGGATTTTAAATAATAAAGAATTCTGAGAGAAGTTTTATCAGGGAAATTATTAATATTTTATTAGTATGTACTTGTTTAATGTTAAGGTAATTTTTAATCGTTTCAAATACTCAGCACAATGGATCTATAATTATTAGAAATGGTATTCAATGGATAAAAAATAAATGTGGGTAATATATAATATAATAATTTTATTGCACATGCACATGCCCATTCGATAGGAGTTTCTCTATTCGTAAGTTATTTTTGTGGATTATTATTTTTAAATCGTTAATCCTTTGCCGTTTTTCGAGAATATCAGTTTCAAATTGTTTGATTTTGGAATATAGGGGCATCATAGCCTCTTCAGTTATCCTGGAATTAAACAATAGATAAATATCACTTCTCAGTTATAAGTACCCACTAATGGTTCGATTCGATTACTTACTCTCTTTGTTTTGATAATTCCTTTGTTTTGTCGCCATAAATCTGTAACCATTGTTGTGATTCCTGACGCATAACTTCAACATCTTCTTGTACGTGATCCAGCAGCTTTCCCAAAGGATTTGAAACGCGTGAAAGTGCTTGTATGTTAAATTGTAACTGTTCAAGATCTTTATTGATATCATCCCGCGTTGCCTGTGAACCCAATTCCCACTCCTGTAAGTTAATTAGTCGTAATAATATTAATTTTAATATTACTGATTAAATTGATACATAACATGATAATTATTAAGAATGCGCATTTTATTTATACTATTTTATATATCTTATTATCACTTTGGTACGGTATATATCATACGGTAATAATGTATCGATTAATCAATTCCAAAAAAAACGCAAATGCCAGTCTTACAAATACAGAAGCTCATAATTGTAATTAATAAATAAAATTTTGCACTAACTATTTCAGTTCTTCCTTTGACTTGCCCAAAACTTTTTTGCGAATCTAAAATCTGTTGAACTAAATGACCATGTGGTTTATTTAAATGATGGTGTTGTTCGTGCTGGGCATCGATATTATCCGTAATTTCTATTTGAAAACTAGATTCCTCGTCCTAAAAATTAAAAATCCCTTCAACAAATGCGAAATACATTTTACTAGATTATAGAGTATTTTATATAAGGTGTAAATGACAAATGTGTTATATCATTTTAATGTCACTTGACTCAAATACTGGGTAGGTAATTTGACTTTGTTTTGTTATTTACCTCTTCCGGCAATGAGCTTTCTGTTATAATATTTACTTTACCAATAACAACGTGATCACTGCTAGCTAAAACATTAATTGTATTATCGTGTTTATCGCGTATTTTTGGTGCCCCTGGCCGAGAAGATAAAGGTCGCGCACTAGATGGTTTTAAACTAGATATTTCTGGCATCCTTTTACCATTCGAGTCTTTATAGTCTTTTACAGAATGATCTCCATTTTCTTCAGTGCCAAAATTTTTTGATCCTTCACTTTTCTGTTCGGTTACTTCTTCTAAAAATATTATTTCTTTATTTGTATGAATATCGTCTTTTTCCAGTATTGTGGAACTGTGCGATGCGGTAGCTTTTTCATCAATATTATAATTTTTTTTACTTTCGTCATAATTTTTTACGGTATCATTTTCTTCCTTTGTTATATTTGATTTATTTAAAGTATTAGCTAAGTCATTATTTCTTATAGTTTCATCTTGGGGTTCCTGTGGCAAATCGTTAACGATTTCAGTAGCATTCTCATCCTCCGTTGTTATAATCGTTTCTCTTGTAATTTCAATTTCCGTCTTCTTTTCTGCACTTTCAATAAAGTACTGCGGAGTGTTCGCTATTTTTTCCTCGCTTTTATTTTTGTTTTGATGTGATGTACCTTTTAGTGTAGATTTTTTTCTTTGATTTTCATTGTCTTTACTTTTTATTTTTGATGTTAAATGCGTAGTGTTGCTTAGATTCAATTTGTCTATTTGTTTAGTTTTAGAAAAGACTTTTTTGTCGGATACTTTTGCCTCCTTAGATACCTTTTTACCATTATTTGTCCCTACTTTCAGAGTTTTAATAGCTTGTTCTGATGAAAGATTCTTATCCAAAGCTTCCGCCAAACATTGTAACAGTTCATTTGTTTTTTCAGGTTCTTGTCCAGCAACTATTTTTGATGATTTAACATTCAATTCTTTACCCAAGGTTTTACCTATAAACATTATAAACGTTTACGTCTTTAACTCAGATATATTTGTAGGTAAAAGAGAGAGCAATGAAACAAAAGAGTTTGCAAGTCTACAAAGTGGCAGGTATTCCTACAAAAGTTACTATTTTCAGTACTTATAAGATAAAATAAGTATTAACTTACTCGTTACGTATATAACCTTATTTAGAAAGGCAATTTTAGAATCTCTATCTTTTACATTATCCGATATAAGTTCGTGTTCATCAAATAAACCATCGAAAAATCCAGTCGTTTTTAATACCTGCGATCAAATATTTTTTTATTAAGGATACAATTGAACAGATAGAGTTTTAGGGAAAAATCAAAGTGAAGTGAAGAAGAAGAAGAATATGTCAGTAAAACTACTTATTAAGATAACTTTAAATTAATATATAAAAATTACCAAAAACTAAACTACTAAATAATTTATGTGATGAATGTCAGATCCACCTCGGTAAATTGGATTTATTTCCACCCCTGAAGGTAGTTTTTTGTTTTTGCTTTATAAGAAGAGATTACGCGACTTTTAAGGAATGTTTAGTTTTAGTGGGGGTTTTAACGTTTGGGAAGGGGTTAATCATACCCACCGCAATAAAAATATCATGTAAAAATCGAAAGGGCGGTTTCTTCAACAACTTTTCGGATAATGGCGGACGCTTAATATATTTTCCAAGTGAGGTCTGTGTGGCTTTTATGGTATGAATATCTAACTCTTTTTCCATTTTATTATGTAAGTTCACCTATAATTATCAAATAAAATTTTTATTATTTTTAATGAAAATGCACTCGTTGAAAAAATCCATGCACATCAAGGTAAACTGATATCAATAAAAGATAAATTTAACGTTGTCACAAACTTGTATAATAAAGTAGATTTTTTATTTACTTATATTATATTTTAGTAACACATTATTTCACTATAAAGAGTTCGTGGTTACAATTAATTGTTAATGAATTAGTTACTAAGGCAACCAAATTTCAAAACATTCTTTGTTTTATTTAATATTCTGTGCCTTTGGCTTAAAAGTTTTCTTACCGAGCCCTGGAATCTTGTTAAAAAAAATCTATTGAACATGACATCCGACAATAACCTTTGAAATAATATAAGGTTATCTAAAATAAACCGTAATGCGTTGTAATAAAATTAAAATTACAACTGCAACATTAGATTTTTATGTTATATAATGAATTGAAAGCGAATTATTACATAGATTACTTATACACATAGTGGACTACATCTCTAGGCTACATAATTAACTAGCAACATCGCTTAGCTTGTGTGGCAACTTTGTTTGGCTTGACGTTGCTACTTGCTTGAACCATTGACCATATTAAACGGTGTTCATTCTCAATTTTAACTCCGTGCGCCTGAGTGAAAGTATTATCAAAATCCGAATTATATGTACCAATTCTTTGAAAGTGACTTAACTTCAGGAGGGGTTCTGATTTTCTTAATACGAAAATCTTTATTATAAAATGCCTCCTAAACGTAAAAGAGGACGGCCACGTCGCAGAATATCTCAGTCATTAACTTTTGAACAACAACCAGAGAATGCGACGTCTGACAAAAACACTTCAGGGATAGAAAATATTAGCAAAAAAGTTATTGAATACATTTGCTCACACTGCGACAAGTCATTTAAAAGGAAACTCCATCTTGAATGGCACTTAAAAATTTGTGGCCAAAATGAAGATGCTGATAATACGTCGGGAGAGCTTGGCAATGATTCGAAAGAAAACCTCTTGCGAAATTACCAAAATAAGAGGGTGAGTATAAAATTGTAGCTATTGTTGTATTTGTATTGTAGTACAAATTTAAACTTTATTGCTGCTACCAGATTTTTTTTGTACACACACACAGAGTAAATTCTCAATAATATTCTACTTATTGTATTCCAGCAAGAGTTACAATGTGATAAGTGCAGTAAAGTGTTTGTTTTTAAGAAGAGTTTCCTAAAACACATAGAAAATGAGCACGCTGAAGGTCCAAACAGTGTAAAATGTGACCTTTGTGAAGCTTCTTGTCCTTCTGTGGAAATCTTAGAGCGCCATAATGAAAAGCGACATAATGTTGGTTCTTTTAAATGTGAATATTGTAATCAAACATTTGTGAGAAAAGCTCATGTGAAGCGTCACATGATGCAAAAGGGATGTGATGGTCGTAACTTAGTAAATTTTTCATGTGGGGTAAGTTTTAGCGTTATATGAAACATACTGTAATTAATATTCATATATTCATAGAAAGATCTATTAATTTATTACAAAGACTTACAAAAATATATTTAATAAATAGTACCTATACACTTGTAATGAAATTATCAAAAAGTATGTGTAGGTGATAGAGAAAAAAAGAACTGAATCCTGTCTATCTGTCTGACCCTGAAGTTTAGAAGGTATCTTAATACATTAGTTTAATTTAAATGAGATGCTAAGATTACAGTCGGCAAGTCTATGAGCTGTCCACACACAATGCATTGTGTTTTACAGATCTGCAATGCAAAATTTACCCGAAAGGATAATCTAATGGTGCATCTACGTTTACAACACATCACAAAAAAATTGTTTCCTTGCAAGTTATGTCAATACTATACAAGTAACTTCTCAAAACTTATTATTCATACACAGAAGGTGCACTGCCGTAAGTATTTAAATATGTTAAAAGTTTACTTCTAACAAGTAACATTATAACATCTTAATTATTTTTCAGATACATGGTATTCATTAGTTAACTACACTGCTTTTATTGTATTTTTTAAAATAGACTACTACTTTTAAAGCCAGCTTTACATACATTACTTAAAATATCGTAAAGATTTACCATCTTAAGAATTGTCCTGTTATATGTTAAAAAATATGTATTTCAGCCAAACCATTGCAATATGAATGTGATTACTGCGGCAAACTAACAAGTTCAAGGGCATCAATTATGAAGCATCTTGAGATACATGGAGACAAGAAATATGCATGTGGTGTGGTGAGTATTTAAGACTTGTTGTGAAACTCCTATCTATCTTTACTACTTTTGTAAACCAATATTATTGTTTAACTGCTTTCAAGGACAGTGCAATATGGTGAGTATGACATGTTCTTTTAAAATGGTTTTTAATAAGAATAGCTTTAGTTATACATATAACTTAACAGTTAAATACTGTCTGTATTTTACGCAGTCTGTAGAAACGTCGGGCCATAGTTTAAAATAATTTAATAAGTTTAACTAATACAATTCGCGTTTTACACCGTTAATTTTATACAACTTTACAGTCATAAATAGGCAGTCTGGTTTATATGCCCAGCTCCACTCAAACATTATGCCATGTCTCCATGAATACAGGGAGCATACAAGTAATCTTTAACACCAACACTAGTTTTAATTTAACTATCAAATAATATGAAATGAAACTATATTTTGTTACTGCTCAATAGATTATTTGATCTAAAATCCAATTTCTCAGTGTGGATACAGCACCTTCACCATTGAAGTAATGAGGCGACATGCGCTTACGCATGTGAGGAATAAGCCGTACAAATGCAACATCTGTAAAAAATCGTACATTCAGCGGGCGCAACTCGTGAAACATCTCGAAAGGCATATGTCCTATACTTGCAGTACCTGTGGCATTCAGACGCGGCTTAAAGAGGAGTAAGTATTCCAAACGAGCCATAGGTCTTCGTGCTGCCTTTGTAATGTTAACTGTATTCTATCAAATCCTAAATACAATATAGTATAAAGCTTTCGCGGCCAGTATGAAAAATTGACAGTTTTCTAATAGAATATCTTACCACTTTTTAACCTGAATAGATTTCAATTTATATAATGCATTTGCATTACCAATAAAGTTTTCAATAGATGTGTATGATTTGGGAAGCTCTTGCAACTTATTTCCTCATATGGAATACTAATAATTTAAGGCATTTGTTAAAGAATATTTTTGAGAAGAATAGAAAATTTGATAAATCAAATTCTTTGTTTCTGAGATTAGTGCATCCTGCATGTAGCTAAAACTGTGCAGCAACCAACATGTTAAGCTTGTGGATGTATTGAGTAATATATTTACGGTTCTTTTAACAGAATGGAAGTACATGAACAATTGCATAAAGATGATGGGAATTTGTCGTGCTATTTTGAAGATTGTACAGCTTCGAATTTCAAAACCAAACGTGAACTCGAAAAACACATTAAGGAACATACAAATGGTAAGAACATGGTAACTATAATAGTTACTTACTTATAATACTAACTTACTGTCTCGATTCTCACTATGTGAAATTTTTTCTCACTGGCATGAGATGTTTAATTATGTATCCTAATATATAAATATATGTGTGCATATTAAAGAATAGTTAATATTAAGTTTTCACTCACGTAGTATACACATGTTACATCGTAACTAATAGTTATGGGCTAACAATTAGTATAATAAGGCGAGACCAAGTGAGGGAGGGGGTAATATGTGTATTTATTTGTGTAATTATCGTTGAATGTGCAGTGTACGAATGCGAGGTGTGCCACAAAGCTTTTAAGAGCGATACAAATAAACGACGTCACGTGGCCACGCATGCGCTAGACCGACCGCGCCGCTGCATGTACTGCGTGAACGCACGCGCGTACGTACGCGGCGAACATCTCTTGCGGCACGTGCGCAAACACCACGCGGATGTCTTCAAACAACGGCTCATGCACGTCCGAAAAGTTCTTGTTAGTATTAAAACACACATTACATTTTTATAACAGAAAAGAACCCTAATCTTTGCGTTACTAAAAGTAGGCTGAAGTGCCCCAGTCCATTTAACATGCGCTATGGTAATCCATATACTAAAATTGTATATGTAACCACTTTTCTATCTATGGAACGTGATGTTATAACTTAATAAAGTTAAATAACGTACTTGAACCCTGTGTCACTGCCAAAATTATAAACAATATGGTGGCTGGCTATAAAACATCCTCCAAGAAAAGAACCCCAATGCTTATCTGTCCTTCTCTGTCATAATAATACATCTGATGACTCTCCCTTTCTTTTTAATAAAAATCTTTTATAATTAAAATATAATAGCGATTGATGTTTGATACAATCCAAGCAATAAAAGAGGATATTTTGTATGAAAAAGCGGCGTAAAGTTTTTGGCCAGTTAATTGCTTAATTTCCAGCTTTAAATATAAATAAAGAGCCCTTCATATGAAATAGTATAAATATTTACACGTGATATCTATATAAATTAATTATTTTAGCGCTACAACATTATCAACGTTTTTTTTAAAGGGTTCCTACGTAACAACGAGTCGCGTGTCCAAATCTGAGCTTGAAGCCGTTCTGAACGTTTTGGATGCTGAGACCGATCGTATTATTGAGGATTATGGGACTGGGGTGCTCTATGGCGGATTGCAAGACACCAAGGACGGTGATATTATCGTCGAGGCACCATTAAAGGTATAATCATAATTTTGATACGGTTATTAGTAGGAAGAAGTGTTCAGCTTACCAAAATATGCTAAGGCGCCCTAAAAAAATATTTGTTTACAGCGCGAACCGAGTACTTTACTTAGCGAAGAGGAATTAGCGGAAAATTTGAAGGCATTACTGTCAAAGTTGATTGAACACGATTTGCTTCTTGAGTTCGGGTGGCCTGATGAACCGATTGATGAGGTTAGTGGTTATTTTATAAAGCAATATATGATTGTGTGAACATCCACAGATAATGTGATTGCGATCTCCCTTCAGTATATAGATGACTTATTGTTAACCACGTCGCAGAGGGAGAAAGAATAATTTTGTCGAAAGTACATTTTTACGTTTAAAAATATCTTTATTACGTTCCATGTTTTCAAGCTAGTGCTTAAAACTATTTGTATTGGTTATAGTTAAGGCGTAAAGAAAGAACCAAAAAGACTTTTTCTCATTTATATTATGTTTACCTTTTAAAACCATATTATGATAATTTAAAGATTTTTGTTTGGTGCAGATCTTGGAGAAGGTGATTGAAAATTGTGGTGCAAACGCAGCAGACCGAACTAAGTGGTCGCGCGTTCAATGCCTCCGCGAGAACACAAAACACCTGTTTCTTTATGTTATTGAGGATAAAGACATTGCCAAAATGCTTACAACCCATACCATTGACCAGGTTATCATGCATATACTTGAACAAGTTAATGACACGGCATAGCGTCTGCATAGATAATCTCTATGAAAAATATATTTCAGAATTCTAAAGTAGTTATAAAGCGCACCAAATTTCCGCGATGACGGAGATTTCATACAAGTTAGACAAAGACAACTCGAGTCTAAAGGTATTGCTCCAGATCCATTTCATCCTCAATTTGCAGAAAACCCCAATTTCACAAAAAAATATTATTGATAATGCCTAAAACTGTAATACATCCTTATCTTATATAAATTTATTTGTGCGGCGCAAAGAAATCGTTCATAAACGTTCAATTATATCGATATCAATCAATTCAATCATATACCAATAACGTTGCATTTATTTTGCATAACTAACTGTTATGGATAAAAAATTGATTTTAGAATAATACACGTCGTTAGAGATGGGACGCAAATCCACGAACACAGCGTGCGCTGTCGCTCTGAGCAACTAATCTAATGTCCTACTCATTTTCATATTTTTTTTTTAAATCTATTCATAGGTTTAAAGATATCCTGTGCAATTATTATTTTCTGTTGAGAACAACAGACCTAGTGTCAAGATGCGAAAAACTTGCAAAATAAGTAAATTTAAATAATGTTCATCTTATTTTATTAATCATAACATTAAAAGCAAGGTTTTTCTAATCCTATTGTCGCCTTGTGTTCTAGGTTGATGGAATTTCTTTTATATTTGATCAGTTTGTGCACATTTATTTAGAATTTTGTAAGTTGACATAGCATAGGGTTGGATCTTAGATTTAAAGGTCCTACTAATAATAAGGCTGGGTTATTATTAAATTAAGGTGAATTGGCTTTTAATAATCAGTTGTGAAGTATTTTATATAAGGAAAATATGTGCCTTAAATTGTTTTATCAATTATATTTGAGGTGCTTTTACATTTCAATCAATTTATTTCGTTATTTTACTAAGTAAGTTAGAATCAATTTCCAATACAAGTATAATAATAATATTTTTATTTAGAATTAAGGCCACAGTAGTGCAGAGTTAGTGACTTAATTTTTGATTTTATTCATAAAATTGTTGCTCTATGTATTTTGTTTATTTTTACATATTTTATTATCTTACGCAAAATCATAAAATTGTTTATCATAAGTTTTATAAGGGATATAAATAAGATGGGTATTAAATTAATAAATATTTACTATACATTTTTGTCTTTAATTTCTCAACTAGGATACTGGACAACAAAGATTCGTAGTCGTATATCTTTTATAACGTTCTCAGTTTATTATAATATTGTATTTTCTTAAATATTTAATTGCCTGGTAATATCGTAATAAAACAATATGCTAGTGCTGTTATACTTTTTATGAAGGTTTCAAACTACCCCATAGACAGCCAGAAATATTTTTGTACTAGTAAATAATAATCTGTATTTTTGTCAAGCTGTATTTCATAGCTATTTATATATTATGTTCTGTTTTCAACAAGCTGTCATTTTCGGACACTATCACATTCACAATAATAAAATTCTAATCTAGTGACTAGTAGATAAAGTGTTCAATAATCAACTGGTTTCCCCAAAGAGTTATTATTCGGCTCCAATACTTTAAGTAGCTAACGTGATAGATCGTATTGCTTTTTAATTTATATGTGAATTCAAATAATATTTCTTCGTCCCTTTTTTTAAGTCACGAAAAAAATGTCTCAAACAGTTCCGCTCATCGTAAGATTGTTAGCGTCATCAGTTTCTGTTGCCAACAGAGCTGGTAAAATAGTAAGGGATATTATGAGTAAAGGAGAACTTGGAATCATAGAAAAGGTAGCTATACTTTAACACAAAACTGATATATGATTTTTTTTAACTATTCGTCTTTATCTTACAATTGCCTTTTACAGGGAAAGGATGACTATCAAACCGAAGCTGATCGTTCTGCTCAAAGGTGTATAATTTCCTCTTTGTCGGCTCAGTTTCCTAAAATAAAAATCATAGGTGAAGAAGATGGAAATGAGGTAAATTTAAAAACCAATGCAAAATAGATACAATACTATATCTAAATATTTTATTATATATTGTCCTAGAATCAGACATCTGATGAATATTTGGTATTGGATGCTGATAAGGATATACTAAGTCTAGAGTGTCCGGATGGACTAAAAGAAGTGAAAGAAGAAGATGTTGTAGTTTGGGTTGACCCTCTAGATGGGACTGCAGAATATACACAAGGTAAATAAGTATCTAATGTATGTCACATTGATCCCGCATGATATAAAATAAGAGCTAATGTCTCTCAAATATTAATAAACACAATTTTAGGTGCTCTAATGTTGAAGAGAGACCCTTGGGAACGATGGAAAATGTACTTGACTCATCCATTTATTAGTATGAAATGGTATTTAAGTTTACTACAGACAAAATATGGTAAATGGAAACTAGAGTTATAGGTAGAGTTTTCATGGGTTTATTTAGTGAATATAAGAAATTAAATAACCTTGTTATATTAACAGATGTATTCATGAAAATCTCATAACGAATAAATAACACTGGTATTTTTTGGTGCATGATCACAGATTAAAACAAATAGAAAATAAAAATAATAACAAATGAATGGTATTTGCATGTTGAATGCATAATTCTATGATATTATATATTTTTCTTATATAATAAATTGAAAAATGTATTAAAAATTGTTACAGGATTTCTCGAACATGTTACAGTACTTATTGGTATATCTGTAAATGAGAAACCAATAGCAGGAGTCATACATCAGCCCTATTTTAAAACTATTGTTGGCAACGAAAGTAAAATGGGTCGCACCATTTGGGGTCTCAAAGATGCTGGTGTTGGTGGCTTCACACCAGGTTCTCCTCCGGAGTCTTTGATTTTAACCACTACTAGGAGTCATTCAAATCCTTTGGTTGAGAATGCATTGCAAGTCATGAAAGCTACACAAATTCTTAGAGTGGGTGGAGCTGGTTACAAGGTATAAATATATGATTGAGTTAATTTTAAATTAAGCAGTTTAAAACTTGAAATTTATAAGTTTATTTTTGCGTATTACTTGTGGCCACAGCTAATGCTATAAGGAATAAATAACAATAAATTTCATAAGGTATTTTGTTTAGTGTGTACTAACTAAATACTATGTTACTACAGACAAAAGTAATATTTAAAAAAAAATTAAATTCTACTCTGGTTTAATTTTACAAACACGGTTTTAGGTTTTACAATTATTAGAAGGAAAGGCTTCCATATACGTATTTGCTAGTCCTGGATGCAAGAAGTGGGATACCTGTGCCCCTGAAGCTATTCTTACTGCAGCTGGAGGAAAATTAACTGACATTCTTGGAAGTTCCTACAAGTATGGTGCAACAGTATCGAAGCCAAATAAATCAGGGGTCCTCGCAGCTGTTAATGATGAGTTGCACACTTATGCAATTAACAGAATACCACAGGAGTTAAAAGATAAACTATCTGCTTAAATATTATCATTACGCTGAGAGAAATATATATATATACAGTAATACTTTTCTTATTAAATATTACAGGAATGTTTTGAACAACTGTTTTTTTAACTTTGACTATACCTACTGACAAAGGTAGTAAAGTAATATTACAATGCTGATGGTAGATACCGCATACATTTATTATATGATTTTTTTTATGTTACTCAACATTTTAATAGGTACTGATAGAAAATATCTGATGTTGTTCTTATCAACAGTCGCTTTAACCACACAATTATTATGATAAAAGAGAGTATGTTCGTCATTAGTGACGTTCTATTTTAATAATCTTATCGTCAATAAATAATATATGTAACTGGTGAGCGGATTACGTCAGTATAATAACTGTGACCCCTTGAATTTTATAACTTGCTCTTTTTAGTTGATGCTAACTGTTTCCTCAGTTCCCTTCTCAATATCTTTCCGGATGGATTTTTCGGTATTTCATCCACGAAAATGACTCCACCGCGCAGTCGTTTCGCAGGCGACACCTAAGATAAAGAATATGGTTTACAACAACAAACAATATTTTAGTTTCCGTATAAAAATAGCAACGAATATCAAAATCATGATGACTTTTAATATCGTCGTTTAGCAACACTACTTATCTAGATGGACAAATACTTATCGAGATTAACCCTTGGAATTGAAACAGTATTGATAACAATACAAAAAAATTGTCGATTAGAGGTGGAAATAACGTACTTTATAGTCAAATCCACACGCAGTACTGGAGTTATTTTTGCATGTCTAACATTTTCGTTTCTTAGAGCAGACACCTGTGCTTCAATAGAACCCATTTTGGACAAGTAGACATGATGCTTCTTAGATTGATTCGTCTTATCTGACTTAAATTAGTTTTGAGGAAATATATGCTTAAACATACTACAGAAATTATATGCTGCAGAGGTGGCTGTAGGTAAAATCAATTTGCGATATGGTTACATACCGGTCCATACCAGCTATTACAGAAATACTTCAGTACCTTAGAAGCGACGTATTCAATAATCTGCTGAGCGGTAAGTTTGGCGTCCGGCTGCAAGACAACAAACGCAATAGGAAGTTCGCCTGCCACCTCATCGGGTAGACCAACCACTCCGCAGTCGGCGACTCCTTGGAGACGTAGTAACATCGCCTCTAACTCCGCTGGAGCAACCTGAATAACCAGAAAGGGCTATCAAAGAGTTATGGATTCGATGTCTACCGTCCATGTTTCAAATCACTTTATAATTTTTCGGAAACGTGGTGCACATTAATAAAGTGTAAGGCTTTCACTGCCATCGTTCAGCAGTGATATATTGTTTTTCAAAGAATTAATTCATCGAACAATCAAGGAGCTAACAACATCTCATGATGCCGTCCGCTCGCGATGGCGAAACATCGAGAACCTCTCTCGCTTACGTCGGCCGAATAGCCCGAAAAACAATGATATGACGTTGCACTTTGTCAGCATAATCTGGATATTTAATAGGTCATGGCTGGTAGGAATAAATTCTGTCCGGGACACGATCCACGGATCAGAAAGCCTTCAGTGAGGCTTCACAATGTGGATTTGCGAATATCTAACTAAGCCTCTTGTTGAAATGTTGTGTGGCTGGGTTATTTTACCTTTCATCAATAAAATCCATTCTTATCATAAAAAATGAAATCTTGACTAGGTTTAAAGAAAATTTGAATAAGAAGATGAATGTGTATATAAAAAAAGTTATTAACACAGTTTTTCATATACATATGTTTTTTTCTGAATATATGTAAATTAAGGAGTTATGTGTTTTTGTGGCCTTGAATAGGGATTTATCTATGCCAGTCGAGTTTTTAATTAAACGTTTTAGGAAATATCTTAAGTGCTCAATAAAATTAATTAGTTGTATGGTATAAGGATAATATACTCAGTTAAGAGGATATGGAATTATGCAAGCTAATAACTTGCATGTTTACAAGATTTCCTTTTCGGATTAAAATTTTGAAATAATTTTCCTTTTCAATATAATATGGCATGATTGTTTAAACAAAATACTATATGTATCCCATGTTTTGAATAATGTGTTGGACTACTAACTAGTTGATGTGTTTACTGATTATAAAGGTTTTTGTTTGTCTTATTAAAGTTGCATATACCTGAAATCCTTTATATTTGATGAGTTCTTTTAACCGATCCACAATAAAAATGTATCCCTCAGCGTCGTAGTAACCTATATCACCGGTACGAATGAATCCCTCTGCATCAAGTAGTGCATCACTAGCTGCTTGATCACCCAGATAGCCCTTCATCTGCAGGGGAGACTTTATCCAAAGCTCCCCTTCTTTTCCTGGTCCAAGTTTGTCACCAGTTTCTATATCAACTACCTAAAATGTGTTAAAGTAATTAACAAAATGTAATGAATCACAATTTTGGTAAGAGTACCATGTTATTTAACATTATCATACAAAATTAAGGAAGCACATATTATTTTAAAATTTGTCTTATGCCAATGTTGACCTCAAAATTTTACATACTTCATTAAATTCACATACCTAACACAATGTATTTCAAGAAAAAAAAAATATTAACAAGAAACGACATCTATCCTGAATGATTTTATTTAAACTTTACTTTTTGTAAATTTACCATTTCATAAGTAAAGCAGTCTGGGAAAGTGTTGCTTTTTGACAGACATTTTTTTATCATTACCTTTATTTTCATTCCAGGCGCTGGTGTCCCACAGGAGCCTATTTTGACACCACCAGTAACATCAACGCAACACGCCATCGTAACTTCTGTGAGTCCATACCCCTGTCTTATATAATCTATGCCAGTTCTGAAAAACAGAACATCCTATTAATCAGCCATGGAACACCAAGTATTAAAACAGTGTATGTTAGATGTTATTACATAATACATATGTATTTTGGTTTAGGTAAACAAACTCTACCAGTAAAACAGATAGTTTTGTATTTGCCCTATTGGAGAGGCAAGGCTTTGGTGAGTGTTACCTTTTGCTGATAGCAGCTTGTATGTCACTAGAGAGTGGTGCAGCACCACACCACACCTCATTGAGAGAGGTTAAGTCATATTTGGAGACAAGCGGATGTTTAGCTAAAAATACAGCTAGTGGAGGCACTATAGTGGTCATGTTTATCTGGAAACAGAAATTTCATAAATTAATTCATATATAAAATAAATTATTTTAGAAGCAATGCAATTGTGCTAACATATTCTTATTAGAATGTAATGGTAAAAAGGGAATAAGCCTATAACTTTCTCTATATAAGTCAACTTCAATTCTTTCCACCACCATACTTATGGTTTCATAATCGCTAATGGTCTATTTTTATATGGTGAAGGAGGTATGGTAGACCAGCATGTTCACTCGATGGTAGTTGAAATTCCCCTGCATTATAACATTTAAACAAAATGTGTTGCAGACTTATTTTGGCTATGGATGTTCTATGTATGTTTCTGTGTCAATATTTACCTTATATTTTTGTATTGTACTTAAAAATTGCTCCTCATCAAATCTCATTAAGAATACTACTTCTACATGTAATGCCAAAACTGCTAAAGTGGTGATAAATCCATATGCATGAAACCATGGTATCAAAGATAATGCTGTCTTAATAACATGCTTTTTCCTTTTTTGAGACAATTCTAAATAGTACCTTAAAAAGAAATGAAAATTTATAAATAATTTACATATTCTTCAAAAAGCTCTCTGGTACTGCAGAACATGCTTGTTATTAACAAATTAATTAATTACTATCTAAGAATTTAATTTCTACTTTGATAAGATTCTTGATAACACAATGTATAATTACCTCATATGAGCTGACAGGGTTAGGAAGTTCACATGTGTTAACATTACACCCTTGGGCATACCCGTTGTTCCTGAGGAACACATGACCGCAACTGTGTCCTCTGCTCCATTTACATCCACCAGAATGAAATCATCTATATTAACATGTGTCTTAATTAACTCATCGTAAAATAAAGCTGGCACCACATCATATTCACCAAAGAGTATCAATTTCTCCACATATTTTAAGTCTTTGCTACAATCATATATGTTTTGTGCTGTAATTGGTGATGTGAAAATAAACTTTGGTTTTGTTATTTCTAGAAGATGGCTTATTTCACCTGAAAATAATGAAACATTAAAAGTTTAAAAATACATATTACAACTCTAAACATATTCCCTCACCATTCCATAAAAGAAATCAAAAAAGTCATTACAAAATGTTTGCAAAGTGACTAACCAGGTGAATAAGTTACATTAAGAGTGGACAATATTCCTCCGCAGTATATTACAGCCAGAGATGTGACCGTAAACTCGAAACGATTCTCACAACTAAGCGCTACAACATCACCCTTTTTAAGGCCTAGTTTTTGCAAAGCCCTTGCTAAATTAACACTGTGCTGAAGAATATCACGGTAAGTTACAGATCTGCCTGTTTCAGCACATACCTGAAAATTACAACATTTTATATATTCATGTAATCTTGAAATTAATAAATGTCTAGATCATGAGAAGGTAACAACTTACTAGAGCCGTTTTATTCCCACCGCTTTTGAATTTATCAAATAGGAATTGCCCATAAGACAAATGTGCAGGAATAAGTTCCTCTTCTGGTCCAGAAACAACGTTTTTGTGTATTGTTATTGTCATTTTATGAATTATTCTTATAATACCGGCGAGTTGCAACAAGGTTATAAATAATTTCAAACAATATTTTAAATGAAATTACTTATCTATGCGTATCAGAGGCTTATAGATAATAAAATGAGATAATAGGAATTAATACAACAACATTTTATTACATAAGCTTAATCAGTTTTTGTTACTTGTTTAGTTATTAATTATTATAGAGAATAATAAGAATTTGAAATTATTTCCTTATATGCCAATAAATCTGACACACCCTAGTGACACTTACAATTGACAAGTGAGTTTGACTGTTAAAGAAAATGTTACCTAGATTATGCTCCTTTGTTCGGCTTATCACCACTGAATCGCCATTTTTTGTTGGCATAATATTAATTATTAATATTGATAGATTTTCCCTGAACATCAATCCGCTAATCACTTGATTTGAAACGGAATGAACATCATGGACAGAAGTACGGTAGAAACGTTATAAAAACGATAAACGGTATAGACTATTTATTGATCGATGATAGAAAAGAAATTTTCTTTTATATCATCGATCAATAAAAAAATTATTAGTAGGCTACTGTACAGACGGACGCTAGCTAAGTGGCTAGCTAGCATCCGTTTGTATGAATTGAATCAAGCGCCCTGCCACTGAGTCTGTCTGGGCCACTGCCACCGTATTCTGCATATTCGATGCAATATGTCAGTGAATTTAGTACTTCTACGGATCGCCTAATTTCTGATTTGATCACACAGCTTTAAAGCTTTCCTTAGCATTCTAAGCAACTTGTAGGCCGCGAAAGCAAGGTATTTTCTTATCCTTCCGGAAATTGTCTTGTTCGGGTGGCTGGAATCATCAAGTTTAAGTTCGAGATGTTTAGTGATGACCCTAGAGAAAAGTGGCCTGTCTACATGGCTCAGAAGCGAAATCGATCTGTAGTTTTTTAGGAGAGATTTCACTCGGTGTGTTTTTGTTCTTCAGCTGTCTAGGCCATTCTAATTTCGAATAGACTAATGTCCGGAACATTTTCGGTATAGTGGCAGAATTACATTTTTAACACTACAGCTGTAACAATATGTAAGTTATATAAGATATTAATTATAATTTAAGAAAATGTGGGTAATCAATTTCTTAAATAGGCTCGTATGTGAATTGGAAATATCAGGCTACCTAATTACATTAGAACTTAAAAGTCTATCCGAGGCGACGTATGCTAAAGTAGATCAGTGTGTCAAGCTAAAAGGGCATTCTTTAATATGAGGTCACGTTGGGTAACCTACCGTAACTTATACCTTCAGGAAGCGCTACAACCGTGGCTAATACCTAACGGCTTCACCGCTCACGAGATAAAATGCGGAATCAATATAATGTGCAGCCAGCAGATACGTAGCCCTACAAAATAATCTGGTTGTTACTAACTTGTGCTTAGTCTTGCGACAACGAAAAATGTATGCTACTTGAGAAGTTAGGATCGGTTCTATTCCTATTCTACAGCTGGGTTTCTCTCATAAAAGGGTAGGTTATATCTCCAAAAGTGCTTAAACCTTTGACGCTGCTCCAATGGCGGGCTTTATTAACAAACTACCGCCATCAAATCCTTGATTATGTTCGTACACCACCTACTTTACAGTTAATTTTATTGGAAAAAACCGAAATACCAAACTAACATTCACCCAACCCTAAATTTTGTTCCTGGATCTCTTATTCAATCGACTGTATTACGCATTAGACGAAGCCCACAGATAAGATATGGGGAGAAATCACGCGCTTCTAACTTTTTAATCTTGATATACTTTTTCAATCCTTACTTCCTTACTTATATATATATATATATATATATATATATATATGTGTGTATGTGTATTATTATTATTTAATATTATAAATGCGAAAGTAACTCTGTCTGTCTGTTACTCTTTCACGCCAAAACTACTGAACGGATTTGAATGAAATTTGGTATACAGATGGTCTAGACCCTGAGAAAAAACATAGGCTACGGCTTTTTATTGCGAAAAAGGGGTTGTAAGGGGTTAAAAGGGGGAGGGGGGTGTTTGTATGGAAATTCGTGGTTTTTGAAGCTAGAACAATGAAACTTTCTTCTTTGGCTTTTTGGGAATAGGAGTGGGAGTGGGAGTTAGAGTATGAGTGATGTGAGGTGAGAGTGTTGCGGCAAAGTAGCACTTACTACATAGATTGGCTGCGATAAATGCTCAATTACATAAATTAGTAAACAGCCTAAATTATTAAAAATTCTGACCCAAGTCACTATTCCACGCGAACGAAGTCGCGGGCACAGCTAGTTTTATATAATTGTCAAAATCAAGACTACGTTTCATAACGCGAATACTAAAATGAACTTTCGCAGGTTTTAGTACTTTATCAAGAATCACTAGAGAGCCGGACTATATTTAATAACCAGAGGATTAACGACTGATTGAACGCAGATGCACAAACGTTTACACAAAGGCGATGGAACATCTCAAGATTCGCTCTCTTATAGTTCCCCACATCCTCAAGAATGTGGAGTTATATTTATAGATAATTAATAAATAGATAGGGAAGGTCATTAGTTATTGTTATGTTATGCCCACTATTACCGGAAAAATTTACTTTGGGCAGCGGTTGCGTACGTTTAGATTATAGAGAGAATGATATACATCTTTAAATGTTTTTTACTTTCTTCCCTATCTATTGATGAAAACCGAGACGATGGATACTAAAAGTCTTAGCGTGCATTTATAGATAGAAAAATAGATGTGTTTTTTTTTTATATAGTAAATGTACAAAACAGTCAGTTTATATGCATTTTTTTATGTATAATGTTTACCTATATTTTAAACCTTATCAACATTCAACAAGCTTTCATAAAATATAAATAATATAGAATTACGCATAATATTATCAATATCGGTCAAGCCGTTTGGCGGACATTTGAACAAATTTGTAACATTAACCATTCAGACATTTTCACTTAAAAGTCTAAATTAAAAAACACTTATCGTTTTATTGTAGCTCTAGTTATATACATTAATACCTACCTTATATTCTAGGCCTTCGCCCTAAGCGTGTGCGATCGGGTTTCATGATTGATTACAATATAAACATTCCTTGGTACTCGTACAATATTTTCAATTCCGATAATGCGGTCCAATTATCTATAATGGACGACTTGCGTCCCACCGCTCGTTAGATTTGCATATCGGCGAATTTCTGAACGAAGCTAGTACTTAGTATATTTTATATTACAATAACTATAGACTTGCTCCTGACTTTGTTCGTAAAAATGTTCTTTCACTTTACGCCGAATATAAAAAACCTTAAATGAACATTTCGTGTCAACGTTTGTCTGATTTTCTGTATGTAATAGGTATTATGCTTTTTGGGAGGGACAAATTTAACGAATAAAAAAATAAAATACACTGTAAAAGGCGGGCATTTAGAAAATATTTCCTAGAAATTGCTATAATTATCATTTCTTTATAATTATGGTTATACGTCACTGTCTACTCTCTCTCCGTCTTATACATTCTGTTTCTTGCTAGATCTATGAGACAATATAGAAAACGAAAACCGGCCAAGTGAGAATTCGAACTCGCTCACTGTGTTCAGTACTATAGCTACCTATTGCTTTTTCTGAGATACAACCTGGTAGACAGACAGATAGACAAAAATTCTTAGGTTCGGATTATGTAAGGTAGGGCTCCCCAAAAAGCACGAAATAGTTGAAACGCTATTTGGGTCAGCATTTATTGTCTTCTCTTAAAATAGATATAAAGTTCGATCGTTTAATACCGAGGCAGACATGTGAGCTATATAGCATAACGAAGCCCATACCCAATATATCCCACTCAGCAGTTGTACTAATGCTTCCTGCTAACGATATTAACGAACGATAAATATTATTTTTCGGCTACTGCTAGTATATTCTACAGTAAGTCTGCACTATAATGTACATTAATATATGTTAGCCTTTTTCTATGTTATCCCCTGGATTCGAAGCCAAGACCTCTTGTGCTTTTATATAAATAGAGCCACTGTGTCGATAGTTCAAAGACTGCGTTTAAACGCACCCAAGTGTTATTTCAGTAGTCCAAATTTGTGCCATCCACATGGTCAGGACAGGAAACGTTGTGACGATTTGAATTCCTTTTTAAATTGGAAGATCAATAAGAAGATGCCCAAGGAATGTATGATATAATCTATAGTTTAGTTTTGGGTCAACATAAAAATGTATTTAAATGTTGTTTTTGTCTTAATAATAAAAGTTAGATAATAATGCAATAAATTAATCAAAAATGTACTTAATTTAAATGAGTTTTGTAATTGGTTTTTGTCAATCTAATTTGTAATCTATACTAATATTTTATAGCTGTTAAGTCTCTTTGTTTGTTTGAATGTGCTAACATCCTGATATTAGCACATTCAAATAAAAGAGCTACAAGTTCGAATTGAATAATACTTTTTGTATTGCATAGACCTTTTCTTCTTATTATATTATCTTCTACTTAACTATCTTATATCTTGATCTATTAAACCTATATAAGGCTATATAAAATTACGCTGCGGTCAATCGGAGTGAAATAAAGCGGGGAAAATTATTTAATCTTTACGGGCTTCCGTTGCGTGCACTGCGAAAACGGGCCAAGGAATAAAAAATGTATGAAAGAATGATTCCTCTTAAAATGATCTGAAGAAATGTCCGCGACAAAATATGTTATCTTTTGAGATTAACTTGCAAGAAGGACGGGACGCTGACGAGGTCGTGGGTAAGCTAGTAAATTCTATTTGAAGAATTATTGATTAAAAATTTTGTAGAAATTAAAAAATAAGTTATTCAGTAAAATCCTTAATCATTCCCTATTCTTATTAAGGATACTTTTATAACGTAAGTTCGTAATAAAGTTTGTCTTCAATCCCCATTACATTGGCTTTTGTTAGTTCAATTTCTAAGAGATTCTATTTGAAGGATTTCTTCATTCTTATAAACACCTTATCGATAATACAATTTGAGTCTAATAACATTGTGACGCTGGCAACGCCGACTTATACTTACAATTGGATCAAAATATCGTGTCAAGATCTCAGATTCTATATTTATGTGTGGATATATGCATAATACCGCTTCCAACCGCCTTCGTGACTCGTTAAGCGTAGTTTGAATCCCGGGAAAACATAAAAATATGATCTCTGATGGTGCATCTCTACTTTTAATTAGTGAAACGCCCGTAGGTGTTTATCTATAATGTACATAGTACAATCTCAAATATATTATGAAATCCACCGAAAATTCGTATTTGACTATATCAAGGAAGAAATGTAGAAAGTCAGTGAATTTCTACATATACTATTGTGTTCAAAATTATGTACCTACATTTTTCATATTATGTTATGCACATGATGGCATGATAATAATTTACATAATATTTAGTCAATTGGATGCCGCGCTCGAACATGTCGGTTTAAATCCGGTCCACCGGTATCTAAACGTGTTTAATTTATATTGTATCCATTTCACAAGAAATGAACCCAAAGGCCCTGTCCGCATTTACTTTGCATTATAAATGCTATTCTTGCACAGAAGGACAGAAAAATAAATAAACAAATAATTAAAATTTTCTTTCACTTAAGTAATAGTTCTTTGGACGTGTTAGGTAACGTAAATATGTTCTATATTTACGTTAATAAATTCAATTGCGACTCGTTTTCATAGTTAATTAAACAAAAATTACCATTAATTCGTTTCAGTTTAAAATCGTAAAAACGTATAAACAAACGAGAAATTAAAATTTTAATAACTTATAAATTATGTAGTTCTATTTCCACGTTTCCGCAATATGAATGAAATCCTGACGATCGGAAGCATCTTCGTTAAGCTGTAAAATTGTATATGTCTTGTATTCGTAAATCTATGACGTGTGTTGAGAGTATAGTTCAGGGGGCGCCAACCTCCGGCTCTTTGAAAGGTTTTTTATTCTTCTTCTTTCAATACCCTCTCTATTATCGGAGGATGGCGGTTGGAAGAATATTACCGCTGTCAAAGTACTAATATATTGTATGTAGAACACAAGAATAGTACCTAAAGACTTAATTAAAAAGTTAAAAGGAATGAAAACCAATTTAAGTTTTTATTTAAAAAATTAGGATGGGTCTTTAAACAATGAAAAAAATACCCTTATATATTTTAAAGCCAAATTATCGTTCTGCCGACAATTATTAACTAAATTAAAATAATAATAATTTGTTATATTGTACTTAACAACATTTAATTAATAATTCTGAGCTTCCATTAAACATTGTCTGTTAATAAATATTTTATCGTTTTTTTTTTAAAGAAGTCAATTGCGACGCGAAACGTTTAAAACGTAAAACGTTTTCCGTACCATCTCAGCGTATAACTAGCTTGTCTACCCCTGGTGCAGTTAATCGGTTTAGATCGGGAGCAGACCGCGCACTGAACGTGTTACGTGGTCACCCGCACTCGCTCAGCTCATCCGCGAATCACCACACGCCCCCACTCAATAATTTCGTGCATGTCGAAAATATTACGGGGATGGTCTTCCCTACCGCGATGGTATATTAAAAAAACAGAAGCGTGCCAAAGCCGTGAAATGTGTGAGTAGCAAGATGTCTGCCCAACAGAGCGGAGAAGAAGGCCCAGTGGTCGAGGAGCACGTCGTGGGCGGCTTAGCCGGTGTCAGTGGTGCGGCTCCCGGCAAAGACTATCGCGAAAAAAGTGCCAGTACAGTTGTTCGGGTGCTGACTGTTTTCGCCTATCTCTTCTCTGTGTCCTTCGCCGCCATTCTTCTCTCCGTATACTATATTTGCATATGGAGGTCGCCAGAGCTGATTGAGGCCCAGGGCCAAGCCAGCGCGAGGCGCGCTGATGACTTTCGCCCCACGTTCACGGGCGACAACGTTACGTTCAATTTCACGGGTATGCACTTCCTTAATTTACTATATTACACATCGACAACAATATGCTATGTTTTGGCATCCACAAGTTGACTAAATGTATGTGCGAGAATCTTCGAATAGGCATTTTACCTTTAGTTACAGCAATAACAAAATACGAAAGTAACTAAATCGTACAATTTGAAGTAACAACCGACTGAGTAGTTAATAAATTTTCCTATTGTAGCTTTATATAATTTAAGGCTTTATATCGATGTTAAAACATTGAATAAGACAGTAATTGGAAGAAAAGTGTCAAAACTTTTTAACTTTTGAGAACATAAATATATATATTCGATTGAAAAATTTATGACCTGCTAGTAATTTGAGCCTGCCCACCCTATTTATAATTAACGTAATATATTGTAGTACATAACCATAATAATGTAGGAAATTAGAAATAAAAAAACAAGTGAAAAACTTTCTTGAAACTTGATGCTTTATCACTAACTGTCTGATAACAAACAAAAGGCAATAATTTAAGATATGTAGAAATTTCATTTAAATTGTAAGTTATAATAAAGAATCAAGACCACGGCTGTGTAGCCCTTAAAATGTATTTATATTTATATAGTTTACGATTCGGATAACAGATACAATTATTTAAAAAAAATTAATAGTTTATAGGTGTACGGAACATTAAAACCGGGCAAAACATTTATATAACAAAATTATTCATCTGTTTTTACAGATGTAATTAGTAATTCTGATATTTATAAATTATAACTTTTTATTATTCATTTATCTGTTTACAACGCTATGTTTTCAATCCCTAAGCATGTATCTGACCTGATTTAACAAAATAATTTATTTAAATAAAACACTTTAACGGTTCAAAACGCGATATATTAGTTAAACTTATTTGAAAATGATTTTTAACTTCGGCCCGACGTTTCAGATGCTTTGCAGCAGCCGTGGTCACGGGGAGACTATAATTTATAATTGCAAGTGACTTTAATCCTTGCTAACATTTGTTTTACGTTAATATCATTTATAATATTTCAAAGATTTATACAAGACTATATTTGACCTTGGCTCTGTCGAGTGTTTGATTTTATCAGACTCTCCTCTCTCCAGAAGTTCTTCACTTGTCTCATGGCTGCGTCAATCGTTGTGGAAAGGTTTTATGAATACAGCCAATAATATAACTACTAGGTACACTGAGTTTATTTTTGTCATATTTTTAGATATACCATCCACGTGTATAGACAGCGATTTTCAATATATGGTAATTATATGGTATTAGGTAAGCAGAAGTTACCAAAAACTAAAACTGCCCAAAATATACAATAATACATATTTAAAATGTTTAGGCAACATTTCTCATAAAACTAGCCGATTTCTTATTGTTTTTTTTTTTCTTAATATTATTTTAATATTTGTGCAATGAATAATGTTAATGGGGAATGCGAGAAACAGTAATCTAAGTTTTCTCATGAGAATTATAATTATTTTTATTAAAATAATAGATAATAACCTACTTAGGTTATTTTCTAATATTTGGGGCTATGTAATTACTAAATTTAGATAATAAACAGATCATGCGTATGTAAGAAAACTAAAATACAAAGCTGAAGAGTTTGTTTGTTTGTTTGAACGCGCTAATAACGGGAACTACTGGTTCGAATTGAAAAATTCTAGAAAGCCAGCTATAAAACGGTATGTCTATTAAGAGCGAAAAAAAAGCGGAAAATGAATCATATCCGTGGGTTTCCGACGCGTGCGCTGCAAAACGGTTCTAGATACCCAAAAAAATGTGTACAAAAGAACGATTCCTCTTTAAATTATCTAAAAGAAGATCCGCAACACTATACCTATATCTATCTTTTAATATTAACTAGTAAGAATGACGGGACAGGGCCGCCGTCGTGATTTGATGATCAAAATAATTATACTACGCGGATAAAAACGCTGACACACCTAGTAATAGATAAATGTGATAAAAATACCTACTTAATGAAATAAATAAATAATTTATCTTAAAGCCTTTTACATTCATTCTAACTACTACGCTAATACGGTGATTAGACAATAGTTTATCTGTGGATATGTAGTAACAGGAGATAAACACGATTAATTAATATCGACAATAAGCAAGTCTGTAATTTGTAATGTTCGTGGTGTGTAGGCGTAGTTTGGACACGAGGGGTTTCCTGTAATCCAATTGATTATACCTAACCCAATTGTGTCCAACTAAACATCAATTACCCACTTTGCCATTAATTGTTTGTATACATTCGGTTATTTACACTTTTAATTAATTTTCTTCCTTGTGTACAATAGAGCCAGAATAAAAGGTTCAAAATGGCGTTGAGCACTTTTTGTAAAGATGAAGAATGTTACATTTAAATCAAGACTACTATATGTATAAGTGAAAATACGATCTACTGGTCATTAAAGAAAATCGCAAAAAAATTCTTCCCCTAGGTATACATACCTGGTATTTTATCAAACTAAAAATGCAAAACGGTAATTTGAGTGGAAGTGTTATTTTTTTTTAAATAAAATGTTTATTCTTTCATTATATCCTTGTCGTCATTCCATTGTCTTAGTATCGAATCAAGCAGATCGGCAAGCGGCCGATTTAAAAAGATCACCCCGAGGGTTGATTAGCTTTCCAAAGCATCCGGGGGAAAATAAATTCACAAATACATAAATAGTCATCAATGACATTAAAAATAAAAATACTGTTTTCATTACAAAATTGTTTTCGTTACAGTTGATGCTACAATATATTTCCAAGTAACATATATATGTTATTAACTTGGAAATATATCGTAGTTTGTCTATTTCGACGACTTCATTAACTAAAATAAAACACATAGGTATATAATAAACGTTAAAATGAACAAATAATTACTATATTGATTATTATATTTGCCTGTTATTATTATATTAATATGTATAATATGAAGTACTGTCTGTAGTTTACGCGAGTAGTACACATTTAAATAAAACACTTTAACGGTTTAAAACGCGATATATTAGTTAAACTTATTTGAAAATGATTTTTAACTTCGGCCCGACGTTTCGGATGCTTTGCAGCAGCCCTGGTCACGGGTATATCGCGTTTTAAACCGTTAAAGTGTTTTATTTAAATGTATAATATGAGTACATATAGGTGATTTAAGTAAGATCGGCAGCTATTACTACTAAAGTACTGTGGACACTCGCGTGTAACGAATATGGAATATTGGTCTCTAAGGTACCGAAAGTACATTTCTAATAAATAATGAGTCATATGGGTATAATACATTACTTTCGTCTAATTAATTGCAATGCCCGTTTATTATTATCATATTATCGAAAAGTCAGCATAATACTTGCATTAACATTTTTAGTTATTTTTTCATTACATTACAACATCTGAAGTCTATAAGCGCTAGTCATATATTGCACCAACGAGTCTGTCATGAAAGTTCATACTTAAATTTTTCCAATGATAAAAAGATCTTACTTATTAAACTAGGGATCTACTCTACGAACCTACCGCTGTTTGTGTTAATAACATAATGTATCATCGTCAATTTTAAACAGAACTAGTCCGTTTCGTCCTAGCTTTAAATTCAGTACCAGTCCATCGTATCGCTTTTAACTAAGTTACAGAAGCGTTACGCAACAGAAACAAGAAAATAATCGCTTGAAATGAAGGCCTTTAGAACACAATGTAAAAATAGGGCAACTAAGGTCTATTCGGTAAGGGTTTCAATTAAAAAGTTTTTTTGCAATAACAAAATTGTAGAGTTCATTGCAAATTCGTTTACTTTATTGATCAAAGTGGCAGTCGGGAGAGAGGAGGCGCGCGCCTGTGCCGCGCTGTCACACGTCACGCCGGGCCACCGCCCGCGCCTGTCACCCGCTGTGACAATATTCGCCACTAATAACGGCTCGACCTCCGCCAAATTAACATTGTTTGCAAATTGTTACACGCCGCGCGCACTCGACGCAAATAACCACCTACGGCGTAACAACATCCGTCGCTGCGTACGTCCTAACGAGAGATACCCTCTCATGCTCACTATGTTTTGTTAGTCTTAAAAAAACAAAAAAGCAATTGTTAAAGAACAGTATAGCCGCGATAACGAGGGCTCATGACAAACGCAACGCGATCGCATCTACGTCAGTAACTGGAATAGATCTCGTAATAACCTGAGCGTGAAATTAAAGGATAAACAAATGAATAGTGTGGCGTGCGCCATAATAATGAAGCAGTCGGCATCAGGAGGTGTCAAACTGCAGACACGAGCGTGACCCGTCGCCGCGGGCCGAAGTGGGGCATATCGATAAGTGTGGCCTAGTTACCCGGTGGGACGACCGAGTGCTGCATTTCGAAGGGGATATGTCGAGCAAGTCGTACGCTTCGGGCAGCATGCGGTCGGGTGGTGGTTCTGTGCGTCTGGGCGCGGCTTCGGGACACGAGGTGGTACTGGATGCGCTATACGAGAGGAAACGTGACAAGAAGAGCGTGCGCGTGCTGACCGTCATTATATACGTGTTCTGCGTCTCCCTGGCCGCCATTATGCTGTCCCTCTACTACGTGTTCTTCTGGGAGCCCAAGGATGCGCATTACGCGCAGCGCAAGGTGTTAAAAACTGTACAGGCACCCAGCACTACACCTTTGCCCACTTGCTTTACCCTCACTGGTAGGTTACACAAACACGCTGTAACGATTTCTCTTACTTATCTCGACAGACTTGCATCATTATTGGCACCACACATTAAATACTTACTTTTCATTCATGCTTCTACTATCAAGCTATCTGTTGCCAAAATTGATCTGACAGAACCTGCACATTCAATTATAATTATAAATATACAACTTAAATATTTTTGTTATATATATAAATAGTAGTACTTGGTTTTAAATTGCTATTATTAGTATTCTACTATATAAAGTAACAATACATTTTATTGGTTTTATGCAATTTATTTATTACGCTTGATAGTGGCTTTAATAAATTTAAACTCATTAGACATATCAATCCAACATTATAATCCTAACGTCCAAAAAAACCTTTGCCAGTATTCACTTCTACTCAAATTAACACTCAGAATTATAATTTATGATAGACGTATACCTGATAAGTACGAAAATCAAAGATACACTCGATTCAGACATCTATAGACTGACTGAAAACGAAATCTTAATTTACACTTTACGACTTTACCGTCTGTGGATGGTGACTCGTGACCCGAATTTTGATATTCCAGTTTGGAAAATATATTCAATCATTTGGGAATATGTGGGACCATGTTCCGAGTGAGACCCATTGGTTATTAGTCATACATAGCCATTGGACCAGCGATCTCATCAACGCAAAGAATTCTTGTAACGAGCTCGTTGGTGCGTTGGTGGTGGTGGTAGCGATGTATGGCTTATAATCAACGAGTTATGGGTTCGACCCCATCAGATTTAGTAACTGTTGGACAACTTGTTAGTAAAATACAATTTTTTCTGAAATATGTTGGACTTCGTCTGGAAATCTGGATAGCAAATGATTGGCAAATGAAAAAGCTGGTAGGAATATCAAAATTCCGTCTGGGTTACGGATGAAAAAGCCGAGAAGTTTAATCCTGTATCGGTTTCAGTCTACGGATTTCCGAATATCCAAAGCCAAAGTAGGTCGATAGCGTATCTTAAATACTGTCTATAGTTTACGCGAGTAGTACACATTTAAATAAAACACTTTAATAAAAGTTTAAAACGCGATATATTAGTTTAAACATTTGAAAGTGATTTTTAACTTCAGCCCGACGTAACTCGTAAACTATAGTCTACAGTTTACGTAAGTAGTACACTTTTAAATAAAACACTTTAACGCTTTAAAACGCGATATATTAGTTAAACTTATTTGAAAATGATTTTTAACTTCGGCCCGACGTTTCGGATGCTTTGCAGCAGCCGTGGTCACGGGGAGACAAATCATTTTCAAATAAGTTTAACTAATATATCGCGTTTTAAACCGTTAAAGTGTTTTATTTACATTGCGTATCTTGTTTAGTTTTTATATAGCTGGGGTTATACCACCTACCATCATGTGAACCCCCTTGTTTGTCATTCCTCCTCTATCTTAAAAAAATTAATGTAAATCGGCCAGAACATAAAAACGGCGCCTAGTAACTCGTAATTGGTCCGTTATGACGACCATTACTTTTTTATGACATAAATTGAATATTTAAGAGCATAGTTCGTTTTAATGGTGCATTAAACGTTTCTTTCATCTACATAGAAAAACATTGTGTAACTGCACAATAGTCGATGTAGCTTGTTCTTATGCCTTGTACTTTGAGCCTATTTAAAATTTGATTTCTGTGTAGTTTATTTGTCTTTTTATTACTTGCCTAATATATTTTTTACTAGCTGTGCCCGCGACTTCGTCCGCGTGGAATAGTGACTTTGGGTAGAATTTTTAATTATTTAGGCTGTCTCTTTTCCAATCTGTGTGGTAAGTGCTTCTTTCCCGCAACAATCTCACTCTAACCTCACATCACTCCTACTCTAACTCCCATTCCCAAAAAGCCAAAGAAGAAAGTTTCATTGTTCTAGCTTGAAAAATTATGAATTTTCATTCAAAGTTTCTTTCAACCCTTAACAACCCTTTTTTGGCATTTAAAAGTAGCCTATGTCCTTTTTCAGGCTCTAGAATATCTGTGTACCTCATTTATATCGGCTCAGTAGTTTCGGCGTTAAAGCCGTAGACAGAGCTACTTTTGCATTTAATATTAGTATAGAGAGGTATAGATTATGTTTCGCACCCCTTGAACGTTTACATGTTATATTCAGAACTTTTTTGTATAGAGGTACCTCAACTTAGCAGATTTCAGTTTATTATCTGTTGCCAATTTTGTAGTTATATTTTTGCTTTGTCTAATAAATGTATATACAAAGACATGATATTACAAACTTAGCTTTATAACGCTTTCTTAATAAGTTATTGTACAAGCAATTAACAATATTTTTTAAATACTAACTAGCACTTATACATTTAAACATATTCTACTTCATTATTTTCCTAATCAGCCCTTTAAACGGTCCCACTGCTGGGATTAGGAGCCCTTAAGATGTGATAGGCCATTATGTAATGCGGTAACAAAATATGTGATTAGCTGTGGTTAATCACATATTTTCATACACATTTATACATATTTGTATAGTGGTTCGTTTTTCTCACCGGGGAGCACGTATTGTAAACAAAGAATATTTTGCTGCACGATTGGTGAAGTGCCGACGAATCCTGCTACCACCACACGACTTCTACTTACTTCATATGTGGTAAATATATACATATATGAATGCATACCTTGTTCAAGATCTTCAAAAGATACGATTTAAACTTAGCTTTGTAATGACTAATGTGAGCTCGTTTGTCTGTTTAATCACTGTTTAGTTTTAAAGCTCAATTGAAAGGTACTGTTTCTGTTACATACGCGTCATGTCTAAAGTGGTCGTTTGTCCTAAATATAAGACTCGATATTCTTTTTTAACGACCAGCCTTTGGAAAAGCGGAGGAGTGCATTTGCTTTAATTTATATGATTGCATAAATATAAATTTAGAAGTAGCTACGAATATGTTTTGCTAAAATATAAATAAGGAATATATGAGACAACAATAAGAAAAAAGGAATTAGTAAGGATAAACGGCTTTATAGCTATCTCTATATAGCTATAAAGCCGTTAGGCACGGAAAACACGGTGCGAAAATGGTTCAAGATACCGTAAAATATTATGTATAACAATATTGTTCTCCTTTAAATAATCTAAAAAATAACTGCGACCGTAGGTAGGTAAGTATTCGTCTATCTTTTAAGATGAATTCATAATAACCGCTTATATAGTAATTAAATTTATTCGAAACACTTCATATGGAAGAAGAACGTTTGCCTGTTCAGCTAGTATGTAGGTATATACATATATAGCTAATTGTATCTACTTATGAAAAAAACCTAAAATGAAAATATAACTATTACTAAGATACGTATATACGTAATAGGAGCCTAAAAATATTTACGCCGTTTAATTAGTGTTGAATCATTAAACAAGACATTTATTTACGCAAGGAATATATTTTCACTTAATCGTAAACACAATAATATACAGTACATAATATTATAATTGTGAATTCGCTCTGTTTTAAATACTAACATTTTTAATAAACTATCACTTTGAGATTGTTAACTTATTAAAGCAATCTTCATGGTTGTGTGAAAATCGCGCCTGTGCCATCGATCGTGTGTAATATGCCTTCCGGGATTCTGCCTTTTCGCCGAAAATTATTGTGAGTCGCGGGTTCGACTTGTAGCATTTCAATGATACAAGTCGAACCCACGATTCACAAACCACAAAAAAACCTTAAATACCGTCTGTAGTACACGCGAGTGGTACACATTTAAATAAAACACTTTAACACTTTTACAGCAGCCGAAAAGTCGGGCTGTAGTTAAAGTGTTTTATTTATATAAAAACCTTGTTTTAATCCGAACTCTAAACACTTACTGTGTAAAATTCATGAATTTACTTACATTAAATTTGCGTAAAGGTTATATAGTTACGGATGTTACTTATTGTGAAATCTCCTTTTGATATTAAATTTTCTGTGAGATTTTTTCAAAAAGTCTTTTTATGCCGGAAGGCATATTATATGGGATTTATGTAAAACCATTAATAAATAGTTACCTTCAAGGTAGGCACTCTTGGCCTACATTGATATTGTAATTTGTTCAAAGTTTTCCACACTTATATGTCATCTAATATAGTCTCGGATGACGTATGGGCGATGGAATAAGCTGTTCATAAAATTCTGAATATCTTCTACGGGAAGAGATATTCGACCGCAGATTCGTAACTCCTTCTATATATAGAACTCAACAGTTGCAATAACCAATACACAGCTATTAACCGATCATGTTTATAGCTTATAAATCACTAACGAGTTTAAACGTATTACTTGGGATATGTAGCGGTGGTAATTTTGGTTGATTGATCATCTTATTGTTATGCTGTTTTCATTATGGAATCCAAATATTATATTGTTTGTTCATCTAACTTAATTATATTCTTCACCTCAGATGTTAACAACAGAATAATTTAACGTGAATCCAGTACTCTCTTACAGTTTTCAGAGTTTATTTTCCATCTCATAAATCGGGCGCTAAAGAAAAAACGATTTCAGTTCTAAATATTTACGAAACCCATTTTCCGAACTACGTAAATCGTCGGATACTATGACGGTTCATTTTATTTAGTACATAGAACTGAAAGAGCGATCTCCTTTTCATGGTTTTTTTATACAGAATTTATGTACTCCTATCTCTGACTCATAAATTTATAAGGAGTAGTTTATAAATTTGTTTTATTAATTGTAATTACACAAACCTATAGATACCTACTTGTAACTTCCCACACATTACCTTCTCAAAAAAAAACTATCGTAATTTAGATCATTTAAAAATAATAAAAAATCTTAACAAACCTTGTTTGTTTTAGGACGAAGCAATACCGAAGTGAACGAGTCTATAGCTGAACCAACAATAGAAAACATACAATCAGCGATTCCTATAAATGCAACAGATTTGTTACCGTCAAGCGAAGATTGGCTATTTAATTCTACAGCAATAACAATGCAAGACAACTCGACGTCTTACGAAATGGAGGAGCCACTACATATCACAAATGTTACATGACGTTGATGTCAACAAGTAACATTTACTGAAGACCTGTCATGGTCTCTGAAATGGCGAATGGATGCCTGTTCAAGATTCAAGTCTTAAACCATCGAATGTTAAAATGTATTATTATTTAGGTAGTAGATGATCTACTTTTGAAACATGTACATATACTTCTAGTCAGAGACCAGTTCTATCTATCCAGTAGCGTACCTCCTACGCACTTATTGAGTTAGCCACAAGGCCTAGACGTTATTTACGTAACATACAACGAGATATATTATAAATATATAACTTAATGTTAAGACCGCAGGCTGCCATGTACGTTTTTTAAGTATTGTAAGAACGCAGTCCTTGCTTAGACGTGGTAATGAACGCAAGTTATAATTAATAGAATCCCTTATAATATGTCTTTCTATAATAATATGTAGCACCGAACCCTTCGACTTTAATAGCTAGGTATTGCTTTGTGAAATTGAATTTTAAAACTACCTACTTAAAACTTTTAGCTTTTGTTCGTGAAAGTGGATTTAAAGTTTTAAAATAGGCTTGATTTACGATTAATATGTAAATTATAATTAGTAATTTTAGACACTATCTAACTGCCTTATTTATACGTAGTTTAAGAATTCTTTTATATTTTAAGTTTAAATATTTATTAGATAGTTAAGTAAGCAAAATGTACTTTAATTATGTATAAATATACGCTTTTTTTATAACACCGGTCCATTATATTAAATTAATGATATTAAGTCTTTCATATTCCTACAGTAATTGTCTAATTATAAAAACAAAAAAATATGACAATGCACATATAACAACACGTTAATAATAAAACGACGATACTGTTTTATTTAATAACATAAATAAACAAGCTAAGTGCAAATTGGATTCATGAATGCATTGTTCCATTATATTTTGTAGCAGGAAGTTTTTCCATTGGTTGAAAACTGGTAAATGTTACCATGAGCCGTATAAAATAGTGCACCAGAATTCCTACCTTCCTATATGTCACATATCCTTTCTTACGCAAGCGAATTAAAATCAAACAATTTCTGTTTTGAGGATAAAAAGATAACAATATATGTAACACCTCTTCGTTACGTAATTTCTCCGCAAATCTACAAGGTTCTTACCGCGAATATCCACTTTAATATTATTACTTACCAATGGAAATCTCATTAGCATTTTGTTCCGTGGGCTTATTTTTATGGTATAAATACACTTACGGGTGGCTGATACACAATCAGAGTAACATCATCTATAGTATTTAGGATAAACCTATTTTTATACTCGCACGCCCTTCAACAGGTCCCACTAGTGGGATTATTGGTTCATATTCAATAAAATATGTTTTGGCAGATGATACATAAAATTTTAAATCCTAATAAACGGGGTTATGGACGTGGTCTGTTAGTAAAACAAAATAATATCGAAAATGGTATATTTCTCTCCAATTAGTACATATGCACTGGTTGCTCCTCTACCAACATGCGAGCGAGCCGGGGCGTTCCAAGGAGAGCTGCCGTGCGGTGCGCATCATACTTGCAGTAGAGAGTTGTACTCGTCATATTACACTTACTGCCTCCGTACTTGTTTTGATTTGACTCCTGTAAGCAACCAACGAGAATATTTTAAACAGTCCAAACCAGAAATATAGGATAATTAAGACAGTAATTTAGATTTTTTTTATTGTCATCGCTGGAGGATTTGTAATCAATAATTCCTTTTGTTGCTAGTTGTAAAAGCCTAGAAATATATGGCCGATATCTCCAGCTGTCAGTCAGTGCTATTTAGTTACTCGACTGGAATAGTATTCACTATCAGGTGTTTGAAGTCTTACAGTGACATATCATAGTTTTAATTTTATGTTCATAACTCGCAACAATTTATTTTCACTCACTTCATCAGCCTTCTGCGCCTCCTCCGCCAGATATAATTAATTATTGGGATTGAAACCTACACTACAGATAAATATAGATAAACAAACCTGCATAAGATTCAGCATTTCTGAATAGAAATGGGGGTAGGTCGGCGGCTGGTAGAAGATTATATGCCTAATCCCCTTAATTCGTAATCGCCTGAAGAAATGAACTCGCTCCGTGTACAAAATGAAATGGGCTTCCGAATGAAAGAACATATCTCGGGCTCGAGCTATTTTGGCGTCCTACAAATATATAGGAGTTATTAATATGTAGTTTGCACAAATATTTTAAGACACTATGGCGCAGAGAATTAAATAAATAAAAATTTAATGACGCACTGCGATATAAATTCTAAAATAATAAATAGAATGATAACAATTTTCAAATATCTGCTACAAGTGCAATTTACTGTCTACCCACAAAAAAATTATTTGCGAAAAAAATAAAAATAATATTAGCCAACTTAAGACTTAAAACGTGACATCCTTCTTTATACGCCCTATTTTGAGACACTCGAAAGCCATAAATAAAAATACTGACCTTCGAATATTCACATATTTGCACAAAGCTGATATCTTCCTTCTTGAAATAGTTGCGTATCCTCACAAAGTCGAAATAACTAGGCACATATATAAGAGTGTGACTCATCAAGGGATCCCTTTGTTTGGGAAGGATCTCTTTCACGAAGTACTCAAACCTCGCATCAACAGATGCTAACGGACTGGCGGCATTGAATCTGCGTATGAATATTATCTTAATACGTGAATATTTGTTATGGAATCTTAATATAAACTGTATGTTTATAAATCGTGAATCAATATCAGTCCTTCATAAATAAATTTACTATATTAAGGAAACTCCGTAGTACATATCAAACTAAGAACATTTACAGTCTCGGATATAGTCTGTGGGCTGAAATAAAATAATACCTGTGGAAAAGTTGTGGCACTGATACCAGTACTTGTCGTATGCTGCCTTCTTCTGGTTGATTGCCAACAATTGCTCTACCACTATAATTCTGACACTTTTTGCTCAACAACGACTTTATCTCAGGCAGTGTAATAGATGAAAATATTAATGTCTGTCTGAAACACGTTATATTGATTTAAAATTTTGGCATCATATAGTAAATTAAATAGAATATCCATACTAATTCATAATTACAAGAAACAAATTGTTATGTAATATTAATGATTAAATTGCTGACTTAATTATGAGATGTATGGCTTATAAAATAAAAAAATAATAATTCAATTTAAAGTAATTATTCATGAATGTTGAAAGTATTAAATAAACATGAAAAATATGAAGTATTTAAACACTCCATGTTAGCACTAAGAACTAAAGCATCTCTCCTGTTATAATAAATTGTTGCACAAACCTGTAATATTTAGACCAGCCATTAACTGCCCATGATCGGACTCGGGAAAAATCAGTCCCATGTGTTTTCCTTGGCTGTAGGTGTAAATGATCCAAAATGTGTAGCACATGATCCCAGTTTTGCATGCGGAACACGTCTGCCTGATCCAATATCAAAATTTCAATAGAAGCTAGAAAATCATAGTCTCTATGCTCTTCGCCTTCAGCACCTACTATCATTCGCAAGCCCAAAGGAGAAGCTATTAATATGTCTGACGAGTAGAAATCGGTGTATAACTGGAAAAAAAGTTTTTTTTTTAATAATAGGACAGACCGGCATGTGGTTCACTTGATGGGAGGTGAAATACAACAACCATATAACGTCTATACAAGATGCGCAGTCGCCCTATTTTTGGCTTTGAATATTCGGAAATCCACAGACTAAGAAACGGAACTCCACGGATTTTTCACTTTTGGGCGGGGATCAGAGATTCCTACCACTTGTGGTAGGATTTCTGTCCGGATCTCAAAGTCCATCATGTTTCAGAAAAAAATAAATTTATGAAACAATAAAGAATCTCGATATGTATATTATAGATTTCACACACTTTCGCACCTTCAATGTTTTCTTAGTTAGAGTCATTCCAAGTCTAAAAGTGTCATCAGTGTTGCCGCTAAATAAAAGTTCATAGTCCTCAGGTTTAGGATTTTTACTTGGCATTATTAGCTCCCCACCAGTGAAATCATCTTCAAACCTATTCTTATTAACAACTTGCCCCGCTTCTTTAGGAACCACAATGTCAATTAATGTGTTTACTACTTTGTATGCTGCATGTTTGAAAGGCACCAATATAAGAACCTGTAAAATTAAAATAATTTTAAAATCTACAAAGAATTATTACTGGTTTGGTTTAGGTACTGAGTTCATGAGTGTTTGTATGTCTTTTATAAACATTTATAAAAAGACAATCATGTCATTATAAATTTATTATTATACTAGCCATGTGCCCACGACTTCGTTCGCGTGGAAAAGTGACTTGGGGTAGAATTTTTTATTATTTAGGCTGTTTATAAATTTATGTAATTGCGCATTTTGCCGCAGCCAATCTAAGTTGTAAGTGTTACTTTGCCGCAAAACTCTCACCTCACATCACTCCTACTCTAACTTCCACCCCCACCCCCACTACTATACCCAAAAAGCCAAGGACGAAAATTTCATTGTTCTAGCTTCAGAAACCACAAATTTCCATACAAACTTTCACCCCCCCTTTTAACCCCTATAAACCCTATGTTCTTTCGCAGGGCTAAACAAGCCTTTCATTCTAATCCATTGAGTAGTTTTAGCATCAAAGAGTAACAGACAGACAGAGTTACTTTCGCATTTATAATATGAGTAAGGAAGGATTATATAATACTTATAGTAATGTATCTCATGGCCTTCTCTTGGTGTCCCCAATAGAAAATAATAATAATAATAATCTCACAGTAGTAACTTAAACTTTCTACTAACCTTTGGTCTTACTAAGCCTTGATCTCTAAAATCATCAGATAAATCGGTCTTCTTTGATAATTTAGCATTGTGATGTAAAATTTTAATTCTAGTTTTTAACACGTGATTAGCTACATGCAGACAGTATGAGTATCTGATCTCATCCGCATTTGTAAATGTTCTCTCGGGATAATATAAATCTTGATAGTTATTAAGAAATGCAAACAGGTCCTTCTGCAGCGGAGTAAATACCTCTGAGAGTTCTAAATCTTTCTTTATTAAATTTTTTTTATTAGATGACACAATGCTTCCTCTTAGTTGAGATTTTAAATATAATTGATCAAAATCCACTTTGTTTATTGGGCGGGGCGGTATACCAAGTGGTGCATATATTTTTTCTTCCAATATAGATAGTTTCAATTTGGGTTTTTCTACTACAGAACTAAGTGGTTGAGGTAAATTTATTACAACTTTCCCTAGTATTGGCCATGATTGTATTATTTCCTTCTCTGTTGATTGTATATTTGATAAAGAAACTAACAATTCATCAGAGAGATCATACTGTAAATGTTTTAGAAACGGATCATTTGTGCTATCAATGTCATTTTCCAATTCAGTATCACTTAAAACCTGAAATGAAAAACAATTTTTTTACAATGATATTAAGAACATTGTTGATCTAGCGATAAGTACAAAGTGGCTTGGCAGGGTCTGAATATATATTAGCAAATAACTTCTTTTAATAGCCAATCATTTAACAGTCAATAGAACTAATGGCAATCATTCTCAATATTTGCAAAGAGTGTATTGTCATTTTCATTTTTTTATAGCTTCAAAAACATGTAGGGCAATGTTATTAAATTTCTTGATCGAAATTAATTTCAAGATTTATTTAATGTGATGTAGTCTGGTGGCCTCTTTATACCTAGATGAATTTTATAGCAAATGAAAGTTTAGGTTTAAATAATGATACTCTTTAATACAATGACACTACAATAGCTACTTACTAGTTTATCAATATGGTCACTTTCTTCATCTTCACTTGTACTGCAAGCATTGCTACTGTGTGAAATATTTTGGCTTGCAATTTCCATTGCTTCTTCTTCTTCCTCAGAGTCATCCAAGGATTCCTCTTCACTATCAATGAGAGGGGCGGATTTTTGCTGCTTAAAACAAGACACCAACTGCTCAAAGGTATCATCTTCTGGTTCACTTTCTGATAATGTCTCTTGTTGCATTTTAAACTTCTCCTCCATTCTCTTTTGTTTGGCTGCTTCTTCCTCAACCTTTTGCTTATCTTTATATCGATTGAATATAGCCTTCTTATTTATGGTTTCATTGCTTCTTTTCTCATGTTTCTTTTTACTTTTTGAAGGTCCTTTTCTTTTTTTATTTAAAAACCTTTTGTTTTTACCCATTGTTGTTCAAGTTGAGGAATGTTTATTTCAGGCCTATTTGAATTATGAAGATTATAGCAAATAAATAAAAGGTTAAATAATGTCCAGCGTAACTAATAAGGCCCCTCAGTTGAAAATCCTAAATTTTGTGATCACTATGTTACTAATTACTATTGTATTTATTATGTATTAATAATAAATGATTATAGTTTGAGGTTAGGGCTGCAGATGTGCAGAACATAAAAGTCTTTCATGCAGTAGTCAAAGTCAATTTAAGTCAATTGACAGAAAGACGTACAAGTATATTATAATTCTGTGCTTTTGATAATTTTAGAACATATTTTTTAGTTAAGGCCAAGTTAAGTTTTCGATACAGACTGTAGAATGTAGATTATAATAGACATATTTTTATTGTAGATATAACACGGCCGACGTAACTTGGCAAGCCTGATCTAAGTGCGAAACGCTGCGCAGAAACGTTCTTTAGGATGTTAACGGTGGTAAGAGCAAGGGGCGCGGGACGAAGATCTAGGCAGTAGGCTAGTGATTGACTCATTGTCAACATAATCGACCGCTTATTCTTTCAAATTTTGTAATCGATTTTTATCGATTTAGAGTATGGATTTAAAATCGTATGAGATATAGTACTAAATGGATTGATGAACACAGTGTGTGTTCATAAACAATACCAGTTATTATTTATATACCAGTATAAATTATTATTTATATAATTACTATTTATACCTTCTTTAGGGCTTTTTATATAATTATATTTCTACGATCGAACGAAAATAAATGGTATTCGTCTTCTTTACGAGTGTACATACGCCAAAGTTAGTCTAACCTCTCTTCAGGCTTGCCAAGTTACGTCGGCCGTATTGTAACTAGATAAATAATAAATATGTATATCGATTTATACTAAATTAAATACATTAAGAACGAGATACAATTACAAGGATACAATCAGTAAAATGCATAAACGTACTTTTGTAGTACATACATACAAAAATAGGAATTATAAAAGTAAATAATATCTACATCTATAGATAAACAACTGAGAGTGCATTATTGATGTAATATCAAAACCAATTCCATATTTTGTAACTATTCAATAAACGCCAGATTATTTTGAGTTGAGGTTAGAAATATTTATTTTGACCGGTGACCTTATACTGATGCCTTCATATATCACATTGAATTCAAGATCATTATAGCAAAGAAAATAGATTCAGCTAATCCCAGTTGTTGGCATCAAATTGATAACATTGTGAAATATGATTTAAACGATCCACTCTTTTAGGTTTCAGTAACAAGTACAATATGGAAAGACAAATAAGATTATTTCGAGATATACAAAAGGAAACATATAATGATGAAGGGGTTTCTACCAATACATCTTCTGAACAGGTAAGACATGCTTGAGCAAAATTTTATAACGAGAAGTATGTAAAAGCATTTGTAGGCTCAAGATAATCATTATTGAAGTGAAGATGACTTTCACATTACTGCTTAGAAAGATTGTTATTCTCTATGAGAATCAAACCTCATAATTTGTTTCTATATACCCTAAGTGTGGAGTCTAATTCGTTTACAGGCTGATGTGGAAGCAGTAGTCTACAAGATATTTTGTAGCTTTGAACATAAGGCAAAAATTGACCCTGACTTACCAAAGTTGAATAAAAACCTACACTCTAAGCTTTTGAAGTCTTGGCTCTTAAATTTACCAAAAAATTACTCATGTTTGGATGCTAGCAGACCTTGGCTAATTTACTGGATACTCCATTCACTATGGTTGTTAAATGATATACCGTCTTCGGAGATATTGTCTAGTGTTGTAAATTTTCTCACTAAATGTCAACACAAAGAGGGTGGTTATGGAGGAGGTCCCTTGCAACACCCTCACCTTGGCACAACATATGCAGCTGTAAATGCCTTAAGTATTATAGGAACTGATGAAGCATATAACTCAATTGACAGAAGTGCTTTACAAAATTTTTTATGGACGCTAAGAGATGTTGATGGGTCATTTGCTCTTCATAAAGGAGGAGAGCAAGACATCAGAGGAGCATATTGTGCAGCTAGCATTGCAAAAATGACTAACATATATACTGATGCCCTATTTGATAAAACTGCAGAATGGATTGTAAGTTGTCAAACATATGAGGGTGGATTTGCTGGATGTCCAGGAATGGAAGCACATGGTGGTTACACCTTCTGTGGTATAGCGTGTTTGGCTCTTCTCAATAGAACACAAGTATGTGACATTGACGCTTTATTGAGATGGAGTGTTAACCGTCAGATGAGATTAGAGGGTGGTTTTCAAGGGAGAACAAACAAATTAGTTGATGGTTGTTATTCGTTTTGGCAAGGTGCAATATTACCTATAGTTAGTGCCATTTTAGCACAAGGTAACATACAGTAGTAAATGTAAATGAACAAAGTAAGTAGGTATTTGAGTAATCTTATGCTTGATTTTTTCAGATGATAAAGAATTAATAGAAACCGTTCTATTTAACCAAGATGCCTTACAAGAATATATCCTAATATGCTGCCAATCACCTGAAGGAGGACTTAGAGATAAACCAGGAAAGTAAGTTTACACTTTGATATCATACCTGCTTTAACCTTCAACCTACATTTATAGACATTAATCAGTGAACAAAAACAACAAAGTGACCTTTGAAGTTCATAATTATCTCATTTCTAAGGTAAGGTCAAGTATAAAATTCTAACATACCTATATAAGCTACTAGTATGGTCTACTCACATAATTAAATATTTACATATATGGTTATACATCTTACTATATACATTTATGATCTTGGTGCAGTGTCCTTATAAAGTTGTTTGTTTAAGACCTCGAGATATCTATCACACTTGTTACACTCTGAGTGGATTATCTGTGGCGCAGCATGGTACTGGGGCCGGTGAAGCTACAGTGGTCGGCTCACCACGAAATGAACTTCATAGAACTCATCCTCTTCACAACATTGCACCCCACTTAGCTTATAATGCACTGCATTACTTTATTAGACATCCACCACCAGTAAATGATGAAAAATAAGTGCAATAATTTCTGTCTTGTTTTCAACGCATTAAAGTACTATTGAATACTTAAGTGTTTTGGTTTTATTTTATAATGAGTGATTACTTATGGGGCTTGAGACACATAAAAAGGTACATTAGTAATCAAATTAGCAATTATCCTTACTTTATTGGATGAGTAATTGAGAGAATAATAAATGTTTTACTAGCACCTATACCATTATGACTACAAATATCAAATTAAATCATAAATTGCCTATATATTGTTACAAATATATGCTTAAAGGACACTTATTACCTTTTTAATTGAATATTGAAAATAAATATGTTAAAATAAGATTAAAGGACTAAATTAACAATTCTTTTATTTATATTTTCTTAATAATTTACAATAATTATGCATTATTTAAATAAAGGGTCAGCATTTCCATATCATAGACTTTAAATTAATACAAATTCTTCAGATTCTAGATCTGTATCACTATCCTGTACAGGGGCAACCCAATTTTTCTCATTCTCGTAAATAGAATATCGTATGTTTGGTGGATTCATAACACTGCTATGAGAACCATTGTGTAATGTAAAGATTGGGTACTCATTGTTCGATGAAACACCTTGTGGTATTAGAAAAGAACCAATAATATTTATAAATGTCTCAAAGTCATTATGTGTTGCTAGGTAAAAACCTATACAACATGAGGGGTCCATTTTTATTAAAGGCATCTTTCTTGGAGATCTACAGTGAAAGCTTTGAAGAGAAAAGTTGGGTTGCCACACATCAACCATTTCCTGGCAATAATGTGGGTCTAAATGAATAAGCCTGTCATCTTGGTATCCAACGAAGTAAAGTGAATGCTTTGGTCGTCCACCTATTATGCCAATGCAAAAGTCCAATGTTAGTAATGATGTTAAACATGATCCATAAATAGGATTAAACTTTTCTGATCCTAGCTTAACAGGTACTAGAAGAATCAAAGACTTCCAAGAACTATTTGGTAATTTACATTGCGAATAAATATCTTGAATATACACAGTAGAATCTTGAGCTACATAAACATCTAACTTATCAAATTCATAATTTTCTTTCGATGCCGCACCCATCACTGCTTTCAAACAATGAGCTACAGATGCTGGGCCATACCAGTCACCAGGCTTCTTTCCTAAAGCTTCCCCTAACATTACCATTTGGTGTATTGAAAGGGGGCTATTTACAGATGATTTGTCACCAAACCATTTAATAATCATACGATGCAAGCAATCTTCCTGAAACTCTCTAGCATTTTGAATAGGTTTGTCTGGTGTCCATCTCCATGAGCGCCCTAAGAAATGGCATACTAATGCCTGTGCTAACATCATTTGCCCACTTCTTAACATACATCCCCATCCACAATCAGTTGTAAATGTAGAACCAGACATAAGAGGGAATTCTCTTCTATAGGTCATCCAGACTCTACTTATAAAATCAGATTTAAAACCCTCTATACCTTCTCCATATATCTGTCCTACAGCTTCACTTGCTGTAGCCTCTGTACCGATTTCAGTTGATGACTCCAATGATCCACTAGGACTAAGTTTTCGATGATAACAACGGCCTAGAAGCCAAACTGGTGATTCCTTAGAGAAATTGGTTTTTAACTTAACAGTCCATCCAAACTTCATGTTATTCCACATTGATAATAGTCGGGACTCAACTTTTCCTTTGAGATCATAAAAATCCTCCGAATTTTCCCGATCATTTTCTTTAGATGTTGTAGCAACAATATTTGTTACTGTAATTGTCTTAGACCCCTGTGCACTATCATTGGTGGCAGACATAAGCAAAGAGTTTTGCGAAACGATGCTGCTTGATCCGTTCATTATTATTGATACATTTTAGATACGTTGAAACTTCAATAAGTAGTGTGTGTAAAACATTAAATAAGTGAGCACCTAACAAGTATGTGTTTTATGAATTCCATTTTATTACGCGGTTATAAATGATTTGTCTTTTGTTTGTCGAGTATTTTTATTTCAATACAATTTTTCTCGTCGTTTTTCTATCTCTGAATCCACTTTGTACACTCTATATATAAACCAATTAACTGTTGCAGTTTCACATCGCGAAGGCCTTAGAACACGACTTTAAATGTAAATAGACAACGTTATCAAAGCAGCTGTTGAATTATTAATGTTTTTTAAATGACACACACATAAAAACATTATTAAACAAAATTCTTACCACATTACTACTTTACAAAATTATCAATATAATGTTGACAGATGACAACATGAATAAATAATCTCATATAATCTGTGGTTACAAAATGTCAAATACACATACCTTTATACTTAGCTAGCTGTGTCAGCGACTTCGTCCGTGAGAATCGTTATTTTGGGCATCCAAATTCGTTTTTGCAAACACCTTCATCTTAATAAACTTAAGCTGTTACCCGCGACGTCGGTCCTGTCGTTCTTTCAAGTTAATCTAACAATATAGACAAATAACGTCGCGGACTTTTTTAGATCATGACATAGAAACGTGTTAGCCCCATGCCCCACGAGTGGGAAACATCACACACACACAGAACCGTTTTGCAGCGTACGCCTCGAAAACCCAAAATGATAAATAATTTTCCCAATTTTTTCCCCATTTCTCGCTGTATCTTCGTTTGTATTAGTCACAAGGCGATGTTTTAACACAAAAATAATTTTTCAATTCGAACTAACAGTTCCTTAGATTAACGCGTTCGAACATATTATCCAAACAAACAAGTAATACAACTCATCAGCTTTATATATTAGTATAGATAAACTACAGGTTCTTAGTATATAATCTATGCCACTGGTGAACCACAGCTTTATTACCTAATTAGCAGCAACATTAGCTTGCTCAGTCAGTGTCTGTGGCTCTGGTCAGTGTTATTAAATAGTAATTTATAATATATATCATTAAAGAGTTATTTAAAATTTTAATCTTTTGTATTTTAAAAAGAGTGTAGAATCGACCGTTGTGCCCGTTTGTGCTTGAATTGATACAAACTCCGCAGCAACGAAACACAAACTAATGCTCACCTATCACGATACCAAATATAATAATTGTTGAAGTTTCATAGGCTACTTTATGTAAAAGCATAAGCTAGGGATTATTGTGTTAAAACAATCTGCTATTAATTTTAAAGAAAAAGTAGGAACATTACCCGTGACTATGATGCCCGCTAGAATTGGTCACCTTCCCATTACTAATGAAAATCCTCTGGGAGTTTCTTGGCATGATTCAGCTTGGATTCCATCATTAAATCCCTCAAACATCATGGATTACTTCTCTGAAAGATCAAATCCATTTTTTGACCGCACATGCAATAATGAAGTTGTTAAAATGCAAAGGCTTAGCATGGATCAGTTGCAGTACGTACTTGCACTTGTTTACATCCTCCATTGATTGTACAGAATACAATTAATTTATAATGATTTTATTTTCGTTTTCAGAAATATGACTGGTTTAGAATATATCTTGTTACATGTACAAGAACCAATTCTATATGTTATTCGCAAGCAACATAGACACAGTCCTATGCAAACTATACCTTTAGCTGATTACTATATAATTGCAGGGATAGTCTATCAAGCACCAGACCTTGCGAGTGTTTTAAACTCAAGATTGGTAGGTTTTTTTTTGTAATGCATAGTTGACATTTGACTTTTGGTTATGACTATAGATCAAATTTAAAGTCAGCTTTTGAGTCAAAGCTATGTTTTATAAGTAGGAATGAGAAAAATAACTTTCCTAAAGGGTGAATTGATAGTTATTTATATATATATATATGTAATAGATGTATCAGGCTGGAGGACTTGATATGCTTATAATGAAATAATATGAATCTTTACTGGTTTTTGTATAGCTTTCAGCCGTTCATCATCTGCAATGTTCCTTTGAAGAAACTATGTCCTATTCAAAATATCACCCTAGTAAGGGATACTGGTGGGATTTCAAAGCAAACAAGCCAGGTTAGTATTATTTTTCTAATCTAAACAACATATCTGATATTAATAGTAATTTATTACAATTATAAACACACACACCTACATATGTTTGAAAATGAGTTTCCACTTAAACACATAAATCAATCTCTATCTTTATGTACAAAAGAAAAATCAATTACAATGACTATTTTTTTTGTATTGTTTCAAGGAGTGAGTCCATTTAATTCTGGACAGTCTGCTCCAAAGGAAGTTGCTAATACAACCAAAGAGGAGCCATCTACACTCTTTCAGAGACAACGAGTTGATATGTTACTAGCAGAGTTAGTGAGGCAATTTCCATTACCAGTATTGTCCACAACTTCCAATCAGGTAAAATTAATATATAAAGATGTAGGTTAGTTCTTTGCCATATTATTTTCTATAAAAATTAGGTTTTTAAATGTTCTTGTCAACATAGAGACAATTGAGTTAATAGGCCACAAAGTTTCTCATAAAACTGGCCTGAGTAAATTCATGTATCATAAACCTCTTCTTAGTTTTTCCTGTACCTGAAAAAGAAAAAACTTGATAAAAATTAATATTTTCAACAGACAAATGGTGTGTCAGTAAAAACGGAAAACTCAAATGATAAGACTGATAAAGCAGGGGAAGGAAATGTAAACAACATTACAATTAAACAGGAACCCATAGATCCAATGCATTCAGAAATGACAAATGGAAATATGCGGCAACATGTGGAAATTAAACAAGAGATAAAACAAGAAAACATGAAGCCACCTCCGGAGAAAAAACCTAGAAATCTTTAATAATTGTATACTTACAGTGAAATATGAGTTAGTGAATATTTAATTTTTCATGATTTCTTTCTTTCTGAAGATTGTACAAATTGCATACACTACTATTGAATTCATTACTGTCAGAACATATAATGCAGTTGAAATGTTGATCATTGCGTTGTTTTAATCTGAAGTAAAAAAATTCGCTCTAGCACTTCAGGTCGCAGAAAATTAAGCTTAAAAATAGATATGAATAACTTGTTTCTCACATATAATCATAATAAGCAAAAGATAGCAAGTCACTTAATAATAACTGCTAACTAAGACCATAACAATTTGATTGTGTAAAGTAAAACAAAACCCAAAACTTACATAGCGTTTTTATAACCTATTTGGAATCCATAATGAAAACCTTCTTTGTAACCCATATCAAAACATGATTGAAAAGCACTGTTATTACCATCAACTACACCGTCAGCATATCCGGCCTTTAAAAAAGTTTATATAGTTTAATACTTCTATAAGTAAATTAGTTTTTTTTAAATAATAAATTTATTACTACCTTTTGAATAGGACTCACAGCCCTTGCCCAAGTTTTAGATGAAATTTGTTTACTTTCATCATCCATGATTAGTAAAAATGAAGTGAATGAAGAAAACAAAATCTTTTGGTGAAGAATGGTCTCAAAATAATAATTTATAAATAGTCCAACAGCTGATGTTCTTTTTTATCTGTGCCCCTATAAGGCGAAAGTTTTAATAATGTAGATTATGCTCTCTTTAAATATTACATAGACAATTCATCCATAGACAAAGTAAGAATATTAGTGTATTTTACTATATATAATATGAACCTACTTCAATTACCTAAATACTGAACAAACTGTAAAACTCGCCTGTGTTTAACGTAAATGCTTAAAGGCAGGATGAAAAGAACGATTATAAATTTGTTGTTTATTATTATAAATATTTGTCATTATAGATGGCGTCCCACTTGTGACAGTCAACTTCAGCGCTTACTCCTGTCCTATTATTGAAACCCTTAGGGAAACTTCAACCGAGTAGATAGATATAACAGTATTTGCTGAATGTTTCAACTATCAATTCTATATTGCGTAATACTTTCCTTACTAGGAAAGTTAGTTCTTAAAATAAACATATTGTTCACTTCAGGGGTATTTTCTAGTGTTTCTAAATATCCAAACCAGTATATGACTAACCCTGGTCCAAATCTATTCCAGTAACATATAAGCTGTTCTTTAACATAACCCAAATGATTTTCTTCATCACCAAATAAGGCTTTACTTTCAATCCAATTAACAACAAAACCATCAACAGCAATCGGGACATCTAGTTTGAAATCAGGAGTTTTATCATAACCCCTTAATCTTAGTAAATTCTCATCTGAAAATGTGATGTCCATAAGATGAAGCTCTTTTTCTAATCTCATTTCATACTCTAACCCGATGGACCTGAAATTTATTTTGATGTTATTTGCTTGTAAGTTATAATAATATATAACTAAAATCTTTTTAACTTACTGCTTGATAATGTCTGCATAAGGGCCATATTGATTATCATACATAATTCCCTGAAAATAATAAATTAGTTACAATAAGTTATAATTACATCGCGTAATCATATTTTTGTAGACCAGTCATTTTGTGATATAAAGCCATCACCAACCCTGTCGATTAGTTTTTTTTAAATTGGGATGTTGAAAGGCATGGTTTTATATATAATTAGAGGTATATAACACATAACATGCTTAAAATGTGTATTCCTTAAAAAATGAATAGTTTTAGTAGGAAACTTACCAGAAACACTTGATATGCTAAGTCTTTATTCTCAATTAATGTTGAATCCTTTAAACATTTCTTAACCATTGTAGAATCAGGATATATATTTTGAAGAAGAGATCTGACAAAGAGTGCAGGACTTATGCCTTGACTATCAGCAAGTCTGTTGAAGAAATTTAGGAGATAAAACAATGTTAAAAATAATCCTTGTTTAAAGGGTATTGCAGATTAAATAAAACACTTATTTTAACAGTTTAAATAGAAAATATATAAGGTTACTTATTTTAATTACAACGTTATGTTTAAAACTGTTAAATATTTGTAACTACTTACTGTATAATAACATCGCTCTTATCTTCCTTCTTAACAAGATTTTCATATAAATCGTAATATCTGCTAGAAATGACTGGTGATTTTCTGTAGTTATGTTTCATCGATCTCTGCACCAATAATGAAATTATGCTTCCGATTGTGCTAGACGGTACCCTGAAAATGTATAAAGTTACTGTTATTTCGTCTAAAAATCTTTTTCCGCGATTTACACCACCATCCTACTCACTCTTTATATTTATGTCGTAATTCATTTTCAGCTTTCCGGCTAAACGTTGTTAGTTTATTAAAATCTTCAACAATTGCTGCATATAATTTTTGTGACATTGGTTTTATTTCATTTTCAGAAGTCATCGTTAACATGAATATGAAATTACAGTTATAAACAAAATCTAAATATTGTAAACATTAAATTTATGTTCCATGTGTTGTTCACCGTATTGTTTATGTATTCCTTGGCAGATGTTATGAAACAGATAAAGTGAAAAGTCGTACTACAGAGGATGCGTTGAGCATTAACTAAATGCTACCATTTCTTACTACATCTGTGATATAGAAGTGTATAGAGTCTCAGTCAGTACAAGTGTATAATCTATGATATATATGTATAAAATATGTCCTTAAAAATTACAGCTGAAAATGAAATGTACTGAGGAAAAGTATTAAGTAGTTATAAATGATTTAACCGATACCACAAAATACTATGTGAATCTAAGTTTTGACTCTGAAAAAATTTAAACCAATTTAATCAATTGATTGTATTCTAACAACCATTCATTCATCATGGTTGTAGGAGCGTTTCCAATAGCTAAATTATCGGTTTTACTTATCAAGCAAATAAGTAAACCGATCGCCAATATTTGCAAGGAAAGAGCCAAAAATAATCCATTCTTTAGAACTTACGTTTGCATGCCACCAGCTCAATGTAAGTGATTTTCTTTTACATAATCCTCCTTAGTTTAAATTAGAGTTTAATAATATATGATGTATACTTCCTTTTGTACTTAGTTTACAACTGGTGCGAAGTAAAGGCAAAAATGTGGATATTAAACTTAGGCAAGCCTGTCAATATACCAGTGCTGAGTCAGGACATGGCTATTGAGCTTGGAGCTAATCTTCTGGGAGAGACAGTTATCTTTGTCATTGGTGCTAGCCTGTTAATAGTTGAATATAACAGGTAAGTACTGTGTAAATTTAATGATTTGACTTAAAAGCCTTATCACAAAAAGGTCTCTGTTCTTAGGCAAAGTAAAAAAGAAGCCGCCAAAGAAGCAAAACGTGAAGCTGAAATGAAACATATTACGGGAACTATAACTGACCTTTACTTTACGGTCCAACAGCAACAAACGCAACTAAGGGAGATGGAAAGATTAATACATGCAATTGGTATGTGTTAACTTAACTTCTTAAGGTGCTTTATATGACTTGTAGATTGTCTATTTTATTAATTTACTAATTGTTTGAGTTACGAAAATAAATTATTAATAAACATTGAACTTCAATAATTAAATATTACTCTTAATAATCATAAATTTATTAACACCTACTTTTATAAAAATTAATAACAAAAAAAAAGCTTTTAAATAAAACACTTTAACGGTTTAAAACGCGATATATTAGTTAAACTTATTTGAAAATGATTTTTAACTTCGGCCCGACGTTTCGGATGCTTTGCAGCAGCTGTGGTCACCCGTGACCACGGCTGCTGCAAAGCATTAAAGTTAACCGTTAAAGTGTTTTATTTAAATGTGTACTACTCGCGTAAACTATAGACAGTATTTAAAAAAAAAGCTATTACTTTGCCATAAATGTTCTTTTATCTAGAGTTGTAATTTATTTTAAATTATATTGCTTTTTAACACGGCATTGTTATATGCTGACTTATTTTTTAAAATTTTAGATGATATTAAACCGAGTGGCCCATCAGGAACAAAACCTCCTACAAAAAAACCATCTAGCCCGCAGCCTCCTAATATGAACCCAGTTGGAACTTCACCACCTAAAGTAGAAAAAATCAGTCATGCTGCACAAAATTATTCAACCCCCTTCCCTAGTAATGGTTTAATCTTAAGCTCATTGAACTACATTCAAATGGATGTTTTAAGCACTTATTTTGTACATTCAGAAAAAAAAGAACAAGAAACTGAAAGAAAACCTATTGAAAATAAAAATCATAGAAGGGAACAAGCTGTACTATCAGAAGCACTTCACAATATAGAAAATGATTTTAGAAGTTTGTTTTAACAATTTTTGCCAAAGTTCTGTTTTTGTAGATAAAAGTATTTTAAGTGTTATGTGTTACAGAAACGGGAATAATATATTCTCAATGGGTAGAAATGTGGATACTTAAAGGTAACAATTTGTGATATTATTTACAAACATATATGTATGTAATAAATTTAATTTTCCATTGTAACTAGTTTTTTTGTTTGAAATTGTGAAAAGTATTGGAAAAGTTAATTTATTGAATATTGTCATTAAGTAAGTCTAGTATGATTTTTTTGTGTTAATTGTTTATGCATACAATAAAAAATCTTGTTCACACTTTTCAATTTTTTTGGATTCTGAATTGTTTAAGTTAATGGTAACTATTATTTATTTATTTTAAATATCAGACCATAGCCACTTATGTATGCAAAAAAGGCTTATCACAAAGATTTTCTTTCTAAATTATTCTATTAATCAAAGAGTTGTTGAAGAATTGAGAGAAAATGTTGTTGGATAAGTAATCAATTATGTTATAGAATTGTAACTTGTACAAGACCTTTTGTTTACTAAAATATAATTTCTATTGCCTGTAACTCAATGCTTATGTAGTCTTAGACTAGATTTGTTTAATTAAGCAAGTCATAAACACCATTGCAATACCTTCAATTAAACCTAATTTATGATATTTCTGTGGTTTAAATATAATAATAATACCAGATATTTTATTATTATTTACTGTTCTAGCCATTCAGTCATATATTTACAATCTTGTGGTGTAATAAGACCTGTGGAATAACATTTATGTAATAAAGGACATACTCCACATGGCACCTGCACTAAACCGGGTGGGGGAATAAGAGATTCAATAGCTCTATACACCTTACTCCCATCTGGATAAACATTACTCTCAGCCTTCCCATCGTAAACTAATGTGTTCAAAATTGTTATCACATCTTCCACTTCTAATTTAACCTGAAAAACTTAAGAAATTAATGGATGCCAATTATATGTTTCTAATTAATGGTTAAATTCTCTCACCTTACTTATACCTAAATCTGTTATATACTTTTGAACTTCAACCGCTGTTGCATAAGACTGTGTTCGTCCAGCAATAGGACCTCTAGGATTATTTCTAATTTTATCTGCCCTTTGCTGTAAAAATCTTAAACATTGTCTATTGAGAATATCCACAAATTCAGACTCGAAATCTTGATCTTGATACCAAGCACCCCCCGAAATTGATCGATCTGGCTCCAAATTGTACAGCATATATACTTTCTTTTTTGATGCCTTTAACGAAAAAAAAATATTTTATGTTACTTTTTTAGTTGTAGTAGTAGTAAGTAGAAAATTACCATACATTAACACATTTAACAGCCTTAATAAGTTTCTTGCTTTCTAAACTTTTTAGGATTTTTGTTAGCTGTGGGTTGCTGAGATTTGATTGGTTCCTTATTTCTCTGATCCATATTCCTTTATTTGCTGCTTCTTCTATCAAATTGTACACTACTTTTTCTTCATTATCAGCACCTTTTACAATTTGCTGTGTGGACTGATTTTTTAACCTAAATGCATAAATAAATATTGTTAACCAGCGAATTTTAGTTATGGCTTAGCCCTATAAGTGAACACTTACTTGTAAATTAAAGTGCCATTTTGTTTATAAAGATCTATGAGACCTTGCTGTAGTAATTTGTTTATAGCTCCAACCAGTTCAGCTGATGATAGTTCTGGGACTACTGCAGCCATTTGCGCTGCTGATATTCCTTTTGGAATTTTCTTGATGGCATTTATTATTTTATCCTGAATAGCGTCTTCACTTTTGGCGCTCATAATTATTAACTTTTCTTTCAGTTTTTTAATACCTACTAATTAAAATTACTAGTTTTTTTTTTTTTTCCATTTGTGGCAAGAAGAATTCTATAGTCAAAGTTTATTACTTAGCTGACAGCTCTTAAACAAACTATAAACATTTAACTTGTGATATATTTACATTTTATTTTGACAATTATTGCAGATTATGTAACATAGCAAATATTAAGAAGACTCCTAAAGTTTTATACATTTTCCATTTAAAGACTTTTCATATTTATGTTCTTTAATTTTGAAAGGCACCGTTAAGAAATAATATGTTTGCTGTATTTTAATACTCGTTACGACACTAGCTTGTTTTTACCCTACAAGACCTTACTTTTTTTACTTTATCTGTGGTGCAACATGTAAATAATAAATATTGTTCTCATAACTCATATAACCATGATTCTTTTTATTTAATTGAATAATCATTTATTATTTCTTAGCACATAAAATAAATTAACATGCTAATTTATATGTGACATTAAATAAACTTATGATATATTTTTTAAAATGAAATGAAATCGCTTTGTTATTTGAAATTAAAAAGTTTACGAGATGAAAAAGAAATTGGTAAAATTGTTTTTGTTGTTATGTTTGTTATCTGGTTGCCTATTTTTATATGCTATTAATAAAACAAAATATGATAAACGTAGGTTCGAGGACAATGTGACTTTTAAAAATAACGGGTATGTTTATTTATATTATTAACATCTTAGATTCTACCTAAGAGTTCGATTAGACTGCAATGGTCTGTATGTTATAAAAATGTAGTTTCAATAGCCATCCTTATTCTGACCAGTTCTTTATTTTCTACATTACTAAATAACGCTTGTGAAAATAAACTTTGGTATAACAATGGCATGGCATGGCAATAATATACTCTTTGTTTGTCATTGCGCTTCAATTCTCGTTACTCTCTACCATATTTATTTAAATACTTTTAGTATTTTCACGTCTCATCCTTTTCTTTTCCAGATATACAATGCCAACAACCTCTCAAATTAAGGATAGAGTTATCATATCTTTTGTAGTTTGTGATTCAAGATTTACTGAATCACTGAATGTAATTAAATCTAGTTTGATTTTCACTAGTACACCACTGTATTTTATAATATTTACCGACGATAAATTAAAAAGCAACTTTAGTTTGACTTTGAACGAGTGGAAGGATGTTTTAGGCGATAAATTGGACTTTGAACTGCACAAAATTAACTTTCCTGAAGCACACAGTGAAGAATGGCTTAATTTGTTCAGTAAATGTGCTGCACAGAGGTTGTTTATTCCGGTTTGTTGTTTATATTAATTTTATATAGTTTAAGGGTTTATTTGTTTTGTTGTTAATTATTTAATAAGATTAATTAAGAGTATAATAAGATTAATATATTTCTTTGCATAATGTTGATTTCTTTGATAATCATCACATTTTTTTCAGAAACTTATTCCACACATTGATGCAATGATATATGTGGACACGGACTCTCTATTCTTAGGCCCACCGCAACACCTATGGGATCAGTTTTCTAGGTTCAATGCAACTCAGATATCTGCTATGTCTCTCGAAGATGATAATCCTAATGTGTCTTGGTATCCTCGATTTGCTAAACATCCATTTTATGGCAAATATGGTATGATTTCTTTACTTTTCATTTGTGTAATAAAGCTTTTTAAAGTACATCATTGTCAATCTCATAAATTCTAACAAATTCCATCAAGAAGTATTGATTTACTTAAATATTATTGACTGAAACCATTACTTACTTTGTACTAACATTACTACTAGTCTACGGATATGCCTGCTACACTGTGCATTAATAAGCACTTGTATTTAAACTTAAAGATTAAATTAAATAATTTTCTTTAGAAGAATTAAGCAACATATTATAAAAAAATTATTTTAATTTATAAAAAAGAAATGATGGCCCAATCTCCCTAGAAGTTATTAGAACGATATTGGTTTCTGTTCAATGCAAATATTTTTTAGGGTTGAATTCTGGGGTGATGCTCATGAATTTAACAAGGATGCGTGATTTTGGATGGGTGGACTATGTGACGCCCATAATGTTGAAATATAAACTTTACATACCTTGGGGTGACCAGGTGAGTTTTCCTGGATTTAATTAAAATAATAATAATAAGAATTATATCTATATGTATCTATTCATATTGTCTAGAGATTTCAATAAAAGATGTGTTAGTTATCATATTTTTTATATTTTAACCACGACCCAACATTTCAGATCACCATCTGAAAGACAAAATTAAAATAATAACTCTAATAGTTTGTCTTTTAAACGGTTAAATATTGTTTTATTTTTATGCATACTACTCGCGTAAACTATAGATAATTAATGCTGTTAAAATAGTTAACGTTTTTGACCATTCCTAATTAAAATTTAATTTTGTAGGATATAATCAACATAATATTCCACTACCACGAAAAAGCGGTGTATGTACTATCCTGCAGATATAACTACAGGACAGACCAGTGCATGTATGGGGATGCTTGCTCTGATGCTACAAAAGATGGAATTTTTATTTTACACGGCAGTCGGAGGGCGTTTCACAATCACAAACAACCGGCGTTTGAGGTAATACTTGTAGGATGTCTTTTAGAAGAGTTGGTTTAAGCTTAGACTTTCACCGTTATAGTGTAGGTTACAACTACCGCCACTAAATTATATAATCCGCTACTTGCACTAGAGATGTTGTGGTAACACCAGTTATTGCTAACGTCGCTGATACTCGAAAAGTTTCTCATTCCACTCAGGATTCTAACCCTGAAACTTGTGTTCAGCAGTCCATTGTCTTACCATGACACCACCGAGAAGAGACCAATAAAAAAATATCTCTTAAAGATTATTGTTAAAGAAATATATAGTAATATGTTAAGCTGAAGAGTGTGTTTATTTAATCGCGTTAATCTCAGGAATTACTGGTGTTGGCTGGCTTTAGACTATAAAACACCAGGCTGCAACTAATAGAAGCGAAGAAACAGGGAAATGTGGAAAAAATGATTATTAATCTAGGGTTTCTGTTGCGCGCGTTGCTAGAACGGCCGAAAATACAAAAAAAATATGAAAGGATTACTCTTCCTTCAATAATCTAAAAAAAAATGTTCGCAACATTATAAATCAAATTTAGTATTTAGTAATATTTCAACTTCATACGGAGAAAAACTTTTTGACAGGTCAGCTAGTAACTAATAAAATGTATATAATCCCGGGATATAATTATGAACCTGATTCGTATCACGTATTTTTTCTAGTCGTTTTTTCGACCCAATCTAGGTCCTCACAGAGGACTCATTAGAAGTCTGTTAATTTTCTAATTTTACCTTGTTTTGATCGACGCAAAACATAAATACAGGACATGGTGTAAGAAAGGGACGGATAAATCGAAAGGTAATTAATATACTTGAAAAGACGGTAGAGTAAAAGAGATAGATAACAAACAAACGATTACGCCGACACCCCGCAATTGAGAGTTGACTGGATAAGTGGATAATGATGATTGTGAGAGATTGGTCACATTGACAAACTACTGTAAATGTTATCTCACGATGGCTGTGTAGGACACACAAGTACAGGGTTTCTTTAGAGGGATTATTATTTATTTATTATTATTTTCTAGAAAACGTAACAAAACTAGCAAAGACTTAACTTAGCGTAAATTCAATTGGCAGTAGTAAATACGATAGAAGATTTATAAAACCCATGACAAACATCGTATCGTTGCACTAAGTACACAATTGGTTTTTCGTCTAACACTCACATACACAACATACACTAGCTATGTCAGCGAGTTTGTCGGCGTAGAATTGTTAAGCTCTTACCCACGACGTCCGTCGCGTCTCCTCGTTCTTGCAAGTTAATCTTAAAAAATTGAGAAATAGTGTGGTGGAAATTATTTTTAATAATTTACAGAGCAATAATTCATACATATTTGTTTGGTATCTTGAACCGTTTTTGCAGCGTACGCATCGGAAACCCATAAAGGAATATAATAATTTCCCCCGTTTTTTCTAAATTTCCCGCTGTTTCTTCCCTCCTGTCACAGCGCTGTTTTATAGCCTAAAGCCTTCCTCAATAAATGCTCTAACCAACATAAAATATTTTTTTAATTTCTACCAGTAGTTCGTGAGATTAACGCGTTCAAACAAATAAACAATTTCTTCGGATATATTGGTATAGATAATACTCATAATTATAGCAGCCATCAAATACATAAAAATAAAAAATGTATTGCAGAAGACATAATCGCTTATATATCTCTTTATCGTTGGTACTCCGTTTATAAATGCGAAAGCATATGTAGGTGCGTTTAAAGTCCAAACGGCTTGATTATTTTTATTAATATTTCTTGTTACTGTATTTTCTTACGTCTAGTTAATTTTTATCGTCCAAATTTATTTTATTTTAGGCTGTGTACCGAGCTGTCGAGGAATATAAGATTGGGAGTGACCCAAGAATTGTACTGGAGAAGATGAAAGAATACCTTGAGGTGGCCCCGGAATCTAATTGTGGAAATTTGAAAGACGCATTCTTAAAAGTACCAAGACATACTTTGGCCGGCTCGAACGAGAAACCCGACAGATAATATTCTTGCCTATTTATTACAGTGTGTTTAGAGTATGCTATAGTATAATATCATACAGCATTGCGTAACATGCTCTGTATAGAGCCATTTTTATCAGTTATATACTTATATAATATACAAAGACAGTGTGAAGTTCATCCTAATGCATCATATATATAATAAAAAGTAAATTATTTTTACTACACATTATTGTGTTGCTATATTCTGTATGCTATTACAATATAGCATAGTCTGAAAATACTTTTGTAACTTTTTGATTTTGTGATATAATATAGCGGGTAACGTCGCCCATAATGACACTACATGTAATCGTACGAATTACAGTGCCTCGAGAGGTGTTTAAAATAAGGTTATTACTGCTATTTTTAAGTTTAAAATGGATCTTATTATTCGTCACAAAGCTGCCATCTGAAAATCTCAATCGTTTTCGATAAAGTATTATTTCGCACAAGATATGTTTCGAAGATTTTATTATTATTTCTAATATAAATGTATTTGAAAATGATCTATTTATCGATTAGCTTTTATAAATGATATTCAACACGTGCACAAAGTCCGAGTATTGAGGACTTACGTCCTTTTTGTCTTGATTAAATAGACGGCCAATCAGGTAAGGCCAACAGCAAACAGAACATTGTCAAGCAAAGAAAGAGATGACATGTGGTTATAACGTACTCTTTTTAAGGTGGGTTAAATGTCTAACCACACAAGTGTTAAGCGCTATTACGCACTGTCGACTAGACGCCGGCGACTGTAAGTTACTATAGTTAAAATGGGCGCTTACGCACTTGGTCGTCGGTCTCCCAAGCAACTAGGGTCGCCGGCGACTGGTCGACAGTGCGTAATGGCTCTATATATCATTTAAAGCAACTTGCCCTTAGTTGAAGGATTTTTCGCTCAAAGAATGAGTTATTGAATTACACCAACCGATATTACTATTAATAGATTTCCAAATTTTAGTGTATTACCGTTATTGTGAAATATGTTACCAATGTTATGGTTAAAATCAGTCTATTGTCAATAACTTATATTAGATACATATAATGATGAGAAATGATTTTCATAACATTCTAAATTTTTAATGAAAGTCTTTAAGACTGTTGCGTTTTGTAAATGGTTTCAGTTTTACTTTTTAGAATATGTTCTTATTGTTTATTTTCTTGTTACCTTTTTTATGTCGTGGCTTAAGAACGAAATGTAATGTGCTATTGTGAAGCGACTCAGTGTTTCAAACGCCCAAGAAACCTTGATTGTTTTTAAGATCAAATTACTCATAGATTTTTTATCATTAAGTATATACTACTCAGGTATTACAAAAGTATTTTAATCTGCCTCATTTTTAATTATTTATTGTGTTTTTATGTCTACAGTACCAACTATTTTTAGTAATAAACATTAAAAAAAATTTTGGATTTTATTTTTATTATAACAAAGCGGCTTATTATGAATTTACCCGGTAACAATGCGTTTTGAATCAAACCACCAGACCGAATAAATTGTGTCCTAGGATACCCCGGGCTGCTTCTTCTTTAAGCCTTTATCAGACACGTACATTTTAGTCCACGTCCGGGGTTAAACTCTCTACCTCACAGGCAGAAGTGCGGTGCATTTACCACTAAACCAACACGATTTTAAAATCGTTATAGTCTTAGTACGATTATGAATGTAAAATTATAACATATCTAGGGTTAACTCGCGATTTAACACTAGAACGATAAAAATATTTACAGTGCTACATAACACCGATACATTTACATTAATGTGTATTATTTTTCTAAGATTAATTTATTTAAATATTGACATCCTTTTATTTTAAGGCCAAATATGCGCGTTTAACTCCAAATATCGTAGGTAATAAAAATCGACGATAAGTAACATTCGCAAACTAAACACTGTCTATTGTTTACGCGAGTAGTACACATTTAAATAAAACAACAGTCATTTTCAAATAAGTTTAACTAATATATCGCGTTTTAAACCGTTAAAGTGTTTTATTTAAATTCGCAAACTATTAAGGTTTAGTCCCGTTCTACAATTGTGTCTCAATCAGTATCAGTTGCGTCTATCGCTACAATGAGATCCTACGTGTTCATTTGTTTTCTTTTTTGCATAACAACGACATCAAGTGAAGTGACACCTGTAGTACAATGCATTGGTAAGAATACCTAGTTTTAAACCGTGTGAGAAAAAAAAATTGTTTCCGGTACACAGTTCCTTTTGTATTTGGTAATACGAAATCGGTAATATAACTTTGTCAATGTAACGTAGGTATATTTCAATTCAACTGAGAACGCTACTTGTAAAATGCTGTATCCAGGTTTTACAATAAATTCAAATGTCACTTATTCGATTTACCGGTACGTATATTACCCGTCATTTTTTAAAAGATTTTAATCATAACTACATAAAAATGGCATTTCATAACCGCCCGAAAAAACGGGTTAGATCCCAGATCCGTAAGAGGAATTTAATAAATGCAGACGACCTTATCTACAGTATCCCATCGGCTCACGAAGGCATTTTTTTGGTGCTTAAATACATGTCAAAGATATCATCTTGCTGAAAAACTGTATAAGATAGGATCCAATGATGTTTTGCAGACGGGTCACCTTTACAATCGAGATAAAATTATATTCTTTATATTGCTATTTCTTAAATACATTTCGATTATAGAAAACCTATTGTTATTATGAAATCGTGACAAACTTAGGTACGTTCAACGACTATTATCTTTATTAGATTTTCGCATCTATAATATCTAAGCGTGCCACACGCTTAGATATTATAGATGCGAAAATCAAAACCTAAAAAATATGGCTGTGAAATTGCATATAATAACTGCGTAATAGCAACGTAGGTAAATACTGTCTGTAGTTTACACGAATAGTACACATTTAAATAAAACACTTTAACGGTTTAAAACGCAATACATATTAATTAAACTTATTTGAAAATTATTACTAACTACAGCCCGACGTTTCGGAAATGCAAAGCCCCGTGACAGCGGCTACTTAAAATAATTTTCAAATAAGTTCAACTAATATATATCGCGTTTAAAACGGTAAAGTGTTTTATTAAAAGTAACGTAGGTATATTCCATAGTGAATTTTCAATTTTATAGTTTCCAAGCGTTGTCAAAAGTTTACACTATTTATCAATAAATAAAACACTAATAAAGGCTTAAAATGTGAAATATGTTTTGAAACTTCAGGTCAGCAGTTCGATAACTTGCAAGAGAGAATCGAAGTATCACCATGTGGGAAGGGCCGGTGCAAACTGAGTAAAGGAACGAACACAACTGTTACCTTTAAATTTAGACCAAGTTAGTATTATTAGATTTATTCGTTAATATAAGTGTTATTCTGTTATTTTAATATATAACTGCAATGACTCTCACTCTCTTTCTGTTAATTACGTTTAAGAGCAAAAAAAACATATCTTTGAGTACGCATATAAAAATACCTATTACGGGAAGCGAAAAGAATTTCATAGTAACAATAATATGGCGCCTCATAAAAAGCTAAGATGATTATTATAATATAGATTATATATTAATTATTTTTATTAAGTAATAGGTATGATTCTAATTCTTCTGATGAGTTATGTTAGTTGGTATAAACTCAGCGAATTGCCATGTAGGACAACATCTACTTATTTTTGTCGAACCTTGTAAAATCTCTTGTTTCTGACATAAATAATCATTAGTCTTTGTTAAACTTAGTAATTAAAATCCATCCATCAGCATTTTATTGTTGCAAGAGGTAAGGAAAGAATAGAAATTAGGTATTATTATAAAAATCTAAAATCTAAATAAATTATAAAAATTGCCCGAATATATACCTACAGGTACTAACTTCATACCATCTTAATCTTTACTTTTCCTGTCTATTGTGTCTTAAAATACATTTATTTACTATCGTAGTGTGTGTTCAATGCATATGCACATATAATGTGAAATCGAGAAAATAGTGTTGATTTTGTTTGATAAATAAATGAAATCAAAGTGCAAGCATTTCAAAGCAGTAAAAAATCAATTAATGTTTTAAGTCTGAAAAAACGTAACAGCTGTTAGAGTAACATTACGGAACACTGCGGTTATGTGTTCAAGACAAAACGGATGGGTCGAAAGACTATTTTCAAATTAATTATTATAGGAAATTTACATATTTCAGAAAACCCCATAAACACTCTGACTAACGATGTCTTTGCTGATATTGCTGGTTTACCACTACCGTTCCTAGGCGTAACCGGTTCCGATGTCTGCCCTTACGTGACGAGAGCCGAAGATGGGACTCCATCACCTTGTCCACTTGCCGCAGACCAGGAGTACGTATATACAAACGTTATACCCGTCGAAGCGTTTTACCCTCAAGTTAATTTGCGGGTTCACTGGGCACTTAATGATGGAACCAGTGATGTCATTTGCTTCGAAGTCCCTGCTATTATTACCGGAGGAAAGAGGAAGCTTCAAATTGTATGATTTGCTTAGTTATTTTACTTTACACGTATCTATTTATCTCTCTAAGATAGGGGTAGGTATCCATAAATAACATCAGTTTTTCAAAATTTTTTCCAAGTAATATTTTTGCGTATCTATCCTTTCTCTATTGTGACGTCATCTTAAATTTGCTAATCTAGATGACTGTGACGTTATTTGATTAAATACTTATTTGTAATGACGAAGTTTTTCACACCGTCGTGTTAAAATGTTTGGTCAAAAAATCCGTTCTCTTTTCCTTGGATGGCCCCTAGTCGTTTTCTATAGCTAGTAGATAGAGGAAGTAGTCATTATATTAGGTCTATAGAATATATACATACAATAATTGTATTAATATCTATGCAATTATATAATTGATTTGCTCTCAAAATGTTTGTTTATTTATATCGCGATCGTTCTTTTTTGATACAAGAAGTCTTAAAGTTAAACAACATTAAATAATCTTTATAAATTATAATACATGTATATAAAGAAAGTATTAGATTCTTATAAGTAAAAGAAAAAAAAAGAAATCTCTTATAAAAATATTTATTCAGAAATCTCGACATTACATATTAAACAATTAGATCAGTAAGTACAAAATTTTGTTGATAATATAAATTTTATGATTATATGCAATCGTACCAGAGTTTGCGCACTCATTCGTCTTTAAATTTTATTACTTTAATTGAATTTAGTAGATTTTGTAGCTAAATTCATACCCGTAGTTTTAAAGTACCTATTCTGCAGACTCTAAATGTACCGATCATCTTGCAAATATGAAACTAATATAACAATAACGCCACGTACTTATTTATCTTTATATGCACTAGTTACGAACTATTTCTTTCCAACAATCTTCACAGGGGTCTCAAAACAAGTAACAACCTTTTCCTTTTTACCCACTAAAGCCCAATGTACTTTGACTTCAATTTGTGGATAAATTTCTAGGACAGGAAATGAGTCTTTGTAAGTGTAATTTACTCCTGCCTTTAGTGGGCAGGATGTCTTTTGTCCGTCTGCTGTGAGAATCTTGTCACAAATACCAATGCCGTCCACGCCCACAAAAGGTAACGGTACTCCGAAGACATCGGCGATCACATTGTTCCTCAACTCCGTAATGTCTTCGTCTGTAAAGGGTATTTAGAATTTAGTGGGATATAAATTTTAATTGTCTCTTTGAGCTTTATTGAACTGTTCTATTACCTTTATCAAACGCTTGCTATAATATTATTCTTAAACCATTTTTAAGAATAATTAAATTATTACATTATATTTATTTTAAGTCCAGAACTTGGTTAAAATTAATACAATTGATAGATATCGTGTACAGTCTTAAATAAAGGTCTCTAAACTTTATTTTAAGTTAAACTTAGATTGAGATAGTTAAATTTGGCTTCGACTGTAGGTAAATGAAATTCATTGAATGTAAAAATATACAACAAGTGAATCGTCGAATTTCTAGGAAGTGTAGTATTCTAATATACAAGTTACTTTCACTTAATATATTAATTCGACTTGTCTATTGTTCTTATGACAATCATGTCAATGCATTAGTTCATTTGTTATTACTTTCATTCACGTCACAACTAACTAATTCACTTAATTTAATAGAGGTAGTTGTAAAAAGAAACTGTGTGGCATTCAACAGAAAAATAAATTGAAATCTTCAAATATGGTCGTCGATTATCTGTCTTTAGTCCCGAATGAAGCCGCAAGTAAAAACTCGGCTAAAAATAATTTTGTAGCGAGATGTTCATCATAATATAGGATAATTAAAACTGATTATACTGAATCGTTGAATTCGCCTTGACCATCAGCTTAATGCGTGTCAATAGAATTTTGTTGGGTTGAAGATTAAAATATTCTAAATAAACATCATTTCAACACAGCTTGTCAAGGACGAACAGTGGCTTGGGTTCTGCTTCACTAGCATTTAGAAAATTTGTCGCGTCCTAATTATTATTCTGTATATATATTCTATCTATGTATACTAATATTATAAAGCTGAAGAGTTTGTTTTAACGCGCTAATCTCAGGAACTACTGGTTCGAATAAAAAAAAAAATGGTTTAGACTTTAAATTATTTATCGAAGAAGGCTTTCAATCGTCACGCTTTAATTTATAGGGGCAAAGAAACAACAGATAATGTGGAAGAAATGTGAAACAATTTCATATTTAAGGGGTTTCAAGGTACCTAAAAAATATTTTCCAAAAAATCCTCTTTATAGGATCTAAAGTAATGTCCGCGACAACATATGTCTATCTATTAAGATTTAACTTGCAAGAACGGTGGGAGGCGACCGACGTCGTGGGTAAAACTTAACAGCTTGAAGAGGTTTAAGAAAAGTAACTTTAATGCCCAATAACTATTCTACGCGGAAGAAGTCGCTGGCACAGCTAGTCATATGTCTCTACCCAAGCTGTATAAAATAGTTAACCAAAAGAAAACTTGTTAAGGTTGTGAGGAGCGTGAATATTTGACCCTATTTTGAATATGAAGGAAGTAAATGAATTTAAATATACCAACCTGGTGTGAAGTTTATAGTAATGTGTTGATCAGTCCCCTTCTTCAGTTTGCAAGGTGGTTTCTTGCATGGCGACAGTTGCACGTTTTCTTTTAAGTTTGGTATCGATTTACCTGGAATACACAAATATGAAATATAAAATACATATATTCAATATTCCTTATGTCTTTATACCTACTACATTAATTGTCAGTCAGGTACTTCTTTTTATATATTATAAATGAATTATCATAATTAACTAAAAACAGATTTCTAAATTAAAATCTCTTTTTTAAAAATCTCTTTTAGGTATAATAAAATTGTGTTCAGTTTTAGCTTAGGTCATTGTTTCAGGTCCGGATGATTGATTGTTTCAACTTGAAGAAGAGAAAAAGCAACACTTTAACGGTCTAAAACGCGATTGATTGTTTCAACTTAGGTCAATAGTAATTTTTTTTAGATAGTAGAGTAGTTTATCTATCGATAGTTTTGCTTGGTAAACTTTTTTGGTAGAACAGTGGGTATATAATATTTTTCTGTTTATTTTCGACTTAGTGCGATTTTTTGCGCATCATCAGTATAATAATTTGCGTTCAATTATGTTCTGCTTAGTAAGTTGTGTGCGAAGCAGAGGTTACCGCATTACGTAATCATTTATAACACGTTTTACAAGGCTCAGCAAAGCAGAAGCGAAAATTATTAATATAGCTGCCTCCAATTTGAAGAAAATTAAGTTAAAATTTTACTCGCTGTAAGTACTTATTGATGCAGAGCAATTAATTTAGTTTTAAGGTTTATTTAATTGAAAGGTTCTCTATGTAAGACAAATATTGGTATAATATTTTAGACCTTACTTTTAACACGTTATACCAATGATGCTACGTTTAACTTAAAAATCGTAAATTCTTGCGAGACTATCGTGGAATTTACTAAGGGTTAATATAAAAAATTAAAAAGTTAAGGATGATATAAAAAAAATCTAAAAGACGGAAATTGTGCTAAGAGAATTGATTGTACGGTGACATAAATAAAGATGAGACAGAAATAGAAAACAAAACGTAACAGAATGTAGCGGTACAAAAAGAGTCACAAACGTAAGAATGATGGACGATGAAGGGTCTGATAAAAGAGGAAAATATGGAGAATGATGGAGAAGAACATTGAATACTTCGTTAAGAATCGTCTTTCAAAGCCATATTTTATACATTTAAAATTCCACGTTTTATTGGTCTGTTTAAATTTAATGTATCTATTTAAAGCAATTGCGCAAAATGCAAACTAAGAAAAACATTGTTAATTGTCATAAGTTCTATCCTTTGAATATGTATAAGTTTATGATGCTTCGAGGTAACTACCGGTTTCCGTCGAGAATCAAGATCAAGCTAGAGGTGACTTGCATTTAATTTTCCGATGTCCATAATATATATATTGATTGACAACTGCAAGCACAAATTCAACAGGGCTTTGTTAATTGGGCTGGTTAAACAAAAACCATTTTTGTAAGGAAGTTCCTTATATTTTCAATAATCTTACGTTTATAAAATACTCCTTTTTTATTCAACTTTCAAATAACTAGTTATAGCTGTCCGCCAAGGATAAGTAGTGATTGGTTAAATCATTTTTAAATAAGAATGCTACTCTACAACGAGAAGAAGCAGTTATTTATTCTAATACGTAAAAAAATCACGTCGGAATAGGAAATAATTGTTTTTGTTTTATTGATTGTTTACAGTCGTAATTTTTTTGTATAGTTCCAGCAAAGTCAGCTTAATAGGCCGTTGTTGAGTTTTATCGAGACAAGCAGATTTTTTCTTTTTATAAACATATAGATAGACTTTTAAACCAGTTTATTTGACCAAATTTCTATAAAGTTCAATGTGAGTAGGCAATCATTACAAAGTTGCATAGTATCAGATCGTGAAAAAATTTCCTAAGACACGCAGTGTAATATAGCACATTACTTACTTGTTAAACGTCAATTGCCGAGTTTTGCGATAAGTGCGAAACCTCTAAGTTCAAAATCCAGGGACAAATAATAATATCAGTCAGGTACGGTATAGAATTTTAATTAGATAGTTGCTTTAATATAATAGAGAAGTAAAACGGGCACAGAAATGTGCCTGCCTCTGTGTGGGGATACAGAATTGCACTTACACGCTTAGTTGGAATGTTAATATCTACCGGTATTAAGTCTTATGGTCTGCTATTCTTAAGTTACATCCTACTGATAATTCTGAGAAATCGCACAATAGTACTATTATGATACTCGATTCACTTGGCCACTTTGATGTTCGCAATTTGTTTGATTACCTAATTGTTGATCATTTAAAAAAGTTTATTTAAAAGGTGCATGAAACAAAGAGGGGAAAAAAAGCCGGGGGGGGGGGGAAACCGGGGGCCCCAAAGGGGGGGAAAAAACCCCGGCACGGGGGGGGGGGGGGGGCCCCCCCCCCCGGGGGGGGAAAATTTTTTTTTTTTTTTTTTTTTTTTTTATTTAACAAAGGCTATGTGGATAATGGAAATAATAGAAGCTGTGACTTAAGGTGTTAGACTACTACTTAACTGTAACTTGCTAAGTACTTGTTTTTGATCTAAGTCCCCTTATTAATAAATAAATGAATTATAATTTAGATATTAAATACAATTGTTTCGAATACAGAAAAACTACAGAGAGTATTGAACACATTTTCTTCAAAGTTTTACAGAGAACAATTGAGACTAATAGTGTTAGCATTTAATATTTATTTTCCAATGGAAAGTTTATTATAATTTTAGCTCACACTGCACACTTCAGTTAAATGTTAAACATGATGCCTTTCACTATTTTACAGTAATATCATTCTTTTATTATTGTTTGATAAATAGTAACAACAGGAAAGCGGGTCAAAGTATCTTACGTAAAACGTACCAGGACACTGCAAGACGTCAGTGGCCGCAGCCACCGCAATGAACAAGCACACAACTATACTCTTTGAAAACATGGCTATGTCTGGCGAGACGCTACCAACGAGATCAGAAGCAACTAGCTAAGTCTGCGGTCTCCTAAATACGCTGAAGACCGCTTGAAGTTTTAGGGGTCAAAATACTTACTAGAGATCCCATTGTTCAGTACTCAGTACATGGGAAACCTATAATTGTTGCAGTAGTCAGTAGTAGGTAAACCATGTTCGCTTCTTAAATTTAAAGGAAGAAGAAATTAAAGGCACTCATAGTTTCGAGATGTTAGACTGCCATAATTGATAAATCTCTTCTTATAAAGCCATACCCTTATGATGTCATGGTGAAACAAAACAACTGAAACGTTGCGAACACTTTTTCAATTATGTTATGATGACCAAACAGTTCATCAATAGCAATTCTCGATTAAAATTCGACGTTAGTGATGTAATAATTGATAGTATCTAGAGATATAGAGAACTTGTTTTCCCCAGCTGAAATTTCTTTTCTAGAATTCCCCGTACGTCTTATACAGCGCCTTTATGAGACCTCAGCCTAAACACCTCCGCTTGACCGCTTGACGACGCAGCTACCTCGTTCAAAAGACTTTAAACCTTTTTGTTTTAATAATTGACTTGAAAATACAAAATCTTATATTGCATGGTAAGTAATTAATTATCGTTGCAGTTGCAACGTTTGAGTCTTTGTTTTTTAAAGATGAACAGTTGATCAAAAAGTTTTTATTCATAATATTGAAAAGCTAATGGTCATGTCGGTGCTGTAATTTAATAAAATTGCTGTATATATATTTACTAGCTGTGCCAGCGACTTCATCCGTGAGAATCGTTATTTTCGGTATCGAAATTAGTTTTTGCAAACCCCGTCTCTTTATAAACTTAAACTGTTAGCCGCGACGTCGATCGCGTCTCTTCCCTTCGTTCTTGCAAGTTAATCATTAATAAATAAAAGATAGAAATATAGATTTTTTAGATCATTTAAAGAGGAATCATTCTTTCATATACATTTTTAGGTATTTTAAACCGATTTCGCAGCGTCCGCATCTGAAACACATAGAGATGAAAAATATCCCCCGTTTTGTTCACATTTCCCGCTGTATCTTCGCTTCTATAAGTCACAGCGCGATGTTTTATATCCTATAGCCTTCCTCGATAAATACTCTATTCAACACAAAAGCTAATAATAAACTAATATATATTAGTATAGATTCAAAATTCTAGAATTCGATATACACATGAATTACTTTTATTTAGATTTAACAATTTTAATAATAAAACTGACAACATTAATTTCCTTTTCTTAAATTGAATTAAACAAATGTGTTATATATATCGATCAACAATAATCGGTATATCGAGTTACGGAGTAGTACCTAATATGTAGGTACTTCAGAACAGTAATATGTATATATTTATCCTCTTCGGGCTTCTTAACAATTTCTGGGAGAATGACCTCAAAAACTGGATTTGGTACAGGGCACTTAAAAAGGCTACTCCAAACAAGATTTGAAGGGTAAGTTTGTGCACTTGGCGATTTTTGAATCACTTTCTTTCGTTTTCGTCTCTTCAGTGCTTATATACTTGTAAAAGTGTCATTGGTGGACTCGTTGGTTCAATAGTAGCAAGGTAGATATGGCTAATGATCAATAGGTAGTGGGTTTTGGTTTCCTTCGGATCCAGCAAAATTAATAATTTTTCAATACTTCGTATGAAAAATTCGAGTAGGTATCTAATAGTATGTCTATGATATTTTTTAAACATTTTAGGGGAAAAACCAAGGCCAATGGTGTCTAATCTTACTTAAGTTTTTGTTCAGGAAAATATTTTCTTAACGACAAAATAATGATATCTAATAAGACATATTTACGGTTTTTGTAACGACAACTCGTTTTTAAGATTCTTATAACTCAAGAAAAATACACCGATAAGTTACAATTTATTAACAATAATATTGACATAATGAAAAAACAAGTTTTTTCTGACTGAATCCGAAGAAACATCTTCACAGGCTCCGCACTCTATCAGTTTAGGAAACCTTTATGTGCTAGAAGGCTCTTTACAATTTATTTAAAGTAATCGCCATCTTTACAAACAATAGATTGATTATATAATTAAAAAGGCAACGAAAATAAACATGTCTAATAAAGACGTAAAATTTTATTAGGGGTGTAATAAATATAACAAGCATAAACTTAAAATTGCGAATAAATTATTGGAAATAAATACAAAAATTATATAAGTTTTTCATAAATTAATTGGTTGTTTAATATTTATCTTTGTGTTATCCATAAAACTCGAAAGTGACGTTCGGTAAGTTGCCAATTGGGTTTCTTGGATGGCCGAGCGGATAATGCTGTTGTTTATTCATTTTGTCACCTTGGACAGAACTAGTGAGAAGAGCCGCTCTCTTCATCATTTTCTGGACGTACGTTTGCGTCTGAACCAGCACCGAATAGCAGAGGACGACACGGTTTTTTTCATTGTACACCCGCCATTGAAGATATCCGCGTTGATTCTAAGAAAAGCAAAAAGACATTTTAGAATAATAATTTAAGATGTTTTCTTTGTGTCTGCAACATACAGAAATAATTTGAAGGTCCCATATGATTCAGTTTTTTGCTTATAATGTTCCCATAATGATAAGCTAGAGTTTTGTGAGGATAAAGTGTATTTTTTATGATAGAGAACTACATTAGGAAACTACATTTTAACAAGATTATTGTCTGCCTATTTTTGTTTAAATATACGGAAATCCACAGAGTGTAAACATAACACTGTGTGGCTCGTGACCCTGACAGAATTTCAATATTGCTGTCATCCATCCTGATCTCCAGACAAAATCCAACGGGTTTCAGTTAAATAATAAATTGATTAGAAATTGAATTATTGGCGATCGAACCCACGACCCGTTGATTATTAACTGTACATTGCTAGCATTAGACTAACAAGCCCAACAAAATATATACTTTTATTACCCTCTATGTCTATGCAATCTGATCGTTTTGGATAAAATTGTCGCAGGAACAGCACACAGTAAATAAAATTAGTCCAAGTAGATCTTAGTTTTACGTGTACGCGAGATGCAAATTGTAATTATGAAATAACAATATTAATTAAGGCATCCGTTGGTTTATAATCTTTTATTCATGGAAATATGGTGTCATAAAACATTATCGCATTACGTACCTACTCGCTACAAAAAACAGTAGTTTGAACTTTTAATGTGTATAGTGTCTTTAAAGTTTTTTTAGGGGTTTTTTTAATTGCTATTTGTAGTTGTACCTATATGTTTAAATAAAACTCGCTTAACTGTTTAAAACGCGAACATATATTTGAACTTGTGGTTTATTGGTTATATATGGTTTATTTTAATTACGACCTGATCATTTACACCAAGAAACGAGAAGGCACCGTTAATCATTTCTGTAAGAATCCTGCTAGTTTCTCCCAATAATGAGACCACAGATGGCGCTAGCGTAGCAAATTTGACTTGGCATTACTGAGACCTTTAGTACCTCTGGGCTGTAATTCGATTACATGTACAAATATATTGCTTGTTTTAACCCTTTACAATGTTCTATTTAAATTGGTCCATTTAACTCAACCGTGATGAGCAATAAACCGATACAGACTTTTAATTTTTATGTATACAATAGTGTACACGAAATGGTTTTCCTCATTCCTGCATACTGCAATAAAAACTTGAAGCGTAACTTGTAGATATTAGATAACGACCGTATTATTCATCCTACAGTGTAAATTATAATACTTATTGTCCTTTGTTCATTTTTTCGTACGTATTCCATGATACATTGAACGTGCCGTGTTTTTATATATCAAACAAATGTTTCCTATTGGAAATACCGAGAGCGCACGAAAACGTTGTCCGTTAACGTTGGTCACAACGTACAACATAATAATTATTTTTTTGTGGCAATGAAAAAAAAACAATAACAAAGAAAAAATAAAAACACAATAGTTTTTTTTGTATGATTATTATGTATTTTCACCCGAGGCCGTTAACAGTAACCGTACGTTTGACGGAATAGAATTAATATATTATTAGGGAACTACAAAAGCACGTGCTTTATAAATTAAATGAATTGTTGAGACATTTTAAGTTTAAAGCGGTACTAGTCGAGAATTGAGCTTGAGAATTATAAATGCGCTGCCAAGCATTAGTCGAAACTTCAGAGAAGTCACGGGTTTGTTTCACGAAAAAACTTGATAACATTTTTTTTCAAATGGCCACAAAATAACGTCTCCTCCGTTTCGATGTTTGTAATGCATTTTGTGTTTTTATGGATGTGTAATTTTTTTTTTTTGAATCGTTAATGAACTTACTAATGCCATTTTAGAAGGCACAGACATCGTACTTGTAAATGACGTAATTGCATCAGTCTGGACAGGACACAATAATATGTCACACGGTTCTGCAAAAAACATAAAAATTCTTTATGGTTTTAAAACGTTAAAAAATCTATTAACACGCGTGCAACAGTTATATATTATATGTACCTATGGAGAGGGTTTTATTTTATGATAGTTTAAAAACATGCAATATATATTTATTCTTCAATATAAAAAAATCTATCTCTCGTCTAATGTAAATCTAATATCATTTACAATAACGCAATAAACTTAATTATACCATCAATTTTACTGCCGTAAGGTTACATACAAAATATTTTACTAAGAAGATACGTTTCAATAAAACACTTTAACGGTTTAAAACGCGATATACAAGTTAAACTTATTTGAAAATGATTTTTAACTTCGGCCCGACGTTTCGGATGCTTTGCAGCAGACGTGGTCACGGGGAGACCACGGGAAGAAGATACGATATCCATCATTACAGTAGTTTGTGAACATTGCCGACAAAAAAACGCTTGGATAGGCTTGGATGAATTAGAATATTTTTTTTAGATAGGGTGTATTAAAAATTAACTGTACTTACCAGGTGTAACAGGCGTTCTTTCGTTGACAAAATTCACTTTAATAACAACATCTTGATCCAGTTGCAATGATGCGAAATCTGGAATAAAAACATTTACACTTATGACTTACAAATACATACTGTGAATCGTACATAAGCAAATTGGCCTTTAGGTCTATCTTATTATTCATTAAAATATATATTTTTTAAGGATAGAGGAGGACAGAAAGGCTTGATGGTGATATTTCTATATAGCATCTAAACGAGATGCGACCTATTTTAGCTTTGGATATTCGGAAATCCATAGACTAAAACCAAAACGGGATTAAGCATTAAAGCTTTTTCATCTGTGGTGGTTCGTGACTCGGACGGAATTTCTATATTCCTACCACCCTTTTTATATCCAGATTTCCAGACGAAATCCAACATGTTTTAGAAATATTGTAAATTGAAAAATAAATATGCTGGACTCGGTGGGGATCGAATCCAGACTACCATTAGACCAACGAGCCCGTTATTCCCGAGCCAAATATTTAGATTTAAAAAAATCGATGATCCAAATGGAAATTAAATCGACTTCAAAAAGATTTGTGTTGCTGTTCTGTCCAATTGAGCTAAACTGTCTCTTCTCGTATTTTGTATTTTTAATTTATATAATGCTATCATATGCAATAACAAGTCAAACTAATGAAATTGTCATTTTTTACAACACAAAAGCTGCTTTGTGTCTGTAATTAAAGTTTAATGATTAAACAATATTTTATATGTTGATATGGATGGAAATATAAAATCTGTGAAGCTTGGAAAATAAATGGGCTATAAGTAAGCGTCTATAATATTTTTTGACAACGGTTGATTTTAAGGACTTCTATGAGGACGCTAGTCGGTGACTTTAACTTGTCTTACATACAATTTTTTACCAAAATTACATGATCCTGTTCTTTCTAATCTACGAAATTAAAATTTTCAGCACTTTATCTCAGAGGTGATTAAAATATTTATTTTATGGAATTATTCATAAGCTCGATAAGTATTTATTGTTTTAAGTGGAGTCTTAATTTAAACATCTACATTAAATTAGTATGACATTGTTCCAACTATAAGTTTATGTCTATTAAAAGAAAGGACGGATTGACAAATCTATACCGTTTTATGTGTCGCGTACACATAAAACGGTACAGATTTTAATCATGAAGAAAATTTCATAAGGCGTTAATTTGTTATAAAAGAGATACTTAAAAAAATATACATTTTGTATTGGAATCTTACTCTTGGTACTTTTCTAACTTACAGAGCTAAACCGTTCCATAAAAATAATATTATAAAATACACTTACCTGCGTAAAATCGTACGTTGACTGGAATCTCATCCCCCAACGTAACGTAACACGGTGGATTTTTGTCGCAGCCATCGATGTTTACAGTCACCAAGTCATATGCGGACCCTAAAATTTGGACGAATAAATATTTCAAATGGGTTCTTTTGTCCCTTGCCTTATATCAATCGAATTATTACTATACATGTAAGTAAAAATGTATATTAATTTTTGTGGACGTTATTTAAACTAAGGTTGTCCTCCATACCTCTCGTATGTCATTTATATGAGTAACACTAGCACATACTTATATATAGTTTTTGAATATATCAAGGTATAAATTAATAAACGGTACTTATTATCATAATCATCAGGATATTGGCCTCACATTAATCGAATATTAGACAGCAGGTTATCCTCTAATTAAACGTTTATTTATTTCAAGACGTTCCGTTAGATTAATCTTTAAAAATTAATGTGAGGTTTAGGAAATAATTTTCAATACTTCTTAATTGTGACAAAGATTACAAAACTAACTTTGAACTGTTACTAGGGTGCCTACTATATTTCTTAAAGTTGAAAGAAATCAGAACTGTAGATCTATTTTTATTTAATTTTGACCTATATATATTCAGCTTAGCTTATGTTATCTTAATAATGTTATACCTATATAGTACGCCAAAGAATATACTGTTTTGAGTTACGAAATAGCTTGCATAATCTACGATATTTCTAAATAACGTCAACCACTAATTCGGCCGCACTCTACGTCCTTCTTGTTTGTATCGACCAATGATCCTTGATTAGACAAATGTATATAAATGTCAAACGACAGTTTGGTTAGCATTAAGTGTCTCGTTGGTGTGGTGGTTAATAGATGGCATACTTGAGTTTCAAGTTCGAATAAGGTATTAAGTTTTGTTATTTGGAATTTGCTAAAAAATTTCTACAGCCAGCAATTTGCAAGAATTGCAGTATTCAACCTCATGACTCAGCAGACATGTTAAGTTGTCGCGCTTATCTTTACGGAATGAGTGCAGTGGTAGACTACTCACCAACCTGCAGTAGAACAGCGTAGTAAGCCTTTGAACTCTATGCAAGTTAGGTGAAACCTTATCCCTGAATTTCTCAATAAACATAAACATGATTGGTAGCGAAGTGACAAAGCGTTTAAAAAGTTTGATAAGGAAAAATATATTAGGTATAATTTTGAGATGGACTTATTCTAGCCAAGTCTGGCGTCTCAGTGAAGTTAACAATTACATTCTATTAACTTCACTAAGACGCCAGACCATACGAACTCACTAAGACAAGACAAAAACTTTATAAAAATATGAAACTTATACTTACCGCAATCCTCAAATATAACAGAGGCGCGGGTCACTGCGAAGAAATATATCAGCAGATAGATTGCTTGCATTCGTATACTTAACGCTTGCATAAAATATAGTTTACACCGTGTTCACTAATATAGCGAATTGGGCTCCGGCGATTACCTATCGAAAAAGATAAGGCCAAAACTCCGGTATTGCATTACGCCGAGTTGTTACCTTTTAATCGTGTTAATTAAGGAGGATTTAGTATACGTGCAAATCGATTAATCGAAAGGAATTAGAATTATATTTATGGCCCTGACGTAAGCGCGATTAATTGTGACAATGCGTAAGTCATATTATTTATCTAATAAATTGTTAAATGAAAGTAATTATAGTCTTTTGAAGCAATTCCTCCTGACTTGTTGTATCGTTATAATTAAATATCAAACAACTCGGTAATCTACATGATTACAACATGTTGTTACATATTATTCGACGAATCTATTCCTCATAATTATTATACTTACCTAATTAATGGTTAAACCAAGATGTTAAATACAAATCCGGGGATTAAAGCAAGTTTTGGGCAGTGATAGGGAGAGTGGCCAATATAAACGTTTACTATATATTTTTTATTCAATGAAATAACGTTCATAGCGTTTGAAACACTTAGGTCTTATCGGTTACTCTGATTCTTTCAATTCTTATCAAACGACGCGAGTTTTGAGGTAAAGCATTAGTAAACAGAGAAACAATAATTGTAGAAATATTTTATTTGATTATATTTTCATCTAAAAATTATGAGTTTTTATACATAACCGTTCTTATGAATAAAACAATATAATTACATATAAGTTAAATCGTTTTTATGGACATTTGACACAGCACAGCGATCTTAACCAAAAATGCAATGTGTCAATTGTGTTGTTAATGAAAACCTAATCATTGTTGTGAAGCAATTCAGTAAAAGAAATAAGTTCTGACGTCATTAATAGAATGTTCTTCGCGACGATATATTTATGTTCTTGACCAGGCTAGATAAACTAAATCTGCAGAAAGTATCGTTAACCCTCAACAGTTCTTACCATTTAAAAAACTGTCAGCTTATTAGAGTCAAATCTTATTCTAAGGCACTGAAAAATGATTATGATCTAGTACAAAAGCTATAAAATAAAATTTCACAAATAAAACAACATTCCCTAAAATTGTCCAAACGTGAATTTAACTTAAATTCGGAATAACTTAAAAAATTATAATAAATTTAAATAGACATATTAAGCCAAAAATAATTTACTCATATCACTTATAATTAAACAATTATTGCAATTTTAAAACTTAAAGTACAAAATGGTTAAATTTTATTACATGGCTCTCTACAGAAGGCATAATACGCGTACATATTTTGAAACTTCTTGCCTTCCATATCACGTCAAATTGTAATCGATATTAAAATTAGGTATTCATCATTAACTTATACATATCTTATACCCACCGAAGCTATTATACATTTCTGGATATTCTATTCAAATTGAGTCTGCTATAATTAGAACATTTTAATAATTTAAAATCACAGATGCACTTCCAGAATCATCAAGGGAGTCAAAGCAAATTGTTTATCCAGATACCGTACACAGATCAGATTTCAAAATTATAAATCGTTTATTGAAAATAATTGCAAATGTCCATTCATAGTTTTAAGGTCATCAAAATTGTCCGACAGTGATTAAATAATAAGTGTCTTTTATACATTACGCTATAAAGAAACAATGAATCCAAACGTACAATAAAGAAATTACGTATATATAGCATTCATAAACATAAAAAAAAATTAGTCCTATATTTTTCTTAGAAATTAAAAGATTTTATGTACACACTGTAGTAATGCACTGGGATGCAATGAGGAAATAACTCTTGAACCGACCAAATATTTGCCTCAAATGGAGCTAAAAATCTGTTCAAGTGGGAAATTTATTCATATGGTTAATTCAATATAGCGTTGTGGTCATCTATTAACGCTGTTGCCAATAGGACCACAAGCTGAGGGAGCTAAAACCTAGATTGAAGGCCTATAAGATATTCACTAAATAACCTTAATAACATCACTGTTAGGAATCCTTAACAAGTTAGCAGCGGCAGTGTTGTTGTCGAGTGTTCAAGGCGTTATCTGCATTCTCTTGAGCTTACCGAGTACGAGCAACGATCACTTACTCTATTCCGCGCTTTGTACGTTCGTTATTTCTCTCCTAAGGACGCCTGAAAATAGAAAATTGTTTAAGCATACATTAAATTAAACTATTTAAAACAGTTCGAATACGTTAAAAATATTATCAAATAGCTTTGATAATACTTTTTAAACTACGACCTGTTACGACGTTTCGGATACTTTTTGACAGCTGTCATCCTAAAGAAAACTTCTTGTTTTTAATTTTAGTTTTCAGTTAAGGCTCTGGTGCACTAAATCAGTATTTAGCTCACCAGAACGGCCCAGAACTTTCAGCACAGTTTTTTTAATGATAACTCACCTGTAGTGGCCCGTTGTGTACGTCAACTTGTGGCTTAGAGAAACTGGACATCAATCTCTCCTGCGGACATAAAACAATTATGTTGAATATAGTTAGAGTCGTCTAACTTAAAGCAAAGTGTAAGGAACTTGTACAGGCACACCCAGAAACAGTTTATTACGATTTATAGTTTATCACCTGCGCAGTCAGACGGTGTAGAGCGGAACGAATTAAATAGTTCCCTTTTGCTGACTTATTTATTTATACTTTTTACACAACACACGCACACAATTACAATGACTAAAAAAAAGAATATCTATTAAAGTATGGAGTGTAATGGGCGGCCATATCGCTATTAAGACATCTCTTCCAGGCGACCCTTCTTAAGACTTATTAAGTAATAAAATATTATATGACATATTTTCTACTTACCTCAGTCAGTCTTTCTGCATCAGTGAAGCTAGCATTGTGATTTTTAGTTTTAGCATTCTGCAATTCTCCTTGTAATTGATCTATTTTGTTTTGCATCTGAAATAATTATAGAAGAATAAAGTAACTAATGCGGAGGCTGTAAATGAGAAATTAATTTGAAAATTAACCAACACCTTATATTTATTTGAACGCCACAATGGAAAAGTATTGAAATACAATATAATAGAAACCATTATATCAAGTAATTTTTTATTTTAAGACTACATTTTTAGACCAAATTGTTTCCGAAAAATTATTTTTCCTTTTCAGTTTTGTTGAATATTGGTCTTATTTGAATAACAATTCCATTCCAAAAGTACACAAAAACAAGAAGAGAGCCAGGAAAGCCACTGTATCAACGACACTGTAACGCTTTGACACAAGTACAATGTACCTCCTCGATAATTGTCGACAACGATTTCTCTATGCAGGAGTACGCAAACGCCATAGGTTCCTATGTGGAAAGGCACTTTATGTACAATATGTAAAATGATCATCAAAGATTTCCTTAATTTCCAAAACAATTATTGTTTGTGTTTTGTTCAATTAATATTTGGCTTTGGCTGTTTCATTTAAATCAAACACTTCAACGGTTTAAAACGCGATATATATTTGTTAAACTTATTTGAAAATTATTTTTGTGGTCACAGGAAGACTAAAGATGGAAAGTGTCTCTAACGCCAAAGTAAAAACTGCTACACTAGCGCCATCTGTTTCGTCGACTAGTATTTGAATATACGAAACGTCGGGCCTTAGTGAAAAAATAACTACTATGATTACTACTCACAAAACAACACCATATTTGGCTTTTCCAATTGTAATTCATAAATAAATCAAATAAATTAGCTTGAAGAAGTAGTGTACCTGCAGAACAGTCCTCTGCCTGAGTTCATCCAATTCCCTCTGTTGATCGGCAAGTTGTCGAGCCCATCGCGCCTCCTCGACGGACACATTCTGCTGCAATTGGCTCAGAACACCCTCCTGTTCAAAACACATTAAATCAATTAATTACACTAACAAGTATATTTATGTATTATAGCATTATTATTTATAACACACCACAAAATAAAAAATATATAAAAAAAATCTTCCGTACTAACTTATAATATAAGGCAGCCTTATCGCTAACCGATCTCTACCAGGCAACCAGAAGTACAGGATAAAAAAATAGAAAAGGACTTATAAAGTGGGGTAACTATTTGAACTTTGCCATAACCAAACTCCCAGGGAAACATAAACTTGTTTCGGTCGGGCAGGGCACCGAAGTCTGATCAACTACTTGCCTGTTAAAGAACGGATCAGTGAAACGGACACAAAAAAGGGTTCGCCCCATGCCCCACTAGGGGGGAAACGGGTTTTCACAAAAAAAATAAAAATAACCAAACTACATAACAAGTGTAGTGCGCTCTCTGTCGAAGAAGGTATGCAACAACCTTTTCATTAAATTCTGTTTAGGAGTTTGAGTGGATATTGCATGTACATAGTCTGAGAGATCTTTCCTTGCTGTTTCACGATGCTCGGGAAATATATAAGATATTTTAAATAATGCAGAATCTAGTTCTTAATATAACGAGATACGAGAACATAACTGAAGTTAAACCTAACGCAACGTAAAAATTTTATGTAGACTTACGGTATCGTTGATGATCCTTTTGTATTTATTAACTGACGCTTGCAACTGTTCATTCTGAGAAATAATTTCTGTTAATCTGGAACCATTCACTGTAGAACTACTCGAATCTACTTGTTTCTTCACACAACTCTCCTCCAGTTTTTTCTTGAATTCACTCTCTACCCTTTTCTTCTCGTTTTCTTTCTCTAGAAGCCTGTTTTGCATTTCACTCTCTAACGATTTTCTTTCCTTCTCTATGTCCGCAAGTTTCTTTTGTAATTCTCTCTCTACTCTCAATCTCTCGTTCTCTTTATCTTGTACTTTCTTTTGTAATTCATTTTCAATTTGTTTCTTTTCATTTTCTTTTTGTACGAGTTTTTCCGCGAGTGATTTCTCGAATGCGGCCTTTTCCGATTCAACTTTGTGTAGTTCATTTTTAACATTGTCAGCGAATGTTTTGATCCAGTCGTAACCAGTTGAATGTGTGGGCGCAGCCGTGGGACACACAGAGCGGAGGACGTTGATCACCTCGTTGAAATGTAACTCTTGAGCATTCGATATTGCTTCCTGGAAACGATTTTTATCTACAATTACAAGATTACATTGGTAGCTAGCTACTATTATATTCTAGTAATGAGACACAAACTTCAGTGGGATGTCTCGCGCGTTTTACAACTAGCTATTTAACTGTTGTAATATTTTTTTTATTATAATCACCATATTTTTATCAAGTAACGAGAATTTATACGACATTCATGTACTCTATCGTATGACATATCATTTTGTGTGGGTAAGTATCTATTAATTATAGATGGACAAAAGTTTTATTCAGCTGTATTACCTTGTATTATATAATGCAATGTAAATTTTTGAATTACTTCAACATGTTCAAATAGCCAATTGATTACATATAGCGCTACAATGAGTTGTGCAAATAAGCGAAGCCGGCCAAGGAGCGTTTTGATAACAGCGATAAAGAGGCCATTCATAACTTACGTCACATGTGAGGGGGAAGGAAGAGAGTCAGCGTATTGTAAAAAGGGGGTAAAGGAAGGGGTCTTAAATTCAATTCTTTTTAAATAATGCTAAGTAGCTAATATACATAAATCGATAACTTTCTGGGAGGAAGGAGTAGGAGTTTCATAAATATGAACCGCTGTAAAAATAATGGATAGGTGAAAAGATAGATTTATTTGTGTGCCGTAAGTTATAGACGGCCCTAAGGGGGATAAATGAGGAATGGTTACAGTTAAATTCTCCACTTACAGAGTGGCCTTGGGCCGGCAACGCGCTCGATGTTTTAGCTTGCAGAGACCGTTCCGCACTTTGTAAAGCTTCCATTATTTTCCAGTTTTTAGTTCGCAACTCCTGAGTAATTCGAGTCAAATTCATTAGAGACAGTTGGTACGGAAAAACAGGAATGGAATGTTGCACAAATATTATTAACTTAATACTACATTTCATGTTGCTTAAGGTGTTGACCAACACAATGCAGACAACAGGAAGGTTGGTATCTGCATAGTGTTGGTCATTACAGTTGTACCGTTATCTGTGTTTTTAGTATTTCTAATTTTTACCAATGGTTGTAGGAATCGTTTCGATTCATAAAACGAATACCTTTTGGGAAACTATGCTTATTTTGTTTTATATACTATTGGTGTCAATTTTAATGTTTATATATTTGTAAATGAATTCCCTCTTACAAAAGTACACATTATATACACATACATTGTTCTTTTCCTTATACTGTTGCAGCTGTTGGTTCAGGGTAGACAGCTGCTGTTGCTGATCTAAGTTCGCAGTTTGTGCGGCTTCCAGATCACGGCGTAGGGCCTCGACTACGCTTTCGACTTTAGCCAACTCGCTCGCCTGAACAAAGAGTAAAAAAAATGTATAATTAGAATTTGAGGCAAATGTTATCTATACTAATATATAAAGCTGAAGAGTTTGTTTGTTTGCTTGAACGCGCAAATCTCAGGAACTACTGGTTCAAGTTGAAAATGTATTTTTGTGCTGGTTAGAGGGAGAAATATGGAGAAAACGGGGAACATTATTCATCTTAGTGGGTTTCCGTTGCGTGCACTGCGAAAACGGTTCAAGATACCCGAAAAATATGTATAAAAGAATATATGATTCTGATTTAAATGATCTAAAAAACCTGTCGCGATATTATACATCTATCTTTTAAGGTTAACTTACAAGAACAACGATTGTGGGTAGGTAACAGCTAGATACAGATTCTATTACAGATTAAACATTCAGCATTAAAGTTTGTAAAAAAAATATTTTACTATTGTTCATTTCACCTTTAGTTTATCTGTATCTTCAGCAGAGGGCAACCCATTTTGAGCAGGTGTCGATTTCATTAATTTTAGCTCTACCAACTCGCTCTCCCGCATCGCAAGCTGCTCACGTAATGTATTCAATTCCTTGAGCATCTGTCAAAACAACATTCAAATAAATCCCAGTATTTAAGATCATATAAGAGTCAATTATTCAAGAAAATACTCCTACTGATAGTATTTTAGCTGTATGTGTCAATCCACCAGCCTAACCAAAAGCCTGTTACATCCAGATCAGGTTCTATCCCATTACCCCGAAAAGGAAAAAAATACGTGCTTTGTTAAAAATTAAATACAATAAATTTGACCAGTAAAAAAATATGGAATTTTTCTGCCCTTCACGTTAAGACGAAGAACACATACATGAATAAAATTAGCAATAATAATCTCCGATTACTGTTTCTTTTAAAAGATTTATTCAAAGAGAGAAAGCATTTTTACCTCTTCCTTTTGTTTATCAGAATCCTCCTTATATTTTTCTAGGCTAGTTTCAGCTGTTTGCGCTTGTGAAGTCAACCTCTGCACCTCATTTTGCAAATCGGTTAAACCTGTCAAAGTAGAATGTGTGGTATAAACAAAGTGTATTGTGGAATATATTGTATTGTGCAAAAGATGTGCTGAGAAACTTGTGTATCTATTAAGTGTATTTTTTACAAACACTATTTTGAATAAGATATAAAAACACCACCATATCAAATGAATATGTAATAGTAAACAAATTCTCAGGGTAATAAGGAATCATAAGTTTTTTTATACTGACAATGCAACCAAACTGTTCGATAACTATGCACCAATTTAATTTAAAGCTTACTCCAGTAAATCACAATCCATACCAGCAAGTCGTTGTTGTGTCTGACGTAAATCTTGCTGTGCCAGCTGCTCCGCTCGCACCGCGCACTGCCGTTGCTGCTCGAGTTCAGAGTATACTCGGTTCGCTTCCTAATAGCACAAATAACACCACCAATAAATTAATTAATTGTGAATATTGTTATAGATGTACTATTATATTTAATTTTTCACTGTAATAATTTGGAACTTATCTTGTGAATGGTATCAACAAAGATATATTAAGGGTACCAAAAATATAATACAGAAAATTTAGTGATCACTCGACGTTTATTTTCTACAACTGTACCAAAGGCTGTATACCGGATAAACAGATAATCTTGTTTAAATAAAACACTTTAACGGTTTAAAACCGATATATTATTAAACTTATTTGAAAATGATTTTTAACTTCGGCCCGACGTTTCGGATGCTTTGCAGCAGCCGTGGTCACGGGGAGACTAAAGATGGAGGATGTCTCAGACGTCAAAGTAAAGAATTGCTACGCTAGCGCCATCTGTTCCGTCGAAGTTGGTATTTGGCGAAACTGGCCGGGTCCTTACAGAATTGACTAACGGTGTCTTCGCGTTTGCTGGTATGCTGTTTATTGGGATCCAGAGTTTTTAATATGGGATCCCAGGTGTTTGATAGTTTGAGGCCGTCCTCCCTATTGAAATTTCGGTGTTTTTTGATTTCAATTGCTTCGCGTACCAATCTTGGAAAAAATCGACTCTCCTTTGCGAGGATTTTTGGTTGGTCAAAGCGAATGTAGTGATTGGGCCCTTCTGATGAGTGTTGGCATACCGCAGATTTGGAGAGACGTTTATGTTTTATATCCGCGACGTGTTCTTTAATTCTGTTTGAGATGCTACGCTTTGTTTGGCCGATGTAGGATAGGCCACAATCACAATCAGTCTGTAAACGCTATCTTGTAAAGGGATAGTACACTTGCTTGGTTTCAGGAATTGCTGAATCTTCTTGTGCGGCTTGAAAATTGTGTCAATAGAAGCTCGATTTAGGACTCTGCTAATTCTATCTTAACTCCTTCACATATGGTAGTAGGCGGGCTGACGTTTGACTGTGGGTGGCTTGTTCCTGTTCCTGGGATGCTGCGGAGGGATCTCAGCTTGTTCTTGCATAGGACCTGCTTGAATGCTGTAACTCCTCATTTAAGTGGGCAGCATCACAAGACGGCGGGCTCTCTGAAACAAAGATACTCCACAGAATAAGTTGGCTGGGGTGGTGATGTGAGTCATTCAAATACCTATCTGTATGGGTTGTTTTTCTAAAGACGGTATGCCCAATATTACCGTGTTCATCACGAATTACTAAAATGTCTAAGAAAGGTAGTGTGTTATTGTCCTCCTGTTCCATTGTAAACTTAATGTTATTATGAATTGAGTTAAGGTGTGTAAGAAATGCAGATACTTGTGCTTTGGGTAAGATGGTGAAGGTATCATCTACGTATCGCTTGTAAAGCTTAGGTTTAACCGGGGAAGAAGCAAGGGCTCTCTCCTCAAAGTCTTCCATAAAAATGTCAGCAACTAAGGGTGAAACTGGAGAACCCATGGCTACCCCATCTACCTGAACATAGAAATCCCCATTCCAAAGTAGGTACCCGGTTGTCAAGCAATGTTCTAAGATATCCGCATATTCTATAGGCATGTTGTGTTTAATAAGTTTGCTCTTAATAATTTTGATACAATCAGCTATAGGTAAGTTTGTAAAGAGTGATGTGATGTCAAAGCTTACCATAAAGCCACCTAAAATGTACGGTTACCTAAATTCATAAATTAAACAATCCCTTACGTCCAATAGTTAGTCAAATAGATTCGCCCACTTATAAATAGCAAAACACTTTCCAGAACACTTGCCCCCCTCAGGGGAAATACAAATGCTCACGTCAGGGATTCGTATCAGTTTGTAGAAACATAAAGGTCAAAGTGCGGAAGAGGTTAGAAGTTAATCACATCACTCTTTACAAACTTACCATAGCTGATTGTATCAAAATATAAGAGCAAACTTATTAAACAAAATCTAAGAATATGCGGATATCTTAAACATTGCTTGACAACCGGGTACCTACTTTGGAATGGGGATTTCTATGTTCAGGTAGATGGGGTAGCCATGGGTTCTCCAGTTTCACCCTTAGTTGCTGACATTTTTATGGAAGACTTTGAGGAGAGAGCCCTTGCTTCTTCCCGGTTAAACCTAACTTACAACGATACTAATGATACCTTCACCATCTTACCCAAAGCCAAGTATCTGCATTTCTTACACACCTTAACTCAATTCACAATAACATTAAGTTTACAATGGAAGGAGGACATAACAACTACCTTTCTTAGACATTTTAGTAATTCGTGATGAACACGGTAATATTGGGATACCGTCTTTAGAAAAACAACCCATACAGATAGGTATTTGAACGTACTCACATCACCACCCCAGCCAACTTAGTTCTGTCGGAGTATCTTTGTTTCAGAGAGCCCGCCGTCTCTGTGATCTGCCCACAAATAGGAGTTACAGCATTCAAGCAGGTCCTATCAAAACAAGCTGAGAGTCCCTCCCAGCATCAGGAACAGGAACAACACCCACAGTCAAACGTCAGCCCGCCTACCTACCATATGTGAAGGGAGTTACAGATAGAATTAGCAGAGTCCTAAATCGAGCTTCTATTGACACAATTTTCACCCACAAAATTCAGATTCCTGAACACAATTCTATCCCTTTACAAGATGCAGCGTTTAAGACTGGATTGTGATTGTGGCCTATCCTACATCGCCAAACAAAGCGTACATCTCAAACAGAATTAAAGAAACGTCCGGATATAAAACATAAACGTCTCTCCAAATCTCGGTATCCACACTCATCAGAAGGGCCCAATCACTACATTCGCTTGACAACCAAAAATCCTCGCAAAGGAGAGTCGATTTTTCCAAGATTGGTACCGAACAATTGAAATCAAAAAACACCGAAATTTCAATAGGGAGGACGGCCTCAAACTATCAAACACCTGGGATCCCATATTAAAAATCGATCCCATCTACCAGCAAACGCGAAGACACCGTTAGTCAATTCTGTAAGGACCCGCCAGTTTCGCCAAATACCAACTTCGACGGAACAGATGGCGCCGTACAATTCTTTACTTTGACGTCTGAGAATCCTCCATCTTTAGTCTCCCCGTGACCACGGCTGCTGCAAAGCATCCGAAACGTCGGGCCGAAGTTAAAAATCATTTTCAAATAAGTTTAACTAATATTCGCGTTTTAAACCGTTAAAGTGTTTTATAAATTGTACCTCCTAAACAAGACAGTATTCAGATAATCTTGGTCAAACGCATATAAATACATACCTGTAGCTGTTGGGCCAGTTCTGCAGCATGTTGCTGTGCCATAATCATCGAGTCTCGTGCGGCCCCCGCTTCGCATCTCGCCTGCCCAGCTTCCAGCACGCGCGCGTTTAATTCGGCCTGCAGCGCGCCTAACTGCTGAACGAACGCCGCTTCCGCCTGCACCGTAACACAAAAATTCATTGATCAATGCATACATCTAATTAAATGAATGAATGAATTAACATCTAATACCATAACATGTATTTCGTTTGCGGGGAATTGTATTCGTACGTATAATACATTGCCAGTCGAGATTTCAAATTTATCGATAAATAAATTTAAGAAAGTTATAAAACTTAGATTGTCTCAAAAAAAGGCGTATTATTGTCTGAACGATTTCTTTAATGACAAGACCGCCTGGCAGTAATATGAATTGCTCCTGTTAATAAATTTACAAAAATGTATTAGTGTATAAGACAGATTTAAAAAAGCCGAACTGCGATTCTTGGGTGTTCTTCTCAGTTGCTTATTTTGAACACTCTGTAGAAACACAATGAACAGACAGACAAACGAAAAAAAATTGACCAATCTAAATAATTTTTTAAATTTTAAAGAAAATAAAGTATATTTTGTTATAATAAGATTCTTTGGAACAATATGCTTTAAATTTTATAGAAACTTCTTTTGAAGAAATTCATTAAATTAATACATACTAATTTGTAAAGTGTAATAATATTTCAAAACTAGTAAACATTCTAATAGTCTATATCTTACAGGGAAAAGGAACTTTTTAGAAATTTGTGTAATGCCATGGTGTAAACCGAATGGATATAATTTTTAATTAAAATCAATCAAGCCATTCAAGTTGGAAAAGCAACAACGTTTGTTTGTTATAAGCAATTAATATTATAGAGTGCTTAAAAAATTAAATACAATATCGCTTTACCTCCGACAGTCTCTGAATATGCATCTCCATTTGTACTCTCTGGGCTTGAGCTTCACTTTCTTCATTTAGCTTTGCTTGGAACTGAAGTAATAAAAAAAGTAACAATTATGAATGATTACAATAAAGATCTTTGGCATAGTTTATATTACATGTATTATACAACTGTATAATACATAAGCGCCCGCCATCTTGCAGACACTCCTCTAGAATTATTATACGATTCAATGATTAATAGGAAGAAAATACTTGCCACAAGCTTTTCTTGCGCGAGCGCATGGTTATCATCTAAGAGGCGTTGCAGGCGGGTCTGCAGAGTGTGGAGTTCAGCGCGCGATGCGGCCGCGGCTTGTTCGGCCATGCGGCTGGCACTCGTCGCACGACCACGTTCCGCATTTAGGACAGTCCTGATATGGAGACATACTTTTATAAAAATTAAACATACATACATATAACTATATTATACATAACATATTAGAGAAATATCTATGCCTATTTTATGTAGTCTTTACTTGTTTCGTTCGAAATCAGTTCAGTTGTTGTACCAACGCACTCGAAACTCCTACTATTCAGGCAAGGCACTCTGTGAAATTTGTCAAGATATTCCCATGACAGTAACAGGCTTACCTCATTGGTTGACATACAGGATGGATCTTGGTTAATTTTTGAGATAAGCACATTTAAACCAAATTTAATTTTGTATAGATACATGCTCACCATTATTAATACATATATTAAATATTGTTTACCTTAGTTCTTTCAGTTTAGCGTGTAAGGCTTGTGACGCTTCGATCTCGTCAGCGAGAGCCTTTTCTTTATCAGCCAGCTGCTTCTTCACTTTTTGCATTGGATCATTCGGACCCTAGAATATTGGGTAAGTATTAAAATTTGTTTTTAAGATAGAAGAGAAAGGAAAAGCAAGGAGTTCATTTGATACCCTAGCCATAAAACGTACTATGATATAAACTCGCTGTCAACCAATTTAGAACTTTGGAATTCTCGAAAATACACAGGTTGGAACCGAAGAGAATAAACCTTAGGGATTTTTCATCTGTAGATGATATTTCAGCAATATTTTTGAATGATTAAAAACAAGTTAATCTCGGTGGTGCCCCAGATCCATTGATCACTAGTCATACATTGCTACTATAAGACCAACTAGCCCATCTCAATTACCAACAGTATCGTATTAAATCTCACATAAACATCAACTTAATAACTGGGTCGATATAGGTGACGTTAGTTCATTCAGTTGGGGGTTAACTTAAATACATACCTCTGTCCACTCAGAGTGCTCCGGAAGAGGGTCGTGTTGTTTGTTGAGTAAAGCGTCTGTCAGTATTTGTATTTCGGTGCGTGAGAGAGACGCCTCCTTAACAACTCTAACCAACTCGCTCACTGACACACCACCACTGTCACCAGCTATCGGAACAAAATGATTGATAATTAAAATAATTAAATTTAAAGATATATAAAAAATGTACACTTATAATTTAAATAATGATCATGTCAAACAATAAAAATAAAACTTTCACACAGAAAAATACATACCAATAAGAGAAAGAACATTTGGTTCGGCTTTCTTCTTTTTATTCTTCATGGGTGCTGGAGAAGACATAGGCGCTGCAGTCACAAGCGCCTGTTTTAGCAACTTTTCTGTCGTCAGTTCACTCGGTTGGGGAGCATTTAGAGGGGGTACTATTTCTTCAACTACAGCTGACTCTTCTACAGCCTTCTTCTCTGTCTTTTTAGCTATAGTCATTAAAAAAGTGATTATGTACTTAAGTATCAGTGGGTTAATTTTTTAACTTTCTTTAACACTTGTTTATCAATCAATATTAACATGACAATATTTAAAGTTCAATGTCATTTGGTTTTGAGCATGAGGAAAATTAATTGAGATAATTTGTCACTCTGCATTGCAATGGAATGTCAAAGCACCATTACTGTGTACGGTTGGATCCTGTGTCATAGATATAAAATTTTCTTTGAAATCCCTTTTAATACTACCGCAGTATAAACGTCATAAATATACTGGTCACAAACCTTTTCGTTGTTCTTTGGGAGCCTCGCCACTGTTGTTTCTGTCTCGTGAAACATCTTTAACAGGCTCATTGACTGGTTTTTGAACCTTGGCAACACCCTTGACTTGCTTGGACTTCTCCTTCTTTTCCAGAACTTCGTCTTTAGCTTCAGATGCCTGTTCAATTATTACAGTATTAGGATTTGAACAGGTGTCGTTTAACACTTTGTTAAATAAAAATAACACCCCACAGTATCATGCTATGTAAACATGCCACAATCATATAGATATAATTTTATATATGCATAATATTGAATGATTAGTGTTCAATTAAACATACATAAATGCTGTGTCGGATGAATGAATTAATGATTTATGGTTATAGCACTACAAAGTCACATGTACCTAATTAGTAATTATAATTTTCTATAGTAATTAGTTGTTAAGTTGTACTGTAATTAACACAAGTATAACCGTTAAATAAACAATATTTTAAAGAGTTATAACGTAAATGCTGAAAAGCAATAATTACGTCCGGTTATAGACAAATTTAATAGTATTTTATGGTTTAACTTGTTCAAAATACTTTTATTTAATTACATGTTAGTTTCAACCATTAGGCCTTCAAATTGTACTAAAGTTTGCATAATATATATTATTATTGTAAGACAAAACATCTGATGGGTTAAGTGAGAAACTCACTTTATCCCCCAAGTGTGAAGAATGGAATAACTCGAACTCATCCTTGGGTTGAATTTCTTCAAAATGGTTTACGACCTGCGTAACCGCATCTGCCATACTCGGATCGCTAACACAACTCGGATCCTCTTTGTTTACGAGAATGGGCTTTACTTTAGATTCCTTGCCGCGTTTGCGAATCTGTATAGTATATCCCTTATAATGTACATCAAATTAAACCATAGGTTTTACAAAGTATGTTTAACTTATAATAAAAGTATAAATATAATTTCTTTGACCTTATAACACTTAAAATATCTTAATATTGTGTACTTTTTGATAACATTCTCTTATTAAAAGTCAATAATATTAAAAATAAAGATAAGATAAAGGTATCTTTACCTTCAAATACTCTTAAATATAGGTATCGTTAAGTTTGTGTTATTTCTCCCAAGATCTAACAATATCCGGACATGCTTCACATATAATACTAAGAAAGCTATATAAATTTCAACTTACATCCAGGAGACACCCAAAACCCAAAAATTCTGACTATAAATAGTTAAAGACCTTTTTTTGCTTTTTGAAATATTATATAAGTTATGAGGCTTTGTATATAACAATACTTTTTCATATATATATGAAAAATAACAAAAAAAGAATGTATTTTATTTAATCTTGCACATGCTATTAGTAAAATGTATAAAGAACCCAAATGATAAAATAAGACTAGAAAACAGCTTTCTTAAATCAATATTGTTTATACCTTTATGTTGGATGGGGCATCCTGTGGCAGTTCAACAACAACAGGAGGCTGAAACTCAACAGTTGGTTTCCCTGGAGTAACTTCGTCTTCTAAACCACTCTCTCCGGGCACCTCACTTTCAACTTCACTGCTTGTAGTGGCCGGCACATTCTCTTTTTTTTCTTTCTTTGCTAGCTATATTATTAATAAATAGGATTGTTATAAAATGACAGCAATCCAGAAAGTATGTATATAAAGTAAATTTTTTATAAGAATTTTATTTATATTAATCAAAATCTTAGTTTAAGGCTGGTAATTGAATCTATAGTCAGTTAGTCAAAGGATATAAAGTATAGATATTTTATTACTACTATGTTTAAGGTAAGTAATAATTGAAAGACTTCTTTAAAGAAATGAAAGGCTACCTAAACTTACCTTTTTATGGGCTTTTTTACTTGTTTTCTTATTCTTAGTCTTATTTTCCGCCAGTGCTAGAAGTTCACTAGCAGCTTTTCTCTGTTGAGCGATAGCTTCTTCGTAACTCGTTCCTGATGCCGAAAATAGTCCCATAAGCAGGACCACTGCTACTATAACTACTCCAATTCCACATAATACAAGCAAAGCTTGTAACTCCATGAGACCTGCTTCAACCGCACCTTTCAACAGTAGAATATTCAATTAATATTATAGATAGCAGTTTCTAATACAAAGTAATGTTAAGTATACTATTATCACTGTATTTAGTTTACTAAACCGATGTCATGAGTTGCTTTAAATGTGTCGATTATTGATTGAAAATTTTTGTATTACTAACCAAGAACACAATTGAAAATGCCGATACAAAAGTCTCTTTGCCTATTAAAAAAACCGGCTAAATTCAATATTTAATTAATATGCGTTCGGTTCATTGCTACGATGTCAGAGAACCTAAAATCTGCCGAGATCGACACGTAAGCAATGACATATGTCAGAGGTTATTGACAGCACATTCACTAAATAATCGAAAAAGTCTATTTTATACCAATTTATTAATATAAGTATAAAATAAAAATGACTACCTACTACTCGGAAGTAATACATATGGGTCTTTTCTAATTGGATACAATAATATTAAATATTAATATAATTGTAAATTATTGTACTTTATGTATATGTTGCATTTAAGTAAATACTTACCCGCTTTGTTAGAAAGGTATACGTAGCAAAAGTAACACTTCAATATAATTATAAGCCAAGTGCAATGGAAAACTAAATAAATTAAACGTCGTACTTATAATTATTTATGTATTGTACAATTGCCGAAGCTTGGTCAAAGCAATTTAAAACGCCGTCACAGGAACGAAGTTGTTAGCAAGTCAAAGCAGTCAAAGTTGAAGTGCAGCATAGGTTATAGATATACAAGAATAAATAATCTGTGTATACCAACCATAGACGACCCAAAACGTAGTTTTAAATTTGAAGATTTGTGCATACGTAGTTTGTAATAAATATAAAAAGTCCTAAACCTTCGTAACACTATCGGTCAATAATGTTAATACGTAATTACGTACCTAAAATGTAGATATTATCTGTAGTAACAGCACTTATGTTAATTTATACTTGATCTGTGTATATAATCTATACCTTGTGTCAATTAATGTGGCTATTGTTAGCTATCCCAGTTTGCAATATATATTATCCTACTCTATGTCAGTTTGTCAAATGTTTTTATTTAATGTGAACAGCTGCTAAAGGATTATTATTACTAATTAATACATTTTTGTAAATACATAAATTATTTTATTAGATTTTTGGTTTGAGTATCCAAGTCATAATTCACTTTTACGACCAAAGATCAGGGAAAGTAATGTTTTTTGCATAAGAAAGTCTCTGTAAAATTCGTCTTACATCGTTTACATTCAGGATGTCGATCCCTCCTTTAGTGTGTAGCACACCCCCTCCACCAGATCAATGTGAGGATGACAAAAATATTGAAGAATTTGATTTAGAGTACAATTGTAAGTAACAGAATTACCTTCTGTTTTTTCTAACTTTCTTAGTTATCTTATGAACTCATACCAAATGGAAAATCTTATGAAATAAGATCACTTTTAACTTACAGCTCTGTTGACTCTCCAAAACAAACTTGTTCCTAATAGTGTTCAACCATCTATGGTTGTACACTGATGGATTTCATAATACGTTTCATGTATTTGGCCTCTTTTAACTTAAATCTATCTGTTCATTTAGTTTTTAAATGTTTAGCCAAAATTGTTTATATTTCAGTATCACAAGATGAAGAAGATATTTATAATTATGGAAGCTTCTCAAATTTTAATGATTACGATGAAGGTCATTCTTATAATGGAGATTTGGGTGGACAACATAAAATAACTGCTCTAGATAAATTGACTGGTGACAAGGCATCTGAAGCAATTCAAACAGAATCTTCAAATTTTGTGGAACAAGATAATATGGCTTTGAAATGTGATGACATTGTAATTGAGGATTTAAATTTAAAGATAGAAAAAGGAAACATTTTAAAAGAAAATATTGAAACAGATGAAGCAAATGAGGACAATGAGGCTGACATCACATGTTTTGTTGAAGATACAGAGGCTGTTGATAAAACTATATCTGATAATATTCTAGTCACAGATAATAATACAAAAGAAAATGATATTGAAAAAATTACCTCTACAAATAATATTTTTCCTACAAACAATAGTATGACAGAAGAAGAAATGATGGATGACATAGTAGTTAATGATGATCAAAAAGATGTAGAAAGTGATTTGAATCAAAACCTTTCATCTGATATTAACTTATGTAAAAAATCTGACACAGACATAGCTGTAACTGATGATTTTGACAAATTTGAAGATTTTCATTTTACTACTGTCAGCCAAACCACCTATGATTTTGTTGAAAATGTTGGGAATCCTTGGGAAAATAATGATTCTGAGGATATTGGTTTTGGTGATTTCAAAGCTAATTTTGATAGTGGGGAAACAAAACAAGAAGAGTTACGTGATCAACAAAGTATAGAAAATAGTAACACTCAAGTTACTTTAGACAATTTTACAGATGATGACTTTGGGGATTTTGATGATTTTAAGTCCTCTGTAAAAGACTTTAACCCCACAGTTGTTAATGAACAAATGCCTCCACATGTTACTGTTTTGAATCTTCAGGCTAATGACAATGAGGCACAAGCTGTAGAAAGTATAACCAATATTTTAACAAATATTTTTACTGAAGATATGCCTCATTCGGAAAAGCTGTTTGAAGGCAATCTTGATAAAATGCTTAGCGAAACTTGGCACCATTTAAAGGATGTTGATGAGAGGCAACCCTATATTGTATACTGGAATAATTCATTAGGACAAAAAACCCTTTTAAAAGCACTCTGCATTGATTCAAGAAATATAGTGAGTATATATATTTTTCCTTTTATTGTATACATAATACTTTTAATAATTAATAATCGATAATAACTAATATCTATTTTTCATTTGTAGTTATTTGGCCCAAAGAGGAACTACTTCACCCCAAAGTATGCAACAAACTTAAGTACAGCGCCACTTAAACCCCAAAAGCCTGTGTCAACTCCAAATATGTGTAATCAATCAGATTCTGTGCACTTGGAAAAATCAAACAAAGAAAATCCGTCTTGGTCAGAAGCAGATGGACAAGAATGTAAGTCTACATACACATTACTCTCTACAGCTAATTATGCTAAATGTAATAATATGCTAACTTAGAGGGTTTTATAACATTATTAAATACATTTGATGACACAGCTAACAAACATAATGTAATGAATTTTCACATCTTTTTTGCATGTCTTGCACATGGATTAATACCAATCTTTTCACCGATAACAATACTGCTTTATCCTCTATCCCATCCTATAGTCACTTATGCTGAAGCTCTACTCCTAGACTTAGAACACCTCATGGCCACTTTAGATCAAATGGCTCACAAACAATCCACTCTGAAAATATCAGACCTACTGTCTACCGGTAAGTACAGTAGTAGTTTATAGAAGATTGAAGTACTGGATGAAACTATATATTAAAATCAAAGGCACTACTTGAAAGAAAAAAATTGCCTATCTGATGTTCATAACTCATGTTGCCTAAAGTAGATATTTCATAAGATTATTTATATAAGGTTGATAAATTTTTATAGTTATTAAAGAACATACAGTCACAAAATAGTTCAGTATATAAATGTATTTTTTTTTTGTCTTCAGCTAATATTACAGAAAAGGAACCCAAAATACCTAGATCTTCAGATATGGATGTTTTGGGAAACACAATTTCAGTAACAGACATAGAGAAGATTCATTCCAGTACATTAAGTGTACAGCCATTACGACATATCAATTTGCCAGATACACATATTTTTACTCCAACTGACTCAGAAACTCCAAGATCAAAGACAATTCACTATGATGAGAGACCGTCAGTATTATTCTCTCAGCCAAATGTTAACAACAAACAAATAAATGTTGATGCACCTAGAGCACAGCACTCTAATGTGGAGAACAGTGATGATTACTGGGAATTCCAAGACTTCAAAGGTGCATCTGCAACTGATGAACAAAACTTTGAGGCAGCACAGCCTGAAGAAAAAATTGATGTATCTAATAGTCCTCCAACAATAAAAAATGTCACATATCAAATTCAGATGTTACAACCAATGAAAGTGGAACCAATTATACCTACTTTAAATTGGCCAGATCCTGGAGAAGTGAAAGAGACATTTGATGATTTCTCTGATTTCATATCAAACACTACATGGAATAATGACACACCAAATTCACTAGATACAAACAGTGTTCTACCTAATGAGGTTATATCAGTGTCCAAGGAAGATATTATTGTCAATGATGGATTTGAATCTTTCCAATCGGCAACTCCGACATATGTTTCAAATAATTATGATTTATTTAAAAATGCGGAACCAAACAATCATAACGTTATGCAATCGGAGCCCATAAACGCTGTACCTAGTGAAGTGAATATGTTCGATATGAAAAATAATGAAATTTTATCACCTAAGTACGTTAAAAGCCAATGTGATTCTCCCACCAACGCTTCTGTAAAGCCTGGTCCTGCTAATATATTACAGCCGATAAGTAATAATCCGAGTACTGTAATGCGTCCTCAGCAAGGCGGTCAAATATTGCAACCCCTCTCCTTAGAAAGTTACTCTCAGATAAATTGGCCAAAGCCAGGTATAGACTTACAAAATCTGGCAAGTTTTAATCCACTTGAAAGTCTAGATGCGTTGAAAAGTGATTCGGGTTCGAGCGGCGCAAGTAAGGGCCCATCGCCTGTACACAAAGTGAGTTCGATCCAAAGCGAGGTAACCGACGATGATATCTGGGGAGATTTCGTTTCAAGTAAACCCAAACAGAGTGTACCAAAGAAATCGGCCTTTGCCGATGACGATGAGTGGACTGACTTCGTCTCGAGTCCCAGTATTTCGCAAAATAGTTTAAAAACTATAAGCTTCAACGTTGAAACCAACACTAATTTGCAGAAAAGTTCGAATCAAAACTCGACAAAGTATAATCAAATATCTTTAGACATTCCCACTCTAAATTACATTACACCCAAATCGAACAGCCGCGGTTTACACGTTGATAAACATTTCCAGAATTTATAACAGCGTTCTCTTAATCATTGTATTATGCTATGTACTTAATTAATTAAGAAAATAATTATTTTATTTGAAAATTATTTAAATTATACTTTTTAAAGTGACTCATTTTACATATAGTTGCAATCTGTATATAGACGGTGAAGGTATTACATGAAAAATACACTGTAAATTATTGAAACGTAGAAGTATACAACAAGGCTTGAAATACTTAAGTAAACATTCCTCTTTGTTTATAGGTTTCCCTAGTCTTCATTAATTCTAATGTTGTTGTTTTCATAAACAAAATATTGTAAATTATATAAATAAAAACTCATTTGACATAGTTAAAGAAATTCAGTATTTATTTTTTGACAATTATTCTGTATCATTAAATGTAGTAAATCTTATAAAAGCAATATATAGGTAATGATTACAATTGTAAATAAAATTTGTATATATAGTCTTTACATTTATATAATAACACCATAGTTAATGTTTGTATATTAAAAATATTAACCTAGTTGTGTAGTAATTCCTAAATTCTTTGGTTGTTTCTTTTGTTATATAATTAATTATGAATATCTCATTCCTTCCACTATTATGGCAGACGCATTTAAAATTTGAACTTTTGTTTAAATTTATTATTAGGTAAACCTAATTTTATGTTACCAATTTGAAATTAGTTATTTGTGATATCGAATTGTTATTTAATTTACGATATTTATTATATGTATATTCTCGGTTTTAAAGTATACAGTATACAGATATTTTAAGTAATCCTAGGGTCTCCCCAAACGTCACACTTGTAACATTATACTTAGCCTGTATGTTACTTTTTGCTGTGTTTATGCAAATTTCCAAATATACCTATATTTCTTTATATTTTAACTGACATCATGAGTAACAACCTCCGTCAGGATTCGAACCTGAACAGTTTTATTAAATAAAAAGTAACAAGGATAAGATTCATATTAAAACAGCGTAATTTATAAACCAATGTTTTACTTTATTGACAACACCGTTACATGTTTGCTCATTTTCGTGTGAAAATTTAATTTTAGTTGTATAAATAATATAAGTCTATCACGAAACTGTTTATTCTACATTTTCCCTTTCACTTTCTGAATCAGAATCATCGACTTCATCGAGGTGAGTTTCATTCGAAACATCGTTATCTATTTGAGTTGCAAATTTTGGTAAATTGTTTTCAACGGTCGCTCTAAATGCACTATGCTCGAATTCGGGCCACGAAACAAACCTGAAAAATAAAGATGTACCTATTTAAGCAAGCAGACGTGTGGTCTAAGATAGGTCTTAAAAATGCAAAATGACCGAATTAATAAAATGCGTCAAGATTCTGCTATTAATAAAATCAAATCCAATTTTTGAAAAATACGGTTCGTTTATCACATTTTCAACATTGCGTTAAGCGCGAGAGGTCCTGGGTTCGAATCCGAGGGAAACGAACATACATTGTTTCGGTCAGGCAGGGCGCAGAAGTCTGATCCGGGAATATGCCTGTTAAAGAACGGATCAGTGAAACGGGCTCAGAAATGTGTTTGCCCCATGCTCCGTGAGGGGGATGGATTTCACACTTATAAATTTAAAAAAAAACAACTAGTACTGTAGTTTACGCGAGTGGTACCAACTTAAAATGAAATAAAAATCACTGAATGTATTTAATGTTTACCTAGTGTGTATCGCGTTTCAATTATTTATTTAAGGATATCATATATTTAACGGCGCAAAGAAACTCATATCTTGAAAGATTATAATTCCCTGTAACGTTGTTCGAAAATTCTTGCCTAATTGCAGAAAACAAAGTTTTTTAAATATTCATTTAAAAAAATTCAAGATTCTTTCATCATCATATTTGACAAAACTCGGATAGCACCGCGCAATTAGATATATCACCGCGCTCAATAATAAACAAACTTTTCTTATTGCGTTTCTTCATAAGTACTGTATAAGAAAAGAATTTCTCACCGTTTAAAAATTGTGACTTTTTGAGGTAGAGTCAGATCTCCAAATTCAGTAAAAATAGTCATATGTGGTAATGGTGCATCATTACTGTTTGGTGCAATGTCTTCATTAATATCAGGGGGATCTTGGCCAGTAATCAACCACACACCACAACCTGGTATCCATTGCCTGTTGAATAAATTTTACAAGAAAAACAGAGGAAATTAAATCAATCTTACATTGAAGTCATTAATGAATTTGAATAATTTCATTGCAGGCCTAAGTTTATTAGCAAAATTCTTTCAAATATATGGGTTGATATTATTTATTAGGCATATTTTAATACAAATACTGGGTACAACTCCCACCTAGTTAATTTTTCAATCATATTACACAAATCTGGAGATTACAGTCTCCAAATATAGACAAAATCTAAATGTGAAATATACTTATATATAATATAATACTTACTCTAACATAGGAATAACTCTGGTAGATTTTGAAAAAGTTCTCGCTTTAAAGAAATACCACAGTAAAGGCAAGTAAGAAGGAGCGCAGGGTAGAGTCTCTTTCTGCGTGATCTTAACTAAATACAATAAATTGTCATCTATCTGGAATTTGAAAAAATATTATTAAATTCAAGGAACCTACTTATTTTAAAGTTGTCCACTGCCTTTGTCACTCAGATGTTAAAGCCAACCGTTGCATTGAGTTTAAGTTTAATTGACGCCCTATTTGCTGGCGGCTTGAATTTAGGGGTAATAAATTATAATATTTATAGAGTTTGGTGGGCATAGCAAAACCCTATTGCCTTTATTACTTACATGTTAAAGACTAGGTATCAATCACATATGAATACCACATATAGAGAAATCAACAAGTCAATAATTTATGTGGATTATTTAACCATCCTTCTATTGGTGGCCTTGACAGAAAACAATAATTTTACATACCACACATGCTTTTTTACTGTTTATTGGATATCTCCAGGGCAAAAAGTGGGCCTTGGGCACTTTTTCAAGAATCTTGTAATTGAACATTATTTGAAACAAGGATGGAACTGTTAAACATTTTCCATGCTGAACAGTGAGATCTGTAAGAAACTGAAGTAAGAATTACTTTTGATATAATACTAATAAATATTACTTATTTTAACCTAATATTATGATTTTTGACAACATTACCTCATAATGGTGTTTTGGTAGTATAATAAATAAATCTGGTTTGCCAAGAAGACTTAATGTATCATGAAAAACTATAGTGTTTATAAGATGTTTTACAAACAAAAGTCCTGGCATAGCTCCCACTATGTTTATCTTTCTACCTTAAAAAAAAGACAAAGTATTTTATCAGGAATAAAAATGTCATTAACAGGGGCAGCTCCACCAACAGGGCTGCTCATGCCAAGTATCGTTTTTTGAATCTTTACACATGTTCAGTATATACCTCTATCATTAGTTGCTAATTCACCTAAAAGTTCTCTTACTCTGTTTCCTTGGTCCATTTTATCTTGAAATGCTAATTTCCACATTCTAAAGAAATCTGCTATTTTGAAAGAAACTTGTGAAGGGTACTTGTCTTGTAATTCCTGGAAAGAAAAACTTTTTAATAACCACCCTTGATGGTTCATTTTTCATTATGTGTCCTATAAGTTTAAATAAAAATGTTAAGGTACCTTTAAGGAATTCTGAAACATTCTATGACTTTCATACAAATATACTTTATTGCTTTCTCGTTTTAAAATCTCTTCCGTAAGATAACATAGACCTGGATTCACTTCCACAATTGGAACATCTTTTTCAAGGTGGTCATGAATAGTGGTACAAATATCCTTTGCTGTTTTCCTGTTTATTAAATACATAATCTCTGGATTCCTGTATTTCTTAAGAAGCATTTTTGGTAAACGTGGAATGAGATTAGAATATTCCCTATTACTTTCCAAATATTTCATTAAATCCTGTGCTATTTTCGTGTTGTTATTAATACGCTCTCCTTCTTCATTATTAAGTATAATGTTGTGTTTTAACCGCACAAAAACAATTTTATGAGTATATCTCAAAGGCAAATTATTTAAAAACAGTTTTACATTCGTAGATAACATTTGGAACAATTAACTCAATTACCCTATATAGAAATTATTAAATACTCAAACTTGTAAATACCGGAGGATATTCAAAACATTGCATAAGTTATACTTTGTGTATATATAATCCATGTTAAGATAACATATATGTACGTAATAGGTTCTCTACAACATGGTGCGGGTGACAGTTGCCCGTATAACCCTGACATCCATCAGTGCCACATGACTAGGGCTGTAAGGAACGGTAAGGAACTCATTTCAATCGCTGACGAATGACGATAGTCGCAGCAAATCTTGCTCTCTTTAATGTTGACGATATGAGTTTATAAGAAAAAATATTATTTAATTGGCATTTATAAGGAGACTTCGTTAGAGCGGATGTACTAATGCCTTGGTCTTTACCGATTATGGTCATTGCGATATGTGAAATCAAAATATAATGTGTGATAGGGCCAAGGTGACAAACTACCTACGTATTAAGACGTAATATTTTTTATTATTGTTATACAATTTTATGACAAAAACACCGACTAATAATTTTAGTAAGACATTAATGATATCTGTCGGACAAAACCGTACATTCTATATATGTTCCATACGATATGTTACTGATTTTTTATCTGTTTTAGTGTGCAGTAGTGAATACTTGCTCAGTGTTAGCGACTTATGAGTTGGTAATATATTTCTTCACAATGGTATTACGTATTATCATGGAATAATAGAAAAATTACACATTATCCAACAAACTTAACCATATAATCTTTGTATATAATCTAATCAACCTACCGACTAAATGTATAATAGTAAATATATTATTTGACACTATCTGTGCGTTTTAGGTTGTTCAATCATAGATTAAAAAAGGATTACTTGTTATTCTATATAAACAATAAACAGCATTCTAAAAATACAACTATTCAAGTATTTGGCTTAAATGTTGTATTTGATATGGCCGCTGACTTGGCTTTGAAGAATGTGGACAACGCGTGCGAAACTGCTGAAGAATTTACGAGACTGTTTTATAAACATTTGGATAACAGCAGACACCTAACCTCGAAGTTATACTTGGATGCAGGATTATTAGTATGGAATGGAAATGGCATAAATGGTAACGCTAAGATTCAAAAGTTTCTGCTCGATTTACCACCAAGCAGTCATTATGTGAAGACTTTGGATGCTCAACCTGTCTCCGAAAACTTTATGCCAGATAATTTGACTTATCTTATTCAAGCTTGTGGTGATGTCACATATCAAAATGACGATGTAAAGAAACCCTTTCAAGAGACTTTTGTTATTGTGGCTGTAGAAGGAAAATGGAAAATTGCAACAGATTGCTACAGACTACAAGTACCTTATAATTGCAGTTAAACTAATTAAAAGTAATGTTAAAATAAGTTTGTATTTGTTTAGATTTATTTAATACAGAAAAGCAAAATGTGCCTTTGTCTTTAAATTCAACAATTATTTATTGTATGTGTTGTACATAAATCTATTTAATTTAAAATTTGGATGCTGATCCAAGGTAGTAGTTGCAATTAGAGCAGTAATGTTCAGGTTTTTTACATGTTCTTAGCAAATAGGGTATAGCTGCTAGACAACATAGGGAGCACCACCTGCAACATTAAAACTGTATAGATACATAGAGCGTTTAACATAGCTGAAAAAATTTAAGATTACCATGAGTCACCTTACATTGTCAATCCACAGAGAAATCCAGCAAGCATATGAGTTTTTCTGGAATTAGCATATTCTACTTTTGTCATACATCTTTTATGACAACTAGGACAATCTATAAGCACAGGTTCATCTTTAAGGCACTGTTGCACAATTATGGTCTGATGTATTACTGGTTGGTTAGTTACTACATTTTGATCACGTAATGGGTCTACTGCGGTGTACGGTGGAGGAGGATCTGCACTTTTGCTACTGGAAATTACTTGCTCACTGTTTACAGATCTGTCTCCATCTGGAATATACATTGTTCAATAATAAAAATAAACCATTTCGCAGTATTGATCACTCTTAATAATACATTATAATACTGTGTTATCAGACATGAACAACATATTTATCTTATCTGTAAGATATACAAATACCAGATAACCTAGCAGTCTATTTTGTAAAACAATATGCCATTATTTTTCTTTGTACAGATTTATTTGCAAATAAATTTCATACAAAGTAAGCATGTACATAGGGATACAGTTAAAAACATTCCTGTATAAATGAATTTGCCTATATGAAAGAAAACACACTCCATTTACATAATGTATTTACATTTTTGAACATCTTAGCATTTACTTAGAATGCAAAAAGGGTATAAAATATGAAAAAATAGCCATTTTCTTAAAACTATAACATAGTCTCCCCATGACCACGGCTGCTACAAAGCATTGCTACAACTTTGGGCCATAGTTAAAATATATCCCGTTGTAAACTGTTAGTATTTTATATATTATTATAAATTAGTCGCATAAACTACAGACCGTATTTAATGTAACTGTCGCGTTGTTCAAGACAATATAGTAGGTAACATAGTTCTTAATATTGGAATGGATTTGTTTGGATTCTTAAAAGGTATTGGTGTTTAACCAAATACAATAATAAGGCAAAATTGATTAAATAAATATTTTTAATTAATAAAAAGAAAAATTAAAAAGGAAGTTCTAGAGAACTGAGAAGGCTTATAGGTAAGTGGAATGTTTAGGATATTTATGTACACACATACATATAGTTTATAGAACACATAATTTGGATAAGGGATGTATGGAGAGGGATATAAATATATTAATAACATGGCACCAACAACTGATGTATAAATAGAATTATCATAATGAATTCAATGTTGCTTAACATCCTTAAACATTATCTATTGCAATTTTTTTAGCATTTATTGCTTTTGCCAATAAAAGTACTGCAATTTGGACAGTAGTGTTCAGCATCTTTGAATGTATCAAAACAATATGGAACCAGACCCAGGCAGCACAAGGAACAAGCCCTGAAACAAATCAAATAGTCACTAAAACAACTATTAATGACTGTTTCAGAAATTTAAACAATTTCTGATTGTTATTATTAAATACAATTCCTTTCTAAACAAATAACTTTTCACAAAATTTATGTTAAGTTTTATGGTGGCATGTAAGGAACAAGCACAGAAAGAATGCTTTTTAAAAATGAGAGGTATAATGAAGGAGTACTTACATGGTAATTATACAAACTGATCCAGCAACCAAATGGGTATGCCAGGCGGTTGTATAAGTCACCCTAGTAGTGACAACTTTGCCACAGTTGTAGCATGTCACAGTTGTTGGTTCTGATCCAACGGCAGCTGGCAAGACCACTCCTACAGGTATAGATATCCCTGGAACTTGTGGTGGCATATCTCCAGCGTGGGGTTGATTAATCGTGACAGTATTAGGAGGATGAGGATATACACCAGGGGCAGTAAAAGATTTAGGTGGCTGGTAGCCCATTGGTGGATAACTATCTCCGCCGGCAGCTACAAATCCATATGGAGGATTACCCACCACAGCCGAATAAGGTGGTGGCAAATCATTTGGGGCAGAAGGGGCCGCGGTTTGTACATTCGGGTCAACGGTAGCCATATTGTAGTTAAATTGTAACTTTTACATGTACGTTGTTTAGACAAACTGCGAATATACACTTGTTATCGAATAAACTATTGAAACCTTTTTGCGTCGTACATTCGTTAGAATTTTGATAGTAATAAATGTATTTATTATGACAACTTCATAATAATTTTGGTCAACATTCATCAGCTGCGGTTGACAAATGACGCTTCAATAAATCGGTGACGGTTTGTGACACAAAGTAACGTTTGACAGCAGTTATCAACGAGACACTATGCAGACTGTTGAAGTATTCATTCGCAGAAAAAAAACAGTGATAATAATCTAGTAAAAATATTGTTACTCAGACGAAATCATATTAAGTTAATTTCATATTAGGTGTATAAACTATGATTAAAATAATAGAATACATTCGAAAATTTGTTTTTTATTTATATTTTTATGCAAATAGTTTTCTTAACATAAGGGGGACAAATACAACTTTATTTCTATAGTATTCGCCATTAGTACATACACATTTTAATAGAACACTGTCAACGCACAATGTTTGTTTTTAAATTTGACTGTAGGTATGTTTTCTAAAAATAAAGAAATGCGTAAACTGAAATTCATAATTTTGTATAGAATTTAATGATGTTAATTTTATACCAGGTACTTATAAAAAAGTACTACATGTCCCTCCTGTTCCCTTCCGATCCATCGTATAAGAATTGGACATATTCGTGATAAAGATAATTATATGCATATAAGAGTTTAGTGTGAATTTAAAAAATAATAATAATGTAACGGTACTATTTTGATGTAACAAAGTAAACTTCGATGTTTCGGGAAAACGTCAAGTGAACCCGGAACTCATATGCGGTGGTATACAAAACAGCGCCGATAATCTTATGGAGATATTGAATTGTATTGGATAATGGTCTGGTTTGTGGTGGGTGGTGTTGGGTAACCGCTGAGACCCGTCGCTCGGTAAGCGGCAGTTAAGTATTTGGCACAAGACGCGCGCGGTTGTCGCTCTGCTACGCATAATCATACGAGATCAAACTTATTTCCATCTATAAAGCTAGACTGTATTTATTCTGAAACGAAATATTTTTTCTACAAAGCCTGTGTTGTTCCGGTGTTACATAATGTATGTGCTTGTTTATTTACTAATAAATAAATTATGTAATTAGTAACTAACCCACATTCTTTACTTCGTTCCTTATAGATTTTAATTTTTGCTTATGCAGCTAACTTATTTGCTCTATGACTTAAAAATCAAGTTATTGCACGGACTATAACTCCCCTTAGTAAGTAACGTTAGAATTAAGTTAGGCAACTGTTATCTCACTGGACAGATTCATAGATTCCATTCCTATCAGCTAATCTAATATGACATCATACTGAATCCATGGTACCAGAGTTCAAACCCTGGCATTTATTTAATTTTAAATTAATATAAGAAACATAATAACAAGATTAAAGCATTTAAATTAATACATTCGGTTTCGCCTTTATAAGTAATACTTAAATTTTGTATCGAAAAGTTGCGAAAAAATTAAATTAAATTTTTTATTTTTGAAGTTATATAGCAACTTAAAAGGGCAAAAAAAAAATGTATGCTTCTCATTATGAAACTCATAACAAAACACATTTCTTTTACGTAAGGGTTCTAATTCTTTGCTTGCATAAACCCATGCCATTGTATTAAGATGACGACGTGAATTTTGGTTATAAAATTTAAATAAAAGTCAAGACAAAGCATAGCATAAGCCTATATTATTATAAACTATAGTAAACATCTATAGCCATTGTTAATTTTTTTTTGTTATGAACATTTTTAAAGATTTTTGTTTTAAACTCCATATAAAGCAGTTGCGTGCTACGAGCGCGTTGATGTCTAATGTAAGCCATCTAATGTAATTTGTAGCCAAAATGGAATGATAACCTTAAAGTTAATAACTAACTAATTATAAACACTTTGAATTTAATAATAAAAAATATTATTTGCAACGATAGAGTTAATAACATGTAATATAATGTCTTTTTTTAACAATAAAAGTTAAAATCAAATAGTGCCTATTTCGTAATTCTCTCGATTTGATCTCCGCTAAGAAACTTTGGAAATATAAGATACTTTTAAAACGTTTTTTGGCCACCGTCTAATCATCTACTCGCCTGATAAGACAATCGATCTGAGTCTTGGACATAGAAATGTGTCTACTCATCGCTTCATATGGAGACCGAGATTAAATTTTATAAGAATGTATTTCCATTGAAGTTGTTTGTGAAAGTAAAGATTACTTTAAAATTGAGAGCAGTCTTTGGTACTTTCCGGTAATTCTATACAATTCTGTGATTATGTAAACAAGCTACCTATTATACCTTTGCAACGTGTATCAACGAGATCTACTAACCCGGAACATGGATAGTACGGAGGAAGGATAACGTTATTTGATAAGGGACACATTCTAAATAAGCCCTTAATTGGATAGAGGAACAGCACGGAATGCTGTGGATGCCAGTGAAACTCCAGCCCGTGTCGTAATTCTTTCAATTTATAATTGACTAGCCGTGTCAGCAACTTCGTCCGCATAGAATAGTGATTTTGATCAAAATTTGTTTTTAAAAACCTCCTCTTCATCTTTATAGATTGAAGCTGTTGCCCACGACTTGCAACTAAATCTTTAAATATAGACCTATAGTGTTGCGGAGATGTTTTTATATCATTAAAAGAGGAATCATTCTTTATTTCTTCTTTTTGGATATATATAACAGTATTCGCAGCGTACGCATGGGAATCCCACAAAAATAAGAACTTTCCCCGGTTTTTCCAAAATTTCAGCTGATTCTTCGTTTCTATTAGTCATAACGCGATGTTTTATAGCCTATAGTCGTCCTCGATAAATTTTCTCACTAACACAAATTCATTCATTCGTACCAGTTCCTGAGATTAGCGCGTTCAAACAAACAAACTCATTAGCTTTATATTGTATTAGTATAGATTTTTTATTTAGTTGATTTGATAAATTGATTAATAATTTATTTATTTCTCTAATATAACCGATGAGTGTGATAAAATTTTTCTGCCGTAGATTCGAGAACATTCGTCAAAGACGTATCAAAGGGGACGAACAGAATGGTATATGAAATAAGTGTGAATAATAAACGTACAATGTGAAGAACTACATAAGTGATGTAATATTCGAACAGAAGAGACTAAAAGAATAAAGTTTAAAGATGCGCGTACATCTTTTTTGTGTGGTCTTTTGCACTTTGACTTTTGTGTTGGGCAGTGGAGCTTTGCAGCCTGCCGCACTTGGTGATGTCGTTGCAAATGCTGCAAGCAGTCTCAACTCTATGAAGGTAAGGCTTTTTATGAAATTGTTTTATGTCTGCCGTTTCTTACTATATTTACTATAACTAGTAGATTTCATAAGATTAGATTTGATTCTCGGGTTTAAATCCCGGGTTGCGTTATTTATAATGACGACAAACTTTACTCGTACTGAGTCGTTGGTGAAAACCTTACATCTTACTACTATGTTTAAACATTATTATATTCAGTTTGATATTTTAACGAAATTATATTTTTCCGTATCACAGCAGATATATATACCTAAGTTTAAAGGTGTGTCATGAATTATTCATTGTGCAAATGGGTCTTGTTGTCGTTTGTGATAAATGCTCAAAGGGCATTTCGGTACACATTTTATAAAAATTCACCTTCATTTAACGACCTCACAAAGTGAATGCGTAAAGCAATGATAAAAATCATAGAATTCAGTCTCTTATTTGAAGGTTTATTTTCAAATTTACAAAAACAATCGCCAGCTCTCACGATTTTTGTAATAGCATTGGGTAAAATTATAAGACATTTATAACGAGACCACGTGAAGTTGCGTTAAAGACGAGGGCACAATGGTCTAAAGAGCAATACAATTCGTCTAGTTAGGCAACGATGGCGATAAGCACCTCATTTGTAAACGGACTAAACGTCTTCACGTCATGTTATGTAATTAATCGAATATGACCGCACGTATTATAAAATCTGACATATTCTGACAACATTGACCCAAGAGTCCATCTGCTATAATAACATCAATAGGTCAGTGGTCACCAAGTGTAAATTTTTTACCTCTCTTTCACCCTATTTGGATTTGATTTGGTTTGGACACTCTGGTTCTTTCTCATGTAGGGGTAATTGGAGTAATCTGTAAATAATTTTATATCACTATGAACTAAATGTTTTAAATTATATCACCATAGCTCAGTTGCAATGGAATAATACGAAGATTCGACATATCTATTTTCTATTTGGAACCAAAAAGTCACAGTTACTATTTGTATTTGTATGTAACTGTATGTATGTTTTTCTAACAGGTGACTGGAGCATGGAGGCGACTATCAAGTACAGTTAGCGAATCGGAGGGCCTCAAACACGCTTTTCGTCGACTACAAAATGTACCACAACGGGCAGTTAGACTGGTCCACGCTTTGGTGGACCGCATGCGAGTCGGTGGTGGACCAGTGGTGGAGACCCGGCTGGGTCTTTTGCGAGGACGAAGAGTGATCGCTAGGACAACTCTACAAACACCTTACTATAGTTTTAAGGGAATAAGGTATCTATCGCAAAAGCGCTGTTTTAGGCAAATATTTTTTTCTTTTTAATTTTTTACATCTACGTGATTATAGCATATCTATTTATAATACCGTTTGGAGGCTACATCTGAACTACTGTGTGCCAATTAAAATAACAATTTAGGAATATGAGCCTGACCTTGCTTTTGAATGATATGGTCCTACGAGCCGAACAGGAAGTTAGACAGCAAAAAAAAAACATAAAACATGACAATATAATTTGTTAACAACACGTACTAACTTAGTTCATTTTTATGAACATCGTAAAAAGCCATGTAGGAAATGACCAGAATACTTATTGTCCTTAAAATACTTAATACTTATATGAAGCATATTAAAAATTGAAACATCTTACATGGATATTTAAAACATTTATCTTGAGAAATTCAAAAGTATGCTTTATTTACGATCTCGTTGGTTAGCAATCTATGTCTAACTATCAACGGGTCGTGGGTTCGATGCCCACCGATTCCAATCTGTTTCTAATCATTTATGTTTTTAAAACATATTGGACTTCGTCTGGACACTGGATATTAAAAGGTAGAAATATCGTAGTTCCTGGGCCCAGTACTACCGTGCACAGATAAAAAAGGCGTGAAGTTTAGTTGCGTCTCAGTATTAGTCTGAAGATTTATGAATATCTAAAGCGAAATAGGACGACAGCGCATCTCCTTACATGTTTTTCCTCCATCAAGTAAACCCCACGCTAGTCTGTTCTCCTCTATCACGACAAATAGAATTCTAATTAACTATAATGTTTTTGTAGATATGCAGAACCACCGCGAGGTTCACTAAGATTTCGTCCTCCAGCGCCACTTGAACCCTGGACGGGTATTCGCGATGCCGTCGAGGAAGGTTCAGTGTGCCCACATAGATTCATGCTCTTCGACACTTATAAGGGAGATGAGGATTGCCTGTTCCTTAACGTGTATACGCCTGCCTTGCCAGATAAACTTTCCGGGTAAGTATCGATTCGGGGTTCTATTTGCAAATAAAATAAATATAAAGAGTATGAAATTCGACTACCTCCTTCAATTGTATTTACCTACGTTAAAAATTTAAACATTTATTGGAATCAAGGTACAAGGATTAGCTGTTTCAGTCAAGTAGAGTTAGGTGGGACACTTACTGACCTGTAAAAAACAAATAATGAAAAAAATCTAATAAAAATATACTTTATTATTGTTATATTTAAATGTGTATAAATGTTTTATTTAAATGTGTTCGACTCGAGTAAACTACAGACAATTCTTAACATCAATATAGTGAAAAAAATAAAAATTAAAAAGTAAATTTACATTTATTACCAATTCCAAATTATAGTATATTCTTATGTGTACAAATATTAGTATCAATAAACAAGATATTTCTCTTCTCAATAATCTGTAGAAACCATAGTGGCACACAACACAGCAGTAATTTATAATGGAAAGATAGGAAGGAAGTTATAACCAAATCACTTCTATGTGACTTCAGAAAGTGTTGCTATTATGTAACTAAATGATCGTTGTGTTGTCACGTTGATGACCTATACAAATTATGTACCTTATATAAAATACGATATATTAAAATATTATAACGGTATAAAACGAACTATACTCTTCTTTCTTAAATGTTTTTACTTTTTAGCAAGACCGATCCTTGAATCGTAGTAATTATCACAAAAGTTTTGGTAATAAATAATAGCTTCAGTTCAATTATTGTATTTTTGTCTTTTTAATTAAGGAATTTCTTTATTTATTTTTATTGATCCTTTGATCTTGGAATCTCGGAATTGGCATTGGTTATATGTTTACCTTAACTCCGTTTAAAAATGTATTTTAAGGATAATAGAATGCGTAGGACGGCTCTCAATAAAGTATAAATGTTTATTGTCAAAAAAGTAGCTACCTGATGTAGATTCTATTCCATACGAACCAAATTGCTTGGAATGTTAAACGACAAGGATTTAATTGCAGAATATATTAGTTAGATTTTAATTAACTCTGACAATTCGTTCGGGTGCTTTGCAGTAGCTGTGGTACCAAAGATGCGGGCGTTTCTAATGTTAAAACCAAATCTGCTACACTACTGCCCATCTGTTTTGCTGTAATTGGTATTGACAATAACTGGCTGGCTTTTAAAACTAACTCACGGTCTGCTCTTATTTATTGGTGTCGTTTTTGGGGAATCAGTGTTTTTTATATAGGAACCAATAGTCCGTGATCACGGGGAGAAGACAGCTACTGCAAAGCATCCGAAACGTCGGGCCGTTGTTAGAAATAATTCTAAAACAAGTTTAACTGAAATATATCGCGTTTTGAAACGTTAAAGTGTTTTATTTAAATGTGTACTACTCGCGTAAATTGCAGACAGAGTATTTAAGAAATCAATGTTTTTTAAATTTAACAATAAATACCGGACATCCGTATAACCCAATTGTAAAATTATCATCCTTTTTAATACAAATAACCTTAATTTTTTTTCTAACATTCATATGATTCGATAGATACAATCCACAACTACCAGTAATGGTGTGGATCCATGGCGGAGCCTTTGCAGTTGGATCTGGCAACGCCTTCCTTTATGGTCCGGACCATCTCGTGGGAGCTGGAGTTGTTCTAGTGACATTGAATTATCGACTTGGGGCACTTGGATTTTTGAGTTTGGAAAACGAGGAAGTGTCAGGAAATATGGGCTTAAAGGTACTAGTACAAAGTAACCCCGACAGTCAGAAAAACCACTTAGCTGTCCAACTGTAACCACGCGCTATCATTTATACCAAAGATAAAATTGTGATATACATTTTTTAAATAAATAAATACAATAACTGTTAACTTCTAGTACGTACACTTACGCATATATAAGTGACTGGTCAACTTACTGTATTGTAAAACGAGGCTTTTGTACCATCACTATACTACCCACATCTTAGTTGATAAACTATTTTTAAACTCTATAAATAATATATGACTATTAAAAAAAGTTATTTCCCGTTTCCTAACGTTACACACATTTTTGTTTGGTGGTTATTCTATTCATAGATCTCCCAATACTTAAAAATACTAGGCTAAGCTTTGTAAGATTTATTGTTCGTAATTTGTTTAATCTTCCTTTAAAACAGGATCAAGTGATGGCTCTAAAATGGGTTCAGGACAACATTGAATACTTCGGCGGTGATCCAAATCGTGTTACCATATTTGGCGAGTCCGCGGGAGCGGCGTCTGTGCATATGCATATGCTGTCTCCAATCTCTAGGGTAAGTTTTATCGCTTTAATATTTTTTTGGTAAATAGTCCTCATTTAATATAGAATTCTCTATATGATATAGCTCATATATCATGTGATATAGCTACGTCTGAGTCTTATTTTTACTTATATTGCTGGCTACCTGACATTTTGTTAAAATTCCAGGTAGCCAAAACAGTACATTATGCATACACCGAGAAGTTTCAATAACTGTAACACGTTAATTACTTGTCAAGGGTCTGTTCCATGGTGCGATTGCGCAAAGCGGAGTAGCCATATCGCCCTGGGCCCTGGCTAAGGATCCCAAGAAGAGAGCTTTTGACCTTGGCCGCGAGCTTGGCATTGACACAAACAATACTGCTGAACTTCTAGGTAATGTATTAAACGTAATAACTTCCATGAACTTAACTAGAAAACGAACAATGTTGTGCATTTATTAATAAATACATACATATGCTATTAAATATTGCCCATTATAAATTACTTATACATATCTTTTAAAAAAAGTAATATTTATTTTGAGATATGGATTATGGACACAAAGGATAATGTACCTATGTTTTAATGGGCCGTTGGTTTAATGGTAGCAATGCATGTTTAATAACCAACGGGTCCTGAGTTCGATCCTTACCATAAAATAACTTTTTATGGTAAGGATCTGACTTTGACATGTTTCTGATCATTTTTTTCTGAAACATGATAACTAGATCTAGAAATCTGGATATTAAAAGGGAGGTAGGAATATCACAATTCCGTCTGCATCAAGAACCACCGTCCACCGTTTAGATGTAACATGGCAGCGGTATTTTACCTCCATCATCTAAATCAAGATCATCAGCTCAAACAATTCCCGAGGATTCATAAGATACTGATGTCTATATTTATGTTTGTATTCTGTTTCAAGAATACCTTGTTATAATGCTTTGGTTAGCAATTATGTATGATTAAGAAGTCACGTCACTTTATAAAAAAGATAATATACAAGTCGTATATCATACATCCGGGTTTATGTATATAAAAAGCTAAGTAAGATTAATCTTACCTGAATAATTCGCTCTCAGACATATATACAAAAAATATAGTCGATAGATTTTGTGGAAAATAAAGTAAGGATTAAGCATATACCCGTTAATATTGTTCGAATCCCGTTGCCACAGTAATTGTTTCCGTTAGAGAGGGCAAAAATGATAACCTAAAAATGTGCGTGCCTTTGTCTCCAAGTCGTCGCTATGTTCATTGCCTTTTTTCATACCTTTATGGCCCTATTTTATACAGTTCTTGAAAGGTTTTAACGTTTTTACAACGATAAACAAGGCTTCACTTATTCATAAATTTAAAAGTACATTACATAACTCAATAGTTGAAAATATCGAGCTGATTTTTGGATATTCGGCTTTCCTTAATAGGTATCATTACAATTCAGCAGCTATTAGCATAAAATTTTAGCATTCATAAATGTAATAAAAATGTTGATGAATAACTCTTGAAGATGCCATTAACATACTATTTTTTATCGAGGTTTCGTTTTTATATCGCAAGCGTAATTTGTTATTGTGCGAGATGTATCTACGAAATAATAAAAATCGCAAATCGCTTGTAGCTATTCGTTTTTTGTATATTATAATTTGCGAACAAGGTCAGAGAGGTCGAACAAAAATATTAATTCAAATCTTGTCATAGAAAAGATAATATCTATGATTAAAAATGTGATTTGTCTATAGACTTGCAAAAAAACATGAGAATATTCCATGAATGTTATAAGATTCCGATCGTCGAAAATCGATTATCTTAATATTAAAATCTATTAATATTTATAAAGTCGAAATTAAAAGACTTTATTGTACCATGGCGGGCAGGTACTTGTGTTTATATATAAGATTAAAAACCTGTTTCAAAGTATACATTTTTAAATTAATAATATGGAATGTTGATATCGAATAAAAGAAATGCGTCAACACGAATGGAAAATCCCGAGTTCAGAGACTTGACCGTTTAGTGAACTACAAAAACAAAATGTAACTCCAAAACTACAGTTAAATACGAGAAAGTGGGTATTGCTTTAATGTGCTACTTAATATATGTAGGCTACGAAATTATGCATTGAACTACATTTAAACATATATTTATACCAAATATAATTAAACAAGCTGGGTCAGCGACTTCGTCCGCCTTATCCGTAGAATAGTTATTTTGGGCATCAAAATTCCGCGTCGTCCCGTCGTTCTTGCGATTTAAACCTAAAAGATAGGCATATAGTGTCGCGGACATGTTTATTTTGTTTAGATCATTTAAAGAGGAATAATTCTTTCATACATATGTTTTGACGATACGATCTATTTCCTTAGGATACCTCCGAGCCACACCTAGCGAGCTGTTGGTCAAGGCTGCAGCAAGGATATTCGGCGCACCAGGAAAAACCACAGATTTGCAGAGCACCATCGCATTGCCGTTCCTACCGACTGTAGAACCGGAAATTCCTGGGGCATTCTTCACACAGCTGCCGAAATCTTATCTCCCGGGTGCAGATGTGCCTTTCATGACTGGATACAATGCGCAAGAGGGGATTTTACTCTTACGAAGTAAGTTTCGCTTTATTACAATACTTTAAAGGTATTTTTGATTTCTCGTACAACAGTCGTTAGTAGTACATCGATTTACCGATGTTGTAAAGCACAGACTAGTTCAGAACTGATAGTTTATTATGGAATGTTTGATATATGTAATAAGATGTATAGATAGTATAAGACTAGTTTATTGATTTGCCCTTTACGATAAACAATACAAACATGTTTTCATATGTATCAAAATTATGCATAGAAACAAAATTAAAACCTGTAAAACGAACATACTATTTATAGTAATAAACTTTTTTAGAATCTAGCTTATAAGATAAATTTTAACAGTATCTGTAACTGTGCCAGTAAGGTACGTGTACAGTATTTTTACGTCCTACTTAAAGGCTTCCGGCGCGCTATAGGACTAAGATTATCATTACTCGGTCTTAAGAAATCGGAAATTCAGATGCGTTTCGCAATCCACACTTCCATGTTAATTACAACGTGTAAAATATAAAAAGCGAGAAAAATCTGGAACATAATTGACATGACAAATTATATATGTACATACTGTCTATAGTTTACGCGAGTAGTATACATTTAAATAAAACACTTTAACGGTTTAAAACGCGATATATTAGTAAAACTTATTTGAAAATGATTTTTAACTTCGGCCCGACGTTTCTATATATTATTTATGTACATTGAAACCGTTTTAGATCATATAGGCGGAACGGTTTGACGATCCACGGCATGTTACGCTGTCGATCGTAGGTTCGAATCGCGTTTGTGTCATCGATTACACAATCCAATATACTGTTTAAACATGGATCTTAATAAATCGTCAACATTACTCATTCTGTTTTCAATCACCTTGGCTCACTTACAAGAACGTTTTTAATTCCTTCTTTACGATTATTCACCATACAACAAATAAAACGCACGTTTAACAGCTTAAGTTGTTCTGTATATTCTTCCGCTACATGACATCGTAAGCTTTTAAGATAATATGTTACAAAAGTAAAATAGATTTAAGTAGAATTATGTTCACAAGAAATTGCAAATGTCTGTTTCTAAAACCATGATGTCAGATGACATTGAATTTGTGTTCAAGCTGGTTTAAAAACAATGAAATCATTCCTTCATGCATGGTAGCTTCTTGTATTTTATAGCTTTAATACAATTAAATACATAGTTGTCCACCACTAGACTTGATGTATTATTAGTAGTTACATCATCATCATCAAGAATAGCAAAACCTTTTTTTTTTTTCTTTGACATGTTCAAAGATACATTGTAACGGTTTTGTTATTCTTCATTTTTACAAAAGCGAAGCAAAAAGAAAGGGTTATTTTGTTAGTGTGTATAGTTTTGTACGTTTCACTCCAGCACTTTAATGTCGACCCGAATGTAATCTACAAGTGAGAGAAGGAAATGAAAATATTATAATACTTCCTTGTTTATTTTGTTCGTATGTTAAAAGTTCATTTCGAGATTTCTAGTAACTAGAAGGCAAGCATAGTTGACCACTTCAATCCACCACCAAACAATTAATTGTGTTTCGGGGTCGAACTCAGACCTCCCTCCTCGCCTAACCAGTGTAATGAGCGGTTTATATACTTTAATTTAAGTACTCGAGTAGTACAAATTGAAATAAAACGCTTTTAATGTATTTACAATAATTTGTAAATAAATTTAACGAATACATTTCGCGTTTTAAGCCGTTAAATGTTTTTTTTTTTCGATTTTTTCGCGATATTATTCTCGTAATGTAAACAAGACTCGGAAACAAATGTGACATAACAGTGTGACCGACAGTGCAGTGTCACACACAATATGTTGCAACTGTCGTTAGATAACAGAAGACCGCAGTGAAATTGAAAATGCCCCAAATAAGATGTATTATGTCATACATACGTTTCATTCGGCGCTGTATTGACTGAGTTATTTGAAGTAGTGGAGCGTAGTAGTTTAAAATAATCTTCGCTCTCAATGTCCATAAATAGCAAAGTAGAGAGCTTAACTATTTTTTTATTTTAATGATAATCTAAGGGTTCCTTATTTATTTATTACTAGCTGTGTCAGCGACTTGTCCGCGTAGAATAGTTATTTTGGGTGTCAAAATTTGTTTTTGCGAACTTCCTCCTCGTGTTTATAAATAATGGCTGTTACTCACGACGTCATTCGCATCCCATCGGGCGCGTCCCGTCGTACGCGGCCTGTCGTTCGGGTCAAGGCGTGTTTACTTTTTTAGATTATTTAAAGAGGAATCATTTTTTTTAACATATTGTTTTGGTTTCTTCAACCGTATTCACAGCGCGTGCAATGGAAACCCTTAAATTGTCCCACGTTTCTTCTACATTCCCCAATATATCTTCGCTCCCCATTGGTTGCATTGTAATGTTTTATAGCCTAAATCCTTCGCTGATAAATGCCCTAAACAACACAAAAACATTATTTTATTCGAACCAATAGATCCTGAGGTTAGCGCGTTCAAACAAACAAACAATCTCGTCAGTTTTATATGTATATTAGAATAGAAAAAACGCACCAATACAGAATTTGAAAATAAGAATACAATTTTTAAATAAAAAGTGACGTTTGTAAATAGCTAAAGAATAAATCATAAAAAGGATAAACCAAAATCTACCTACTCATAGTTTATGTAAATCAGTTTAAAAAATTCATTATTTATCTGGGTTAACTGTGATATTGGCATTATAATTTAATGTGTTTACTCATATATTTTGAATAATATAAGTTGAAGGCTGCATCATTATTCTAGCATAACTAAAATTTGAATAAGTACCTAAGTCAATGCCCAAGGTCCAAAATATTACTTTTCTTAACTTCTACATATTAAAAAACTCAATCGTACTTTTGGTGATAGAGGTGGACAGACACGCATGCGGTTTACTTAATGACAGTTCAAATACGCCAGCCGTATAACATCTACAACAAGATACGCAGTCGATCTATTTTAGCTTTGGATATTGGAAAATCCACAGATTGATACCGAAACACGACTAAACTTTACGGATTTTTCGTACAAATATCGAGATTCCTCCGTGACGAATTTTGATATTTGTATCACCAATTTAATTTCCAGATCTCCAGACGTAGTCCGACATATTGTTTTAAGAAAAAAAATGATTAAAAATGTGGGATGATTATTAGTCTTACTCTTTATTATAACTTATTAATTTGCCGCGCTACTGACAAGCGAGACAAGTAGAGCATTAACACTGCTTTAATTTGAATTTACAGGACTCCAACGGTACCCTAAGTTATTGACCGAGTTAGAAAATGAGTTCCAGCGAGTGGTTCCTCCGGAATTAATGTCCTCCGATGCTCAGAAGGTGGAGAGGGTTGCAAGGCAAATACGAACATTCTACTTCCAGCAGCGGCCTGTGGACATGAGGAATATCGACAGTCTTATTGATGTAAGTTTAGTAGAATCCCGTTTCCCCACGTGGGGCATGGGTGAAAATATTTCTGTACCCGTACATTGAAAGTTTTTCTATACGAACATGCAGTTTATCAAACTTCTGCCCTGCTGAACCGAAACAATCTGTTTTTACCCCAGGACTCATTCTTCTTTCACTTTTTTTTTAAAAGGGGGTATTTTAACATTTTATTAAAATATTTTTTTTTTCTTTTTAAAAAAAAAAGTTGGTTTTTTTTTTTTTGATTCGAAGTCAGGACTTTGCACGCTTAACGTAATCCTAGGCAATTCGTTTACCTATTCGTTAACCTAGACCGTCAAGAGATATAAGCTTCATTGGACTAAATTTGCTACTTTTGAGAGTTCTGTAGCCAAAGAGCCAGCAAGAATCTTATTCTATTGTTTCCTTCATTTATTCATGTTATTAGTAAGAATTCGCACCTTGTGTGGCACAGGTTATTACAAGAAACATAGCATTAAGACTTTTAAGAAATCACAAAGCGTATTCCTGTCTATATATAGTAAAAAAATGTTTTTTTTAAACTAAAACTTTATCCAACATGTAAACTTTTTCAATATTTACATAATAGGTATTAAGTTATTGGACTCGCACTTAGAAAATTGTATTTACTTAGGTATATATCAATTCTGTTAATATTATTCTCAGTATTTTGTAGACTTATAAATATCTATAATTTAGTTGACGTTTAATATTCAATCAATGACCTACAATATATCTTAAACGCATTGGATTTCGCAAAACATAATTCTATACCCTGCGTTCTAAATTATCGGGCGTAAAGCTTTGCCTAACATTTCGATAAAATCATTCATTTTTAATTGTAAGCATTTTGCAATTGTAATTTGTATCTAACGCAGTTTAAGAAATTGCTCACTTTTTCTATTGCTGGTCACCAGCCTCGTTTACGTATTACAATCTATGTTTAAGTAATAATTAGGGATGTACCGAAATTCGGTTAACATTCGGTTACATATACGAAAAACGTTTTTACTCAATAATATAAACAGCTGTTTAATATATATATGTAGAATGCATTTATAATATTATCAATCTGTACACGCAGTAAAGGTGAATAGAATGCAAGAATTTGTTCTCGTAGAATTATATAAATTTAAATCCATATCTGGATTTATATAACAAACATGAAGCGAACTTCGAAATTCTATCAAGACTTCATTTTTTTTACTTTATTCTCTATAAAATGATAAAAATTATTGAGATTCGTCAAAAAAAAAATTGTCTGGCCGTTCGTCATGATTCTAAAGAGTGTTCAAAAGAGCAACATAACCGAGAAGAACACCCGAGAAATTTAGTCTAGCTTTTTTTCAATGTCCTACAAACTCATACATTTTTGTGAATTTAATGAGCAATTCATACCACTGCCAGGCAGCCCTGTCATTAAAGAAATATTTTAAACCCATTAAATAATACACCTTTTGAGACCATCTAAATTTTATGACTTTTTTTTACTTATTTATTTTAAATAAAACACTTTAACGTTTAACTACTACTTTTTGTACTACTCGCGTAAACTATAAACAGTATTTACTTATTTATTGATAAATTTGAAATCTCAACTGGTAACGAATCAGTTATTTTATGAAACCTATATTTGGGGATAGCTAGCTTATCCTTATTTCTTAAGTTTCATTTAACTTCGGCTTAATATCGGTTTCCGTTGAAACCGTATTGGCATCTCTAATAATATTCATATTACATAATTTCACAGCTCTTCACTGACATAATGTTCTTGAGGCCGGCTTTGGATACGATACGACTTCGAGCAAATTCGACACTCACGAGTCCCACTTATTTCTACCGTTTCGCCTTTGACGGCGCCCTGGGGCTGTTCAAACGAATGTTGGGTATAACGCATCCTGGAGCCTGTCACGGTGATGAACTGGGCTACCTGTTCTACTTCTCCAGATTGAACTACAGACTGGACGGTGACTCGCCAGAATTAATGGTCTCCAAGAAAATGGTTCAAATGTGGACTAACTTTGCAAAAACCGGGTAAGAGAATGTGAAAACAATACTCATTAATGATCAAATAAATTAATGATAAGTTTACATTAAGTAGTTTCAAGTCAGTTTATTACAGCGTTTGTCTTTAGGTATATTTTATGTATGATGTTAGTATCGTCTTTAGTTAGACTTTAGTTTATTATTTTATCGTCAATAAATAAGTTAAAATCGTAAGACAAAAGTTGCTTGGAAAGGGTTATTATGGCGTTAATCAATATTTAAACAATAATAATGCTGAGGACATTACACTAACAAGAAAAAATATTATGTAGTGCACTTACAGCATGTGAAGACTGTATAATAAAACTTGGCGAAAAAAGGAGTGGCGAGTTTCTTGCCAGATCTTCTCGTTCGTTTTATGCCTTTAATTTAAGAACAAATTTTAAATTTACATTTACTACCAATGAAAATTTAGAGTCTTTAGTTTTTAACTGAAGTGACGTTTATGAGTTTATCTACGTGAATAAAAGATTTTTGACTTTGACTTTCTATTTTCAGGACCCCGACTCCGCCTGTGGACTACCAGTCGGTAGTTGACTTCAATTGGAATCCCGTGAACAGCACACAACGCATCAACTACCTCGACATAACAGATAAGGGTAATTTCCATCAAGGAAGTGATCCAGAAGCCAGCCGAGTTCGCTTCTGGGACTGGCTGTACGACAATGATGTTTAAAACAATTGTCAAAAGACTTTGTGTTAAGTTTGCAGTGAACTAAGTGTTATTTATTCAAAGACCAAGTGTGAATGTGTGGAAATCATTTAGGCCCAATTTCATTGTGGGATAATGGCAGGCGTTAATATCTTGATCAATGTTATTGTACATGTCTTGGTGAAATTAGGTTGGTACACCAACTAGAAACTAAAGAAAAATCTTTAAATTCTTATATTTGTATCTGTGTAAACATTAATAAGGGTTTAAAACGCGAAATACTTAGATGTATTTTAACAATCAAAATGCAATCGTGAAAACGTCGGGTCGTTGATGTCTATATTTCGCGTTTTTAACTGTTTAAAGTGTATTTTTATTATGTTCTACTCGCGTAAACTACAGCTAGTACTTTCCTACTTACTTCTATTTTAAATACGGGTTTTTTCAACGCAACTGACGCACCGTGTTGTCGAAATATGGCAATTAAAACTGTTTGAATTTGTAACTACATATAATTAAGGAAGTTGCTTTTACATTAAAATCTATTCAAAAACTGTGTTTTATATCCAACACATTATTATACACTACACATATATATACATATTTCACTTTCGTTAAGGCTAGGAAAATGAGCAAGAAAATAGCTATTGTTTCCATCTTAAGACGTAAGTGAAAGAGATGTTATTAATAAGCATAACCTAACGCACTTTAATCACAACACAACGACTTATAAAAGGAAGAACGACAAGTGCGTTTATTTATACATAGACGATTGAATACGAAACTTCATTTGATCCACAATGTATAACTTAATAGATACCAGGTATAAGTTTATATTTAATCAAAGAAAAGGAAATGCGTGGAAACCAGAGTAAGTTTTTATTTATTACATATCTGTGTATGTATGTGTGTCTGTGTGTTATAAAAAGACAAGCTACATTTATTTTTAAACAGTTGTTGTGGCTAAGAATACCTACATGGAGAATACTTGAAGGTGAAATAATACAGCCCTATAATATTTATTGAATAAATAAATCTACAAACATCATTGGTCCTGGAAATCCATAGGATGAAAACGAAACAACACTACATGGCTTGTCTACCTGTAGGCGGACAGAATTTCAATTTTACTGAAAAAAAATAATATTTAAAACTTGTTGAACCTGTTAGAAATTGAACCCAAGACCCGTTGGTTATTCAGCCTAACATTATTACCATTAGACCAACGACATAATCAATTTATTTTATTGTATCTATAGTACAGGTATAAATAACATATGTAAAAACATACTGTTGGGTGAAGAATTATGTTTTCCTTTTGTGGGGTGTTGGGCAGATAATTTTGTGTGTCCGTCCCACTCTTTAAACTTTAGGGCAAGTAGTTAATAAAACTTATATGCTTAAGCAAAACTATTAGGTGTCTCTAGATTTTAAACTCAGGACTCAACTCTTAACGCAATGTTATGTACTCATTGAAGAACTGTTGAATTGATTTTTATGACACTTGATAATTTCAGAAGTAATGTTAAAGTTCACGACAGCATACTCGACATGGTTGGAAACACACCACTTGTAAAACTCAATAAGATACCGAAAGAATATGGTCTAGAATGTGATATTTGTGAGTAGAATCTTATTTATACCTACAAGTAATCATTTCTTAAAAAACAAACTTGCAAAAAAATTGTTGTCTATTGTTGTACAATACTATAAAAGCGAAATCGTGTTTGTCTATCTTTCGAACATACTCATGTTTTGATAGGCCCGTTGATTTAATACTAGCCAAGATTGTTAAATTATTCAACAAGTTGTGGGTCCGATCCCAGCCAAGTTTTACATAGTTGAAATCTATTTTTTTTAACTTGTAAGACTTTCTCTTGAAATCTGGATATGGAATGTGTGGTAGGAATATCGAAATCCCGTGCGGGTCGCATCACACTTCGGTTGCAATCTATGGAATGTGAATATCCAAAGCTAAAGTTGGTCGACGGGGCATCGTATTCAGATTTTATATGACTGGTGTTATTTATCTTCCATAAAGGGAGGCCCTTGTTTGCACAGACAAAGCGACAGCCTTTACCATACAAAAGACCCTTATTATGGAAGTTCTTAAACGTAAACGGAGGAAATGTTCTCTTAAAACGTAATCTACATTACAGTAATAGTTTTAAAGCTTACAAAAAACAATATTTACGCCCCAATTTAAAGCGTAAAATGTACAATACATACTTGCATAACTTTTTATATACATAAAATGTTCCAAATAAGATGCAAAATGTGAGTTTCTCAATCCTGGGGGCTCTATCAAGGACCGGATATCACTGGCTATGATGAAAGAAGCTGAGGACGGTGGAAATGTAACAAAAAAGACCGTTTTTGTTGAACCTACATCCGGAAATACTGGTATTGGTGTTGCTTTTGATGCAGCGTTGATGGGTAAGTCATATTTGTTTAATATAAATGTTAATGTATTATTGTTTGTTTTTATTTTAAATATGAAGCTAAGCTAATTGTTGCTTTAATGTATCTAAGACACAAAAATATATAAAATATTACTTTTACAAAAAAACGTTGTTACTTTGCGGCTTCATTCTACTTATGTCTTCTTCCGTCGTAACTATACATATTACAACTAATGTTGTGGACAAACGCTGTATGTCAAGTGATTCTTAATAAATCGTTACTCATTGTAGGTATTCTTTACTACTGCTTAATTAAAACATGTTTATGTGTAAATCTATATACTCGAGAGTAAACCATAATTTGCAGAAAGAAAATCTATAATTATAACGGGTGAGAAAAATTCAGACGAGAAAATAAGCACGATGCGTCTGCTTGGAGCTGAAGTAATTCAGACGAAGAAGTCGCCTATTGAAATAGCTCATCGGATTCACGATAACGATCCTGAGAATGTGATTATACTTAACCAAGTAAGAAGTCATGAATAATTTTATTCTAAATATTGTCTCATATATAAATTTTCTAACATTATCCGCAGTTGTATCTCGAACCTCGTAAGCGGCAATGACGGATATTCTGACTCTAGACCAACATAACTCATGAGGATAATACAGAATGAAAAAAAGTTTTAAATTGAAACAACAATCTGCCACAGATTCTTTAAAACAATACTAAATTTATCTAGTCGTAATTTATTTATTAATAAAGCTTTGAAAACTATCAAAATTATAATGTTTAACATACAACTTTATTTGCGAGTGACATTCGGCTTAAATCCCACCGCCACTGAAATGACCCTTTACTATTATTGATTTAACATTATAATAATTCACGAATCCATTATTTTTCAGTTCGAAAATCCGATGAATCCAAGAATACATTATGAAACGACTGGGGAGGAAATCATCCATGCGCTAGGAGATGTCGATATGGTTGTCATGGGTGTGGGGACGGGTGGAACTTTATCGGGGGTGGGGCATAGGATTAAAGAACACCTTCCCCAATGCCATGTAATAGTTGCCGAACCAGATGGCTCTACATTATTTAATGTTGATGGAAAGAACCATTCATACCTGGTACGGTTATTTTTAATACAGTGGTGAAAATGCCTTCGTTATAAGTTTACTATGGAACTTAAATAAAACACTTTATCGTTTTAAATCTGTAAAGTGTTTTATTTAAATGTGTACCTCTCGCGTAAACTACAGACATATATTATAAACGTTAATAAAACAATTCTAACTGGTTATTCGGTACCCACTTGCGGTACTACTCAAGATAAATGGCTAAACGTGTTGCCTAGCATTGCGTTAATTGCGATAGACCCAGGGTTCGAATCTCGGGAAAACAATAGATTATTTGGTTCGCGCAGTGCTCAGGAGTCTGATCATCTACTTTCCTCTACAATACCGATCAGTGAAATGAACACAGGAATGTGTTTGGCCCATGCCCCACTGGCGGAAACGGGGTTTAACTTACTTACTTTACTTTACTTTCTAAAATAATATCCGCATTTTATTTACCATGGGTATGTCACAGATTAAATGTTTTAAAAAAGCGTTCCATATTGATTTGTACCTAGGTAGAAGGAATTGGAGGGTCAACCGCTCCCATTGTTCTGGATAAATCTGTAGCAAATGGTTTTGAGGTGGTGAACGATGAAGAAGCCTTTCTCATGGCTAGAAAATTAAGTGAAAAGGAAGGATTGTTATGCGGTTTGTATTTAAAACACGCACAAAAAATAAATATGTAATACCATAGAAGAATATTACATTTTCTTACTATTGAAATACTTTTTTACAGTTAAAAAAGCACAAAGAACTAACACGTGAACTAAGTACTTTAAAACTATATTGTCTTTACATATTTCTCATTACATATTTATTTTCATACATCTTATACTCTGTTTTTTTATTCAGGAGGCAGCAGCGGAACCGCAATGGCAGCAGCAGTAAAAGCTGCAAAGAGAATGAATCTAGGCGCTGGAAAACGTGTAGTTGTCGTATTGACAGACGGAATACGGAACTATATGACTAAATTTGTCTGTGACCAGTGGATGGAAGCGCATCTCTTTTTGGACCCACCTATCCACACCATGAAGTAAATATTACTAAATCAATCAAATTAAATATATTTTCCAATCTGAATTTATTTTTAATTGCAGGTGGTGGAAAGACCCAATTACGAAATTAACTCCGCGGCATGAGTATCCTATGATTGGTGTAGGATTAAGTTGCCTTCAAGCCATTAAAGAAATGGATAAAGAAAACGTTGCCGTTGTGGTAAACGATAAAAGGTATGAAAATGACTGTGTCTAAAATATTAAATATGATGTGTACTTTAATGAGTGTGTGTAGAATGGCTGTGTGTGTGGAAATCCTGAAAATGTAAGGATTACTAATATGGACCTATTTTGATATTCAACAAAATATAATTTTTAACAATTTACACAGCTAGCCAAATTCTCGTTACTAAAAGACATGAGTTGGCTTTTTTTTTTTGGCGAGATTCCGACAAGATTTAGATACTGATGCCAATAACCTATCCTTAACTAAAGTATCCTACCCATCCTAACGCTGCTACAGGCTCTAATACATATCAATAGTATAGCCGCTAGTCGTTTTTAGGTGGTTTGTCGGTGCAGTCTCTAAGGACAGTCTTCGGAACAACGCTACAAATCCTACAAAACTCCCGGGACAAAGTTCAGAAGATTTCGACTTTAATGAACCAGTCGTGAAGCATTTATTGAAAACCAGCTACACATTAGCAAAGAATGGCAAAAAGGGCATGCCAACTATAGGATTGCTTTCAAGGATCCTTGATATAACAGACTTTGTGATAATTGGAAAGAATACCAATTCAACTGATGGTGAAGGTAGATATCATTTTTACAATAACAACTTATTTTAGAATAACCGTAGTCTTAGACATTAAGCAATAGCCGTTTATCGAAAGCATACAAGTTTTTAACGAAACATGATAACCGATGACTTTTTCATCTGTAGTAATGTACATTTTATTTATTTACAGTTCATTTTACACCGGAAAGTGTTGCCACTGCTGATGACGTCCTAAATTATATTCTACAAAAACACTGAGTTATAAATAAATATTATATCTACCCCCTTTCTATTTCCTCACAGTTGCATTCATCAAATGAATAAAGTTAATGCTTATATCAACGTATGTTTGTATTATTTTGTGTGACAGTAAATAATAAGTACCAGATTATACTTCTAATAAAATTGTGCTTATGCAGCCATATGGACTTAATAATGTATAACAATAATTTGTTAATCAAGAACAGATATGAAATGCGACTTAATTAATCATAAAAAAAATATTCTGTAGACAAAATCCTTGTTTATGCCTGAAATATACCTAACGCGAAAAAGTTCCGCCTTTCCTTTTTTTTTGGTATTTTAAAAAAAAAATAAATTTTTTTTTTTTTTTTTTGTTTGAACGCACTAATCTCAGGAACTACAAGTTCGAATTTTAAAAAAATGTGTTGGTTAAAGCATTTATCGAATAAGGCTATAGGCTATATAAAGCATCGACCTGTGACTAATACAAGCGAAGATACAGATACGTGAAGAAAATTGGAAAAAATATTCATCATTATGGGTTTCCGAGAAAAAAGGTTCAAGATAGCCAAAACATGTATGAGAGAATGATTCTTATTTATTTGATAAAAAAAAATCGCGACGCTATATGTCTACGCTATCTCTTAAGATTATCTTGCAAGAACGATGCTTGTCTTGGAAGGGACGCGACCGACGTCGTGTGTAACAACGAATTTGGATGCCCGAAATAACTATTCTACGCGAAAGAAGTCGCTGGCTCAGCTAGTATAATATATTCCACTTAGATTCGGTTTTATGTAACTTACTAAAGAAAGGGACAAAATAATAATTTAAATTAATATTTGCCATGGGAGAAGTTTTATGTAACTTTTTTCATTATCTTTATTATTTATTAATTAATTTTTCATGATAAAAAATATAATTGTAATTTCATGGCTTGCTCGTATTATGTGAGTCTGTGATCCTTTACGTAAATACAGTTTAAGGAAGTATTAGTTATCTGTGATAGGGTGTTAATGTAATAAATGTGCGGTCTGTGCGTGTCTCTTAATATACAGTGATTTGACAGTGATCTGTGATATACAGTATACACTCGAGCGGCATAAAAGGAAGTCCAAAGTTTTCAAATAAATAAAACTTTAAAATTTATTGCAATTACAAAAAAGTCTAATATTCTTTAAAAAACTACTAAAATGGAGAATGCCTCAGCGCCGGCGAATTATTTTAATCTGAAGGAAATGAAACACATTGTAGATGCGCTGTAAGTAGTAAATTTGCATTTATTAGTTATTTTTTTATTATTAAGGGGTATATTTTTGAAGATGTGAAGCCTAAAAAATACGCTAAATTGAAACATTCCTAACAGCATGTTTGGTTATATTTCAGAAAACCACATGTTAAATTTAAAAATAGAATTTCGTATATATTACTTCAGTTTTTTTAGTGTCACGCTTTTTTCTAATACAGGTGAATAAGTTCGATGGATCTAATTGAATATTTTAATTTTTTAAATTAACTTAAAGCCGTTTTAGACAGGCACATATAAACCAATTATAGACCATTTAAATTACATAGTTTAATGATTCGGCACAGTATAACTTTTTTGTATTTACTATTTATGCATGTGAAACTTGTGTACATTTATTAAAATATAACAAAGGTGTTATTTAAATTTGTTTTTTTTTTTAGAGATAGAAATAAAAAAGTATTTCCCAATATTCTAAATTGTGTAGGAAATACTCCACTAGTAAAACTTACAAACATACCAAAAGAAGAAGGCTTGGATTGTGACATTTGTAAGTAGAAGAATAATACTTAACTTTTTCCATTTTTGTCTTCCGAGTCACATAGGTAAATTTTATATAATGATATTTTTACAATAATTATAGATGCAAAATGTGAGTTCTTGAACCCTGGTGGATCTGTTAAGGATAGGATAGCATATAGAATGGTTCTTGATGCTGAAGAGAGAGGTATATTAAAGCCTGGAAAATCTGTAATTATTGAGCCCACTTCTGGTAACACTGGCATAGGTTTGGCGCTTGCTGCAGCTGTTAAAGGTAATAAATGAAATTTGAAACAAAACATTTTTGCCAATTAAATGTTTGCTTTAACTAAAGGCATGAAAAAACATTATTGCAGGGTACAGGTGTATAATAGTGTTGCCTGAAAAAATGTCAGATGAGAAAGTAAATACCCTTATAGCTCTTGGTGCTGAGATCATCAGGACCCCTACAGAGGCACCAAGTGAATCACCCGAAAGTAATATAATGGTTGCAAAAAGATTAGTTACTGAAATTCCTGATGCTGTGTTATTAGATCAGGTAATTTAATAATTTGGACAAATTTTGTTTTAAACATGACAAATTTTTAAAAATTCAAGGAGAGATTATCAACAAAGAATATTCTTTTCCAGTCTTTTGTTTTTTGACTTAAAAGTTAACCTTTGCTATAAAGCATTTGACACATTGGTTCTTAGTTAACATAACTTACCTAATATCGCGTTTTAAACTGTTGAAAGCTTGTACACCTCTGTAAATACCCTATCTATTCTAATAGATGCTCAATGTTTAAATATTTCTTTAACAGTACAATAATGTGTGCAATCCACTGGCTCACTACGACACTACAGCAGAGGAAATCCTCTGGTCCCTGGACGATAACGTAGATATGGTAGTGATAGGTGCTGGCACGTGTGGAACCATATCTGGAGTTGCACACAAAATTAAGGAGAGGTGCCCCAAATGCGTGATAGTGGGAGTCGATCCATACGGCTCGATACTCGCGCAGCCCGAAGAACTGAACGCTAGTGATGTCCAAGTCTATGAAGTAAGTTTAAAGTGTTTTAAAACTTTACAATGTTTTTATAATACTTTTTTACAAAGCAATGCCCTTTTTATGGAATTAAATAGTGGTAAATTTAGTTAAACACAATAAAACTAAAAACTTATATGTTGATGAAGCGTAAATTATATGATATGATTTGAAGTAAATGTGAGACTTGATAAAAGTTTATCAAAAACCGAGCTACAGCACAAAAAAAACTAAAATATAAATTGAAATTTGGGTTATCTCACTTCCATATCATATTGAATAACAGTACCTAACGTGCGTCATACATAGAGTTTTATCGATCTCAATAAACGGAAAAACTATTATGTAAATATGCGAACACTACCACGTTTCTATCCTTTTCTTTGGGAATATTAAAGATAATCTGTTAAACTCGCCGATAAACTTTTGATAAACTGTTTTATTTCAATAACAACTAACACAATAACGTGGCTTGCGTCATAATGCAAAATATTATTTTAACAAAACTCAAAAGATAAAGTTACATACATATATACGGCTGTGCCCGCGACTTCGTTCGCGTGGAATAGTTATTTTGGGCATCTTTATTTATTTTTGCAGGCAACCTCAGCTTATTTAAATAAAACACTTTAATGGTTTAAAACGTGATATATTAGACTTTTAAATTAAACTAACTAATATATCGCGTTTTAAACCGTTAAAGTGTTTTATTTAAATGTGTACTACTCGCGTAAACTATAGAAAGTATTAGTACCCACGGCGTCGTTCACATCGCATCGTTCTTGCGAGTTAATCTTAAAACATAGACATATTATATTATTACGGACATATTTTGAAACTATTTAAGTATTTTTTTTTGTTTCTTGGCCCGTTTTCGCAACGCCCGCAACAAGAATGGGAAATGTTTTATCCATTTCCCTCTGTATTTTCGCTCCTATTGATAGCAGCCTAATGGTTCATAGCCTAAAGGCTTCCTCGATAATTAATCTAACTCACACAAAAAACAAATCAATTCGAACCAAACAAACTCTTCAGCTTTTCATATTAGTATAGACATAGAGTCAAGAAAATAGATAATGAGATTTTTCATGCCAAGTAAATAGTTAAGATTATAATAGAACCATAGCCATACGCATGCTAAAAGCTTACACATTATGTCTTCAATAGCCTCTAAAATCATATTTATTTAATGTTCAGGTTGAAGGCATTGGTTATGACTTCCTTCCACGAGTTCTAGATCGTACAGTAGTGGATAAATGGGTTAAAACTGATGACTTGAAATCGTTACCCATGGCGCGGAGACTCATTAAAGAAGAGGGTCTTCTATGTGGTAAGTAATTTTTTATAATGCTTTCATATGATAGCATAGAACCACAAAATACAGCGTTCAAAAGAGTCATATTTTATTTCCATAGTATTATATACCTTCAAATAATTGATCATTTTTAAAACCCTTTTTGAAATTGGACTCTTTAAATGCATATAGCTAAATAAGAAGAAGTTTACAATTTTAATCAAAGTTCAATAAAATACGTCCGTACTGATAAGATAACCTACTAATGTTTCCCACGGTTATTAATTCCCGCTAATGACTTAATTACGCGCATTATGAGTGCATATTGAAATAACGATAAAAAAATTATTTATTTAACATTTAAAAAGCTTATTATTACAATTAAAGACGTACCATAGAAGCATCATGACATGACCACCGCTGTAGCCAAATGGTTAAACGTATTTCCTAGCATTGCGTTAAGCGCGAGAGGTGCTGGGTTCGAATCCCAGAGAAACAAAAAATTGTTTTGGTCAGGCAGGACACAGAAGTCTGGTAACTACTTGCCTGTTAAAGAACGGATCAGTAAAACGGACACAGAAATGAGTTCGCCCCATGCCCCCACGAGGGGGAAACGGGATTTCACACACATAGAAGCATCAACAAAAATTGTATAGTTACAAAACCTATTTTTTTACTTATACATATAGAATGTTCGAATCCCGTTGATTTTTTTTTATTTCATAGGGCGCCATATTTAATTTATATAGTCTATACTCTTACCTCCAAAATGTGGTAGACTAGCGCTACAGTGACATACATACATTACACATATTTTTACTTATATTACACGTGTTTTATTCAGATAGACTTAACAAATAATCTTTATTTTGGATTCGGTGTAACACACAAATTAAAGTTTAAAAACAATTGCGTAAGCCATTAATAATAATCCCGTGTTTTCTTTAAAAGACCTTCCTTCCTTATTAATAATTATGATCCGCGATAAGCTTTTGAATAACATCATTACGTAATTTTACTAAAACATTAAACAACTGACAGTAAAGTTAGCAAAGCATAATATAATTTTCTTATTGCAAACAACAATATATTATATTGAATTATATTTATTCTTGAGTTACTTACTAGATCCAAATTAAGTAACGTTGAAACATGTTAGTGCTTCAGGTCAGGCGGGCAACAGAAGCTTGATATTGACTTTATGCCGAAAAGAGATAAAAAAACGGATAACAGAAAAAAAAACTTAAGTCCCGCTTTATCTACGAAAATGAAGGAGTTAGTGTAGTGGTATTAGTATCCCACTACCAATGAGGTGGAGGAAGTTTGATCTCCAGCATTGATTTTGTATTATGATGACGACATTAATATAGAATATGATATGTAGGTGGTAGCAGTGGATCAGCAATGTGGGGTGCCGTACAGGCAGCTAAAAGCCTTAAGCGTGGACAGCGTTGTGTGGTTATATTACCTGACAGTATCCGAAACTACATGACGAAGTTCATATCTGACCAGTGGCTGGAAGTCAGAGGTTTCAAGTCCGTACCAAGTAATGACAAGTTATGGTAAGTCTTTTTAGGAGATTTAAAAGAATTCGAATATTTTAATTGATTATTAAAATAACAGAAAGTACTTTTAAAATGAATATTTTTTTAAATAAATAAAACAATCAAACGAAAACTCGTTATCTTTTATAATGCTAAGTTGAACACGGCTGCTGCAAAGCATCCGAAGCGTCAATGCTAATTGTGCCGTTGTTCATTTTTTTTATAAATAATTTCCGCGTTGATTAAAATTTTTAAAAGTTTAAAAACTATTATTATACATCGCGTTTTAAACCTTGTTAAAGTGTTTTATTTTAATGCCGAGATACATGAAATGTACATAAAACATAGTTCCGTTGCTTGTTTCATCCATTACAAAGTGACTGTTTTTTTTCAGTTTTTTTCTTGAAATCTTTGATGTAAACTTAACAGATGCCGAATAATAAGTACACTTTATTTTTATAGGTGGTGGAATAAACCTTTGAGTGAAGATTTGGTAAAGGTTATTCCTTCAATATCGGAGAACAGTTCTCCCAGTCAAGCTATAACAATGTTGGGAAAAAGTGACACATCAATTTTGGCTGTAGTTAACGACAAAGGGTAAGCGTAAACAATCGTTACCTATCGCGTTATCTTTAGCAGCTGGGCGAAGGTAAATAAAATAGTAGCCCGCCTCTCAGCTCTGAACACTACTATCATAAAAGTCCCTGACTTATACAGAATACCCCTTATGATATTACCTATCTAGGTGTAAGGTTTTATTTGAGCTTCAAAATAAGGTTGCTCTTGTGATCTTAAGGGGAGTTCCTTCGCCTGTCCTACAGCTATGTCATTAGATCTACTCTACAACTTCATTAAATTGTAGTACTCTAAAGTACTGAATGAGAAAACTCACCCCGGTGGTCCATACGATTAAGAAAAGTTCCCCTCCTTTGTGACCATCTCACTCCAATTTCTTTTACACAATAATATCAACTTTCCAGCAAAAATACATATTTACAAATCGAATTGAGAACAGACTTTTTCCACATTGGTTAAAAAAAATAATTACTTGTGTTAAGTGTCACCTTGACGAGGACCATAAATATGAAATAAATATTACGAGATCTCATTTACTACAGCCACCTACCTACCTACCTATAATAATAATAAAATAAGTATGTCTTCACAACAAAATATTTCTTAAATTTAAAGATGACATCATTTATATTTCTTGAATTATCTGTTTAATAAAAATTCGCTTAGCTGACTTTTGATTTTCAATATTGACAGGCATCATCATCATAGCTCAAATCTTGACTTTATAATAATAGCTTTACAATGACAATAATACGAGTACAATAAAATATAATAATGTAAAATTTACAGATATGTATCAAAAAATATTTAAATAATTCAATTATAAATATTATGAATCTCGCACGCTAATGATTTTTCTGATAATTATAGTAGTGGCGTATGTTTACGTTGTATCAGAATTTGTGATACATTACTCCTAACTTATTATTGGATACAATACTATTTAATTTTAAAATAAATATATTACGCTATACAAATTTATGGTACGGCATTCTTATAATATTGTTAATATTTTAATAGTTCCAGCAGGTATATGGTTTTTCATTTTCAGATCCATACAAGGGATATTTACAGCAGATTATGCTAGACGGAGATTAGCTAATTTATCTGGTTCCACTAAAGAAGGCCTTGACAAATTTATCATCAAAAAGTATTATAAAGTCAATCTCAACAACAAACCTTCATTTGGTGCACTTTCACGAATTCTCGACATATCCCCATTCGTTGTTGTAGTGAGGACAGGTAAGTTATATAATAATAATATATACCGTTGTAAATCATGTATTTATATATAGTTTAATTCACAACGTTTTCTTAGATATATAGCATAGTTAAGTTTTTGATTTTATCTTAAATTCAAATAAAATACTTTAACGGTTTAAAACGCGATATATTAGTTAAACTTATTTGAAAATGATTTTTAACTTCGGCCCGTGACCACTGCTGCAAAGCATCCGAAACGTCGGGCCGAAGTTCAGAAATCATTTTCAAATAAGTTTATCTTATATAACGAGTTTTAAACCGTTAAAGTGGTTTTATTTAAATGTGTACTACTCGCGTAAACTATTGGTATTTTTATTAATATTACTAACATTTATCTAAAATTTTACTTTTCAGAGTCTACTATTGAAAAACCCAAAGGTATTTTTACTTCAGAGAACCTTATTAGTTTAATAACAAATGGAAATGTAATGAATGGAAATGGTGTTCTATCTGAATAGAATACATAGTTGATTTCTGTTTACCATTAGAACAAATAGAAATAAATATGTTTACAATCACTGTAATGGATTGATGACAAACTAACACAAAAATATTAAATTAAGATAAATACTTTAAAGTACCTACTAACATTTAAAAAATGGGGATGAGGGGATTGTAGAAGTACATTTCGAGTGTATTTAAGCATTTGTGACAATTTTATAAATTCCATGAGCATTTTTACTGTTTTTTAAAGGAACATGAATTGAATGTTGTATTGAAAAAATAAAACATATATTATCTTATTTTTGATGTTATAATTTCAGTCCTTTAAATCTATGCCAGAATGTGTTTTAAGCTGATATAAAAACAATACTGTATGAACTTTAGAAAGAAACATTATGGTTGAAGTCTATATTTAATTTGATGGTGATGGTGACCTTTTTTGCGCATTAGCAGCTAAAATAGCGCCAGGAGCTGGATAGGGCCTCATCTGATATAAACACCCTGAAGCAGTTGTATCTACTCCAGTCTTAGCGTGAGCATCTAAGCCAGCAGTCCAGTTGCCACGAGGAATATCAGAATAAGAAGCTGGATCCATTGGATCTAAATCATTGTCTTTACTCCTTTGCTTTTTCTTATCTCTATGGTGAACTAAATTACGTTCTAGGTCGCGACGATCGTAACGCTTCTCCTTAATATGGCGCTGGGGCACTTCTTGGTCTGATGCATCACTACTATCATCACTTTCGTCGCCTTCTTTCAGTACCCTTTCTTCTCGCAAATGAGCAGCGCTCTCACTCGGTGCGGCTCGTGGATGTGATGGAGGTAACCAGGATACTAAATTATTATGTACGTTCCAGAAATAACAATAACCTGTCCCTTCATCGTAAACCTCTTCCCAGCCAGGTATCAAAGGCCATAAATCTAAAAGTTTACGCTTATCCTCTAAATACTTTTCGCTAGGTGCAACTTTACCTTGCTTCCAATGTTTTAGACAAAACTTCGAGCATTCATGATATATGTTGCTCTTGTTGGGACAACCTCTATGGCCTTTAATAGGGTCAACATTTACTCCTTCGATGCCTTCCCAATAATTCTCCTTTGACGCAGATTGCTCCGGCTTATTATCATAATCTTCAGCAATTATTTCTTCATTTGTCTGTTGATCATTGCTGACTTTATTTGCATTTAAAATACCTCGTTTCGCAAGGCGCGCTGCCAGTGCTGGTGGCAACGGCATTGCTGATTCACTTCCGAATTTGCAAGTTTGATAAATGAAATGGAATTTGGCTATGAACAAATTTTATTTTCAAGAACCATCAATCAATAAATATAACTCTTAATGAGTATTTATGCACAAAAAGGTAATAATAGCATAATAAACAAATATAAATAGCCGTCTAACAATTGACAACTGCTGTCACTTGATAAAGTTTTGTCATTTATTGTCACAGATAAAAACGATTTATAAAGTGCACAATCGTAGCTATATAAGCGCTATTAGACTATGACAAAAATTGCCGCGTTGTATATTCAATTAAGCTATATTTTACTCTCGTGCTAAAAAGGTATACGTGAACAACGAATTCCTACCGATGTTTCGACGTGAGATAAAATATAACCATTATTTTTGACCCATGGTGGTTCTCGCTTCATACTGCGCCTGTGATCTTTTATGTCACATAAATATAATTGGCTAATGGTCAGCCGTCGAGGTTTCGAGAAACGAAGGAATCAGAGTTGCATAGCTTTACTTATTTCTAATCTCTAGTTACAGTAGAATTAATAAACTACTTGATATTGGTCAGGGTTGGCGTAAATGTTAATAATTTGCAACTCTCCCAACCTCTCCCGCCCGCGTCTAGTAAGTCTCCCGTGCGCTTTTGGAGTTGTAGGTTTAGTGGGTAGCGGCCAAGCTGGCTGACCCCCCACATTCCCCCCCTCCTCTGTTTGTGGCAAGGCGGTAAAGATTCGATTCAAGTAAAAAAAAAAGATGTTAATAGTTTAACTTAATTATTATACCTATGTGTCAGCCCTAGGACCTCCTCTTTTATAAAATTCGACCATTAGTATTTTATTTTAACCAAGTTAACTAGTTTACTTTTATCGATATCTTATATCTGACAGTACTCAGTAGTACAAAAAGCGTGAAATTAAAGAATATTATTTTTTTAACATATTTTATTTGAATTTGGAAGGAAATGGTGCACCGTGTGAAGAATTAATTAAAAGTGTGACATAATAAGTTAGTGATAGATTTGGGTCTTCTTCTGTTATGAGTAATTCCACAGTAATAGATATGCCAAAACGTCATGAAACTCTGAAAAAAAAACATACGATCAGTTCAGAACCTTGCTTAATTTTTGATATAAAACGCATTAAAAAATATAATATATTGAGACCTTTGAACGTATCAGGTAACAATAAGATGTATTATAAATTACTCATAATGAATAATGTGAAATAAACCTCTTTAAGCCTATAGATTTCCTTCAGACTAGTAACAAATTGTTTATCAGATAAAGTAAAACAGTGAACTTTAGACACCTACAATAAACAGAAATACTATACGATCTATACTAATCTAAATACTTAATGCGTAGAAAACTTGTAATATTCTTTGTCTTATGTAGGACGATATTTTTGAAAGTTTGCGTTAGGGTAGTATAAAATATATAATCAATTGTAAATTAAATAGGTTTTTTTTGTCTGGTTTACTCAAATGATTTTGTATTATTGCCCCTTTGGCGGTACCAAAGAATGTAGACTGATCCTTCAAACTTATCATCCTCTATTTGACAAAGTATCGAGCTACAATCCAAACCAAGATACCACTAACTACGAAGTGGGCATCAAGCATCATGCAATGGCCTCAACGTTATATTAAGATTTATCACCTGATAAAAGTTGTCTTCACTCACCACGGACGATAGAAGTGTCGCTTCGGGACACTTTAGTGGGCAGAACAACTTCATGAAACTCACCGGAGTGAGTCAATGTTTCACTATTTGATTCAAAAGATCTCTTCTCAATATCAGAGAACGGGGTTACGACATCCTTCTCATCAGACATATCTTGTTTCTCTCTAGATGTTGGTGGCGAATAATCCTCATTTTCAACAGCTGTTTTAATTTTGTTATCTTCCAAATCTGTTTTTCCCGCATTATCGACCGAGCCACTATTTACATCGTTGTAGGACATGTCTTTAGAATTACCGTTCACTAAAATTTCTTTAACGGAGTCAATGTCTTCACTCACCCTACTGCTGCTGTTATTACTAGGCGGTGATACCGATTGAAAGGCATCTTCACGCTTTAATTTTTTTCTACGTTCGCTTATATCATAACTATGTGGATGTAAAGACATGGAAGTTGGACTGCCGTCCATCGATAAATCCATGGAATTCAGTAAACTCTCATCTTTGCTATCAAAACCACCCCTTTCGGGCACTATATGTATATTCAACACTGTTTTGCCTTTTTGCTGATCAATATCATCCTCAAAAGATGCAACAGATAGACCCTTGGTATCAATAAGAGATGTAGATGGAGATTTATAAGGATTTAATTTGTTTCTGACAAGAAACCCCCTAATGTGAGCCTGAATAACCGTTGCAGCACTAGATAAAGTAGAAGAATCGTCTGTTGATAATGACAATGACTTTTCCTCATTAACTGTTTGTAGTACAGTGTCCATCCTGCTTATTCCCCTTCTTTCTTTATTGTGAGTATTGTTGTGCTAAAAATAAATAATGTTAAAAAATATAGGTACCTTATAATATACCAGTATTTTATATTTTAATGCTAAATATGAATTTTTACCAGAATGCCATTGTCATCGTTAATAAACAGATTTATATCGACATTTGTAGCATCATCTACACTTGCTGTTTTAGTCCTGAAAAGGAATGACCTGAAAACTTTTTGTATTGTTATTGCTGCCGTTTCTAAATCCATAACGTTATGTTGAACTACAGCCTTTTTAATATTAACGTCGTTAAAATCGTCATTTTTCTTATCAGCCTCATTAAATGTGATTGAAACTTTATCTTTTACGTGATCGTCTTCCTTTTTGCATTCTTTAATTTCTTCCGAACTATCAGTAAAAATTTCGGGCAATACTAAGGTACTATTTGCATCAATTTGTTGCTGCTTAAGATTTGGCACTTCCAAAGATGATGCTTCAAGATCTGGAATAATATTTCCTACGTCTTCATTGATCAGACGGGTCTCTGTCGGGCTGGTGTCCGAAACCAAGATAGAAGTTTCTTCGTCATTGGTGCAGTTTGCATCTTCAGAACCCTGTTGCATTTCATTTGTGTGTAATTCTTCTTGCTGTTTACTTTCAAAATCAAGCTCCACGTTGTTTATATATGAATTATTTTCTAGGTCATCAGTACTTTTGTGCTCTGTATTCTCCTTATTTTCCAAATTTTCGGGATCTCTCTCCATATAAAAATCAGTCTCCTTATTATCAACGTCTTGTGAGATATTCAAATCGCCCTGAATTCTAAGCTCTGACACTACATTGTCTGACTGTTCGGTAGCAGGTACTAAATTTTCATCACTCGTTAATGTTTGTTCTAATATGTTACCATCATGATCTGAGAACGTTTTATGCTTTTCACTTTGTAAATCTATGTTATTTTCACATCGTTGCTTAGCTCTTTGCCTTATGATTTCTTGAGCTTTTGCTATCCTTCTTTGCAGATTTAATGTGTTATTTTCTAGGTAGAAAATTTAAAAGTATGTATACGAGAATGAGAAAAAATTATAAGTATTATATTTGAAATTAAGGAAGCAATATTTATTCAACTATTATCCAGAATAAGAACACAAAATTACTTACTTTTATTATCTCGTATCTGCAACAATTTCTTCATATGATTCGCACAAAATTCATAGACGTTAGACGGATTATGTTTCAATACATCTTTGCTTAAACCTTCCATAAGTTCTATGAGCCCTGGCGGCATCTTCGGTACGGGCGCTGCGTAAGTCCTTGATCCTTTATTCATTTTAAGATTCCTTTGAAAACATTTCCAACTGAAAAGTAACCGAACTCTGGGTCGTACTTAAATTAAAGATCCCGCTTTATTTAGTTAACACTTGGAGAACATCTAAAAATGCTGTTTGGGTCTGTTTGTACCTGGTAGTCTTGGTAATGCGACAGTAATAGAGAAACGCTATATTGATTTTCTTGTATCGTCGAGTTATACATCATTTGGATCGCCATAATGGACCTAGCCGCTGACGCTATCACGAAATACATAGTTTTTACAGGTTGGTGAACTTAAAGAAAAAAAAACTATAGTTTTATATAGAAGAGGTAAATTAACGTTTTTTGAGACCTCATCAAACGTTCTTATTATGAAATAAATATCGAAACGTGGTTATTATCACGATATTATGAGTAGGTGTGTTTTGAATATATTTGTTTACAACAACCGAACCGATAAAGTTTTAAAGGAAATTCATTCTTAAATTATCCATTTTCTAGCACTGTAAGCGTTTATTTCCAGCCTATTTTCCACAGTGGATCGTACGTAGCTTGGGCACACCCTTGTGTTGAAGAACCTGTAAACCTAGCCACAATGTAGAGGCGGTTTTCGTTAACGTAATTTTGCTGTGAAATTCTCGCTTGACGAAAATAAAAAACTATGTAATGTGAAAATTGTATTTCGCGTAGGGAAACAATGAAAGTGGTTAGTGTCTGCGGTGTGTTACAGTCGGGGCGGGACGAAGCCGTTAGCCAAGTGGCGAGAAGCGTGCCGTCTACTCGATACACGTACACACTCAAAGAATTCCAATTATGTGAGTCAACTTTTTTATTTCCATACTGTGTACTATAATAGTAATTTATATATAAGATCATATAATTTTTGCAATGTTAATACATTTTACATAACAAACATCTCCATAGTGTACATACATACATACGCAATCGCTCGCTAGGCTGCTAGGCGCGTACCGTATATACAGAGGCGCCGACGCGCTCTACGAGTGACGATAGAAAAATTAATGGCTACAGCAATATCATACAAATTAATGACTATTCCCTTACAAATTATTATATCCGCTATAGCATTGTTCTACTCCAATATGATCGAATGAACTTTTAGTCGTTAGGTGTCAGCTGTATGCATGATACATGAAGTGTCCGGCCGCGCGGCCGCGTTCAGCCGTGTATAAAACCACACTGCTATTAATTTATAATAAATAAATGCCTATTTACACTATGTATCTATACAAAATGATAGTACGACGAAATTACATTATTGAATTCAGCATCTAATTAAACAAAAATTCATAGAACAATCTACGGGCGGAGTCGGGTGCGGTCGCGCCAGGTCTAAACAAGCCTTATATTTTATATAAATTACTCGACAATGGCGCGGCCCGCGTGCTCTAATCACTCTCACAAGCGGCTGGCTCGCCCGCACCGGACCTCCGATACTATACCGATAATAATTACGTGTTCCAATTTTCCTATTTTTTTTTCATCATTTTTGTACAATCATATTCAGCCAAAGCCGGGTGCCCGATTAATACAATAATTACTATCGACGATCCGAAATGCAATACGATCATGCATCAATAATACATACAACTTTTAACTTATTTAAACAATTTAACAATATTTAAAAAATCCTAAAGTAATCATCTAAATATACTACGTGAACGAATATAAAATACTAGTACGGCCGGTGTACGAACCGGCCCGGACAGCGCCGGCCGCCGCGTCCCGCACTCTGCGCCTCCGCCCTCGACTCGAGGCTGTTGACGTACGTAATGAGAGGTGCGACGATCGACATTTCCAGGAGACCACCGCCTAAGTTGTATCGCAACTCAACGAACACTTTATAGTCTGCCCTAGCCTATGACCGACTTGACTGCACGCCTAGCGAGCAAGAATTGAAGTTACCTAATCACTTATGAAATTGCAAACTACAAAGTAAGCAGTTTCGTTTACGACAAACTTGAGCCCGGTCAAGCCTCGCGAGCGCCGGTTTAGCGGTCACTATGTTTGTCACCGATCCCGAGGGCGATGGACATGCACGCAAAAGGTATCACCTAAGACATTTAATTACGATTAACGTCTACGAAATCGATAACGCTATTTGCAACTGAGGCACGTTAATCTAGTGGAAGTGTCTCGAAATATAAATTACGAAAAGAAAACACAAATAATTAACAATATACAAGTTTATGCGAACATTAAAAGCATAGATGGACGAAGACACATTCGCGCGCCTCCACGAACACGCTACACGTACTGTAAATCTGTTCGTTGACATCTCGCAGCGAACGAGCCGAGTGGATGAGAGGAGCTTCACCTTTTAATTTAAGTACAGTGGAGCCTAATCTTGGGCACGGAGAACATACATGTGGCACAGAAAAGTCTGATGTTTCGAGTCTCGTCACCCGACGGAGTGAAGCCGAATTTGCGCTTAACGAGTCAAACCAATGCATACAACAGCTACTGCATTTATTAAAGGACAGGTGGTAAGTTGCGCCACTTATGGCGATCACTCATTCGGGAGATAGAAAAACCAAATCCTTACTCTATAGTTACCTATAGGAAATGCTAAGGTAAACATTGGTCCGATCATCGCCAGTGACAAATAGCGCCGGAAGGCCGGACAGGTCGCGGTGGGCGACCGGGACGCAGGGTTAGAGGTATAAAAATGAATAAGTTCGTTAACGAAATAATCGAATAGAAAATATAAAGAGAAAATAAAAGTGTGTGTCTGTGGTAGTGAGCGGCGGGCATCACTTGATCGCGGCCTGCGCGCGCTTTTGGCTCAACTCCATCTCGCCCAGCCGCTTCCACAGCTCGTCGCGCTCCTTTTCGCGTTTCTTCTCTCTATAACGAACATTAAATAGGGTAAAGCTTTACAATAAGAATGAATTACCAACTTCTTTCAGTTTCGTTTGTTGGTTTTAATAAAATATTTGACTAGCAGTGCCAGCCACTTCGGCCGCGTAGTGTTTTTGCGAAACTCTTCATCTTTATAAATTATAGCTGTTACCCACGTTAGTCGCGCCCGTCGTTATATGTCAATCTTCAAGATTAACTTGAAAGATAGACATATAATGTCGCAAGAGGCCCGCGGGATTCGGTCTGTACATCTCTGTTTTATACCCTAATTTACTTGATAAATACTCTATCCAAGACAAAAATAATTTTTCAATTTGAATTAGTAGTTCCTGAGATTCGTATTCAAACAAACAAACAAACGGTTCATACTATTATTTTTCACAGAACGAAATAGACAGCAAGTTAAAGCGCTAGCCACATTTTTCTTGTTGTAAAATATACTAGGTATTAGGATAAGTGAAAAGAATATGTTCTAACTCACTTTTGTCGGTCCACTTTATAGTTAAAGGTGAGTTCGTCGAAGAGCTTAGAATTCATTTCCATGAAGGTCTTTAGCACGTTGTAGATAAATGGGATAATGGTCTGGTTCCAGTGCTCCTTGCTCATCCGATAGAGCGCTGGGAACATTATCGGCATTATCACTTGGTTGTTCTCTTCTATCAGTGACAGTACGTATTCGTTGTTCCAATAGTATAGCGCCCTCTCTGCGACCTGAAAACGGAAAAAAAGCAAAATGTAAGACACACAGATAAACACACAGATGGTATTACTATTACCATGTAACTGAATGAAGCAAAGGATCAATACGCTAGTAGTTTCGAGTTGACCTCTTCTAATTTATACTAATATATAAAGCTTAAGTTTTTTGTTAGAATCTACAGAAGGATATGAAATGCCCTGTAACTAATACAAGGGATCTACCCTTCTTCTACAAAGAAATATGTATGAAAGAAAGTAAAGATCTAAAAAAGTCGATATTTCTACCTTTTAAAAAACATCAAGAACGAAGGGAAGGGAGCACCCACATCTTAACACACAAAAGTTAAGTTTATAAAGATGAAGGAATTTGATCCCAAAAGAACGGTTCTCGCGGACGAAGTCGCTGACACAGCTAGTATATATATATATATATAAATACCTCAAACAACTAAAATAGGTATTTTTTGACATACAGTGAGTTGAAAGGAGGAGATAGAGTAAGAAGGACAAGCTATTTGTTATCAATTTCAATGGAAGTCTAATAAAAGTGTATATTACTGTACATAAAATGGTTTTCTTCACATCTCTATAAAATGTCTAATTTCTCCTAGTGTTACTAAGCAAATAAATCTAATAACTTAATTACCTGAAAGTGAGGGCTAGAAACACATTTGGCAATTTGTTTAAACAATGGTTCTTGTATTTTGACAAATTCTGATGGCTCAATCACATCCAGTATCTCCTCCATCTCGCCCAAAAACATCACCTAGAACAAAAAAAATATGTACTAACCACCTAAATAATTATATTCATCAATAACAAATGATGCAAAGTTCTTAGTTAGGTTATTTAGTGCAGATTTTTAATCACAGATGGCGTGGATCATAGCAATGTAAATAAAATGACGTCACTGACATCGTAACTTATCCTAATCTGAAATACCAAGTTCAGTAAGCTATTAAATCTATGACACTACATGTATATTATACTCGTATTAGTTTACTAGTATATTGCGTTATCATACTTGCACCTATCTTAACTATGCAAATTTATGAAGTCAAATGTTAATGACGATATAATTATCCAAATGTACCAAAATAAATAAACATCTTCCAATACACAATGGAAGGAATTATGAGTGGGTTTTGATAAAAAAATAAAAAAAATAAGCGCAAAGATCCCTTATATGTGGTTCAAGTTACATGAATATATATTATAATTTTTTACTACATTTTAAATAGAATTACTTTTCCCTGCACGTTTATTATGCGTTATGTTCTTCTGTTTGTTTGAAGGATTTAAAAAAAGAGGTTGAAATTTAGTAGAAAACATCGACATTAATACAAAACAACACTTCGGCCCCCGACGGTGCTACGAGCATTCTAAACGTAGGGCTTAGTAAAAATAATAATGTTAATTGCTTTACTCAAATTAGTACTACTCATGTAAGCTACAAACAATATCTGAAATACCAGGTGTTAAAGTGAATGTCATTCAGGAGGGTGGCACATCCCCTTTGCGTGGAATTTGCATAAGGTGGGTCAATTTTGGGAATTACCTCTTTCTGCGAGCAAGTCTTGGGCCAGAGCTTGAGGAGACCGCGCACCACCGGCTCGGTTAGCGTCGCGTCCTTCTCTAGGAACTGCACGACGCAGTAGGCGAGCTGCCCTTGGTATAGTGCCAGGCACTTCACCTTGTGCAAGGGCAGCAACACCTTCACCAGGAACTGTTTGTGCTCACTCTTCAGCGGCAAGGCGAACCCGTTGATTATACTGCAATTACATCTCACTTTAATATATCAACACTACTTTTTTTAAGTAGGCATAAAAGAGCGCGTTAAGCCGTCGGTGCCGATAATCATTAGTAATTTAGTGGCGGCATTCCCTAAAGCTCGCCATTCCGCAAGTAGCGTAGTAGATCTACGCCCATAGCTTATAGCGCTTTCATTCGGCTAACATAGAAATGTTCATTTTATTGCACTGCAGAAACAATACAACTCTGGATATACTTTTGGTTACAAAGCTGAATCAGTCCAGGTAGGTTGAACTCAAATAATTAGTACCTATTGGCAATAATAGAAATCAATATATGGATATACGATAATAGAGACAGCTGTACCTTCCTAATATCTCTAGAAGTTCGGCCACGCCGTTGAAATGCTCAGTTTCGTAAATAAATCGAAGAAATATATTATTGATCTGTTTTCGTATATAAGCTCGTAGACCCAGAAACTTCCCGTAGATGCGATGAAGCACGGTCTTCAAAAAGTCACGCTCACGCGGATCTTCAGCATCGAACAAATCTAATAGCTTTAAAAAGAAAGAAAACATATTTGTAGACATTAAAACATTAATGTATAGGGCTATAAGTGGTATAATTGTTAAACTTTATTCCTTTAAAAGGCATACTATATTTGGTGACTTATTTACGTGTAGTGTAATAATCTAATTTAATATTGCAGAGTTGAATAGTTTGTTTATTTAATATTATTCTTCTAACTTGCTTGTTTTAGGTAATGGTATAGTAACTTAATAAGGATAGTTATAACTTGAAAGCATATGTTTCATCCATTGTTCTATATCTATACTAATATTATAAATGCTAATATAACTCTGTCTGTCCGGCTTTAACGCCGAAATTACTGAACCGGTTTGTTTCAAATTGGGTACACAGATATTCTAGGGCCTGAGAAAGGACATAGACTACTTTTTAATGCCAAAAAGGGTTGTTAGGGGGATGAGAGTTTGTATGGAAATTCATGGTGTTTTGAAGCTAGAACAATGAAACCTTCTTCTTTGGCTTTTTGGGAATAGGAGTGGGAGTGAGTGTAGGAATGAGAGAGTGGGAGTATTGTGGCAAAGTACAACATAGATTGGCTGCCTTAAATGTGCCCTTACATGAATTAATAAACAGCCTAAATAATTCAAAATTCTACCCCAAGTCACTATTCCACACGGACGAAGTCGTCAGCACAGCGAGTGTGTAATAAAAAAAAAAATGTTATATATCAAAGAAAATTACCTGCAATACAAATTTCTGGTCAATGACTTTCTTGCCAATGGTTGGCTGAAAGTCAGCTGATTCAAGGACGCGCAAAAAGAACTCGTAGACTATCTGAAGGTGTGGCCAAGAGGCCTCCAGTGTCGGGTCATCCTCTTCTGGATCGAAGTCAGGATTGTCACTTGGTGGTAGAGTTCGAAACAAGTTTGTCGATATCTGGTTACAGACAAATTTTTTTGGAAGAACTTATAACAAAAGTACAGTTACCTTGCGTAAAATGAGGTTACGTGATGGAAAACGGTTTTTAGAGAACATTGATAATATTAAGTCAGACAAGGTACAAAATTTGATTGTCTACTATAAAATATGTTTCCAAAGAAATACCACATTTTGGAAATATATTGTTAATAAATTACTTTTGATTCATTTGTTATGTAATCAGAAATGATCTATTGGGATACACATCCCTAGTATTAATTTGACTGTAATTAAAACCAATATTATAATTATTCTAATAAACTTTGCATGTAACATAAATGAAAACAAAACACTTTACAATTATTTTTCCTAAACCTTATGAAAACTCACCATTCTTATCATTTCTGGGTAAACAGGTTCGGTGAGTACCCCGCGACCAACAGTAATATACTCAACAAGCTCATTCAATGTGGCACGTTTGATTTCTTTTCCCTTTAAATCAGCAACAGGGTCCATGAAATCAAAAGTAATACAACACTGACGCAACTTGTGTATGAACAGTTCTTCTTGGTCATGACTTGGTACATCTGAAAGACACAATCATAAAACAAATAACTATAATGAATACACTCTGATCTTTAACTCACACAAATATTTGCTAGGTAACATATTTCAATAGAGTGAAGAGTACCAAGTTCCAAGTAAAGGATTTACTAAATTTTTTACATGAAGTCTTTTAACTATAAAATATATATATGAACTAGTCTATAATTGGTTGGTTATTACATACAACATACTGTGTTGATTGGATTAATTTAAACTCAGGTTAGATTTAGCTAATATAAAATAGTAGAAAGGTGAAGCTGATGAATGTGTTTACTTGAAACAACTATAAGACAACTTGATTACAAAAAATAATTTCATCCTGGAAATTGGGGAGATAGAAATTGCACAACCTAATTCTGTTGCATGGATAAATAACAGGGATAAATTCATCTAAGGTCATTCATAGTATATACATAGCGATGCATAAATGTTGCATTTATGTAGGTAATCAATACAGTTTGATTAGTTATTATATAGCATATATATATTAGGCATATTTTGACTTATCTTGTCTCTAACAAAGAAAATGAGATGATATTATCTACCGTCGTAGTTTATGTGAGTAGTACACATTTAAATAAAAGACTAACGGTTTAAAACGCGATATATTAGTTAAACTTATTTGAAAATGATTTTTAACTTAGGCTCGACGTTTTGGATGCTTTGCAGCAGCCGTGGTCACGGGGAGACATTAGATATATTATCTTACAAAATGATCCAATAACCTATTCCATTGTAATATATTCTTATGCACGCAGATGTGTCTTAACTAACACACCATACATCACAGCCACTATATCTTGAGTGTATGTCTGAGAAGAGACACCACAACAATATTTCTGTACAAACATTGAAGCATACTGTTATTCTTGTTTATTAGTCCTAAACTCATTAAACAGTAATATTTCTAGAGCATAGAGCATTCATATGTTTTAATATTAACAAAAATTTTGTCTTGAGAGGAAAGTAAGAAAATATAAAGAAGAATAATAGAAAAGCATTTATTTACCTTTAAGTAATGGCAATGCCTGTAGTTCCACATCTTGCGTGTTACGATAACGTGAAGACCCTTGGCTCTTCTTGGTCTTTTTCTTAAGAGACCGCTTAGCGAAAGGGTCAATTCTATCAACAAACGTTCCCGCAGACATGTTTCTAATAAAAAAAGTTCTTAGTGACGACAAGCCGAGAACGATTAATTTAATAGTTGATAGATTTGTGTAAGATTCATGTTCCAGCCACTTTAATGAGATGAACTAACACTCTTCGTTAAGTCGCAGCAAAATATTAGAGCCTAAACAAACATTCCTTCGTCATTCATGACGATAATGGAGTGGTCACACTCAGGCCATCCTTTAAACACTTTTACGATTCCACAATAGTTACGTAATTTTAGAATGCCTTTATCACTAATATATCACTAAATCAAAACAAATTAGGTCCATTCACAAAACAGCTTTATTTTCTGAGGCGTGTCACAAATAGCTAAAGGCAGAAGTCACTACATAGAAGCCTCGTGTAATATCAGCCGGTCAGTCGATGTCAATTTAATTTTCACTCGCTAAACATCAAATTAGATAAAGATTAAATGATTTGAACACGGATAATATCGAAAATAAATATTTATTTTTGCTCTTAAATAATGGAAACTTATATGGCAATGACACAAGAGCGATTTTTAACACCAAAAATCTATCACCGTATTCTCGCCATCGCTCACCATCCGTTTCGACTCAGACAGTGACACAAGACGCATTTTATTACGAATACCGAAATAAGTATTTTATTATCAGCACTTAACAAGAAAGATTATTATATGTTTTTTCCAGCGTATGCACAACGTAAAACGAATAATTTACAAAAAACTATCCAGCTAAAACATAATCATCACTGGTTTTGCTGCGAAAACGCCAGCACTCAAAAGTACCTATTTCTGAAAATAGATGGAGATAAAAATGTTCAGGTGATCAATAGAGTCACTTAATTTATTTATCAGAGTTTTGATTTCTCTCAGAAATAAGAACGGATGAAAAAAATAACACTTTTCTTTTTTAAAACAGCTTAAATGTAATTAATCAATGACATATAATGAAGATAATCTAAGTAAAATACGGAAGTTAGAGGATAGAGATAGGGTTTTAATTCTGGAGTCCATTAAATCTAGCAACATTGTGAGTAATTTAAATAATTGTTAATATTCAATATAAATAGGATAGGTATTTCGTTGAAATTTTTAAAGATGAAATTAATAAATAAGTTTATAACTATATAAAATCTGTATTTTAAACATAATTAGAAGATGTATTCTGTGGTAACTTTTATTGTTCAATTGTCAAATAACAATAGTCTGTAGTTGACTATGTACTTGTACGTTGAGAAAGTGGCTTTCTAAAATTCTGGCATCGTTGTTGATTTTGTAATACCTAATCATCGAAAGTTTACGATATTAACACAAATCTTTTAAACAATCCTGTGAATATTTTTACATTCGTGTCCTGTGAAAATATGTTTAGGGGTGTATCGGTTTAAAAAGTAACATGGAACTTGGAAGCTCTGACAGTTCCGCCATGAATGCAAAATAAATAAAAATTTAATTTGTAGTTACGGGTTTGTATCATTAGTACTTTCTAACAAAATTATGTACTTGATAACGATAGATTTACTGATATTATGTTACTTCAATCACATTTTCATAAAAACCGTCTGATAAGTCGTGTTGCAGAAGATGCATACCTTATTATTATTTATAAGAGAAAATTGCGATTTGGTTCTAGTTTTTTCTTACTACTATTACCTCAGTCCATTATAAATGTTAAATAATTATCAAATATATAAATAGTCACAGGCACTGAAGTACAAAAAAATATATGAAAATTAACTGGTTTAGCTTCTAGTCGAAATACAACTGCTTTACAGGTTTTCATTTTGTTATTAAATTAAGTATTATTTTTCTTTTAGAAATAAGAGTATTCAAGGAGACGCTTCACAATGTTGAGAGGTGGGCGTGGTGGTCGCCACAGTCCAGAACTGTATCCCCACACTTTGAAGTGCTCTAACGCAAGTGACACAAGCTCAGCATATAGTGGCAGTGACACAATGACCTCTGTGCATAGCTCATTAGACATGGATATGGAAGTTGATCTTTCAGGTCTTCTAGAATCTATAGTGGATTCAGATGAAGAAGAAGATTTAGAAGAGAGTATGGACAGTCTGACTGTAAGAGATCCTGTTCGGGAATGCCTTGAAAAAGATCCAAGTGAAAGAACTGAAGAAGATATTGAAATTTTGCTGGAATTCACTCAGCATTTGAAAGCATTTACTAATATGACTCTTACTGTACGTAGAGCCCTATGTGCTGTTATGGTATTTGCTGTTGTGGAAAAAGCTGAAACTATTGTAATGCAAGATGGAGAAGAACATGATTCTTGGTCAGTTTTGATAAATGGACATGTTGGAATTGAGCACCAAAATGGAGAGGTTGAATATCTCAATGTTGGAGATAGTTTTGGAATGGCTGAAGCCACTCTTGAAAGATTATACCACCGTGGTGTAATGACTACAAGATGTAATGACTGTCAATTTGTCTGTGTTACTCAAACAGATTATTATAGGATCTTACATCAGGGTGAAGAAAACATTAAACGTCATGAAAATGAGAATGGAGTTGTGGTCTTGGTCACAGAATACCGAGGTACAGCAGGTGAATCAGGTCATCCAGATGGTCATGTCGTCATAAGGGGCACCCCTGAGCAACTGATGTTACAGCTAATTGAAGATAATTCACGTGACTCTACATATGTTGAAGATTTTCTCTTGACCCATAGAACTTTTATTGAAAGTCATTTGGTAGTAGCCAAACAGTTACTGGCCTGGTTTTCAGAACCTTCAGTACGTGATAAGGTTACTAGAGTTGTATTATATTGGGTAAACAACCATTTTACTGACTTTGAAACGGATCCCAATATGATGGAATTCTTAGAAAACTTTGAAGTGGCATTGGAACATGAAAAAATGGAGAGTCAGTTAAGACTATTAAACATAGCATGTTCAGCTAAAGCAAGGACAAGAAGTGTCACATTATCACGACCAACAAGAGATGAACCACTAAATTTTACTATCCTTGGTGGTTATGAAAGAGGTTATGGTATTTTTGTTTTAAAGGTAGAAAGGCACTCAAAAGCTGAGGAAGTAGGCTTGAAAAGAGGTGATCAAATTTTAGAAGTCAATGGTCAATCCTTTCAACATGTTAGTCATGCCAAAGCCATGGAAATTATCACTGGATCAACACATCTGAGTATAACTGTCAAAAGCAATTTCTTAGCCTTTAAACAAATGTTACTTATGCCAGAGAATTCTCCCCGCCAGAGAGGTGGTACCAATATGGTGAGATGGCAAACAGATCCTAGAGCAAGACTTTCAACTGCAGAACTATTAAGTGATGATCCCATTACTTTGACTCCAATCTTTCAGTCCCCTACAAAGAAACTTCAGCCACAAATAAACATTAAAAAAGAACCACAGAAAGGCTTTATGACATTAGGCCCAAAACGACTTCATAAGGCTTTAATGAAAATGAATATACTTCCTAAAAATACAATTAATGATGGTATTCATAATGATGACAGTATATTGTCAAATACAGATCCTTTGAATAAAGGCAACACAAGTACTAATTTCTACAGCTCACACAGTAACCCTGATCTCATATCAATATGTTATGATGATTATCAATCCTCTGATTATCCTGAACATGTACTAAAAGTATATAGAGCAGATCAGACCTGTAAATATTTACCAGCTCACAAAGAGACTACTGCCAGAGAAGTTGTAATGCTGGCATTACGGGAATTTGGGATAACTGAACCTAGCTCAAATTTCTCTCTGTGTGAAGTCTCTGTTGCCCAAGGAGGAATTATAAAACAACATCGCCTTCCAGATCAGCTACAGAACCTTGCCGAAAGAATAGGTCTCAGCTCTCGATATTATTTGAAAACTAATGGTATTAGTGAAACTTTAGTACCTGATGAAATGGCACCAGAATTGCTCAGAGAGAGTGTGGTGCATTTTCTACAACTAAATGCCGTCGAAGTGGCAGTGCAATTAACATTACAAGATTTCTACATTTTTAGACAAATTGAAAGTACTGAATATGTTGATGATTTGTTTGAGCTAAAAAGTAGGTATGGCACACCAATGTTGTCTCAGTTTGCTGGGCTAGTAAATAAAGAAATGTTTTGGGTTGTCACTGAAGTTGTAAATGAACAAAATCTTGTAAGACGATCTAGAATTATAAAACAGTTTATAAAAGTTGCAAGACACTGTAAGGAGTGTAAGAACTACAATTCAATGTTTGCAATTATCTCTGGATTAGGCCACGGTGCAGTGTCAAGGCTGAGAATAACATGGGACAAGCTGCCTACTAAATATATAAAACTTTTTTCTGACTTGCAATCATTTATGGATCCCTCAAGAAATATGTCAAAGTACAGGCAATTAATCACAGCTGAACAAGGAAGATCACCAGTTATCCCATTCTATCCAGTTGTTAGAAAAGATCTTACATTTATACACCTTGGAAATGATACCAAAGTTGAGGGCATGGTTAACTTTGAAAAATTGCGAATGATAGCTAAAGAAGTGAAAACACTAACAAACATGTGCAGTGCTCCATATGACTTATTAACATTATTAGAGTCAGGAAAACAGCCACCTTCAAATGCTATGGTTGCTTTAAATCAGCTAACATCTGGTGTTCAGCAAGGCCAGGTAACTGTGAAAAGGAGAAAGAAATCATCAAATGTTCCAAATCCAAAGAAAATGTTTGAGGAAGCCCAAATGGTACGGCGCGTTAAAGCATATTTGAATCGTATGCATGTGGAAACAGATGAAGAAAGGCTTCATGCTTTGTCATTAGAATGTGAAGGTTCTGGTCCCGCGCCGTCTTTGCCGAGACGTAGACATCCATCACCCTCTTTGTCCACAACCAGTAGTGCATCATCAGCCAGTGAGAGTAAAAAAGGTTTTGCAGGAAATAAATTTGGGGCGGCGTCGCCACAAGCCGTGAGAAAGTTGTTGGCATTATCTGAGCCTGCCAAAACCCGCCCACACCAACCCCGACCACCACCTCCTCCGGGACCATCACCGTGCTCGCATCGACGAGATGGAACTGTGCCAGGAATTTGTTGCTCTCGAGCTGCGCACGAAAGATCACACTCTGACACACCTACACCACTACCAGTAGATCTATCAGCAGAGAGCAGCAGTGTCACATCTTTAGTAAACTTGCCATTGAGAAAGACAGGATCAGCCACATCTAGTGACAGTGGGCATGGTTCTTGTACTACAGCTAGTTGTGTTCGGCCCGTACCACCTCCGAGAATGCCTTACACTCTAGCTGCTCAAGTAGCGCGGCTTGAACGTCTAAGCCGTGCTCACTCACATGAAGGCGTGACGCGCCCTTATGATTATTACCACGATACACCAGATGACGAAGATGAAGATCAGCAAGTATCAGCTGTTTAATTCTTAAATACTCACATTGATGTCTATTTATACATTGACTTAAGTAATCTCACTTGATGACTAGAAAGCATGATTAAAGCATTCTTAATATATTATTTAAATTAATAAAATCATGTATCTACCCTTATAAGTAAGTTTAAAGACTGTCTTATTTAATGTTTTAAAATATGTTCTAGTGTTTATAGTGTGAAATTACACATAGCCATGCCTTTAATATATTATTATTATAGATATTGTGACCCCACCATGTTCCAGTTATGACTAGGAGTACGTATTAGAAGAGTACTATTATTATTGTTGGTGATTACATTGTATTGCACTCTTGCAGGTATATTAGTACCCACATTAACATTCCGTTGTTTGTGTATATTTTTAATGTAACGCGCAACTTAGACCAAATAATAATTAAAGTACCTTTAATGTTTATGAATCATATCTCATTAATTATATAGATATTTAAACATTGATAAAAAAGAAATTACTTGAAAGATTAAGGGACTGTTACAGAAGAGTATTTTTTGTTTTTCTGATGTAAACTTTGGTTAATTATGACCTAACAGATTGTTTAAATTATTCCAGCCAGTAAAATGTATAGTTAAGTATATTACTTAAAATCGTATATACCATGTCAGTGGCATCCCACCCTTATAAAAAGATTTCGCATAGATTTTGGTAATTGTGGTTTTTGTAGTAAAATTGTAACTTGTGGCATATCAAGTTTTTATTTTCTAATAGCAGTTTTGGTAGCTTTGAGGACCAATAATTTTGGATATTATTTCGTATTGTAGCAATAGTTTTATTAACGTCGTCATTTTAGTAATGTAAATAATAACTACTTTCTTTACTAGATATTTATTTAAAAATAATCACTATGTAATGTTTACTATAATATGATTCGTCGTCAAATATTTTCATATCATGTAATAAAATAATTACAAAAGTATGTATGGTTTTCATTAATTTTACTTATATATATTGGTTAAGGTAATCAACTTCAAGAGGGTGTAGATTTCTAGCTGGTATGACTAAACTATGTAATGGTGGTCCTAAGTCACAATTTGACATTTCCTTTAAACTTATCGCTGAGATTTTTTGATCTTGTGCTCCTACTCTTGAAAGTCCCACAGCTAAACTATCTTCAGTCAAATCTGTTAAAATAAACATTTTATATGACAATATTTCAATATGATTTATTATATTGAATTATAATATTACTATCTATATATAATATATGCCATACATTTAAAACTTGTAAATAAGTGAAATAAGTACCTGAGTCTTGCCTGTTTTTAATAATCCCCAGTAGTTGTGATGCTGCTTCTTTCACTGACATAAATTTTGGAGGCATATACTGGCGTACTTTCTTAGTTAATGATTCTTCTGTGGGCTCTTTAACTTTTATATCTGTAGAAATAATACATTAATTAAATAAAACACTTAATAGTCTTTTTTAAAGAATACCAATATTTTGGATGCTTAATATGTATGGTGAAAGAAAATAGTGTCAGGTTGCAGTTTGCATTATAAACAATTCATGGATACAACATAATACATAAGTATTTGCATTCTTAAATTTTTCTTGTAAATAAGACAGATATAATGATAATAGAAAATGTGGAAAACATGATTAAACATTTACCTAAGAGACAAAGAGTGTGAAGATTTCTTGAAAAGTTTCCAAGTATTTTATCAAAAAAGCTGTCTGGTTTCCATGTTTCTGTCCAAAATGGTATTGATACAGTTTCACCAAAATTATACAATTGTAGACCACAACAACTAACAGCGTTCATAATTGAGGTGTTGTGTATTATCTAAAATATTAATAGTATAATAAGTCATTTAGTGTTTAAAAACTAAAAACTTTTATTGGCTACCAGTTTGAAATTATGATAGGAGAATTTACCTTTCTGTTCCGTTTTCAGGACACATTCCTATTATATCTAATCTAAGTGTTCATAGAACAGAATTAAAATAACTTATATCCAGGGTTTTACCTCCGTTTTAACTTCTAATTGTTTTGCGCGAAGTAACATATCTGAGTGTGTCGTAGCTCCTAGGGGATCTCCAACAACAAGAAGTGCTATATCACTAAACCTAGCTTCTTGTAAGAACTCATCTATAAAGCTTTCACAAAGTTCCCGATCAGCTAAAACAATTGGTCTTCCATAGAATTCTTCCTGTAAAGATTAAAAGTAATAAAAAAAACCATACACTGACCTCGTATTTTTATAGAAATTAGTAATAAATAAAAACAGATTCTACATTATTACGAAAAACTAATAAAAATAACTTACCAATACAGTATGTCCTACAGTTAATATTGAGGTATAACTTTCCAAAAGTACTTTATCACATTTTTTTACTATTTCTAAGCCTTTTACTGTAATATCTTTAGCATCACCTAACCCCAGCCCAATTAAGTAAAACATCTGCGGGCTTTATATGCCAATTTAAATTAAAAGAAAAATGTTAACTTTGTTCAAATTGTTTAAATTCTAACCTGAGCAAGTAGCATAGGGATGAATGTTTTTGGCACAGACGTAGGCAATTATCGTTGTTTTTGTGCAGAGTATTGATAATGTCAAAATCTCTGATTAATGACGTGAACACCGAGTCAAGATCTATGTAACTTGTATGTTACAAAATAAAATGCACTTTAATCTTTATTTTAAATTTTTCACAAACCACTAATAAATAAGTGTAAGTAAATAAAGTATGTGAAATGTAAAACATCATTGTAAATGTAAACTAAACAAACTTAAATTTTGTAGAAAACAACGTTTAGGTTTGGACAATTTTTATGAAAATCTTTTGTTTTGGGACCTTTTCAAAAGCATTTCTGTGTATTTTTTCAAAATAAAAAAATATATTTATCGAACTCCTATATGGTATTGACGGTGTTACAAAAATAGGTTCCTTTTAATATAAACATACACAGGTTTCAAGGCCAAAACAAAAATAATTAACTTTCAATATATTATAATTGTCTGGTCCACAGGGAATTGTTAACTTAAATCATAGAGCTTTTATAAAATTCATATTATCACCGCAGCAAGAATGATTTCTCGTAAAGGCCAAAAAACTGTAAATGAGGGAGTTGTTGGTAAATACATCAAGAAGGATACACCACCTGATTTGCCAAGTATGTTGTATAATTTTTTTGTATATATTGTGCCTTATTACATATATCTGCTCATAGAATCAGTTTTTTTCAGTTATTAATGTTTGGACAACTGGATACAATAGAAGACCTAGGAGTCAGCCATTTGGAAATAGTGATGGAAGTTCACAAAGTATAGAGAATAAGTTTGGTAAAGCTCAAACAATGAGCGGTCATGCTGGAAAATATACACCTAGTGAGTCAGTGCCAAATTTAGCCCACAGGTAAAGAGTCATATATAATTTACAAACCTAGACACAAGAGTTAGAGGAGATTTTTAATTTCTTTTGCCTTAACCCTCAATTATTTGCCCAGGATATAAGCCCTAACTTTAGCAATGAAAAACAAAAATGCAAGATTTTTCTGTTTTTTTTTTGTAATGAATAACATTTTTATTAAATTATTTAAACTTTTTTAGGTTTGCTAATATGTCTACTGGGAGTGAGATTAGTAGTAGTGTGACAAGCAACTATAATTCCCAACTCCATTTAGAACCAAATATGGTAAACATTGTAGTGTTCTAAATTATTTGTCGATGGATATTGTTTTTTTATTATGGTATAGCTGCATCAAGCTTTACACAAAATTGTATATTAACATACTACTTACTGTATAGTATAGCATTAATTTTTATTTTCTTTTAGGCTTCACATTCCACCTTAAATGATATAGATGAATCATTTAGTCGGCAGAGCAGTTATAGATTCTATAGACAAACTCAGGAGGACCCAATATATCAAAATCAACAACAAGTATGGTGTAATATAATAACCTAGTTATTATGACCTCACTAAGAGTTCTCACTGCTTGGAGTCCCAATCTGCCCTCAAAACCAATAAGTAGATAACATATCCAATCAAACTTTGGAATCTACAAATCAGAAGAAAAAATTCTTTACCATTAGAAGATATAGTTTAGTGTCTCATCATTTGTAATTACATTATAGGTTCAACAGCAAAAACAACAACAATACTCGTCTAGAGAATCAAGCATGCCAAGACTGTCGTCAAATTTAAGTTTAACCCCCAGGCACAATCAATCACCTCCACATTCTATGAGACTACATGTAACTGAATGTGAGCTTTAATTATTGAATATTTTACTTTACAATAATAACATTTAAAAATATATATACAATATCTATACAGAAAAGTTTCGGTATTGTTTTAATATATGTATTAAATATTTTACAGCTCACATACATACGTCAAGCCAGGGCTCACCAATTTATACAAACTATGTTAATACACCCGCTCTTCCATACAAAAGTCATGGTGGAAACATGATTGCCTCTAGTCAGGGTATGTGACATTTAATTTTATCTTGAAAATTTGTTATCTTGCCTCATAATGAAAGAGACATTGAGACTTGAGAACTTTATGTTCAACTTTTATAACAAGTCAGATGGGTATCTGATACAAGTCTTAGTTTTAAATTTTTTTTTTTCAATTTATTATCGATTTTTAAATTATATAGTGCCTTCATGTACAATAACATGTAAAAATTAAAAAAGTTTTGATTTAATTTCTGTTACATAGCCATACAACATCTTTTGATGATGGCTTTCACTTGTAAGTGAAACGTTGACAACAAGTGTGAAAACCTAAACAATTTGTTATTCTATACTACAAGGCTGACTATACCTATTACTAACGACTATGAGTATACTATTTTATAACATTTGATTTTCTATTAAAGGATCAGATGAATGTGATTTACCCCTGCCACCCGGATGGTCTGCCGACCGTACGCTAAGAGGCCGTCGCTACTACATGGACCATAACACACAAACCACGCATTGGACTCACCCGTTAGAGAGTGTTCCGCGCCCTTGGCAGCGAGTCTCGACGCCTCAACACGGTGTTTATTATTTTAAGTTAGTCAAGCATTTATTATATAAAAACAAATAAGTTACCAGCTAATCTTGTAAGCACTAAAGGTTCTAGAATTGGATTCAAAAGAAAGATTCCAAAATCTTCAGTTAGGAAGGACCCAAGAGATTGATCACTTGGACATCAAAAAAAATGAAATTACATATTGGTTTTGTTCTAAGATTCAATCATTTTAATTGCAGTGAAATAACACACCAAACAACATATGCACACCCTTGCTTAGTTGGAGGCTGTTATTTAGTAAGTCCCCTTGTACCTACATTGGTACCTCCATATCTTTTAGAAGAAATACCACATTGGCTTGTTGTCTATTCAAAAGGTACAATTTTTTATAAGATATATTAAGTTTTTATTTTAAATTACCTTATATAATTCTGTTAATTATTTCACTTCAGCTGATCAAGAATTGGATCACAAGTTGCGATGGAACATGTTTCGCTTAAGTGAGTTAGACTGTTACTCAGATATGTTGACTCGTCTTTACAAGCAGGAGCTGCAGTTGATTGTTATGAAGTATGAACAATACAGGTAACTTTTTGAAGCCTTATAACAAAATTGGGCATATTGGGCTTATAATTATAAAAATATGTAATATAAGAATTTACCACTCATTGTGTCATTATAATAAAGGAATGTTATTTCAGGTCAGCATTGTTACAAGAATTTGAAAGAAGAAGACGGGCCAAATCCTATGGTGCACTTACTAATCAATGATTAAATTGATTTAAGCTGTGATCTTAGATAGCTAAAACTATTATACAATTTTATTTTACCTTGAATTAAATAAAACATCATAAAATTTTACAGAAGATATCCCAGTTGTATAGAAGTAATATAATATAAGTATCTACAATGTCTTTCAGCAGGTCATATTTTGTAGTAACTATTTTATACATGACAAGTTGTGCCTTAGTAAATTAAGGATTATATATTTTTGTATGAAACAGATAAAAATTAATAGAAATAAAAATATATATTGACTATACTATAATTCTTTAAACATTTATTTACACACAAGGAAATCAAAGTTACAGGATAATAAATACAAATTATTTACAATCCTCTTTTTTTGTAGCTCTTACTTCCTCACCTTCAATTATATCATATTCATCCACTTTTGACATTCCTGATATTCTAATAACTTTAGCATTTTTTATTCCTAGTGTGTTGGCCCAGGCGTGCGCTTGAAATTTATAAAGAAATGTTAACAGATACTATTCCTATTTACAAGTAAAATACATTGAACGTTATGAAATTACCATACCTGGTGACATTGCTTTTTCATCGTCTGACTTCAATCCGTAATAATGGGCCCAATCAGCTTTTCCTTTGTAAATAGAGTAAATCATTAATCCAAATGCGTTCCAAGCAAAAAAGCCATAAGCTAAACTAAGACGAGTTTTCCATTTTTTTGCTTGATCTTCAGGAATCGGTTTTGTTCTTTTTCGTATAAATCGATGCCATCCTTTGTAAATCATTTTTATTTTAAGATTCTAATGCCTGAAAGGTTTTCTAGACATAATAGTGTTGATAATTATTTTATATAAAATTTAGAAAACAAAAACATAACCTCAATCTCAAATGTTATAGAATCACAGACCAAAAATGCTTTACCTTATATAACAGATAATCATAATGTTATATAAAAGACATGTACCTCGTGTTTTTGGTATTATATAATAACATAAACACGAGGTGAATTTCTAAATAAAGATGTATTTGTTGTTTATTTAAACAAACCTAACAAATATTTTCATTTGTCTTTTTTGTGTTTACTGAAGGTAAAACTTATTTACATATTAAGTTTGGTACTTCTTTTAATTATCCTATTTTTATTTAATTTTTTCCCAATGTTTCCTGGAAGAGGTCGCTAAATACCGAAAAGACCGACTGTTAGTCTTACACACCATAGCTTATACTTTTTATTTTGTTTAGTTGAAATTTTGTTTGTGTACTTGTATAATTAAGATTTTAAAACATAACTTTGTCTCAATAATATATATTTTGACAGTTACAAGATATTTCATGATAAATTGAAATCTAGACCGCAACCCGGGCGTAGTCCTAAACTCTTAAGAAAACTTATTATATTATATAACAAAGCAGGCAGGTTTAAAAAAAATAACGTCATTAAATTGAGCACTGACGAAAAAAACATGGGGAACATAATAATCATGAAATAAATATATCGTATTTACCGACGTATATATAGTACATATGTGAATGATGTTATTAAAATTCATTTATGCTGTAAGAACACTCAAGTTAACACCAGTAAATGTATTGAAGTAAGATTTATGATAATAGAGTAATTTCATTTATAGTACCTATTATATTATTTATTTCTTATTTGACGAACTTTATACAAACCGTACTTGGGTATTGTATTCTAGGAAATAAATTTATTTAGTACTTTAAATCTCTGTTGGCCAGTGGCGTAGCTATTGTTGGGCCAGGTGGTGCAATACACCAGGGCCCCGGAATTTGGGGGCCCTCTATCCTTATCTTTGAGAAGATATAAGCGTAGAACAAAAGGATTTTTTAACGTTCTTGTTGCTATTTATAATTTTGGAGGTACATTTAATTCAAGCTATGCTAAAAGAGGGGATGGAGACCCGATACTTTCTTGGGCCTCTTAGGGTTAGGTAGACCCTTGTCCACCTAGCTACGCTACTGGTGTTGGCATGTCGTTTACACATAAGTTCTGGCAGTAAAGAAGCGCGCACATATCTATGCAGGATTTGTTTGTGTTGTTTTGCAGCTTTATAAAATACCCGCGGCGAATATATTTATCTTACTAATATTATAAAGCTGAAGAGTATGTTTGTTTGTTTGTCTGCTTGCTCTATTCTCGGGTCTAAATAACATTACGTTGCGATCAATACTAGCGAAGTAATAGTGGAAAATATTGTAAAAACGGTAAAATTATGCATCTTTGAGGGTTTCCATTGCGTGTCCTGCGGAAACAGTTTAAGAAACCAAAAACTATGTATAAAAAAATGAATCCTCTATAAATGAAAGACAAAATGTCCGCGACAGTATCTTTTAAGATAAACTCGCAAGAAGACGAGGACTACGTCGTGGGTAACAGCTAGGTATAATTTAAAAAAGCTTAGTAATTAAAATAAAACACTTTAACGGTTTAAAACGAGATATATTAGTTAAACTTATTTGAAAATGATTTTTAACTTCGCCCCGCCCGACGTTTCAAAAATCATTCTCAAATAAGTTTAACTAATATATCGCGTTTTAAACCGTTAAAGTGTTTGATTTAAATGTGTACAGTAGTACGCTAGTAAGCGTAAACTATAGACAGTGTTTAAGTTTAGTAATGTATTGTTTACATGTGGCGCAAAATACTAGAAAATGACCTAAAAGAAATAAATATCTTAAGTAGGCACGTTTTGAACCGTTAAAAATCGAAACAAATTTACGTAACTGGCAGGGTCAAAGTTGGAAGGTTATACTATGGCTTTCGTCTTTGCCGGTGAACATCCGTACCAAGACCTACTTGATACGAAATCAGCTGTGTACATACTAGAGGACTCTTTATTTATTAAAAGTTTATATATTTAAGCATTTAAGTATATATTAAAATTATTAAATCAACCAAAATTGACCACTCGTTATTAGTGTAGACTTACGCAGGACTCTAACGCGCGGGCGTTTTCGTCATAGTGTCTCGCGTTTCTCGGTCTTCTTTTAGACCTTATTACATACTTACGTAACAATATATTTATAAGCTTTTATATGTAATAAAGAAAGCTTTAAAATTTATATAGATATTTTTATATTTACAAATGAGGCCGCTAGAGGCAGAGTGGCCTAATAGCAAAAAACATGGTTTTCAATAAGGAGGAAAATAAAAATGCGGCTTAGGCGAAAAATTATTTTCGGTCATTCTGCTCTTAAAGATTATAAATTTTTATTTTTAAAGATTTTTAGACTATAAACATATAAATAACTCAAGTCATAAAATTGCAGTTACTCTGCCTCTAGCAGCCTCATATAATAAATACTTATACAACAAAGCTGTACCTAATTTGTTTTTTGTTGTAATTCCTTAGACTGACCACTTGTTATTTTTTCTATAAGCGCTGGAATAATTGCCTCTCACAGTAAGCTTTATCAGTGTTTGTATTCTATGAATTCTTTAATAGTATTGTTTAATAACACTGTGGTGTGTACATGTATCAAGCCATTTCAATATTCCTCTTTAACCTCACACAAAAAACCTTCGCGAAGGTCGGAATTGCTTTGAACACGGTCACACGGCATTAGGCTGTGGAGTAATATACCACATTGGAGTATTCCAAACAAAATTATGGAAAATAAGAATGGGAAAGTCTAGTAAAAAGTAGGAAAAGTCACAAAAGGTTCCTATTTAGTTAATTTCAATTTGATATTTTATAACTACATATTATAATGTATTTTTAGAGCCAGGTCAGATCGCATTAACGCTTTACGGAAACAATATGACACTTTCCTAGAAGAAGACAGAAGGCGAAAAAATAGAAATGAATACATATTGGGTTGGCTTGACAGGGTTCGCAGCACATCGTCTTTATCGACAGCAAGAATCCAGGTAAAAGTGTGATAGACCCAACAAACATTTCATTATAATTTTATCCAAAATGCTAATGATTAACTAATAATTATTTATAGCCAACATCATTCGAAACACAAAAACCAAACTTCGCACCACAGCTCGATTATGTACCGAAACAATCTCCACTAGCATCTCATCAACTTAATATTAAACACCCATCAATTGTAAATTTAGACGATTCCAAAATTCTGCAGGAAGTGAGCAAGAAGTACATATTGATTCCGAAGAAAACTCGCGTATACGACACAGAACCTGACAATACACAATACGTACAAAACGTTCCCAGTGAAATTAACAGTGATAAAGATTGGAAAAGTAAATATAACATTCTAAATGTCTTAAAAAATAATGAAAAGAATGAAAGTTCTGAAAAGAAAGATATAGACAAACTTATCAAAGGCGTTGAAGTGCCAAAAGTGGAAGCTGAGTCATATCAGAGAAATAAATTATATGATGAAACTATCAATAAAACACAGAATAATTATGAGCAAAGTATCTTCAAAAACGAAGATGAAGACATTGTTCCTGATTCCATGAGTGGCAAGACTAAAGAAGTAAATAATCTGAACACTAGCCACCACGATTTGGATACGGAACCCGTGCAAGAGGGCATAGAGTATCAAAGTAACATTAAGAAATTAGAATTCACTAAAGCGCCAGAAGTGAATGGACCTTTGAAATTAAAAGAAATTAAGAACAATGGTAACAATTTGCCTAATAATATTTTAATAGAAAAACATCCAGATGTGGATAGTACTATGGTACCGCAAGCATTTATAGCGCCAACTGAAAATATAATAAAACTTGAGGAACACCAATATACAAATCTTGAGACTCAAAATGACAATAGTCATGAACCAATATCCACACTACCAATAGACAGTGAAGAACCCATTGTACAAAGTTACGAGAATAATGATTACCAAGAAGATCAGATAATACACAAAGAAAACCCTATAGATTCGGCAAATAAATTCAATGAGCCTGAAGAAACGGAATCTAGATCATCGATCCAAAAAGATTCCGTTATATGCGAAGATAATTCTATGTATGTACCAGAATCAAATGAAAGTCACGAAGATCAAATTAATGAATTTGAAACCGAACAAAGAGAACTATTCTATTCTGAAGAGCCAGATGTAAACTACGCCTATGATGAAAAAGTAGATAATAACGTAACTTACGAAAACAATGAATATTCATATTATGAAGCTACTAAAGAAGATCCAAATCAATATACAGCCGGAATCAATGAACACGAGGAAGCGACAGAACGCTACGACCCTAATTATGAACAGCAATACGTAAATTCGTATGAAGGAAATGTTTTGCAAAATGAGTATCCCAATGAGCAATTTATTCAAGATCCCAGTGAATACCAACAGCAACAATATTACGACAATTACGAACAACCATTACAGGGCACCACCCTGACAGACAACCAAGAGTACGAAAATACAGAATATAACGTGACCGCAAATGCGAGCCAAGAGGCATATGTAGATGACTCTTATAAGCAGAATTTTAATACCGACGAAAATCTACAAAATGTAACTTTAGAGCAAATTACTGAACAGCAACTAAATATAGAAGATGGCTATACTGAAAATCAACCCCTTTCCGAGGTGAATCAAGAAGTAGCTCAAAGCACTAATTTGGAAACTACTATTATAGCACCATAATGCTTAAATTGTAGCTTCTCTCATAATCTAAATGTAACCTTATGTTTAAATATATGTAGGTATAATTACACTTGTCCTCTGAGTTCTTGTGAAGTCCTGTTCCAATTAAACAAATTAGGCACTAGTATTGTGTTTGATTCAACATTATTTGTCATAAGTGAAAGTTACCATGAAAATTACTTAAAAGATTGGAATTTATTTATTTTAATATAGAACTATGCTACAAAACAATGTTTTCTAATTTGGTAAAGGTATTTTCTCTAAAATTTCTGCTTGTTCTGGAAAGAGAGGCTCCAATGGCTTTTTCCAATGAAATTCATCCCATGGTAATCTTTCCAGGCCCGTAGCCCAGTGGTGGATACGGCATCTTACATTTACTTCTTCTTTATTATTAATCTGTAAACATTTATAAGTATATAAGCAATATTACAATCAAAGCTATCATGTTTTATTTACACAACTTGGCCAGCACAATACAATAAAATTTATTATTCCATTATTAAAAATATAATTAGGATTGTAAAGAATACCTTGACTGTAATATAAAACTCTTTCTCTTGTAGCGATAGATCTGGTCCTGTGATTTCTTTACTCGGCATTGTAATAGCATCCTCAGGTACAACAAAGCCAGCCTTTCGAAATGATGTTCTTATATGCCAAGGTTCTAGCTTCCAGGGTGTAGTTTTGCTCATTGTGATTTGTAGAACAATTCGTGATAAGCAACCCATTGTCTGAAATGTTGTATAACTATTTGAATTTTAAAATTACTTATAGCATATATAAAATAAATTATTTCGATTGAAAATCGAAATGATAATTTTTAAAAATCTCAATATTTATTTTTCCATTTATACAATGGCATCATATGCAATAACAGTGAAAATAACTAAGTTTTCAAACCTATAGCTCTAACAAAATTCTCAAAAAGAAAGATTTATTTTAAAATATCAGTGTTCAATATCAATCAATATTAAGTGTGTGTAGCAGGCCACAGAACCATAATGATTATGAGGATGAGTGATAACAAGATGTGATATTTATTTATGTTCTGAACTGTCTACATAGTTATAAGTAGCAAGCATTACATTAAGTGTTATAAGAGAAACAGGCCTAACCCTCTGAACATATGGAGAGCTGTATTCAGTTGTTTCCTTTATTTTATTTTCTTCAGGTTTATACTTTTGCATGTTCTCAGGAGTTGCATACACTGCAAGCCCAGGTAACAAGAATTCTTTGTATGCAATATTTGGGCGTAGTGAAAGAATGTCTCCAGTATTACCAACACCTGCAATTATATTATATATACAGAAATATTATTTGATGAAACAATTCCAATCCTAATAGAAAATAAGCTAGCATGCGAGAGTGATATATAATGAAATTTACCATCAACAAACTGATTTAAAACTACTTTTAAATCCGGCTTCTTCGCAAGATTGCTATCTTCAACTAAATCATATACAAAGTGTTTGGATTTTAGTTTTGATACCTTTCCACCTTTCTTGTGTAATGGTGGTGCCCATCGCCTCCTTAAGACAAATGTGTTCTATATAACAATACAGGTTTACGTTATCATTATAATGTAAAATGAAGCATAAAACCAAGTAAACTGAGAAGTGCTTACTCTGGTTTGTTGACAAAATGTTTGTTCTAAAGAAACAGTTTTATTAATGATTGCACGGAATCCCCACATGGTTATATTGATGACACGTTTTAATATAATTTAAAAATACATTTAAAAGTAATGCTATTTATTTCAGGGCGTCGTAAGAAGTTATTTCTGAATTATGAGCAAAATTATGAGGTTAGTTTTATTTATTACTTAATATTTAAGAAGTAAGAAGTAAGAACACAGTGTTAGTAAAATATAAGTGGAAGTATATTAACATAGATCTGTGGATATGATTATAGTTTTGTAGTAAATATTTTGCAGACTCACAATGATCTTAGTACACAATTGCTTATTCTGTGTGTTTTGGCGCCTTTTGATTAGTCTGTGCAGTGCGCTGCTGTTTTTCAAGCCTGTCCCCAAGCGGTTGTTTAATTTCAATATCTATGGGTATATCACTTAATGAATCTGTTAATTCTCTAGCGCGTGGTTTTTTTTTTATTAAACTACCACTGTTTTTGTGATCGATTAAATTATACAAGAATATTAGCCAAAAAGATTTTAGTACCTAAATTTCATTAAAGTTATTGTCAATATGGACGACGATGGCAGCTCCGATTTACAGGTATTGAAACTAATAGTGTTAAGGTTAGATTATATTTAATAAAACATTTAGTACGGCCCATTTTTTCCCACAGAAATGTTTATCGGAAAATCAAATGGATCGCGATGAAGTCCCGCTGATAAATGAAAATTCCAATGGCCTGTCACATCTATTAACAGACGGAGAGTTCAGTAATGTGGATGCCGCTGTCGATGAATCGTCTATCTCCAATCAGGGTTTTCTGAATGCGGTAGAACTCTCCGCTGGCAGTGTTGGCGATTATCTTGAAAACAATGCCGATGCATATAACACGGATTCTTTTGATGTAGGCGATATGGCCGTTAATTTTCCTACTGATTCTTTAGACGGCGATTCCCGGCTTAGTGCAGGGTTTAAATTAAATGAAGACACAGAAAATGATTCCAAGATTCAAAATGACAGTGAAATGTCTAATGGCGATTATGCCTTACATGAAAATATGGAGAGTAGTGATGCATTGGCCAATAATGAAGAATCAAACTCATCTGACAAGAATAATATTGATAGTAATAAAAATGTAGACAGCAATGATATTCAAGGTGATAAAATGGAAGAAATAGATGATGTAGGAAATTCTGCCTTTGAAACTAATGACATAGCAGATAATGTCACTGAGACAAATAAGACTTCTAAAGAGGTATATATTCATCATGAAAGTTTGTAATATCTTTACTGACATATTTCATAGTCTTTACTATATTTTAGGTGGGTTGTGCAGGAGAAACTGAAGTAGTGTCAGAGGATGAACTTCCTGCTGTGGAAAAGCCAAGTGTTAAGGATGCAGAAAATGTATCTGATGATGAGTTACCGGGACCTAAGCCAGCTGATTTACCTGCTGACACTGAGGTAAATATTATCAAAGTAATATACAATAATGTGCCAATATGATACAAATTTTGGACAAGATGAAATGTAATAATGTAAGGCTTACCTTATCTCTTAAGATAATGTGAGGAATTTAGTCTATACTACTTTTATTCTACTATACACAGGTTGTATCTGAGGATGAATTACCTTCCTCTAAGAAAGAAAGCAGTCGTAAACGTAAGCCTGATGAAGAATGTGACTATGACCCAGAATCCCCAACATCTGAGAAAAAACAAGCTATTGCTAAGGTAAGTTATTAAACCACTTTCTCTAGAAAGTCTCTTAGTATGTTTATGATGTATGTATGATATGATGAATAAGCCAAGGTCCTGTGTAAGGAGGAAATGGGTGAAAAAGTCAGCTGATAGCATAGACTGATCACCCGTATCGTTGTCCTTGATAGATAATAATAATAAGAAGTCACTTCACCAGTCTGACAACCTGATAATACTACTGTGCTCATTTAAAACACAAATATTTTAAGGCAATCAATATTATATCATAAATATCTATATTTAATCACTCTTGATGCACAATATTGTTGATTTAGATCCCATACTTGTACATTGACAATGGGTTGAAAACATTGTTAAGTTATATAATCTTACAGAATGGAGAGAGCAAACCGATTCCTGCTGAGAAAAGATCTTCTACAGATGAAAAGCCAAAAAAGAAACCACTACCTGAACTGGAAAGATACTGGAAAGTAGTCAATGATGATCCCACAGATTTCACTGGTTGGACATATTTACTGCAATATGTAGACCAAGAGGTAAGATAAAACTTAATTTCTTTACTTACAAACATTACAACTTAAAAATATATTTTCTAATGGACAAATTTCCTTTGTTGTAAATATATGTATCAAATAGCTTTTGGAAATATTGCCAAAATATTAACACTAATGCTAAAAGTTACCAGGCATGCCAGTTAAAAGAATTAAATAAAATACTTGAAAGGTAAAAAACGCGATATATATTAGTTAAACTTATTTGATAACTATTTTTAACTACGGCCGGACGTTTCGGATGCTTTGCAGCAACCGTGGTCGCGGTTAGAAACGTCGGGCCGTAGTTAAAAATAGTTATCAAATAAGTTGAAACTAATATATATTGCGTTTTTTACCTTTAAAGTGTTTTATTTAAATGGGTACTACTCGCGTTAACTACAGACAGTATTTAATAAAAAATAGCAATTTTTTGAAACCCACTCTTTACATTATGTAGCTACTATGATGACAAGTTTTGCTAATCTCTGTGCTTTATGAAGCTATGAGAACTGAATTTCATGTGGATTGGCAAGGGCCATCTGAACACTTTTGTCTAATAAGTCTTATGGTTTTGTCTCGATAGATTGTTGAATTGTAATGTAAATTTCAGAGCGATGTGGAGGCAGCACGCGAAGCGTACGACGCGTTTTTGTCACACTATCCATATTGCTATGGCTACTGGAGGAAATATGCTGACTATGAGAAACGTAAAGGAAGTAAAAAGAAGTGCCTCGAGGTGAGTGCTGGCCATAATATACTAATTTATTTGTTTCACATGACGTATTTGGTAAGGTTTCTTAAGATCTAATATTATAGAAATTCACATGCCATAACACTTGGATTTGATATTGTTTTAGTCGTAACACATTGTGCAATTGCTTTTTTTTCCCAACAGTGCGACGAGGCCAACAATGCTCGTAAGCCAAAGTCTTCCATGGCCATCGGAGAGTTTAAGCGTTACTTAGATATAGTTATAGTGTTGAATTTATTGTGGTGCTTATATAATACGAGTAGTGTTTATACATTTTATTTAAGTTGTATGTACGCATGATGTATTGTAAGATACTTTATCATGTAAAATATTTAAGTATTGAACACGAATGGAATTACTTAAGTTCACGGTGTAATCGAATGGGATCGGCGTGGAGCGCGACAGGTCCTTAATTCGTTTCGCCATCGATTGGCATTAGCGGTGGAGACGACGCCGACGCGACGACGGCCAGCTGCGACAGGTGTTGACACCGCAAACATTTCTATGTTGGACGGAAGCGAGATGTTCCCATGACAACCCGCCTCGCCGCGGTACGACCTCTCGTTTCACAATTCAAAATTATATTGAAACATAAAATGCTATTTATTATGCCCTTGCTTCTCGCGCGCCCGTGGCGCTCGGCCCGCCTCACCGCTTTCTCACCGTTTCTCCATTTGCAGGTATTGGAAAGAGGGCTCAAAGCTATTCCCTTATCGGTGGATCTGTGGATACATTATCTCAATCACATTAAATCGACTAGAACTGAAGAACACGCTTATCTCCGATCTCAGTATGAACGAGCGATAGGTATGAAATTTTTTTCAATTTAAACTCTTATGCAGTGACTCCTGACTGCAAGGAATCTTTATGAATACATGTTATATTTAGTCTTTTTCTTGGTTCTAGATTCCTGCGGCTTGGAGTTCAGGTCAGATCGGTTATGGGAATCTTACATTAAATGGGAGGCAGAAAATGGATCAGCACTGAATGTAACCAACATTTACGATCGTCTGCTCTCTACACCAACCCTTGGATATACCTCTCACTTTGACAAGTATGTTGTAATTTATAAGCCTAAGTTGGATTGGCTTTCAATATATGTATATATTTTTTTTTTTTTAAGTATAAAAAACTTAGTTAGTTAGTTTATGTATTTTTACTTTGTAGCTAAGTAATTTTTGTAATCCCTTGCAACCATTCGTAAAATAGAATTCGTCATATGACAATAATAAAAAACACTATAAAGAGTTTTTTCCATAGTTTCCAAGAGCACGTGATGTCTGAGCCGGTGACGGGAGTGGTGTCGCGCGCAGAGTTAGTGCGCTTGCGCGGCGAAGTCAGGGATGCGACCGGGCAGGTTCCACAGCTGGATCTTCCGCCCGGCGAAGACGAGCCGGTTGACCATGTTGTGAGTACATCATAATTGTTATATGCATGTTTAGACTTAGGCCATATGCCATAGTCTGATGTTTGATAATATAACCGGCTAATAACAGTAATTTAGTAATTATTGCTACAACTCACTTATGATTATAGATGTGTCCCAGCAATTAGATAACTTCAGTGGTTTTTCAGTCCTTGACGGGTTCGTTGGTCTAATGGTAGCAATGTATGCCTAATAATCAACGAGTCGTGGGTTCAAGCCCCACCGGATCCAACATGTTTCTAATTTTTCAATTTAAATTTTTTCTGAAACTTTTGGACTTCCTCCGTAAATGTAGATATAAAATGGGTGGTAGGAATATCGAAAATTCCGTTCCGTAAAAAAAGTGGTGGCATGTATAATAAAATCTAAATTGTTTTTCGGTGAGTATTCCAGTTCTTGTTCTTAGATGTTGATTTCATATGTGTATCCCGTGTTGGAAATGCACACTGTCATACTTTCTTTTATTCGCACGTTTAGGCATCAGACGAAGAAGGACAAGCGATAAAGGAGCGTATTATCGCAGCTCGGCGTAAAGTGCACAAAACCACAGGGGAAGAGGTCGCCGCCAGATGGAATTTTGAGGAAGGGGTGAGCATATGTTGAAAAAAATGGGTTATTTAAATAAAACAGTAACAAGTTTAGTTAACTAAAATATATAGCGTTTTATTTAACTTGTTTGAGACCAAGTTGTTTCAAAATGGGTTATCGTAATATTTATGTATTATTATAGTAGATATATTTTATTTCTAATAACATTGTGATATGCTAATAACTAATTGGTTACGATTTCGATTGTCTCGACGTGCACATACAGTGAACATACTTCAATTTATAGAGCACTTAACGCAAAATACTTTTTTCAATTTCTCATCATTTAATTTTTATTAAACTAGATAAAACGACCATACTTCCATGTGAAACCATTAGAGAGGTGTCAACTTAAAAATTGGAAGGCGTACTTGGAGTGGGAAAAGCAACATGGTTCCTTACAAAGAGCCCTCATATTACACGAACGATGTCTTATTGCTTGCGCTCTCTATGAGGAGTTTTGGATGCGAGTAAGTAATATAATTTGATATAAAAATCTCTCTGGATGGATTAATCGTCATTATTTTATTGTTATATTCATTTAAAATCTTAGTACTTGCGTGAAGAATAGTAACCACAACAGTCAATAACGTCCCGTAAACATTGAATTGTTCATCTAATGGCGTTTTTATTTTATTAATTTCAAATCCACACCAACTGTTTTAAAATAAATTAAAATTAAATGATTATAGATTTTATCTTCTGTAAGACAGTACAGAAATAGTGGGTTGTGAACAACTATTATTATTTTCTATTGGGGACACTGATAGTAGGCTGGGTGATCAGTCCACGCCATTTGCTGACCATTTTACCCATTTCGCCATTCCCCCTTTGCGGAGGTCGTGAAAAACTAACAATATAATCTATTATCCTCAAGTTTGACTGTATTAAATACCTTTATATAAATTTTAGTTGATAAAATTCTTGGAAGAGAAAACGCCGAGTAACCCCGAGCTGGTTGCAATAGAACGTGACGTCTTGGAGCGGGCTTGCTCGGTCCACCATCTTGACAAACCCGAACTTCACTTGCACTGGGCACATTTCGAGGAGGCTAATGGCAACACTAGCAAAGCAGCGGAGATACTTGATCGTATTGAGAAGACCTGCCCGCACTTAGTCCAAATACAGTACAGGTAGACCGCGGGTTCCATATTTTACAAGTCTAAAACACTTACACAGTTATATATATATTTAGATATATCATTGTTTTTCGGGCTGGTTGGTCGTCAAGAAAAGGTTCTCAACGTTTCGCTATCACGAGCGAACGGCATCATCAGGAGATGTTGTTCGCTCCTTGATTGCTCGAGGAATTATCATTAGAAGAAATTCATTTAATTCTTTTCGCTCACGTCACTCGAACAGCCCGGAAAACAATGCTGAACGATGGCCATGAAAGTCTTACACGACTTTTTAGTTTTATTGATGTTTCACTGAAGTGAGTTGAACCCGTGATAGGCGAAATTAAAAATGTTCTTATTTAGACAATCCGATTGTGTAAGTAGGAACTTTAAGTTTCTTTTTATTATTTCTATTAAGGTAGAATAATGCATATTGATCCTAAGCTTTGTGGAAAACACATTAGAAATAAGAGTACACTTGATTAAGAAAAGACCGCATAAGGAGATCGATCGCACTAGTTAAGGTGCAGAAAAAGGCCATACGCACATTCTCGCATGTACATTGTTAATATTCTTTTCAGGCGTGTGAATTTAGAGCGTCGTCGCGGAGACAATGAGAAATGCATTCAATTATACGAAGGATACATATCGTCAGCCAAAAACAAGTCGATAGCATCGGCTCTAGCTATAAAGTATGCGCGCTTCCTCTTCCACGCGAAGAGCGACCCCGCCGCTGCCAGGAAAGTTCTGAACGAAGCCATTGAAAAGGATCCTTTGAACGCGAGATTACATATGCAGAGACTAGATCTTGCACTACACACACCCGACACTCCATATGAACAGTTAGAAGGTATGCTACGCTAGGTCACTTACTTTTACTTCATATGTCTTTGATGATTTGATTTGTACAAAAGTTTAAATCAACGGTAAATGAAAATTGTTTGATAACAACGGTATCGTCTCGAGTTTACGCATAACGTAAAACACTAACGGTTTAAAACGCGAAATATATTACTTAGACTTATTTGAAAATTATTTTAAGTACGGCCCAACGTTTCGGACGATCACATTTAAGTATTATATTTCGTGTTTTAAACCTTTAATATGTTTTATTTAAACAACTAAATATAGCTAAGTTAAGGCAGAGGTCAGAATTTGCAGTGCCCAAACCTTATTAACTCTATATAAAGATTCGATTATTACTAAGAGATGGCATATTTTTAAACGACACCAAGACTTGTTTAATATATTTGTCATTTTTTTCCTACGTGACATAAACGATGTTTAACACAATGGTATTCTTTCAGAGCTAGTCCGTTCATATGAAAAGCAAGACGGAGCGGAGGTGGAAGTGAGCGCTCGTATGGCGTGGCGCTGGCGCGAGCTGGCCGAGGAGTTGGGCAGCGCTAGTTCCGCACGAGCAGCGTATCAACACGCGCGAGCCCTCGACAAGCACCTGAGGAAGAGAGCTCGCAAGGATAAACACGATGCCACACCGCAACAACAGTTAGTAGTTATTTACTCACGATCTGAGATAGCGGCAAGTCTTGCCTAGTTCTTCATATCAGGTTAAACTACTCACCAGCTAAGCATACGATATTTTGGATACATCAACTCTATCTATGAACTTGGTTAACAAAATATCTTCTCGTTTTCCCCTATGTATTTAACATTTTTCTATTAGAATAACAACTAAATTAAAATAATATTCAATAAAACGTGAAACATTTATTTATCTTTATATTTTGTTTTTACTTTCACAATTTTTTTCATACGACGTCGCTAATAATCCTAACTGAAGCCATTGCACCTCTCCTAGTAATCTCAAAATCATTACAAATATAGTGTTCGTCGAAAATGGCGAGGAATAATGTATAATATTTACTGTATTATTGATTATAGAACTATGGACCCTAAGAAAAAGGAAAACACTATTAGCACCGCCAGTACGACGACTACGAGCAGTACCGCTTACTACGGCACGGGAACGGCCGGCGCGCAGTCATACGATCAGTCGTACGCGCAACCCTACCAACCGCCGTGGGGCTACCAACAACCGCCCGGACCGTACCAGCACCACACGCCGTGGCCCCAATACCCCAATTACTATTAGCGCTGACACAATCGCAATTCATATTACGTAAAGTTAAGAGATCCAGCTTACGAGAGACGGTGGGGCAGTTAATATTAACTCTGACAAACAATTGTTTTAACAGCTGCCACATACAGTCCTAGCAGTGTCTTGATAAGATGGATATAAATCGACACGACTAAAACCTCACTATGGCCACTCCTCGGATGCGTACTTGCATCGTTTTAATCACATTTATCTACAGAAATAAAATTGATTTATATGAAGATACTATTTTAAAGGAATTCCTTAATAATTAAGCTAATTTGTAGTCATGGAAAATATTCATAGGTTATCTTTAATATGGTTTTTAACTTCATTTCGTAAATGAAATAACCCGCAGCAAGAAATGAAAAGTACAATATGTATGATAATTTTGTAATATCAAAATGTTTTGTGGTAACTCGATAACATATTATATGTTTCCTCTTTAAAACTACCGATTCCTTAGACTATATATTTTGACGTGTACGACTAGTATATAATTATAATGTTAGGAAATAAAACCGTAAGTAATGTAATAATGATGTACTGAGCTGAGACGCACGTTTTTAAAATGTTTGAATTGTAATAAAGAGCACTGCAAACCAACTGTGGTAGCATAGTTATATATTGTTCTTTTTAATTATCTTGGTTTGTTCTTGTAATCTCCAAACCCGAATAGGAAAAATAATACTATTCCTTTTTTGCATGAAGAGAAAAATGCTTGCTCACAATTGTATCTATTATATCCAGGTATTAAAACATTTCTAATGTGGTTATATTATAAAAACAATTTTACACTCGCCATCTTAGATCGTAATTACTATTGATTATAAAACAAAATGTCACCGCATTTCATTTCATGACTCTTGTAATTATCAAAATACAATAACGATATGACGAGAGTTTTCTGTATATCTGAAACACATTAAGTGTTACTTTTACAATTATTATAATGTGAATTGGTTTTAATTATAAGTTTAGAAAAAACCTTTGTTTTATTTTATACCAGCTGTCGTTGGTTTCGTTGATCGGATTTGAGACTAGGCGCCTTAATACTAGTTCTAGGTAATAAATAATTCATGTAAATATCAGAGACAAAAGAATAAGGTCTCAAACAGTAACTATTACAGTAATACTTCATTCAAAATAAAGATGTGTATAAGTAACTTTAAGAGTACCCACAAACAACTTGCAAATAAGCATTAAAATCAAAGACGAAGTTACACCAATCCTTTATTGATTCAAATCATAATATTGTGTCCAGTATTTTAAAGATGTAATTATTTACAAACATATCACTGATTGTGTATCTACAATAAATAAAATGCGAAGTCATTCTTAAAGAATATTATTACATAAAGCTCTAATTATATATCTATCCCCACTACTCGACTCATCGATAAAATGTGTAAAAATATGTAGAAATTGATTCGGGATCATACGTCATACTTTTAATAAGATGTTTTTCGTTTATTCTATAACGAATAAACTGGGTGGGAGCTCTTCGTTATCGAAACGACTAATACACAATACGCTTAAGTAAAATGAACACGGACAAAATATGAAAGTGAACGTCAAATACCTCAATAATTTTGAAAAGATCACCTTAAGCATTTATTTTTATACATCGTTGCCTATAGTCGTTACGATAACAAAAAGCTATTTAGGGACTGCGGCGGTCAAACCGCTCCGATCAAGAACAAGCGGCCTTCGCCGCTTTCACCGCTGCAAGGAAACGAAAAATATAAATAAATATATAAGAATACATAACTTCAACAAAATGCGCTATATTATGGAAGCTTTTCTTTAGTCAACATCAAATTGGTGCTGAAATACTAAAATTAAACTGTAATTGCATAATTAACTTAAAGACTATAAATTGGAAAAAAATACGTTTCGGGCAGGATTTGAACCGGCATCCAAAGCGTTCCGTGCCGTTTGCTCTAACCAATTGAGCTACTAAGTCCTGGCTTTTTACAATTTATAAAAGATTATTTATTTAGTGCGATCATGTGCAAAAACTTGTAATTTTTTTTGTAAGTTTTCAAACTTTATTACTTTTTAACTTATTTTGCAATGTTCTTCCTTCTTCAATTGCTCTTTGAAATTTACTAACCTTCTCTCTCTTTCCGCCTTAATTTCTTCCGGCGCCGGTCAATAGCTGCAAGCTCGGCCTACAAAAAAGAAGAAGTAACTATAACTTGGAGTTATTTTTAATATAGACCAAGACAGGGTTTATATGATAGGAGGTGAAATAGCCCGGCCACATAACATCTAAACACCCAAACTACCTTCACAGAGTGGTACGCCTTGCGTAGATCTGACATTCGGGTCATGAGAAGCTTGATGCGGGATTGACAGTCCCATGTTGGATCTGTAATAGATTAAAGTCTCACTAAAACAAAATTTTCTACACACCTTGACATAATACAATGTGGTTAGGTATATTATACTTTGAAAGGTAAGATTGATTTTTATACTTTATTCACTATGACAAGAACAACAACCAACAAGTATTCAACGGTTGGTAATTATTGACAAATACTTTAGTGATTAAAAATAATGAGGGACAAAACCAATTGAAGTATTCTTTATAATATGTTTTTATACAGACCGAGATCAACGTAGAAATTATATTTAAGCGGTTGGTGGTGATCGTCCGTGTCGCGGCGAGAGCGGCGCACGCGCACCCGGGGTCCGCTTGAACTCTCCGACGTAAGGCGGGCCCGCCCACTTACTAAGAGATAACGTGATATTTAATATAGATTATTTTTCATAAGATTACCAAGATCACATTTATAATCAACTACCATGTAATATATGTACAGCTAGCTGTACACCGTTAACAATGGAGAAACAAAAAGGGAGTAGTGGCAATCAACTGTAATCGCTACTGTGTCGCTGGGTTTATGACTGGGCGAATACATAATTGCGACAAGTATATTACCAAGTGGTTTGTCAATTTCAAGCGCACCGTGATCCGGTAGCTGCCTGCTGTCATCTTCATCTTCCTTCCTCTCTGATGGACTATCGCGTTCCGATATTCGACGCTCCCTGTCGAACAAATAACTTTATATTTCCCATATCTATATTGTTACATTAAAACTAAGAGTACAATAGGGGTAAGAAATATGAACAATTTCCTTAAATTCAATTAACGTTTATGTACGGAGAACTTTACTCCAAAACAAAGACATACCTGCGCGGCGAAAGATCGAGACTGCTGTCTGGTGTGGTGGGCGGAGTGTTATCCAGCAACGCGTGACGCCGAGGCCACACCTCTTCTCTATCCTCTCCCGCTCTTGCCACGCCTACTTCGCCAACACGAGCGTCCGCTGCCCCCTCGCGTGCCTCGTTTGAATTTCGGCGCTCTTCAGCTGTGTATAAATAACCATTATAGTAAAAAGCGTGTCGTTTTATCCTTTGGGTATGGAGCATTGATAAAAGTGGTTGTACCTTTGGAGTGGGCATGATGAGGTGGGGCACAAGCGAAGGGCAAGTGTAGTGAATGTCGCTGTGGGGCGGGTTCTGCATCAGGTGCGGGCGAACCAGGGATAGTCTCCTCGCAAAGCAGTAATGAGAGATTGCTGTCTTCCTCTCCAACGTTGGCAATAGCACCCGGTGCTGGTACAGTTGTCCGGCTACCCCCAGCAACTACCACACTGGCACCTAAAATTAAAGATATTCTAGTAAATTTGTGAGATACTGTATAGGTTCTTAAATTATATTTAATAAAATTTAAAATCATGTATTCATGTAGGTACAATTATGAACGTCAAAACATTGAAAAAATGTAAACTCTACATTTCCCATTTACTACCAGTGCCCAAATTAAGGGGTAGAACGAACTAATACTTGCAAGGAAGTCGCCCAAACTTCTTATTTTATAAGACTTATTTACTGAATACACCATTCATTTAAAATATTGTGTGAGTTTTTTCGTGAAACAGACTCTTTATGAACACTAATTACAAAATGCCCACTTACTGTGTTTCCGTTCGTTCTTGCAAGCGTCTTCTAACATAAGTAGAGTTTCTCCGGCGCTCCACTCGCCGGGCGATTTCCCAGCGTGCAAGCCGCGGGCTAACCGGCCGCTTGCACCGCTTCCGCTGCCGCTACCCCACTCCTCTACCGATAACTTATCTATTATCAATCTGCAAAATACACAGATGTTAACAAATTTTGGATAAAAACATATGTTAATGTCCTTCTTGTACCTCTTTAAAAATACTGAAAAGATGTGTGCAGTCCTGTATCCCATACTAGAACTATACGATGGCTTCTAATTCGGAAATTTTAAATATTGAACATTTTCTATGTAAGGAATAAACACGTGCAGAAACATTTTACGCTTTGAAGATAGTGCGTACAACGTAAATAAGTGTAGTAGTATCATAAAATTTTATAATTACGCATTACAGTGAGAATACTTCCAAATTTATATTCATATTTCATTTAAGAATATATTTGTAATTATCAATAAAACCTCACCTCCTATCTGAATCATCGGAATCTGTGGATTCGCTCCTGTCCTCGGGCTGATAAGGTTGCACGGGTACCGTGGCCGCGGTGACCGACTGATTGATTTGACTTGATAGCTTTTGTATAGTATCACTAAGAACTTTGTTATTCTTCCCGGGTGCTCCTAATGGCAAGTCGGCCACGCTTTTCCGCCTTTCCAATATGTTCAAAGGACTCTGCAATCTCGGGGGCGTAGCTTCCTTGGGCTTGACTTTCTTCACATCGGTCATATCCCGTTTTATATCAGTCATGGTAGACGGTTCTCCGAAAATAGATTCTTTCGTTTCAGCAGGGCTTAGTCTCTTTATTACTTCCAGTTTTGTCAACGGCTTTAGGAGGTCTGGTTTAGGCGTAGGTGGTTTTATTTCTGGTGGTACAGGTGATGCGTTTTCCTCTAACAACTTGACAGGGGGGCTGTCTTTCTTGGGCGTATTAGGACGTTCCTCCGACGGTGGTGGGGACATCGACAGTCGCTTAGCACTATTGATAGCTTTTAATAATTTTTCAGCAATCTTAGGTCCCTCTGATTGCAATAAGAAACCAGGAGGAGGTTCTGGTAAAACGTCTATTCGAGCCGGGCTATCGGGTTCAGATTTATCTTCTTCTGTATCTATAGGACTAGATGGAGCGTCTAGTTTAACCAAAGCAGGATTTGGATCGAGTTTCTCGATCTTTATCCTCGGCGGTGTTTTTGGTTCCGAAGCAGGAAGCGGTATTGACAACAAGTTGATTTCTTCGATTATAGAATTTTCGCCTGTTACATTTTCAAGTTCGTCGATTTCTATATCGGACGTGGGAGCAGAACTAGCGACTTCGACCTTGTTTTGCGGCGGTGGTGTATTTGGAGGCATTGGAATTGATTCGATAGGCGGCAACTCTTTAAGCAGAGTTATGGCATCTTTCGTTTCTTTATCTTTTTCTAGTTCCTTAGGCTCTTCTTTTACGGGCTCCTCCTTTTTAACTATTGTTGTTAAAGAAATATCTACACTCGCTGATTTTTCTTCACTCTTTACTACTTCTTGTTCATCGTCAGAAGAACGTTCATCATCTGCCGGACTATCGGGAGAATTATCTATTAATTCACGCATTTTTGTAATTTTATTTTTCTTTGAATATGTCTCTTGATTTTTAGCGGGAGTGAAACCTTCAAAGATAGGCCCCGAGCTTCCCTCACCAGGCATAGAGTCATCATCGAGAGTGAATAGGCCATCTTTAGAGTCTTCTTCGGGACTCTGTGTTTCTGGATCGCGGACATTTACAAAATCTCTAAATGGAGAACGTGAAGGCGAACTAAATGATGGCCTGGGTTTCATAGGGTCTTCAGATATCTCTTCGCTAAGCGATTTTGATAATGTCGAAGTATACTTAGTGGGTGATATATCATCAAATATTCGATGAGTTCTCTTTTTCTTTTCATCGTGTAGTTCTAGCTCGAACGGTTCAGGCTCTTTAAACTCGTAGACGTCTTCAGGTTGTTTTTCAGTTTGCGAAACTTCGGCAGCTACTGATGGGGGCTGGGTCGCAGCACTTTCATCAATTATAACTTCAGTCTTTATATTATCTTCGGGCTCTTGTTTTACAGTATGAAGCCCTTTCAATTCAGATCTAATTTCGTTGAGATCATAGTCTCGCCCTTGGTGTTGGTGAGGAGGAACATTGATTCGCGGTTTCTTTGCTGGAGAAGTACTACTCGGTGTAGAGACAGCCCTTACAGGGCGCTTGCGAGGTTTATTTGAACTATTGCTATCACTTGACTTTGCATCTTTTTGAATAGGAGCTGTGAATAAAGCAATATATTAAATACTAAAATACAACACCATACATAGGTAAATAAACAAATAATATACATACTTTTGGGACTGGATTTGCCATCTAACTTCTTGGGTGGCCCTTTCAAATCTACATCTGTATCAGAATCCGAATCACTATCTGAGGGGGCTTGTTTGCCTAAAAATGCAATTTAAATGAGATAACGTTTATACAATTTATACAAGTTTATACAATTTTACAAAATAAAATAATAACAAACCTTCAGGCCTTTTACTTCTTGGCCGTCGACTCATACCTGCACCCTGGAAATTATTTAAATAAATTAAATGTTTTGCAGCTGATAACAATTATTAACTTTTTTTTCTGTTGTTAAGTATACCTACCTTTTTGTTGCGCGTCTCAAGTTGCGTTACATTTAAAGCAATACGTTGGGGCTTGATCCATTCGTCGTAACGCGTGTTCCAGCCGGTGTAGTGGACACGCATCATACCTTCAGCCGATATCTCTATTACTTTAGCTTCGTACGTTACCTGCAGATAAGGAAAACAAAGGTAAATTGTGTTTCCAGTTGTTCGGACGTCGTAATTAAGAAATGAATTGCGATGTTTCGACATCATTACCATCTAATAATACTGACTAAGGGAAAAGTCAACACGCAACATCTTTTGTTGACGCATCCAGTAGTGATGACTAAACGTCGAGAACAATTTCTCAATTGCGATGTGCGAATACCCCAAAAACCGGAGTTACAACAAAAAACTAAAGAAACGTGCATTTATATTGCGACATATTAGTTTGTTATTGCGAATAAATTATTTTGTAGATATTTGCTAAGCTGTAAACCGATGCTTAAAAGAAGGCCCCAATCATGTTTATATATTTTTTGTTCATGATGCGATATAAACAATTCAAACCTTTGATTCTGACTGTGTAGGGCCATAGTAAACTTTGAGTTTATCTCCAACTTGAGCTTTGACGTTTGAACTCCCCAGTCTTCTAATTGGTTCGTTTGCAGACGGCCTATAAAAAATACATACGTAGAGAATCAACAAAACTATCGGTACAATATTTCATTTTTTAATAATAGAGGAGGACAGACAAGCATGTATTTCACTTACACAGCTTATAGCATCTAAACAAGATACGCTGTCGATCTATTAGAGTTTGAATATTCGGAAATCCGGACTGCAACCGAAACCCGATTAAGCTTCACGGCGTTTTCATCTGTAGATGGTGGTTCGTGACACGAACGGAATTTCTATAGTCCTACCACGCATTTAATATCTAGCAGATTTCTAGACAAAGTACAACATGTTTCAGAAAAATTATAAACATGTTGGACCCGGTGAGGATCGTGTGGGTTAGGAGTATCGGAGCAAAATGTGCCGTCGATCCAAAATAGGTCGACGGTACATTTTGTTTAGATGTCATATGGCTGCGGGTATGTCACCTTCCATCAAGCGAATCCCGTGCTTATCTGTCATCCTCTATCATAAAAAATACTAACTCAGTTGTTTTTCTTTTTCGAGGCCTCTTGCTACTGTTGGAAGCTATCGTGTTGCCGCTGCTTGCTGAATTTGCGCTTTGGCTTCGACGACTTTGCATTTTCTTTGTTAGACCACACCTAAGATTTCACATTGATTCAAAATTAGTAATAGAAAGAAGGGAACACTCTTCTATGTGGGTGTTACGAAACATATGCAGTGAAACCTTGTTAATTGGGATCTCAAGGGACGAAGACCAAGTATTGATGATTTCCAATAATCCAGTTTTCCAATTAATCAGGTTTAAAATTACAATTGTCTCAATTACAGAAGCCCCACGTTGTTAAAATGAAATAACCTGGTTAATTTGACTCAAGTATAAAGGTAATTAATCTTAGAATTTAAATGTCATCCAACTAGGTTCAAAAACTTTCATTAACAGAGGAAATAATTAAAAAGAACCGGAACCTCAATGTATCTGTCAATAATAGAGGTCTCTCATTTATCCAGGTCCCGCTTAACAAGATTACACTGTACTTGTTTTACCTGGAGGCTCTCCCGGAGCTATCGCTATCAGTAGAAACGTGTGGACGACGTGAGGCTCGCGAAATGCTTCCACCACTGCTTTCATTTACTGAACAAAAACAAGTATGTAAGTATAAATTTATATGCTACAACAAGCGAGGTATAGGAACCCCGGGAAAACAAAACAGTTTTGGTCTGGCAGGACTTAGAAATTTGATTAATTTGATAATGATAATACGTGAATGCAAAAAAAAAAAATCAATACAATTCAATGTTCGAACACAATTTCAACTTCGTGGCTTTACTTACAAAGTAACTTATATGAAGAGACATCGTTTTTGTGCTTCGGTGAATTCGATGACAAAAAAAAATTGGTAAGTAACTAAAAATGGTAAACTCACTTCAATAAGTATTTATAAGTTAACAGTAATCCCATCTCTTTCTCTCTAGCAATGTTTGAAATTAATATAAAGAAAGATTAAGATACGAAAGTTAGTTAGGTTAAATCATTCAAATGTATCAAGATAACATACATTTAGAAGACAAAGGCCGCCTCTTGGGCATTCTCTTCTCGCTCGTTTCGGTCTTGATTGGCGGCAGACTTCTAGTTTTGGAGAGAGATCTCGATTTCACTGGTGCTTTCTCTTCACTCGTTGTCGAACTTTTGTCCTTGTCCTTATCTTTGTCTTTTTCTTTCTCTTTCTCGGGTCTGGAAATATATTTGTGAGGTCTAAGTTAATATTGAATTTTTTCAGATAATAATTTAGTCATAATTTGTCTAATCTAGTTAAACTCAACACAAGTTAGTAATAAACTTTCTGGAATAGCCTCAATACTATTTGTAATTTAATTATTAAGAGAGAGACAATAAACATATTTTATTTTTATTTTTAAACTAATGAAATAAAACATTTCAACGGTTTAAAACGCGAGATATATATATATATATATATTAGTTAGCCGTGGTCACACGTACGGGCCGTGGTTGAAATAATTAAATAAGTTTAACTAATATATATCGCCTTTTAAGCCGTTAAAGTGTTCTATTAAAATGTGTACTACTCGCGTAAACTACATATATCCTAACATGCATTGTATGGCTTCGTACAATTAAGAAACTTGTTTTTTAGTTTTAATTGCATAGTTTTTAAGTACTTAATTAAGTTTTCTATAACACTAGGACTTACTTTGGAGTAGTACAAACGGGTACTAGCGGCTGATTGTCCGCACTATCGTCTTCATCGCTAGCGCGGGGCTTCTCTAGTGGTTTTTCGACTTTCTCGATTTTCTCGTCTTTCTCACTTTTGTCGCTTTTCTCTGTTTCACTCTTATCAGAATCTTTGTCTTTTCCACGCTGTAAATATGAAAACTAGTCTTAAAATAAAGTAAGTTTGTTCTAAAAGAACCTGTAAATTTGTTTCAATTCCCCGGACGTTGTATCCAGATCCCCCGATAGCATCCACAAGTAAATAAATTAATAACCCTAGTTATAGTATGTTTTTAGTTCTGTTATAAAACTATATATATGTATTAGTAAACTTTGCAATCTTAGAGGTATAAAATAAAATAGAAGAAGTTCTACTAATCTGGAAAAATTTAAAATAATTTTATACTTACAGTGGAGGTACAAGTTGAGGTCGTGCTTGTTGGTGTGGACGCACTTGATGAGGTCGCGGATGTGCTGGCGGGCGGCTGTTTATCGCGGTCGCGGATAAGCGAGCGACCCGCTGGTGGCGTTCGCGCACCCCGCGGATGCGCAACTAACGTTACACCCAACTTACGGTAAAAGTCTTCGAAGCTGTGTAGAAATCTATTAAAAATGGAAAATTTATTTAATTTAGAATTAAATTATATATCTTTTTTTTTTAAACAAACATAACAAATTAAAAAAGTTATGTTAGAATATTTATTATTGTAAATGACAAAAGAAGGGGTTTACATGTGCGCGCCGCAATAAGTCAACAACAATAAATGTAGTGTATGTAGCACAGATCTCTCGTAATTAGTAGCTCTGTGACGACAAGAACCTTATGGGTAAATTAAATATGGAAGCAATCATTTGATATATGTACATAAAAATAAATTACATCTTCGAAAAAATATATTGTGACATAAACACAAGTTCCTCACTTTTTATAAGCCTGTTTGCATAGATTAGTAATACTTGTGGTGACAGGGTGAAAACCCATTTTATCAGCGATTGTTTTCCATTGATTCTGGTTAGTCACCCGATTATAGCCTCCTAGTTTTTGAACCACCTGTAAAGATAATATAAACCTATACTAGCCACTACACATTAAATAGACAGCAAAGAAAATTTTGTACATAAAGACTACTATTGTGAGATCTTTATACTGCCCCAATTTTATTGTATTTTTTTTATCTTGCAATATGCATCCTAATGATAAGGGTAGTTTTGTTGGTATTGGTCATTTTATAAAAAACGTTGACATATTTACCCTATTTAAAGAAAACACTTTAACGGTTTAAAACGCGATATATTAGTTAAACTTATTTGGAAATGATTTTTAACTTCGGCCCGACGTTTCGGATGCTTTGCAGCAGCAGCCGAGGTCACTGGTTGCCCCGTGAAAGTTAAAAATCATTCTCAAATAAGTTTCACTAATATATCGCGTTTTGAACCGTTAAAGTGTTTTATTTAAATGTGTACTACTCGCGTAAACTATAGACAGTATGTTTACCCTAAACAATCTGTAAAGGTCAATATCCTTATTGGCGATGGTGGGATTTCGGTTGAGCGGCGTGCCACGGTCGTCCATAAACTTGTACAATTGGGCGACAAAATGATCTTTCTCCTCTCTCGGTTCATCATCGGAACTCTGGAATTTAATTTCCTAGATTAAAATAAAGTTAAAGAACTTTGAAGTTATATACATTTAAAACGATATATTGAAACAAAAAACGTTACACGGGCAGGATTTGAAGTGGCATTCACAGCGTTCCATGGTGTTATTGAGGTATCCTGTCCAACGCGACATCGAGCAATTCATTCAACCTTCACACTTATTTCGATTCCAATTATATATACTTGTCCTAATCCTACTCTTTCAACTGTATGTGTGTGAAATCCCGTTTCCCCCTCGTGGGGCATGGGGCGAACACATTTTAGTGTCCGTTTCACTGATCTGTTCTTTAACAGGCAAGTAGTTGATCAGAATTTTTGTTTACCTGGGATTCGAACCCATGACCTCTCGCGCTTAACGCAATGCTAGGCAATACGTTTAACTACTTGGCTACAGAGGCGGTTCAATTGTATATAATGAGGTAATATTGTTTATCTACAAAAATTTATGACAAGCATCTTGAAATAATCTCAGTCTCTTATAAAGTGATAGCAGTCGAGTCTTTTTTTGTGTAACATTTCTTTAAATTTTTGGTTTTAAGTTTAAATAAAAAATAAACTCTTACATCATCAGACGTATTCCTGGGTTCATTAAATAAGGAATCTCGATCCCAATGTGGTGGAAGCACACCGTTATTTAGATACTGAAGCGCCGCTTCGACACCGCACCATTCCAGAGGCGCACTGCCTTTGCGAAATTCACGAGCCTCTTTTTTCGGTACTGTATAACTGAAAGAGTATTAATTATTTTTTAGTTAGTTACTTGTTTAGCATGACTCTTAAAATTTTCATATTTTTGATTTGATTATTGTCACACTGCACAGGAAATAATATTATATTTTAAAACTTAGGACAGCTAATGTGATATACAATATATTATTGATTATCTTTCCCCGGAATTCATTTTTTTCCTGTTTTTGGTAACTTAATGTATTTAAAAAAAAAATTCTTTTTCAAATATCTAAAGCTAAAATTTGGACGACAGCGCACTGTACCGAGATGTTATATGTTTGGGGTTTTACACCTTCCACCAAGTGTAGTCCATACCTTGGTGTGGCCCTTTACTATATCACATTAATATATATATATATTTATCGACAGGTGCTGAGAACTCACTATCGCCCATCTTTAAATGATCTAACGAGATAATCCTCCTTCACTTTTATCTGCGCCGTGGGTGCAACAACTAGAGCTGGAAAGGCGGGTTGGTGCGGCCGGCGTCTCTCCGTTCCACTGGCTGACTCTACTAAAACCACTCGACCCACATGAGGCTCGCGTTCAGCACTATCTGCTTTTACACGACGCGTACTCCCTTCACCGTCACTTTCATCAGATCTGAAATGAAAAATGTATGAGAATTTAGTGGATACTAATAAATAAATTACATATATTATGTAGATAACACTATATAATATAATGGTTATACTATAAGTGAAGTATAACTTACTGTGCTCTCCCACGTCTTCCTCGCCTACCAGCTATAACGGGAGTAGAGAAATGTTCTGGATGGGTCAGTGGTAACTGATCTAGAGTTTCACTCTCATTGAAATGTCTCCCACTTTTGAGGCATAGTGCTGACCTGCGTAGTGTTGTTATGTCACCATCATCAAACACTGAAAATTAAAGATATAAGAGGTGTTGTTCCTTCAAAATGTTCTAACATTAGGTTAATTATAAACAAAATTGTGTGTTAAAAATTTTTTAAATTTATTTTCGATTTTTAAATTGCAATTACCTCAAAGTGCAATAACATGTAAAAAATAATAAAGTTTTCACAATATTGTGTGTTATATGTATTCAGTATATATTAACAATGATGACTATGACCTATTGATCATTTATCACTTACCAACAGTGTACTGGCTACAATCTTGAATTTTTGTTATAACAGCCTCTATAGAATCCTTTTTAGGATCTTGCTTTATTTCAACTGTACTACCAACTCTTAATGTGCCTTTAATAACATCATCATTCACAGTTGCTATTCCACCAGCTTTGAGAGTCACCTAAAACAAAAGGAAGTTTTATAGCATATGTTGCACCTTTAAAAATGAAGTCTAGTCTACAACTCTAAAATATCTAGAGGGCTAAGAATAAGTACTAACCTTACACTTAATGTTGCGGACTACTTTCTTAACTTTGGCTTCACAAAATGCACCTTTATATTTTGCACTGACATCAGTACCAACAGGAAGGTAAGGAGGATCATCTCCCTGCTAAAGAAATATTAAATAAAATTCACATTTCATCATTTTTAATGCATGTAAAGAAATGAGAACCACATTATTTACCATTTTTACCAAGTTTCTTTTAACACAGTTATAAAAGGCTTAAATCTAAAACAACCACAGTACGAAATGCTCTGCTCTTTTTAATTAAGAACCACTCAAAATTATGTGCATTTAGTGTAATTCATAACACAACAGCTAAACCATATTATTAATGAAAGTTGATTGCGCGGCAAGAGACGCCTCTCTTTAAGATAAAAAAAAACTACACTGTAATCATGATTCATTAAACTGTTTACACTACGAGGCAATTTAGGTATTTACATCCAGTAGTCTTATTTAAAAACATAATTCCCGTTAGCGAAATTATCAATACGCAAAACAGTCAAACAATAAGCTCCATTTTCTTGAATTCACATTGCACAGATGTATAAATGAGTCAAGTTATTGAGATTCTAAGACTATGTCTGTATAATCAATGTCAAAACTGAGTTAGTCCGTTCTTCTCTTGTAAAAATATTGTACATCTGTGGTAGGAGTTAGCTAATATCAAAGTCTGCGTTTGTAATAATGTATGATAGCCTGTGGTTCACTATTTGTCAATTTGTTCATTGTTGACCTGTCTGTTTCTTTTTGTCATCAAATAAAGATTGAACACGTCAAAATTATTTTTTTTGTGGAAGTTATTGATACGAAACGATGTTTTGAAAATGAATTTATTGACTACAATGAGATTTGGGAGTGCCTAGATTATTCTCACACATTATTTATGAAATTTTTTGTGTTAGAAAGTAGTAAATGCTTTAGATGACTGTAAAAATGAAGGCTCTAGTTGCAGCTGCTATCAGCCTAGCACTCACCACAATAGTAATCGGCAATGCATATTACCAGAAAAAACAGTTTTATCCATCCGTTGTGTACCTTACTAACTCTAATCCTAGCATGGCTGTAAGTACTACTTAAATTCTTTAAAATGTACCTTATGGTAAACAACTGGTGTCCTGTTGTATTCAAAAACAATTTGTACATATGTTTTAGGTAATGTATTTACAAGGTCTCATCCTTGTTCTGCTAGTAGGAAAAATTATCAGAAAAATTTTCTTTGGACAACTACGTCCTGCTGAACTTGAGGTATGTGAAAATGAGTTGTCATTGACAAAGATTACTTTTATTGTGAATATTAATAAGTATCCTTTCCTAGTGTAATTAATAAATTACTGAATCTGAATATTGTAGTTGTATGATTTTTCTAAAGCCTTCTTGCACTTTATGATATTTTGGGCAGTGAGGGCTGATAGAAAAATATATCCTTAATACTTAAAGATTGCTCAATGTCAATTATTTTTCTGACGCTTAACACCTAAACTATTAGTTTGCAAAAGATGGCAGAGAAGGGTTTATATTGATAAACATATCTAATTTGTATAATTTCAGCACTTAATGGAGAGATCGTGGTATGCAATAACAGAAACATGCTTAGCATTCACTGTGTTCAGGGACGATTTTAACCCAAAGTTTATAGCACTGTTTACTGTTTTATTGTTTTTAAAAGCGTTCCATTGGCTTGCTGAAGATAGAGTTGATTATGTAAGTTATTTTTAAAACTATATATTGGAGTCAAAATATTTTTATAATGTTAAAAACTGATTACCCTATGTGCTACTAAACTTATTAATTGGTGTAGACTATTAAGAAATATTTTTCTGTAAACTTAGAGCATGAATACATTCTTTTAACCAAGCAAGGCACAATTCTTTAGGTAATTTTTATTTAACTAATTAAAATTGATAAGAAAAATTAACTTAAAATATATTTGCTATGTGTAAGAGGAACAGGAATTACAGTTAATATCAATTTGAAAGTGGCACTGCCTTAACAATATAATATTTAATTTTTTGCCTTCTAGATGGAAAGAAGTCCAGTTATTGGCTGGTTGTTCCATGTAAGAATATTGACATTGCTCATGCTGCTGGCGCAGGCAGACTTCTTTTTCATACATCACGCCTATCAATTTACATTGCTCAAAGGTCCTTCTGTTCAGTTAGTGTTTGGATTTGAGTACAGCATACTATTGGTGATGATCGTGAATATTTTAATTAAGGTAATTCAATTAATATTATCCTTAGAATATAGAAAAGGGTCATGGCTCTACAGTAATACCCCCCCTGAGGCAGGGAATATGTGGGCAAAATTGCGTCAACTGAAATTTGTAGGATCGGGATTCCTCTGGTATTCAATCACAAATGAAGAAAAGGAAGCTAGGATCCCCGCTACTAAAGAAAACTCAATAACTTTTTTTATGATTATACACATTCTTTCACGTAATGCGAGGCTTTTGAATGCGGAATTTATAATTGTTATTTTAGTCAAACCACATAACAAGTCACGTAAAGTGGGGTATTTTTGTTTGTATTAAATAAAAAGAGATATGAAAAAGTTCCATTGGCTTTCTAATTACTAAATAGATTATTTAGTCATTAGCGTTTTGTTTTATATCTTACAAAAATGCAATGGCAAATCATTAGGTTTTTAATATCAATAATCATTTGTTGGTTTATAACTCCTCGTGTTATAATTTTAATTGTAACGGAGTTGTCACAGCGATCACAAAACAAAATTAAAATTTTTAACGCGTGGCATAGCAACGCAATAAGTGGAAGGTCATTGCTTTAATTCCGGAAACATAACTTTCTTTTAAATAAGTTTTTGCCTTGAAGGGCTCATTTAACAAAGATAAAATATTATTAATTAATTTTCTTTTGTCAAAGATATGGTTAATTAAATAGAACTGATAATGTCCCCAATACATTCCCATGTTTGGTTTATATTATGTTCATAAAATATACCAAAATTAAACTTTCTGTATGAGGAGCAACGCCACAGTGCGACGACTGTCGTTGGTTTTAGTAACGGCTGTACGATATTAGTTTTGAATTTATTTAATAATGTTCTTTTTCAGTACGTGTTGCATGCGATCGATTCGCGCTGGGAAGCGCCATGGGAAAGCAAAGCAGCCGTTTTGCTATACACTGAATTGGCTATCAACTTCTTCAAGGTCCTGCTGTATATCGGTTTTGTAGTTATCATGGTCAGAATATTCACTCTGCCGCTTTTCGCTTTCCGACCTATGTATGAAACAATGAGGTGAGGATATATTATCTTAATTTAAGGTACATGACATTATAAGGACATAGTAGGGATAAAGAAAAACGATCAGGGATTCTAATCTTTTTTATTGGAATAACTTTCTATTGTACTTCTTGTCTCTGTTTGTATAACACAAGTGATTGTTGGTCTTCTTTACGAAGTTAAAGACAAAATGTTGATTACCGCATTGCTTTATTGTTATTTTACAAAGATATTTTAGGAAATTTACAACATATTGATTCTAGTCTTAAAAATGTAACTTTATTGTTATTTATTCTAAAGCTTGTAAAACAATCTATGAATATACTTTCAGGAGTTTCAAGAGAGCATACAATGACGTAGTGCTGTCTAGACGCGCGATAAGAAATATGAACACCCTGTATCCAGATGCGACCCCAGAAGAGTTAGCGGCTGCTGACAATGAGTGCATTATTTGTCGCGAAGAAATGCATGGAGGTACTAAGACATATCTAATGCATTGTTTTCAATGAAATGGTTAAAAAAAGAGACCTGAGCTAGTCATTGGTTTTCGTGTCTATGCTTTCTATTTGAACTGTGTTCTACAAAATGACGTGCAAGATTTGAATCCAATGTCTGTGATGTTAGCCACGTTTTTGCAACCCCTTTTACATTTTTAAGAAGCAATTTAAAATGGTAATCTCTTAAGGTCAACAACGGTCAATTAACTCGTACATAAATAACGATAGCAGAACTTCAATTTAGCTTATCTTAAAGATAAGGTAACTTTAATCCTACATGAATCATCATATTTTATTAATATTTCGCTAATGTCGTTATTGAGCAGACACAGAGAAGTATTGTTCCCATCGATACACGATGTAAAAAGTTAGGTAGTCACGGCTTAGTTTAGATTTCTATATTATAATTTTAAAGTTGTTAAAAAAACGCACACTATCAGTAAATACATATTGTAACAGGCTATAACAGCCTGTTACAACATGTATACAACACGTAGGTATGTGAGAATTGTGTTTACGAAGTGATTAATTTAGATTTATTTCGCGATAAGAGCCATAAAGTAAAAATGACCTCTGTGTTACGATAGTACATATTGTAATTTAAACAATCACTTAAAACATTGCATTTTGAGGTTGATTCTTTTAATAATATTTGAAACATTATTATTTTTCATGTGCAACATGTTTTCTTGTCGCTGTGTTCTGGTCTGGTTCATTTATGAATTCGTTGAACAAATTCGATAATAAGGCACGGAACGGTTTAGTGGGGGTTATGGGTCAAAACGGTTAAAACATATGTTTTTTAAATTGTATTTTGTATATGAAATAAATAAAAAAATAATAACTGACATATGTCGAAGTTTACCTTTTAGTCGTGTGTTAAAGGAATGTTGAATGTTTTTCAGGAGCGAAAAAACTACCCTGCAATCACATATTCCACGCGGCGTGTCTGCGTCTCTGGTTTCAACGTCAGCAGACCTGCCCCACGTGCCGTCTCAACGTGTTGCGGGCTCCAGCTCCCGATGCGACGCCGGCCCCTAACGCCCCGAACGCGCCTCACCCGCCGCAGCCGCACGCCGCCAATGTGCCTCCGCCGCCCGGAGTACCGCCGCCACCTTTCCCCAATATGCCACCACCACGTAAGAAATTATTTGCTCTAAAATTTTAGTAAAGAGATATAAATGTACTGGGAAATCTTGTTTTAAGGTATCTATCTGAAACGTCGGATCGTAATTAAAAATAATAAGATATATAGATTTCGCGTGTTCTACGATTAAGTGTTTTAATGGGTGTTAACGTGTTAACAATAAATATTGCCTATTTATATTCTTCATGTAAATGTCTTTTAAAAGTTATAGTAAATTAGAAAAGAACTCGTTTCCGACTACGCTAAATACAAATATGTACATTGTAGTTTTAGTAAAGTATATCTTTTCTTTGTCTTTGATCATTATTTTTGTCACTTTCCGCGATTTAAAAATAAAACGCTAATGGAGGTATAATAAAATATATACTAATGTTTCAGCAATGATGGCGTGGGGAATGCCTCCCCCGCCGCCGCCGCGCCCCGCGTCCCTCGCGACTCTCTCCACGGAAGAGCTTCAGAGAATGGAGGGAACTGAAAGGAGAAACATCGAAGCGCGACTTCATGTACGATCTGATTTCTAGTCTAAAATATTAATAATCAATGCTCGCCAGGATCACTAGTCTAATTCAGCCACACTAGTGAATTGCTACTGAATAATGAGAAGCTCTGATCCTGGCATTATAAATATTATTAGATATGATCTTGTGTTATCTACACTGGACTTTTGAACATAAAATTTAACATTGAATTCACATCAATCAATCTTACTTTTTAATTATATATTTTTTTAATATTGTTCCCGCGTTGCAGCAAACAATTTCAAATCACGTAGTAATGATGAATATTGTTGAAATATCTTATTATTTTAGCGAATGGTTTATACCCGTCAAGGCTGTATCGACATAGCTTCGCTATTTCGTACAATATTTTATCTAAAGCACTTCAGCAATAAAAGAAAAAAACGACCATCCTCACAATCTTTTATATTATTCGTACATTCAAATAAATCTTGATTTGGCAGTTGCTACACGAGATCCAAGCGATGTTGGACGCGTCAGTGTTGCTCATGCAGCAATATTCTACCGTGGTCTCCAACTTGCCACTCAACTGTGCAAATGTCGCCACACAGACTGACATCAAGTAAGTATAGATATTCCATTAAAACTGTAATATGAAAAATTTGTAATCAGAAAATAATGCTAGCCTCTGAAAACTAATTGGGATTAATTATAATATGTATATCTATTATTATTTTTAAAACGATCTTACATGTCAATGTTTTGACAAGGTATATTTGCTTCTTTATCTGTGGACAAGACACAATCTTTGTCCACAGATAAAGAAGCAAATGTATACCATTTCTACACATTAAGGACGAACAGTTTTTAAGCTGTGCACCTTATTTTTAGTGGTTTTAAAAATAATAAAATAACATCACCTTTTTTGTATAATAACGGCTCTTACGATACAGTATTTGTTTTAGTATGATTTGAAACCATTACCATACATTTATGACATTATTAACAATTTCTTTCATAATTTCATTAAAGAGAAACATCCTGGTTAGAAGAATAGAGCATTTAGTTTTTTCTTACAGTATTTTGTACAGACTATCGGGTATGTCTTAGTTATAACTTATTACTAAATAAAACTTCACAGCCGAACTGAACCATCACCGTCGCCGAGTCCCGTGAAAGTAAAAACAGAACCCGATGTGGTTCCAAGCACCTCTTTCAAGCCGACTCCTGGCCCTTCCACTAGCACTGATAACTTTGTTGATGAGGCTGACTTAGATCAAGTAGAAAACATTACAACCGCGACTCACAGGTAATAAATAACATTGCGCGATCGTTCTTTTGCGTGATTTGCATTGTTATTATACCTTCACAACATAACTAACACAAGGGCAAAGACAAAAATATTACATTTTGTTGTTTTTTTTTTATGGTTGTTGGTGTGATAGTAGCAATGTATAGTAATAATCAACGGGTCGTCGGTTCGATTATATTTTTTATGAATGTTGGGAATTCGTCTGTAAATCTGGATAATAAATGGGTGGAGGGAAATTAGGAATATCGAAAATTCCGCCCGGGCTATTCCACAGATGAAAAAGCTGTAAAGTTAAATCGCGTTTCGGTCTCAGTCTGTGGATTTCCAAATATCCAAAGCCAAAATAGGTCGGCAGCACATTTTGTTAAGATGATTTATAGTTGGGCTATTTCACCTACCATCAAGTGAACCTCGTGTTGTCTGTTCTCCTCTATTTAAAAAAAACGCTTAATACAACATCTTTACTGAAATATTTCCACAGGTTCTTAAGTTATGTAATATTTACGAAGTAAAAGAAGTTTTTCTCTTTTTAGTGAGAGCACTGATGCCAATGCTGAGGAGTTAAGAAGACGCAGATTACAAAAGTTTAGTTTAGAAAAATGAATATTTAACGTAATAGAAGTCTGTATTACACTGTCGTATCTTTTATTAATTTTTATTGTACAAAGTGTTTTTGGCATGTGTACGCCTAATCGAAAATAAATGTATTTATGTTCTTGTAAATATAATGAGATATATACATGAATACATTTAAACAATACTTTTTCTTCATACTTCTTAGATAGCTAGTCAAGAAAATAAACCTTTATAAGTACTAATATTTATTTATTAAACTATTCTATTCAATAAATTAGATTAACAATTGTAAAAGGCATTTATGTAACCGTAAATTTGTGGATTGTAGTTTTCAAGCACTGGTATCCCGCTGAGATATCTACTGGAGTCATACAACTTCAGGTCATTTTTACAGTACCAGACGTTTTTAGGTCCTTCGGTTCCTTCTACATTTAAAGTGTTAAGTTCGAAGATACCAAAGTGAAAACGTTGGCCGTCTGTTTGTATACAGTTAACATATACGGGTTCAGGTAAGTCTTTTGTTTCCTCCTGAAATAAATTGATGTTACATATAAATTACATCAGGAGAAATTACTGTTTGTGTTATATTGTATATATTCATACTAATGGGCTTCTTGGGTTTAGGAATCACCTTTTGATACCCCAACACATAAACAAATCAAAATTTAATCAATAAAATTTTGTTGAATGTTTTTTGTATTACAAGAAAAATTTTCTTTATTGCTTTCTCTATCTATAGCCTGCTGTGCTGTGAACATATTCTCGTCTACAACAATAAAAAAAATTGAATAATGATATACACACCCCATATAATTGTTTAGCAAATGCGGACGCAATAGTGAAAGCATGTGTCAAAGATCGGCCTAGGACTTGTATGGGGGTCACAGGTTCTTCATAAAGATTGTTGACTTCAGTGGGATTGTAGTGTAACCATGTTGTATGAGGGTATTTGACTGATATGTTTGACCGGATCGCTAGAACAAAAAGTATAGCTTTAAAAGCCGTTTAGCTGTGAAATGCTATTTTCTGTAGTATCACATGGGGCCCAAGAGACTTTTCCTTTTTCTATTCTATTTAGAAGAGCTAAATAGATCAAATCTTAGTGCTCTGCCCTAAACAATAATATATTGTTTCCCTGGAATTTAAAACCTAGAACCTATTGTATTTAGTAGCCAACATGTTTAAACACTGACCGCATAAGTGGTTTTTAAGTAGTTTAATTCTATATTTTTATAGGTATTTGGCAATTGGATAAAAAGTAAAACATTAAAATTACACTATTTGTAATTCAAAAAAGCCTTTTGTGGCAATGAAACTTAGATAAATGTGTATTAATGAGCAAATAATGACACAAAATAAAAACTTAGATGAAAAGGAGTTTTTATCTTCAATTTACTTACGGTATTTGCTACTTTCATCATAGAAATGCTGTGCAGGTAGTGAAATTGTATGTTTTATAGGATATAAATCAGGTATTCCAATAAATGGTATGTCTTCGTTGTCGATTTCATGTTTCAGTGGCTTATTACTTGTAACAAGGATGTTTGAGATATCCTGAAACTGTATAAGTTCCTCTTCTTTATCAAATAGTGTAGTACAGTCCACATCATTTAGAATATATTTATTACAGGTCACATCGGTGTCACTGCTCTTTTCAACTAATTGTAGCAGTCGGTTTGTTAATACTTCACTGAAAGAATATTTTGCTCAAGTAAATACAGTTAACATAACATTTACACATCTTGTATTCGTAAATATTATGTTATCTTACTAAGACTAAAATATATTGTTTAATGTTCAAGCATTTTGTGCAAATATATATGGGTTACATTCCTGCCTTAAATATAAGCTTTATTAAACACAGACAAAATACCTACTTTCGTCTCCTATCACTAATTCCTAAAATCCGAGGAAAGTTGTAAGCAGGTCGCTCCAGGTCTTTTTTCTTAGGTAATTTTTTTTGTTGACAATCAAAGACATTGGCACTCAGTATTGCTTTCTTAACACCATCATGAATAGCTTTAGGAGCTGATAATGCTGCTAATTCCTCAATTCTAGGTGGAAGTTTATCTTCAGCTATAACCGTTTTTGTGAGGACCTGGGCTTGACATATGCCTTCTAAAAGGACGGAGGTATTACTCAAAGTGTAACATGGTTTTTCTTTGTAGTTGGGATGGTTTTGATCTAAAGGCAGCGGTCTTTCGTATGGTCCTACAATATCAAGTCTGAAAGGTGAATATCATTAGTTATTTTAAAATAATGTATTTTATTTATATAGTTGAAAGTTGACTTGAGGAATACCTTTCCCGCAATTCCGGTTTCTCTTTCACGAATTCAAGAGCATCTTCAACGTTTATTCCTTTTTCTTTTAGATATTGTTCTACGCCTGAATCAATTGGTACGCGTTTTCCTTGAATTACCCAATGTTTTTTGAACATAAAACCTATATGTTGAGCATACAACACCCTTGAGAGTTTCATGTTTTATTACTTTACGTTTAAAAATGACTTAAATTGTAAAAACACTTCACTACAAGATACAAATCAAAAATTCTAAATACATATAGGTTAGGACCACAGATTAGCGCTTACATTTTAGAAGCGTAGAATACAGTTCACAGATTTCGAAACCACAGATAATGTTAGTAATATGCAAAACATGCTATTTCGTAATTTTTGAATTACTCGATAATAATATTCTTTTTTACCTCAGTGCATTTAATGTCACGCCTGATTTTTATATCGCACACGAATACCAAATCCTTTTTTGTATTTTGTTTAGTGATATATACATTTTTATATACTTACTATACGAGGTACTGGTCGGTTGCGTCTATAGGTATCGTAATATATCGGTGTCATAAATTAGTTTTTTAACATAACGACACTTGCATAATAAGATATACGTATATGGAGATCGTCCCCCCCTCGGGGCACCCTTGGTCTAGCCGCAAACAAATGTCCAGATAGTATTGATGGCCTCGAACCAAAATAGTCATTTCAAAATAAAAGGAGATCATTTGTGTGCCAAAAAAATTATATGTGTTAAAAATAGAACAATAATAATTTAAGTCCCTGGTTTGATAACGTATTATATGTATATTATTCCTACTCTACTCTACTACTCCAGGAGTATTATATTAGATTATATTCTACTCCAGTACAGAATTTATCTTCGTCATCGATATTAAATATTGGTACCAAATTTTGGTAGTTTACTTGGATAAGGCCCGCATCTACTCTTAGATTTATATGGGTAATTATCTACTGTAAATTGTATAAGGCTTTCGAGACAATTCTAAGTACTTTAATGACAAATTGAGAAAAGGAAATAAGTAAATGAAAGACAACAATATACATTTCGTAAATATATATATTTTTATTAAATTTATATCTTCCATCAATACATACATGAAGTCGGAAGGTCATGAAATTTAAAATTTAAACCCAGTTTGCGGTGTTACATTTATGGAATTGGTACTCCTATTACGTTTCCTTTAAACAGAACGGGGAAGACATCGCCAGAAAAAACAGCCATTTTGAACGTTCAGCACCTTCATATAAAAGTTTCAACATCCATATACAATTGACTACATATATTAATTGTTAATTAAGGTATAATATTGATGGAGGAATAATACTTTACAAAATAAACTTATCGAAATATCTTCGGTTTATGCTAGGAGCTATAAAAATTGAAAATAATACAACTAATTAATTTCATAACTAGTAAGACATTACAATCCCTTACCACGAGATCAGCGACAAGTGACGTCACCTGGTGTTGCAATCATCAAAAAATTTAAAAGACTACATTTTTAGTAACAAGATTGTGATATTACCATTAGATATGACTCAGTTTTAAAGGGTAGCTATTTAAGATGGTAATTTTCCACTTATTTGCCCCGCATTAAATCTACTTTAACTAAAGCCACTTTACCGCTAGAAGAGTTCTGATGACCATTCAAATACATCATTAAGATTGGTAAGTTTGACGTTCCATTAAATTTGAAGTAGCTTCACATTTTATAGATCTGACGTTTTGAACAACTGTAATATTGGTTTTTAAAGTGGCTTTAAATATTATAAATCGTTCTTGCAAATGAAAGGAAACTCATGAGTAGATAGGTCCCTTTGGTAATTTCGCATTAATTTACCATTTGGTGGGTCAAATAGATTTACGAATCTTTGGACTTTTGAATAATTAATAGAATTTTGTTATGTCCTTCATCACATACGTAATTTTAACCGCATATTGCAACAATTTGCGAATCAAACATACAACACTTATCATCTACTATAATATAATACCTAATTAATTTTTATAAAGTAACAAGATTTAACTTATATTTACAGTATTGTTAAATCGATAGCTGAATTTCACTATTTTATCTATTCAAGTATAATTTTTACATTTAAAAATTATAGCGTTCGAATTTCATGATTTAACACAAATAATATTAAGGCCGTGAGAGGCCGGGTCGCGAATATTAGTAAGACTGGAAGTTTTAATAGAAACGAATAAACAATTGCGTTAAGGCACCGTCGGTCAAATATCGTACAAATAGAACCTTTAGGTTTTACATTTACAATTAAAAATAAATTCCACTGGTGGACGTGCATGAGATCAAATCCGACATTTTGTGAAATTCTACATTTAATTCAAATGAAACGCGGGGAATGGATGAAATGGAGGAATCGTTGAAAATGACAGAAATAAATAACAATGTGTAATCGAAAGGTTGCATTGTGTGGCACGTGCGATAAATTTTATCAGTGCTGTGATATCGCCATAGTCAGAGCGCGGTGGTCAAGCGCGTGTCGGGTTCAGTCGTCGTCCTTCTTCTCCATTTTAGGTTCGTACATCGCGTGCAGTTGCTCTGGTGATATTCTGCAAAACGAAATTGATACAGATAAGTATTTTTATTAATTATAATAAATCTCATTAGGTGAAAGACGAATATATAATTTCATTTTAATTAGGTACTACATCGGTCTGTTGTAAAAAGGAAAGTTGACGTTCGGCTTATATTTGAAGCCGAACGTCGAATAGCTATAGCCCCCAAGCCTATTGGCACATTTAGATAATAACTCATGAATTGGTTTTTCAATCTTTAGAACACTAATGTATTGTAATATGGATATAACCAAACGCATTTTCGAGTATCCCCAGAGTCTTTTCTTTTTAATTTTTCAATTTTTAAGTACGTGAGTAATTAAAGTAATCATGATTTTTACGCTAAGGTAATTGCATTGATATAAAGCTACTGTTAGTTCTTACCCAAGCAAACTCTGCAGGTCGCACACGAAGCGGTATACATAGCGCTTTCCGGCGGTTTTATGGATGATATTCTTGTCGTAGTAGTAACGAAGACCGCGAGACAGTTTCTCATAGTTCATCTTGGGCTTATTCTTTCGGATACCCCAGCGTCTAGCAACCTGTTGGGGTAACATTGCGATTAATTTTATTTTCTACTAGCTTAAATATAGTTAATATATAGTTTGAAATAAGCGCTATTTTTACATTTCCAAGTTATTTTATACTATTCTTAGATCTACTGATCAGTTTTATCTAAAATGAATATACTACTGTATCCTTCAAGTCTATAACATACTTATTCAAACTAAGGAACCTACCTCACCTTAACCTCTGTACTTTTTCCTTTACATAAATATACTTATTTCACTTGGCTTAAAAGTCCCCTTACCAGCCCATAAAATATAATTTAAAAAAATACTGACCTCATCAGGATCGGTGAGTTTGAACTCCCAGCCGTCTCCCGTCCAAGAGATGAAACCTTGGCAGCTCTTGTCTGTGAGTAGCTCGAGGAGGAACTGCCACAGCTGGATTGGGCCTGATCCTGAACACGTGCAAACACAGTTGCTTTACGATATACAACAAATTCTATATATCAGAGGAGGATCCAGTTTACCATAGATAACATCTTTAGGACAGCATGATGTATATAAAATACGCATGTTTTTTATCAAATCGACTTAACTTTCTATCTTCAGCCTACAAGCGGTGTATCTAATGCCTTCATTAGATACTCCGCTTGTCACAAAAAGGATGAAAAACTGTAAATTGTAACAACAGATTTTTTTTACAATTTTAATCAATTCAGTTATGATTTATATACGTTTAGGAAAACTAATCAGCTGATGCTATATTACCGGTAAAGCAAGGTCCTGAAGCTGGGTAAGGCAACTTGTCTTGTGGTATCAGCGCGTGCTGTTCGCCCGGCCATTCACTCCATTCCGCGCAAGCGCCGCCGTATTCGGGCGCATAGCCTTCCCCATATACCTCGCCGCCGTACCTTCCTCCTGCTGCTGAAAGAAAATTTTATTTTAAATAAAAAACTGCTCAGAATATTAGATCGACTGTCACTGGAGCATTTCAATTTAAGATGTGAAATTTAAGCGATGAACGGTGTAAAACTCGAAATATATTAAACTTTTTTTGCAAATTTTTATTAACTACGGCTTTAGGATGCTTGCAGCAGCCGTAGTTACAGGGAGACTGTTTTATTTGACAGGTAGATATTGGAAATGTTACTATATTTTACATGTTATTGCACATGATGCCAGTATATTATGCTGGTTCATGGCCTGCCCGAGTCGAAAATGTTTTCATATTATTTTCGGTTTTTAATTTATATAGGTAGATATTGATTTTTAGACTTTCCTTTTAAAAACCTAGGTATTTTTAAAAACTAATCGCTGTGAGACACTTATGTTAAGAGTTTATATATTTACAAATTTAATTGATTTAAAGTTGCTATTTCCGTCAGGAGTTGAAAATAGCGCGTGGAATACGACACCAAATGAATATAATGGTGGCTTGCAACTGAATACACATGCATTAATTAAGAACCAAGTCAGAAATCCCTTTGTTCTTTATTATCATTGCATCTTTCCTAATGACTTGACGCTATTTTTTGCCCGCAACAAGGTGTTTGCGTATTTCCAACGTGCCTCAGTAATTATTTTATATCAAGGGATTATTTTTTTAGGCATACGAGTTGAAAATTGTTTAATACTATAAAAGGGAGTAACATAAAACTGGAGATAGAGTTACAATAAAATATAAGTGCGTAAATTTTATAAAGCTTTTGCGGCCCTTTTGCAAACCTTCTTGGGATGTCAAGCTGTAAGAACATCGTTATTGTCGATGGTACAAACCATTCCACGACCGTCAAATGGTCAAAACGCAGTATCGAAAAGTTATTTGCCTTTTCGTTCCATTAAGGTTTAGGAATCGGAAATATCTTTAGTTTCTGGTTACGTAAAGTTACGTTTAAGTATAACGATTACATTTTTTATTTATATGTGATACTAAAAACATATGTGCTACTTGTGCAAGTGGATGTATATTTAATTAGTTTTTATTTATTTACTCGTATCTACATATAAAGTATGGATAAGACTAAGAGGAGTACTCACTTCTTGGATATGGCTTCGTGTAAGCATGAGGTTGGTATTTATGTTCGTGTGTGAGTAGTGGTTGCGTGTGTGCGTGCGCATGGTGGTAGTACTCGTCGAGGTAGGGCTGCGCAGGCGCCGGGGGAGGGTACTCAGGCTGGTAGTACTCGTCGAGGGGGGACGCAGCAGCCGGTGCCGGTGCAGCTGCTGGTGCTGCTGCTCCGCCGCTCGTTTCCGTATAGTAGCTGTTTGTCTCGCGAGGACCTCCCGTCGTATAGCCTCCTGGAAGGAAATATGAATTATCATTAGATAAAGTAGACTGAATGTCAAATTATGAGATAGAACACAGATAACAATTAACTGCGAAATCAATTCTGATAAAAGAAAGTAAATATTATTGTGTTCTATGTAATAACAGCAATTAAAAATTGTTTGATGTCTAACATACTCTTAACTCTATGGTTTGCCAAAATATTCAAAATCAGATTTCGTCGAATGCGTTTAAAGCAATGTACAATATAGAGGGTAGAGATATATTTGAGGGTGTGCGTGTGTTAGATGTGGCGTGGGTAGCCAGCCGCAACGGTCGCGGTTCACGGCTCGCCCTTTGTTCTTCGCGGACCGCGTGCTCGCTGCTCAGCCGAGCCTGTGCTGGGGCCACAGAGTACCACACATAACTGACAGTTACAAAAACATAACATTCAGTTTTTGAAAGGAGAATTTTAAAAATTCTAAATTTAAACGACGCTGTTTAGTTACGAATTCATTTACGTTATTTTTAATACGTAAGTAGTGGAAAACTTTAACATTTTGCACATACCGTCATGTGTAACTATATAATTAAATAATATAGAGCAACAGCATGGAACGCTAACGATGCTGATTCAAGTCCTGCCCGAGTCGAATTTTTTTCAATTTATTTTCGATTTTTAGATGTATTTTGTCTTTAAAAATTACTTGAAAGTTTAAAAGTATAAAGGAGAAATCTTTACATTATACATATGTATTTAAGTACAAGTAAATGTCTCGAGTTACGTTTGGCCTTTTGTAACACAATAATGTCGCGTGAACGTCATGATAGGATAATTGTATCATTGCCGACGTGGCACAGACCCGGGTCACTAGTCCCACGATTATTGTTCATAAACTATCAATTTATCTTCTGCTTGTCAATTCTATTAGGTATAAGTTCAACGAGAAATGGTTCATGTTCCTTCGTCTGCTATGATAGAGACTGTATCTCCTATATTCTATATACAGTTAGAATGATAATAATATAAAGTGAATCTTTAAAAATAAATTCAATATCTAAAATATATATTGTTCATGGATACACAATAAAAATACGTTAGTTTGTTTTTTTTTTATAAAGATTGCTATTTATTTTCTTAATGGACCTTGGGGTTCCAATAGGGGGAATTTCGACCACTTAACCTGAACAAAATTCCTACTTATAACCAAGATTGTCAAGACCAAACAATGTATCAAAGAGTATTTTAAACTTATAGAATTAAATAAATGTATCAAAATATATCAAATAGCTAAGACTGTTTCACATTGGTCAGAATTAACAAATTCTGATTACCAACATATTCCTGGGTTAAGGTTATTAATCGAGGGACTTCTAGTCATGTAGACCTATGTACTCTTTAAGTCAGTTTGGTCTTTTGCTGAAAAGGTCGTTGTACGCTGATGATATCTCAAAATAATGATCGCAATGATTTCATTCCCACGGTCAATGTGCGTGATGGTTTTTGTGATGACCCATACCTTTCATTGTACGCAGTTTGGTTTGCACGCACTTGTTGCTACGAGATGACGAAATATCACTCTCTCTCTATCTCATTAAATCATAGGAAGTTATTGTACTTATAAACGTAAAACCATATGTCCATAGGTGGAGTTTGGGGGTAAATTTCAAAAAAAATTAAAGAAATAAACTTCTATCCCATGCAGCCCAAAAATCTTTATTACTCGATATCGAACCCAAAATGGACCTTTAGATTTTTCTGAAAAATACAACCCCATGAGCCACGAAGATGGTTATTTCATAGTATCTTACCATTTATATTACTTTTTTTATTTGATACAACAAATTTAGCACGTTTTTAAGTTTCCTACCTATCTGCTAGTGAAGAACGTTTATTTCTAAATGACACATGTCAACTGTCAAACGTCACTTGTTTAGATTTCAGCTTTTAATAAGGAACACAGCGATGATTAAAAAAGTTTTAAGTAGTTTTTTTTACGTTGGTATGTTAGCTCATTTTATAGTTGGTTGTAAAAATATACCTTTTTCAAACACCATTCACGAATGAATTCACGCGGCGCCATAAAAAAAACGAAGTATTTTACGCTTCAAGTAACATTCCTTACAAACATAAAAACGGCTAATGTTCTTTCAACGCGTCACGAAGAGACTGATGTTGCGTTCCGCAGAACAAAGGCGTGTAAACAAATCAGTTTGCGGCGTCAAATCGACTAATACGAGTATTTTAATGAAGCAAAAGGGGCTCATTACAATTCCCTTCAGTCACCGGCAGCGATAAATCTACTACAAAACATTAGAACTACGTAAAAAGCTCTCCCGGGATTGACCTCATGACCTGTACGCTTCTCTGTGACAAATATAAACGAGGAGGTACCAATATACGCTTCTTACACAGACTTTTTAAAAAGGCAAATTTAAAAGTCTCTTATTATACTGGCAGTGTTAAATTTATTTCAAGTAAATAGCAGTTTTAACGGTTTTAACACGAAGTAGGTAAATATAAAAACAATTTGGAGTTAAGTATTTAGTCGTTTGTTTAGTTTGGTTTTGTGCTTACTTTAGATAGATAGTATGCATAAACAGAACATAACTTTTATTCCAAAAGCTACAAATGTTTTGGTAATTTTATTTTATAAAGGAGGTTTTTTCTATAAATTATTTTTTTAAGTACAATAAGTAAGTACTCTACTTTTCTCTGCTACGTCCTTCTAAAAATCTGCGTCTAGAGCTTAGACGGAATGCGAATTATTCCACAGATTATAATCGAGGTTGTTTTAAAAGTGGTTTCGGCCAGTATAAAATAATTATTATCTCGCAAATACGCTTTTATAAATCGAATTTGACATTGATTGCGCGCGTATGAGGTCGGGGCGTGTTTGCGGGGAGGCGGGGCGAACCAATCCGGCGCGGCCACGCCCCGCGCGCCAGGTCGAAAGGTCGCGAGACTGGCCGTCTATTGGCGCGGAACGAGAGATTCACGGCAGTCTGTGGTGTTCTCGATTTCATTTGTATTTTATCTATTACCAGAGACGTCCTAACATTGTAATTAGTATATAATCTGTGCTTTCGTAAGCTTTTTATTAAAGATAAGAAATAATAAGCTATTTAATATATTATTTCGCAGGTATTGGACTAAATTTATGTATAAGTAAATAAAACGGAAATATATTTACTTACTTCTGTGATGATTACAGCAAACATGTGTAAAGGCACTAAATCATTGTTAAATGTGAATTCTTCAAATTATAGTCGGTCTCTTTACACGTCTAATAACGAGTTTTAATATGAGGTACAGGGGCTTTATAGTAGATAGCAAGCGAAAACCCAAATCGTATATCAATATTACACGAATTTGTGTCTCTCTCTTAGGATCTTAAGTAGCTTTATACGAAATTCGTGTGTTTACAGTAGCTAGAAGCAAACGACAGATGGAGCTCGAAAAGTTTTTTTACTTATTCTCGTAACGTGAGACCTGCGAAAATGTTCCAGGGACATTTTTTTTGTGACAGCACGAGCCCTTGCCATATGGCGAGTACTGATGTGACGATGAACTTTTTAGATAGGAAACACTTAAAAAGAACACTTAGGTAGTTCCATTTTTTAAACACAAACATTTGAAACGACGCTTTATTTTACGGTAATAAACTTAACTCTTATACACTTATAGTTATTATTAAACACGTGCGTTGTAAACAATGCAATATAAAGGAAAATTAGTTGATATAGATCCAATTTATTAATCCACACAATAACATCCTCATTAACTTTTCATTAATTAGTCCCCTTCGAATGAGTTCAGTGCGCCAATTCCTAATCTGTACCGGAAGTCGAATATGATTTTTTAAAATTAGAACCGATCGCGACCGCAGGTGGCTGGCCGTTGATAGCTAAATGTCATCCATGTGTTGCTGTTTTGACATTCGTCGTTCGTGTGTAGGTATTATTTTTGAAAATTTCCACGTTTTTGACAGGGATTAAGATAATTAAGTAAAAATCTAACAAGCATTTATGTAAATACTGTCTGTAGTTTACACGAGTACCCATTAAAATAAAACACCGTAAACCGTTATAGTTTAAAACGCGATATATCGCGTTACTTACGTATTACTTAAACTTATTTTAACTACGGCCTTACGCTTAGGATGCTTTGCAGCAGCCGTCTTTCCAGTGTCTGACCACGGCCGCTTTCAAATGAATTAACCTAATATATATTTATTTATTAATTTAGGAGTATTTATGTCCGAAATCGAAAAAAGACTAATTGCTCTACCAAATAAGCTACAGTGTCCGGTCTGTGTGTATCGAATTTATCTACCCCTATTTTGTTATGCAAGTATTTTAAATTAGACGTAATAATGTATTACTTATTAATTACAAGTACTTACATTCCTAAAGATCTACAAGTTATAAAGATTCTACACAGTATTCTTAAAAATAATTTGGCGAGTGAGGAGATTGTAACTATAATATATCGCTTATGTAATCAGTATTTCGTGAGAAAAATAAAAGGAAATTGCTGTCAACGCGTGGATTTTAAATCAAATTCAAAAATTAGAGCATCATTCGACAGGAAATGTTAAATATATTAATGTCCAGCGGATGCCATTCTTCGCTTTTATAATATGCGCCTGTCCATCATAGTTAATTATTACATTTCGCTGCAAATTTTGCACGACAGAAGTCATAACTTTTAATACAAATTATACACTGAAGGTTATTTTATAGAGGGATTGAGAATATCTATAAACATGGCACAGCCGTGAATCGAACATCGTAAGGTGGTGTAGGTAACGGTTACTGTTTTCGATATGTATTTCACTTACACGATAATAAACAATTTATGCAAATGCACTAAAAGTCAATGATTTTTCCCCCTATTAGGGCTACAAAAGGGCCTATTCGAAACCGTCTCTATATCCAAATGTGTTCGAATCAGAGGAAACAATAGTTTGTTTCGATCGGGAAGGGCACAGAAGTCTGAACATCAACTTGCTTGTAAAGGAGCAGAACA